TCAGGGCCCCATATTTAGTTGAACTTGATCTCACAGTTCAACTGACCATGGGTTTGAATTTGATCTGAATTTTATTCTTGGGTTTTCAATTTAAACTAGATAATTTCAAGAGAAGAATTAGTGTTTTATCAATAGACAACTATTTGTGTTAGATTAGAAGAAGTCATTGGCTTAATTTCTCAAAAAAATAAAATAATTACTCTCTTGGCTTAATATAGGATCTTGAGACAAATAGTCTTTGACTAAATCATCTACCAAACTGACTTGAAATATCCGATCCAAAGAAAATTGATAAATTAGAAGAACACATGAATTATCATTTTATCTGGCCAAATGGATTAAGTAGTGAGATTTCCAAAGGAAACGCTTATCTTGTCTAATTTACACCTTGGCTATGCCTTAGAAGTAAAATCAGCGATTACTCTCTCTCTCTCTCTCTCTCTCGTGTGCACACACGCCCACCCCTTCCTTCCTACGTAGAGATTATCAGCATGAATTGCTTCTTTGTTTGTTTGAAATTCTTCTGGAATCATATACCACAGTCTGCATTATTTCTTATAGAGCAGAATGAGGAAGCCCTCTCCTAGGTATGGAATCTTTGCTTGTCATTGCTGGCCATTGTGATTGAGCAGCTGACCTCTTCACTCTACAACAACATAAGCGTAGAGAAGACGTTGTCGGAGATTTACTATTTCTTGAAGGACGATGAAGTAGGAATCATCAAGAACTATAGCATGAGAGCAATTGGGAAGACCACCCTCTTGAAGGCGATCAACAACAAGCTCCTCGGAGAGGGTGACCCAAATCACCAGATTGAATCGGCCTTCGCCTTTAAGAGGGTGGTCTTCCCTATTCCTCCTATGCCGTAGACCCTGATGATTCTTGGTTCATCGTCCTCTAGGAGTTAGCGGATCTCCGACAATGTCTCCTCCTCGTCCACCATCAAGAGTGAAGAGCTCAAGATCAAAATTACTGTGGGCGGTGGCGCCTGGATGATTAGGTGGAGATTGCTCTTTTGGGTCTTCAGCCTCTAGACTTTGAGGCACTCGACAAGTTCACTCTTGGATAAGGATCCAAAAGAAGAGCCCTCAGAGGAGCCTGCCCTCTACTGTGAGGGAACCTGATATTTGTTCACCTAGGCCTCAATGTTTATCACCTCTTCGAGCCATTTCTTGACCTGCTCGATCCCCTCCAAGTTCTCACGCTTGCCTGATCTGGTGACTTGGGTCAGCATCTTAACAAAGCCTTATGTTTTGAAGGTTCAAGAGGACATCGCCGTCTAGTTGGGCTACTCTCGCCGACCAAGGCCATATGCTTCTAGGGCATTCAATTGACCAAGGCCAGCACCCTATTGAAGGTCTTCTCCGATATGAAGTTCCTTCTATTGCTGGATGATCTTTGGGAGAAACTAGACCTCGGTGCTGTAGGCATCTCCTTATCCTCCCTTGGAAAAGGAAGCAAGACACTTTTTACCACACAGATAGAGAAAGTGTGCAACCAGATTGACACTGAGTGGAAAGTTAAGGTGCCCGTGTTGAATCCAGCGAACTCCTAAAAACTCTTTTGCCAAAAGCTAGGTAGGGGAGAAGATGGTGAGTCTCCACTCCACGAAGTTCTTCACCAGGTTCTCTCGACCTCCTCTTCCCGTGGTCACTCGATCCCTCTTTATAACTAAAGTCTTGGTGTTACATGTCCTGCATGCTCCCACGTGCGTTTGTCCCCTTCGGCGTGTGACTCTAGCTAGCCTTGCCTCGTTCTTGGGCTGGGCCAACTTCTTCAAGAGTTGTCAAGGTTTCAACAGAAGACCAATTGGATCCCTCTATGAGATCTTTCACATAATCCGTTGCTAAAAAATGTGGAGGCCTACCGATCAAGTAGCAATGAAGAGGTAAACCAATTATGCTTGTCTTTCTCCATTTAGAAGATTTCCATAGCTTAATATTCTCAAGCTATTTTTTTTTTTTTTTCACTCACAATATTTTTAAAAGTCAAAATTTAAAGCAAGCTTGACATGCATAACTTTCCCAGCCCTTGCAAATTGTAGATTATGACAATATAGAATGTCTTCTTTTTATGTGTTCAGCTCTATTGATACTTTCTTTTAGAAGATTTTACTGATTTTTGTCACGCTATCAACCATCTATGCTTCTTTTTTTTTCTCATTTGTGGAACGGTTTTCTTGTAGGATGTTCGATGTGACTTATTCCTTGATAAGATCATCAAAGTGCATTATTTTTATGATCGATCATGCTTAGTTCTATTTTGCATATTTTATCAACAAAAATAGATGTACTTTCATACTTCGCTACTATTATTACTTTTTTCAGTTTTGTTTGTGGGAGTTCAGATGTCTCACAAGATCTGTTGAATATCTAACGGTTGCTTTTGAGGTGTTCTTCTTGAAGTAGATGGTTAAAAGTGATGGTATTTTCTTTCTCTCTATTTTATTATACTTGAATTGATTTTTTTTGATGAACCAGAATGATGTTTATCGGTGGGTTTGTTCTCATGAACATAAAATTAGGCATATGCAGATTGTTTTAACTAGAACTTATAACATACAGATTATTTGACTGGTATTAAGAAATAGAATTTTCATCTACTTTTAGTTGATTTTGTAATCCTTCGTGTTTCTCAGACACCCATACTAAGATGCTTATTTTTACATCATTCTTAATGAATGTATGTTGTCCTCCTTCCTATTCTTACACCATGGTGGAGTTGTCAATGCATTTACTGGTATCACAGAAAGAGCTTGCCTTGCCATATCTTCTCGAGTTTACTTCAATTTCTATCTCACTATGTGTAATTCTTTGTCAAGTGGGATTTGAACATGAGCAATATACAATTATGAGGTTGTTGGTTTTCTAAAGGTTTTTTTATTTACACCGTCATCTTTTATTAAAATGTTTACTCATATGATGATCATTAATTTAACCGCATAATACTTTTCAGCAAATCTTTCAAGAGAATAAATAGATGGGCAGTGATATAAACTCAATTACTAAACAAGAACGATATAATCTTACCCTGAACATCCAAAATCCTTACAAATCTTTCATGTACATGGTTATGATATGGGAATGAAATCATGACAAGTGTATCCCTTTTTAACAGATCATTGCATCTATAATTTTTCTTTGACTTGGGATTTGTCAAACATAAATCAATATGTTGCATGAAAGATCAGTGAATCTACCATCAATAAATACTAATGTTAGATTATTTCTTAGACATTTCTATCTAGAACCCACATGAGACTATGTTTGTAAACAACATCAAAAGGCAATTTATATGACTTAAATGTACGTAATTCATATTACATGTATCATTCTTGAGAGAGATGAACTATTGGCACCTTGCTTGTTGCGCCCATTATGTTCTGTAATTTCCTAGCGATAAAAAATATGTGAATACAAGACTAACTCATTGTTGACATCATCAGAAAATATTTCAACAAAAGTGCTGCTGCTACCTGCCTAATAAGAAACTTCAAGATATCAGTCCTCTCTAGTTCGACCAAGGCCATGTGAGTAAGACTTGGTATTGCATGATAAAATCATAATCAAGTTGGTTTCCTATTTTGTGTAGCAAAAAGGCAAGGATTTAGCCAAAGCCTGATTTCAATCTTTCCATCATAGGTAGAAAAAAGAAAGTATAATCCATTGATATTATAAAATGTAAAAAAGCATATACATTGATAAGTTCTTCAATGGTGATCTTTTCCCGATTGGAACATGGAGAGTACACACTCTCCATGTTGACAATCAGTCATGCCTCTTGGCCATCCATTAAAGATAATGTTCAATTGAGTGGTTAACAGAAGGTTGTCCTCTAAACTTTCGTCCCCTCCAATCTAGAGCTATAATCATAAGTAGTTTATAAGTGATACTTCAAGCACAAGAGAACTTAAGTTGAAACCAACAATGAGATTTAAATTTTCATCTACATATGTATGTTATGTAAAAGAGTATGATATGGATGAAATTAGGGCACAATTATAGCTCGTTTTAACTAATGACCCTATTTGCAAGCAAAGAAAAATTTCAAAAAAGTACAATATAATTAGATTTGATAATATTCAATGACCATATTATATTATTTTTATCATTAAATTCAATCACAATTTTTCTTTGACCTAGGATGTATCAAGTACAAGTAAACCCTTTGCATGAAAAATTAGTGAATCAATCTATCATCAATAAACTCAAATATTATAGATTTCCATAGACATTTGGAACCTCTTTCATGTCTCTGAGCTCCACGGGCATGCCCTTTAGGGCCATAAGAGCCTCTTTCCACTCACCATGGGTGGTGGCATCCGCCATGGCCCGACCTATGGTGATGAGGGTGATCGAAAGGCCTCCGCATTTTTGACAAATGGCTTCTGCGAGAGACATTGTAGGGAGATCATTCCACTGGTCTTCTCCTTTTCCCATCTTTTGGTAGAAGAGCATCCAAGAGCTCTCTGGATTCAACAAGGGCACCTTAACTTTCCCTTGAGCATCCATATTGATGCACACTTTCTCTGATTGTGTGGTGAAGAATACCTTACTTCCATTCCTGAAAGAGGAAGAGAAGGGGACTCCTACAGCTTCGAGATCTAGTTTCTCCCATAGGTCGTCTAGTAGCAGAAGGAAATTCCTCTTGGAGAGGACCATGTTGGTTGGATGCACTAGGAGGGTCTGACCCTGGTCTTGTCTAGGGCGAGAGTAGCCCAACCGAATAGTGATTTTTTTTCAATGTCAAAACTAAAACACAGAAACCTGCCCTTCATTGATTCTCACTCCTAAATTTTTTCAGTCTAGGGACATCATATTTCATAATAAATAACTTACTCACTATTATAATACAACTTATTTTGGAGAAAATATATCAAAATTCTATTGAAACTATCAAAAATTGCTTCATTTTTCTTAATTCAACTACAAAGTGAATGACCTCAGTCGAAGATTAGAAATATATCCAAGAATTTATATTCTTCTTCATAAATAAGCAGCATGAGCAAGATAAAGAGGTTGACGTCTCCTCTAGCAGAGAGGTGCTATAAAGCAAGCCAATACTAAATTTAGTAGTAAAAAATATTAAATTTAGTAGTAAGTAATATAAGGTACTCACTAGCTAAATTTCTTGAATTTCCCTTGCTAGGGAAGCAAGAAAATACTGAAACGATCAGGGAATAATGAACTCATCGAGGGTTTTTGCTAGAGATCATCAAGTTTTTTTGAGGCCTCACCCATGTGATCTGAAGCTTTAGCTCTTGATTTTACAACCTATGCATTCCTGTGGCCAAGATTTGCATTGCTACCAATAATTTAGAACTATTGCTCAACGCAAGAGTATATTATGTTAAATAGTGATGGGGATGGGGACATGCCACGTCATCAGTGTATGCCACGCCAGCCAAGTATCCGGCCACATCAGCATGGTTTACCACGTCATCGTCGAATGCCACATCATTCCTATAAAATAGGAATGAGCTTGCAGCACGACGCACCTCCGTCGCGCGTCCTCAGGGTGCCGCCGCCCTTCTCGCCTCCTCCGCTTCACCCCTGATGAGCCGCCTCATCGTCGCCATTCCTCTCCGGTGCCGCCGTCCCACCTTCCAGCAGCCTCATCGTCGCCGTCTCCCTCCGGTGCCGCCGTCCCGCCTTCCCGCCGCCTCCGTCGTCGCCGCCTCCTGCCTTCACCGATGACGCGTCCACCGCCACCGTTCACTCGCCGCCGCCCCGCCGCTAAAACGCCCGAATTAGGATTTCGGCAGCGACTCCCTTAAGGGGGACACTTATTGGGCCTCACCCACCTTACCCGCCGGCCCAGCCATCAGGCCCACCAAGCTAATCCACCGCGTTGTCCCGCATCAAATAGTCTCATGATTGAGGAAGATATATTCTTGATGTAACTTCGGGAACAGTCGAATATTACATCTTTTGCGCACTACGCCTCCTCATCTCCCTTCTGTTTCTCCACCGCCGTCTGATCTCATCAAGAGTAAGGTCAGCAGTCGGTCAAGACTCCAGTCGATTCGATCTAGTGATTTGGGTCATCGTCTCCAAGGAGCTTGATGTCCTGAAGGTTCAAGAGGACATCGGCGTCCGATTGGGCTACTGTCGCCCCGGCGAGGGCCAGGGCCCGACCCTTCCACGGCATCTACACGACAGGGCCACCACCCTGCTGAGTGCCCTCTCCCAGAGGAGGTTCCTTCTTCTGCTGGACGATCTGTGGGAGAAACTAGACCTCGGTGCTGTAGGCGTCCCAGACTCTCTCAGGAACGGAAGCAAGATAGTCTTCACCACACGGTCACTGAAAGTGTGTAACGAGATGGACGCTCAGCAGCGAGTCAAAGTCCCCCTTTTGAATCAGGCGAGTTCTTGGAAGCTGTTCTGCCAAAGGCTGGGAAGGGGAGAAGACCAGTGGGATCCCTCCATGAAATCTCTCGCATCGGCAGTTGCTGCAAAATGCGGTGGCCTGCCGCTCACACTCATCACCGTAGGCCGGGGTATGGCGGATGCCACCACCCGCGGCGAGTGGGAAGAGGCTCTCAAGTCGCTTAAGGGTATTCCTGCGAAGCTTGGTGACATGAAGGAGGTTCTAACTCTTCTCAAGTTCAGCTTCGACAGACTGAAAGATACATCCGCCAGGGAGTGCCTCCTCTACTGCGCCCTCTTCCCAGAGGATCACAACATCGATATAAGTCAGCTCATTGAGTACTGTGTAGAAGAAGGGCTCTTAGAAAGGGGACGCCATCCCGACTCTATTGATAGAGCTCGTAATCGCGGGCTCATCACCGTCACGAGTCTCAAAGCTGCCTGCCTGCTAGAAGACGGGAACAACAGAGGACGAGAGGTAAAGCTCCATGACACGGTCCGCGAGATGGCCTTGTGGATAACTAGCGGCGAAGAGGACGAAAAGAATGTCTTTTTGGTGAACTCCGGGGAGAGGTTGACCCGCGTGCGGATTCCGGAAAGATGGATGGAGTCAAGAAGGATATCGTTCATGCACAACGAGATAGGCGTGCTCCCTGAGGAGCCCAGCTGTGATAATCTGCAGACACTGTTGCTGAACAACAACCATCCTCCAAGGGAAATCCCCGGTGGGTTTTTCCAGTTCATGCCGAGACTTCTTGTTTTAGATCTGTCGAGAACAGGAATAAGCTTTCTCCCCCCGGGAATCGGGTCGCTGGTTGAACTGCAGCAGCTCAATCTATCAGAGACTTTCCTGGGATCATTGCCCGTGGAGGTAGGGAGGTTGACGAAGCTGAGACAACTGCGTTTGGAGGACGTCTATTGTCTGAAGAGTATCCCACGCGAGGCGGTCTCGTCGCTTTCAGGGCTGCAGTCGTTGAACATTTTTAAGAGTTACTATGAGTTGAGAGGAGGATGGAAGGACGGTGGTAGCGATTGTGTGAGTGATCATGAGGGGAGACAACTCTGTCTGAAAGACTTGGACGGCTTGGGGCAACTGACGGAGCTCGGTCTTTCTATAACAGGCATGACGCATGAAGACATGCAGGCTTTCCTGGACTCTCACGGGCTGTGCGCATCTATCAGATTTCTATGCATGAAAGAGGTGGGAAGCTCGTCTTTTGATTTGTCTGCTTGTCTTCAGGTTATGAAAGGCCTGAGAACGCTTTTCATTGAGCATTCTACCCACTTGGAAGAGCTGATCTTCAACACGAACCAGCCCTCGGAGTTGGAGGGTCTGACATTGTTGCAGCTTCACCGAGCAACGATATCTTGGAAAGATAGAAACGTGTTCGTGAGGGATCTCAGCACAGGTGTCATCTTCAAAAGCCTTCTGCATCTAGAGATTTCCAAATGTGCAGCATTGGAGGACATCACATGGATCAGAGAACTGCCATGCATCGAGATCTTCAGACTAAGCCGATGCTTGAAAATAGTAGAGCTGATAGTAGTTCAAGAGGTGATGAATGGCGACGTGGACTATGAAAAGGATTCTTTTTTTCGCAAATTAAAGGAGATTTACTTGCATAATCTCGTCAGTTTGAGGAACGTCTGTAGGCATCCCTTGTCGTTTCCTTCCTTGGAAAGAGTGGTAGTATCACTGTCTAGCGCTGAAGAAGCTACCCTTTGGGCTCTCTAGTGCCAAGAACATCAAAGAGATCCGTGGTGAGTGATGGTGGTGGAATCTATTAGAATGAGACCAGGACGTCCGATCCACATTTGCACCTTATTTTTCCCCATTTTTTTAATATTACGATTTTTCTAGGGACACCAGATTTTCTTGCATTTTATGTAACATCTAAGCAATTCCAAGGTGAAGCATGCAGTCATTGAATAGGAAACTATGTGGAGAACATGAGACTAAGATGATGATTGGCTTCAAAATGTCAAATTAATCGTGAATATGATGATCCAAATAACCTTTTCTTGGCACCAAAATGTATCTAGTTACCTAACTTAGCCACTGTGCTATATGTCATATCAAATTTGATTAAGTCATTGACCCAATCAGATGAAGCCTTGGAAAGTAGGCCAAATATATATCATAATCACAACAATTCTATTGATGTGATATATAGCTGATATTTCATAACAATGTGACGTGCATTGGGTATGGTTGTGAACAAAGTTTTTATGCACACTATTTATTTAAGAATTATTTTCCCACTCAATCTGATGTATGAATAAAAATATGCTTATATTTCCATTCTATTCTTATCATACCTAAGTTATCATCAGTCATTGAAGTTCTCTTGCACTTTAGATGAAGAAGGTAGAAAGTTATTCAAAAATAGTAACATTGATCTTTAATTATTCCCATATAGTAGTGACTAAATTTGGTATACTCTATATGATTTTGGATTTAATATGACTGCATCTTCTATGATTTCAAGCCTTCTCTCACATTAACTAACCCTTATACAAGTCTCTCAAGAATGTAGTATTGAGTATTTGTAGTTTTATTATCTTTCATGTTTCAATGAAAAGGAGAAAATGATAAAAGTTGCATTTTATGAAGAAATTAAAAATATAAAACCTTATCCAATAAATAGAAAAAAGCAATAAAAGGTAAACTATGTAGTACAAACAATTAATCATTCAATTTTCATTAGTTATAACATTATGAATGGTTGGTTTTGCAATTTTTGAACACCAAAAAATATGAAATGAATTTCATTAAAATAAATAAAATCAAGCATTTCTTCTCAATATTGGATATCCCTCCCCTTTGCCCCATAACACAAAAAAATTATGCTTGACATAAACTTTTTCATAACCGTGCACAGAAAGTTTTACTGTATTATGCTGTACATGCACATTTATAAATGTTCATCTCAGTTTCATAACCTATTGACAGATATGATAAATAGTTGATGCAGTCAATCTCTCTCTCTCTCTCTCTCTCTCTCTCTCTCTCTCACACACACACACACACACACACACTCCTTCACCACAAACTCTCTAAAACCTTACACTAAATTTGAGTCTTATATTATTAACTTTTAAATTTCTACCACCAAAATATTTATTTAAATTTTAATACTATTTATGCAAAACATAAAAAGATCAAGAAAACTTCACAAGGAAAAATGTATACTACTTTAAGTAGATAATAGAGGCTACATTGGTATTTCACTCTATGAAAATGTAGATCATTTTAAGAAATATTATTATCCTAGACTAGTTTCACTCCTAAAAAATGGTAACTGATATTTGTATTGGTTTCAAGGTAAGCTTGATTATATATCAACTGTAGAGATGAGCTAGTTTTCTATTGATTTTTAGCATTTTCTATATTTTTACTTATTTCTATTAATTTCTAACATAATAGGTTGACCAAGTCAAACATGAATTGACATAGAAGGTATTGGATCAACACATACCGATTTGGGCCAAGGTAGATAGTCTTAAGTCAACATAGTATGTTATTTAATTAGCTATCAACCATCTGAATGTTCATACCTTCTCGCTTCCCTAGCAAGGGAAATTTAAGAATTTTAGGTAGTGAGTACCTTATATTACTTACTACTAAATTTAATAATTTTTACTACTAAATTTAGTATTGGCTTGCTTTATAGCACCTCTCTGCTAGAGGAGACGACAACCTCTTTATCTAGCTCATGCTGCTTATTTATCAAGAAGAATATCAATTTTTGAGTATATTTCTGATCCTCAACTAAGGTCATTCACTCTGTAGTTGAATGAAGAAAAATGAAGCAATTTTTCATTGTTTCAATAGAATTTTGGTATATTTTCTCTGAAATAAGTTGTATTATAATAGAGAGTAAGTTATTTATTATGAAATATGATGTCCCTAGACTGAAAAAATTTGGAAGTGAGAATCAATGAAGGGCAGGTTTCTATGTTTAAGTAGTTTTGATATTGAAAAAAAATCGATGTTCAGTTGGGCTATTCTCGCCCCAAACAAGACCAAGGTCAAACCCTCCTAGTGCATCCAACCGACATGGTCCTCTCCAAGAGGAATTTCCTTCTGCTGCTGGACGACAAACTCTATTTCTTTTACTTTATACTTATTTTTTGATTTATTGAATGATAGTTTGTGTAATTTCAAGTTTTTCAAACCTTTTTTATTTAAATACAATTCCGTTAGTTTTTCTAAATTTTAATTTGATCAATTAAATCATATGTAATTACTTATGTAAAAATTATTAGATGGAACTATGTTATGTCAAAATCACATTTATCAAGGTGCTGATGTCATCTCAACATCCACACTTAAAATTTTCCATTTATATAAAATTTTAAATATATTTTATATTCATCATTTAGTCTATAAATCATAAAAACTAGTATTCTTTAAAAACAATTGAGGTATTATCAGATAGTATATTACATCTCTATGATCAAGTTAAAAATTTATCAATATTTTAAAAACCTTTTATCTAATTATAATTTATTTATTTACTATAAAATATTTTAAAGTTTTAAATATTAATATTTTAAAATTGTATAACTATTAAATTTATGCTATTTATTATATAATAATTAGGTCATATTAAAAATTATTCAGAAGTATAAACAATGGGATTCAATAATGAAAAAATTAATAAATCAATTATATGAGTCTTTGTAAAATATGCTTTAAGACAATATGGTACTTAGTTGATCAAATTCTGACCAAATATTATATTTCTAGAATAAATGGATGAAAATAAGGATGTGAAGTAAAGACACCTCAAATGAATGGAGACATGCATTGAGCACTTCAAGTTAACAGGATGCAAAAAAATAAAAGATTTGAGAGTAGTTGAAGAGGTGATGGATGATGAAGATTTTGAAAATAAATATTTTTTTTCCAAACTAAGGTTTATTTACCTGCAAAGTGCACTGAATGTGAGGAGGAGCATGTGCATACATCTCTTGTTATTTCCTTCCTTGGTGCTACTCTAAGTGGATAACTGTCTTGAGCTGAAGAAGCTACTCTTTGGGCTCTCTAGTGCAAAGAACATCAAAGTGATCAGTCGTAACAAAGAATGGTGGAATCCATTAGAGTGAGACAATGAAGACAACAAAATTTATTTAATTGAGTGACTAGATAGAATTCAACATCTATTGGACAGAGTTCTCTTGTTCATTAGCAGCCATACAAAGAGTGGTGTGTATCAGAGTAGTTATTTTACCCTCCTTCTAACTCATTATTCATCTCTCTCTCGTTATGGCTTGATTTAAATTATTCTTACTTACCTTCTTATATCTTGATGGATTTAATGAAATATCTTGGTCCACTAAGTTAGTTATAAAAAAATTTGGTGATGATCTATCCAAGATCTTCATTATGTGACTACATGTCTCCAGTGCATCAAGGCCCCATGTTTAGTTGAATTTGATCTCAAGGAGCACCAAGGCTCCTCAAGGAGCACGCTTATCTCATTACGCATCAGAGATATCCTTCTCGCCTCCATCCATCTTTCCGGCGTTGGCACATGCCTCAACTGCTCCCCGGAGTTCACCAAGAAGACATTCCCTCTCTCATCACCTTCGCCGCTGGTTATCCACAATGCCATCTCGCGAACCGTGTCATGGCGCTTCACCTGTATTCCTTCCCCGTACACATCTTCTAGCAGGCAGGCAGCCTTGAGATTCTTGATGACAATGAGGCCGCCGTCACGAGCTCTCTCAATGGGGTTGGGATGGCGTCCTGTATCTAAGAGCCCCTCACCCACCCAGTAATCAACAAGCTCGCTTATAAGGATGTTGTGATCCTCTTGGAAGAGGGAGCAATAGAGAAGGCACTCCTTGGCGGATGTATCTTTCAATCTGTCGAAACTGAACTTGAGAAGAATTAGAACCTCTTTCATGTCTCCGAGCTCCACGGGTATGCCCTTCAGCGCCATGAGAGCCTCTTTCCACTCGCCATGGGTGGTGGCATCCGCCATGGCCCGGCCTACGGTGATGAGGGTGATCGGAAGGCCTCCGCATTTTTGACAAACGGCTTCTGCGAGAGACCTTATAGAGAGATCATTTCACTGGTCTTCTCCTTTTCCCATCTTTTGGCAAAAGAGCATCCAAGAGCTCTCTAGATTCAACAAGGGCACCTTAACTTTCCTCTGAGCATCCATATCGATACACACTTTTAGTGAGTGTGTGGTGAAGACGATCTTGCTTCTGTTCCTGAAAGAGGAAGAGAAGGGGACGCCTACAGTTTCGAGATCTAGTTTCTCCCACAGGTCGTCAGCAGCAAAAGGAAATTCCTCTTGGAGAGGACCGTGTCGGTTGGATGCACTGGACAAGGCAAGGGTCACTATTATAATACAACTTATTTCAGATAAAATATATCAAAATTCTATTGAAACAATGAAAAATTACTTCATTTTTCTTCATTCAACTACAAAATGAATGACCTTAGTTGAGGATCAGAAATATACTCAAGAAGAATAAGCAGCATGAGCTAGATAAAGAGGTTGTCGTCTCCTCTAGCAGAGAGGTGCTATAAAGCAAGCCAATACTAAATTTAGTAGTAAAAATTATTAAATTTAGTAGTAAGTAATATAAGGTACTCACTAGCTAAATTTCTTAAATTTCCCTTGCTAGGGAAGCGAGAAAATACTGAAATGATCAGGGAATAATGAACTCATCGAGGGTTTTTGCTAGAGATCATCAAGTTTTTTTGAGGCCTAACCCATGTGATCTGAAGCTTTAGCTCTTGATTTTACAACCTATGCATTCCTGTGGCCAAGATTTGCATTGCTACCAATAATTTAGAACTATTGCTCAACGCAAGAGTATATTATGTTAAATAGTGATGGGGATGGGACATGCCATGTCATTAGTGCATCCACGCCAGCCTAGTATCCCGCCACATCAGCATGGTCTACCACGTCATCGTCGAATGCCACGTCATTCCTATAAAATATCCCTTTAATGACACCTCCTTTCATATTCTATAAAATATCCCTGTACTGACGATTGAACAAAGAAAAGAAGAGGAGGAGAAGAAATAAATTTTAGGTATTTGGTTAAGATTACAGCAAAGTCACCCCATTTAGGGTTTGGTCGCGAGGACCACCGTCGAGTCCGGTCAGTGGGATGGTCGAGAGGACCACCTTAGCCCCCGGTCAAGGGGATGGTCGCGAGGACCACCGCCGACACCGGTCGGAGCTTGCGGCCCGACGCGCCTCCGTCGCGCGTCCTCAGGGCGCCGCCGCCCTTCTCGCCTCCGCCGTCCCGCCTTCCAGCAGCCTCATCGTCGCCGTCTCCCTCCGGTGCCGCCGTCCCGCCTTCCCGCCGCCTCCGTCGTCACCGCCTCCTGCCTCCACCGATGACGCGTCCACCGCCACCGTTCACTCGCGGCCGCCCCGCCGCTGAAACGCCCGAATTAGGATTTCGGCAGCGACTCCATTAAGGGGAACACTTATTGGGCCTCACCCACCTTACCCGCCGGCCCAACCATCAGGCCCACCAAGCTAATCCACCGCGTTGTCCCGCATCAAATAGTCTCATGATTGAGGAAGATATATTCTTGATGTAACTTCGGGAACAGTCGAATATTACATCTTTTGCGCACTACGCCTCCTCATCTCCCTTCTGTTTCTCCACCGCCGTCTGATCTCATCAAGAGTGAGGTTTCCACCCGACAAACTTCAAGGTGCCAGCAAGAAAATGATTGATATATATCTTGGCTTTGCAACTCCCCTGCCGATCTCTTCCTTCCTGCGTAGAAACTATCAGCATGAATTGCTGCCTTGCTTGTCTGGGATTCTTCTGGGATCCCATATCTCAGAGTCTGCAAAGCTTGCTGCTTGCTGATGACCTCTGGGCTTACGATGTTTTGGACGGGAAGTGGGTCAAGTTCCCGGAGCCAGGGAAGAGCTGCCGTCCCCGGGGAGGAACTGGGCTCGCCGTAGCCGGAGAGAAGATCTGGATAGTTTATGGTTTCTCAGGTGAAGAGGTAGACGACGTCCACTGCTTCGACCCGGCCTCCGGGGAGTGGACGGAGGTGGAGACAACCGGGGACAAACCTTGCCCTCGGAGCGTCTTCTCCATAGCCAGCATTGGACAGCGCGTGATCATATGCGGAGGCGAAGTTGATCCGAACGATCTCGGCCATCTCGGCGCCGTGAGCTTCGCCGGCGATTCGTACGTGTTGGACACGGCGACGAAAGCATGGAAGAAGCTGGCGGAGGTGGCGGAGCCCGGGGAGCACCCCGGGCCTCGCGGCTGGTGCGCGTTCTCCGTGGGTCGCCGGGACGGGGAGGAAGGGCTGCTTGTCTACAGTGGGAATTCGCCCACCAATGACCGTCTGTGACGACATCTTCTTCTTCACTCCTTCCTTTGCCAGGTGAGGAAATGCTATGAAGGTATCGGACGCCATGGATCTATCCTGGAAGGTATCTGTGCTTTTTATGTTGTAAACTCTTCAAATGCCCGACTTGTGGGCAAGGTATGTATATCTGGGTTTACTCGGAGTCCAACGAAAGCTTATATTCAGAAACTATCGAGGTCCGACCGCCTGAGAACGTCTGGTTAATTCTGATGCCCAGGTCTCTGTCTCCTCTCTGTCTCTCGCTACCTCGCTCGCTCGTCTTCAGGTTTCAAGGTGACCTGTTCTTGTTTCTAGGTTTATTTTATGCTGAACGTAAGAACATAGGATCATGGATCATTTACTCCCTTAGCTTATCATAAATATCTTGGAACTTATGAATAAAAAAGGATTTAAGTGAACATAAATAGAGTTTCGTGGCATGAATGAAAAAGTCAAAATGATTTGGTTAACTTAAATGATAAGTAATTTAAGAACATAGGATCATGGATCATTTGCTCCCTTAGTTATGATAAATCTCTTGGAACTTACGGATAGAAAACGATTTAAGTAAACATAAATAGCGTTTCATGGCATGAATGAAAAAGTCAAAATGATTTAGTTAACTTAAATGAAAAGTAATTTATGAAAAAGTCAATGTAGAGGGAGTAATGAACTATGAATGCGTTGCATATTGGAAACGAGTTCCCTTGTTTACTGTTATTGGAACCATATGATGTTCCGTAATTTTATTCTGGATGTAATTTCCTTTCATTAATGATATCCGTTAGTAAGAAATAACGACGATACAAAGTTTGAGATGTTGTTATCGTAGGTAACTTCATGCGCCGTTTATTTGCAAGGACCCCAGCTGGACAGGCGAACGTTGACCATCAACTGTTGGCTGCTGGAATATTTCAACCGTGCTAATAGTTCAATGTCAACGTTAAATTTCGGTGAAATCGGACGATCGGGAGAGAGAGGAGGAAAGGCGGGGAGAAAGGCACCCGCCCCTTCACCCCTTCATTTCTGCTCCCTCGGTTAGGGTTCGGAGAATTTGAAAATGGTTTTGGAGATCAGGGTGGCGATTTCTTCCTCACGCCTCTCTGGTGCGGCACAAGATTCGCGATTGAGGACGACACCGGCGAGGGCTTTGGGAGAATGCTGGATCAGATTCACCGCAGCGAGGCCATCTCCGCCGTCTAGGACGAGAAGGATGCCTACCTTGGAGAGGAGGACGAGGATTAGGACTAGGACGACCTCTACGACGACGCCAATGTAAGGTTCCTCCATGTAGAAGAAGAAGCCGGAGATGTTGCGGCCACCGCCGCCGCCCCCGCCGTTGCCGTTGCCTCAGAGGTCTCCTTCCCTGCCGGTCATTCATCAGCCCCCGCTCCTGCCTCCCTTCTTTTACCCCCTGCAGCAGCAGCCGCCTTTGGTTTTCCCAGAGTGGCGGACGTCGATCCCTGGCATGGGTGGGGATCCTGCGGTCGAGAGAGGTTGCGATGGATCCTGTTCGTAGGGTATCCACGGTGGTGGACTAGAGATGCGGATGTTGAATGGGCAGGTGTAGGAGTTAAAGTTCATTGATGAGAGGGCAAGTAGCAACTGTAAGACCGAAGCATCATCTTCGTGTCATGTTCTCCACATAGAGCTTATTATTCAATGGCTATTTGCTTTACCAATAGAAAAATAGGAGCTAAACTTGGATTGGACGTCTTCATGCTCTCACTCTAATCCATTCCACCATTCTTGTTCACCAAGGATCAGTCTGATGTTCTTGGCACTATGGTGCCCAAAGGGTAGCTTCTTCAGCTCTGGACATTCAGATACTCGGACCATCTCCAAGCAAGGAAACAACAAGGGATGCTTATATATGCTCCTCAAATTTGGCAGATGCAGTTGCCCGGAAATGTAGAGCAGCCGCAATTATACAAGCATAAACAGTTATGTTGCATTTCTACATTGGTTGAAAATAAGGGGTAAACTTGGATCGGACGTCTTCATGCTCCCACTCTAATCCATTCCACCATTCTTGTTTACCGAAGATGCGTTGGATGTTCTTGGCAGTAGAGAACCCAAAGGGCAGCTTCTTCAGATCTGGACAGTTGACTACTTCGATTTCCTCCAAGGAAGAGAGCAACAACGGATGCCTACATATGCTCCTCAAATTCGGAAGATCTTTCAACCAAATCCACCTTAATTTAGGGAAGAAAGAATCATTTTCATAATCCACGTTGTCCACCGTCACCTCTTCGACTACTATCACCTCTTCTATTCTCGAACATCCAAATAGTGATAAGGTTTCAATGCAGGGCAGTTGTCTGATCCACGTTATGTCCTCCAATGCTTCACATTTGGTAATCGACAATTCCCGAAGGTTTTTGAAGATGGCAGCTGTGGTGGGCCCCCTCACAAACACGTTGCCATCTTTCCAAGAGATCGTTGCTCGGGGAAGAGACAACAATACCAGTTCCTCCAGCTCTGAGAGCTGGTTCGTGTTGAAGACCAGCTCTTCCAAGTCGGTAGAACTCCAAATCCCAAGCCTTCTCAGGCCCTTCATAATCTCAAGAAAAGCAGACAACTCTAAAGACCGGATTCTCACCACATACAGATGTAGAAATCTGACCGACGCAGACAGTCTCTGAGAGTTCAGTACAGCCTGCATGTCTTCATGCGTCATCCATGTTATAAAAATACCGAGCTCCGTCAGCTGCCCCATGCCGTCCAAGTCTTTCAGACAGAGTTGTCTCCCCTCATGGTCAACCACACCATCGCTACCACCGCCCTCCCATCCTGCTCTAAACTTACTCCTAAAAATGTTCAACGACTGCAGCCTTTCAAGCGATGAGACCGCCTCGCGTGGGATACTCTTAAGAAGATTAGTGTACTCCAGACGCAGTTGTCTCAGCTTCGTCAAATTATTGACCTCCATGGGTAATGATTCCAGGGGAGTCCATGATAGATTGAGATACCGCAGTTCTACCAGTGACCCGATTTCCGGGGGGAGAACCCTTATTCCCGTCCACGACAGATCTAAAACACGAAGGCTCTGCATGAACTGGAAAAACCCACCGGGGATTTCCTCCAGATGACGTCCGTTGTGGTTCAGCAACAGCGTCTGCAGATTGGGGCAACGAGGCTCCTCAGGAAGCAGGCGTATCTCATTACGCATCAGGGATATCCTTCTCGCCTCCGTCCATCTTTCCGGCGTCGGCACGTGCCTCAACTTCTCCCCGGAGTTCACCAAGAAGACATTCCCTCTCTCGTCGCCTTCGCCGCTGTTTATCCACAACGCCATCTCGCGGACCGTGTCATGGAGCTTCACGTGTCTTCCTTTGACCTCCCCGTCTTCTAGCAGGCAGGCAGCCTTGAGATTCTTGATGACAACGAGGCCGCGGTTACGAGCTCTCTCAATGGGGTCGGGATGGCGTCCCGTATCTAAGAGCCCTTCACCCACCCAGTAATCAATGAGCTCGCTTATAAGGATGTTGTGATCCTCTTGGAAGAGGGCGCAATAGAGAAGGCACTCCTTTGCGGATGTATCTTTCAATCTGTCGAAACTGAACTTGAGAAGAATTAGAACCTCTTTCATGTCTCCGAGCTCCACGGGTATGCCCTTCAGCGCCATGAGAGCCTCTTTCCACTCGCCATGGGTGGTGGCATCCGCCATGGCCCGGCCTACGGTGATGAGGGTGATCGGAAGGCCTCCGCATTTTTGACAAACGGCTTCTGCGAGAGACCTTATAGAGAGATCATTCCACTGGTCTTCTCCTTTTCCCATCTTTTGGCGGAAGAGCGTCCAAGAGCTCTCTGAATTCAACAAGGGCACCTTAACTTTCCCTTGAGCATCCATATCGATGCACACTTTCAGTGAGCGTGTGGTGAAAACGATCTTGCTTCCGTTCCTGAAAGAGGAAGAGAAGGGGACGCCTACAGCTTCGAGATCTAGTTTCTCCCACAGGTCGTCCAGCAGCAAAAGGAAATTCCTCTTGGAGAGGGCGCTCAGTAGGGTGTTGACCCTGTCGGTTGGATGCTCTGGGAGGGTCTGGCCCTGGCCTTTTCCGGGGCGAGAGTAGCTTAGCCGGACGGCGATGTCCTCTTGAACCTTCCGGACATCAAGCTCCTTGGAGACGGTGACCCAAATCACCAGATCGAAACCGCCGGATCCCCTCTGGAGGAACTCGTTGTTGATCGCCTTCAAGAGGGTCGTCTTCCCAATTCCTCCCAAGCCGTAGATCCCGATGACTGGCGCTTCATTGTCTTCCAGGAGGCTGCGGATCTCCGACAGCGTCTTCTCCGCGTCCACGATGGAGGCCGAAGAGACCGGCTGCGGAACCACCGCGGGCAGCGGCGCCCGGATGAGTCGGGGGAGGAGATTGTTCTTTTCGGTCTTCAGCCTCTGGACTTCTTTCAGGCACTCGCCAGCTTCACAACCGAGCTTATAGGAGGATCGCCAAGAAGAGCCCTCAGGGGAGGCCCCCCTCTGCTGGAAGGAAACCCGGAAAACGGCCGCCCTGGACTCGATCTCCTGCACCTTCCTGAGCCAAGCCTGGACCTGGCGGGTCGGCCCCATGTCCTCAAGCTCCCCTTGTTTGATCTCCTCTTCTAGATCTGCTCTTACAAGGATCAGATCTGTCATCTCCCTGTCCAGCTCCTCCGCTCTGGAGTCCAGCAGAATGAGACTGGCGATTCCACCGGCGGCCAGATTCCATACCCAGGAGACGGCTTCCCCCGTGCTGCTCTGCAGGAAATTTTGCATACCCTGCGATAACAGATCCCAGAAGAATCCCAGAAAAAAAAGGAAGGGATTCATGCCGGCAATTCCTACCCAGTGAGGAAGGAAGAGATCGCGTAGAGCCGCACTGCTCACCGAACAGCTGGAAAGATAAGATGGATGAGGAGTCGTGGAGCTCAGAAAATGTAATTTTGTTTCTTGGGGTCACCGCATGGGATCCTCATCTGAATATCTTCCACCGTCTTCTGCCGATTCTCCGGCATTGACTTAAACTGTTCAGTCCCTGTGAGATCATTTTCTTCCGATCAAGTGTTGACTTCTGGTTTATTTGAACCATCAATCTCAGCCGTTCATTCAGGTGAAATCGGGCGATGGGGATCGATAGACCTTCGATGACGATGGGGATCGGGAGGAGAGAGGGGCTCCGGGCGGACCCCCTCACTCTCTCTCTCTCTCTCTCTCTCGCTACAAGAGAAAGGCGTGGAGAGAGAGAAAGAGAGAGGAGGTGGCCTTCAACCTTCTTTCCTACTTCCAGAGGATTAGGTTTCAGGGAAGTTCAAAAGAAATCGCCGGGGGGGGGGTGGTTCATTTCTTCCTCACATCTCTCTAGTCCGGCGCGAGATTTCTTTTGAACGAGGACTCCGACGATCTCTACCAAGGACGTCAATGTGGGGGAGAATGATAGGTCTCCCTTTTCTCCGTAAGATGGATGGAGCTTCCTGTTTACCGGAGGGAGTCCCGTGGGTGCGTCGGTCGAGGGCGTAGGGCGTAGTAGGACGGAGGAGTAGACAACGAACTAGTTGGGTGCGTACACAAGGCATCTGGGAAAGGGGTCGTACCCTGCACTCTGCGTGGACAAACCTCCGAGGGGAAGAGGGAAAAGGACAATGGAACTGCGCAGAAGCCCGATACTAGCCACTCCGAGGGGACAAACCTCCACACTCCACTAGGGGAAGACTTGATTGTCCCTCGCCTATCCTCCAACCTTTGCGTGCCACGGATACTTCGCGTCATGTGCGAGCCTTTCCTAGATACCTGTGGATGTGAAATGAGACGAAAGTGGCGGCGGTCTGCTTCCTTCAGGTCCTCCTGCGAGGATGTGATGGGCCCGCCAGTAGACCATCAGAGAACTTCCTCGAGACGCCGCGCAGGAGCGAGGACGCGGGTTTCCCCGGGGAGGCGGAGGTGGAGAAGAAGCCGGAGACATTGCTGCCACCGCCGCCGCCGCCCCACCGTTGCCGTTGCCGTTGCCGTTGCCTCAGAGGCCTCCTTCTCTGCCGGTGATGCAGCAGCCTCCGCTCTTGCTGCCCCCTCCCCCCCTGCAGCAGTAGCAGGCTTCGGTTTTCCCCGAGCGGCCGACGTTGATCCCTGGCATCGGTGGGGATCCTGCGGGCGAGAGAGACATCGATGGATCGAGGGGGTTTCCTGAGGTGGGATTCCAAGGGCCCAACGAGCCGGCAGCGGTGAGGTAGGCCAGCCTTCTGTAGGGCTCCCTCCAGTGCCCGGGCAGTATGGGTTACCAAACTTCCCTGGTGATGGTTTTCAGAGGCAACAAGCTGCAGCCGCGGTTGGTATTGATGCCAGTTTCCTGCTGATGCGGTTTATGGCGGTGTGGTGCTAGAGGAAAATTGCAATGCCAATCTCAATGGTGGAGGAAGCGGTTCAGTTGTCGCTGCCGGCGTTGGTGGAGCATCAGGTGGAACCATCTTGTTCGAAGTTGTCGCTACCTTCCCTCCCCACCTGCAGTGGCTTCTCATGTGAATCTGGCCTTCAATGGAAGGGGGATGCTGACAGGTGGTGTAGGAATGTGGTCAGCTCCTAATGCAGATGCATTGGGAGGTGAAGAACACACCAAAGACCGGGGCAGGGAGACGGACCGAGGGAGAAGCTGGAGATAGTCATCGGGGTGATGGGCGGGAAAGAGAAGTCCATAAATGTGTAAAAATACTTATAAAAAGCTGAAGATACTATGTAGCTATTGAAGTAGTAATATATTTAACTACTGAAGGTGATAATAGAGTAGATTTTTATTTTTTAAAAGCTCATGAGATTGCACTTGAACTAAATTTGCAAACAGAATCACTTGTACGTTTTTTGTCATCAACATAATCTGCCCAATCACTATCTAAATCACCATGCAAATTAAATTAAGAAATATGTTGATATAAAATTTCATAATTGATAGTCCTATGAATATATTGAAGTATTCTCTTTGCTGCTCCAAGATGATGAACTAATGGTGAATACATAAATCTTGTAATCATAATAACTGAAAGTTTAGTCGAGTATTCATAGTTAACTATCATTGCACCATATGTTTTGTATTCATGTTAGTGTTGAAAGAAAAGAAAAAAAAATTATATGTTTGGTTTCCATGAAGATTAAGAATCTCTTTTGTTGTTAGATATTTGTTGTAATAACAATGCTTTGGTTATGCTAATGTTCTTCAACCATTTAAACAACATGTCACAAAATGTAAGATATGTCATGTAGAGTTGCTGGAGACACTTCTGTGCATTTGCGTTGATCTACATAAGCCTTATGAGTGGATTAACATGGTGGAGTTGTCAATGCATTTACTAGTATCATAAAGAGAGCCCACCTTGTCATATCTTATCGAGTTTTCTTCAAGGGATGTTGTCTCATTATCTATAATCTTTAGTCATGTGGAGTTTGAATGTGAGGAACTTACAATTCGAAAGTTCTTTATTAGTGGGTAGGTGAAAGTTTATTATCCCCATTTCTTGTGTAACCCTTATTGAAATATTTTTTTATACACTATAATCTTTTAGTTTTATTAAAATGGAGAGAGAGGAGATTGTGGTGAGATACATGGTCATTGGAAGGACAACTTTTTTCAAGGAATGTGACTAAAATTAAACAGCTTGCAAAAATTCTCTAAGACATGCCCCACTTTTATTCAACTCAACTTCATCATGTCACAGTCATTGGAGATACAAAAGTTATAATTTTTACTATATTAGATGACAATTGTCGAAGATGATTCATCGACCCACTTCATTGATTTTTAAACTTCACAAAAATATCTAAATTAATTTTGGTGATTACTATCGTAAAGTTCAAACTCTATTTTTTTGTACTTTATACTTATTTTTTGATTTATTGAATGATAGTTTGTGTGATTTCAAGTTTTTCAAACCTTTTTTATTTAAATACAATTCCTTTGGTTTTTCTAAATTTTAATTTGATCAATTAAATCATATGTAATTACTTATGTAAAAATTATTAGATGAAACTATGTTATGTCAAAATCACATTTATCAAGGTGCTGATGTCATCTCAACATCCACACTTAAAATTTTCCATTTATATAAAATTTTAAATATATTTTATATTCATCATTTAGTCTATAAAGCATAAAAAATAGTATTCTTTGAAAAAAAATTAAGTTATTATCAGATAGTATATTACATCTCTGTGATCAACTTAAAAATTTATCAATATTTCAAAAAAAAATTATCTAATTATAATTTATTTATTTATTATAAAATATTTTAAAGTTTAAAATATTAATATTTTAAAATATTAAAAATATTAAATTTATGCTATTTATTATACAATAATTAAGTCATTAAAAATTATTCAGAAGTATAAACAATGGGATTTGATAATAGGAAAATTCATAAATCAATTATATGAGTCTTTGTAAAATATGCTTTAAGACAATATGGTACTTAGTTGATCAAATTCTGACCAAATATTATATTTCCACAATAAATGGATGAAAATTGAGACATGCATTGGGCACTTCAATCTAACAAGATGCTCAAAAATAAAAGATTTGAGAGTAGTTGAAGAGGTGTGGATGATGAGGATTTTGAAAATGAATATATATTTTTTCCAAACTAAGGTTTATTTACCTGCAAAGTGCACCGAATGTGAGGAGGAGCATGTGCATACATCTCTTGTTGTTTCCTTCCTTGGTGCTACTCCAAGTGGATGACTGTCTAGAGCTGAAGACGCTGCTCTTTTTGAGCTCTCTGGTGCTAAGAACATCAAAGTGATTGGCAGAAATAAAAAATGGTGGAATTGATTAGAGTGGAACAATAAAAACAACCAAATATATCTGATTGAGTGACTAGATAGAATTCAACATCTATTGGACAGAGTTCTCTTATTCATTAGTAGTCATACAAAGAGTGATGTGTATCAAAGTAGTTATTTTACCCTCCTTCTAGCTAATTATACATCTCTCTCTCGTTATGGCTTGATTTAAATTATTCCTACTTACCTTCTTATACCTTGAAGGATTTAATGAAATGTCTTGGTCTACTAAGTTAGTTATTAAAAAATTGGGTGATGTTATCATCACTTCTCATAATCTATCCAAGATCTTCTTTATGTGACTACATGTCTGCACTGCATTAGGGCCCTATGTTTAGTTGAATTTGATCTCATAGTTCAGCTGACCATGTGTTTGAATTTGATCTGAATTTTGTTCTTGGGTTTTGAATTTAAACTAGATAATTTCAAGAGAAGAATTAGTGTTTTATCAATAGATGACTATTTGTGTTAGATTGGAAGAAGTCATTGGCTTAACTTCAAAAAAAAAATAAAAATGGTTACTCTCTTGGCTGAATGTAGGATCTTGAGACAAATAGTATTTGACTAAATCATCTGCCAAACTAACTTGCAAAATCTGATCGAAAGAGAATTGATAAATTAGAGGAGCATATGAATTATCGTTTTATCCGACCAAATGGATTAAGTAGTGAGGTTTCCAAAGGAAACACTTATCTTGTCGAATTTACATCTTGGCTATGCCTCTGCCTATTATACCTTGGAAGCAAAGTCAACAATTGTTCTCTCTCTCTCTCTCTCTCTCTCTCTCTCTCTCTCTCTCTCTCTCTCTCTCTCTCTCTCTCTCTCTCTCTCTCTCTCTCACGCACATGCCCATCCCTTCCTTCTTGCATGGAGATTATCAGTATGAATTGCTTCTTTGTTCGTTTGAAATTCTTCTGGAATCACCTATTGCAGTTTACATGATTTCCTATAGATTAGAATAGGGAAGCCCTCTCCTAGGTATGGAATCTCCACCTGTTATTGCCGGCCATTCTAATTGAGCAGCCGACCTCTTTACTCAATGACAACATGGGCATGGAGGAGACATTGTCGGAGATCCACCATCTCCTAGAGGACAATGAAGCAGGAATCATCAGGAACTACAACACGGGAGCAATTGGGAAGACCACCCTCTTGAAGGCAGTCGACGATGAGCTCCTCGGAGATGGTGACCCAAATCACCAGATCAAATCGGCCTTCGCCTTTAAGAGGGTGATCTTCTCTATTCCTCCCATGCAGTAGACCCCGATGATTCCTGTTTCATCGTCCTCCAGGAGTCAGCAGATCTTCGACAACATCTCCTCCTCATCCACCATCGAGAGTGAAGAGCTCAAGATCAGAATCACCGCGGGCAGCGGCACCTGGACGATTAGGTGGAGATTGCTCTTTTGGGTCTTCAGCCTCTAGACTTTGAGACACTCGGCAGCTTCACTTTTGGATAAGGATCCAAAAGAAGAGCCCTTAGAGGAGCCCGCTCTCTATTGTGAGGGAGCTTGGAATTTGTTCACATAGGCCTCAATGTTCATCATCTCTTTGAGCCATTTCTTGGCCTGCTCGATCCCCTCCAAGTTCTCACGCTCGCTTGATCTAGTGACTTGGGTCACCGTCTTAAAGGAGCCTTATGTTCTGAAGGTTCAAGAAGACATCACCATTGAGTCGGGCTACCCTCGCCTCAACCAAGGCCAGATGCTTTTAGGGCATCCAATCGACTAGGGTCAGCACCCTATTGAAGGTCTTCTCCGACATCGGCGCTGTAGGCATCTCCTTATCCTCCTTGGCAAAGGAAGCAAGATACTCTTTACCACATGGATAGAGAAAGTGTGCAAATGAATGGACGTTGAGTGGAAAGTTAAGGTGTTCATGTTGAATCCAATGAACTCTTGGAAACTCTTTTGCCAAAAGCTGGGTAGGGGAGAAGATGGCAAGTCTCCACTCCTCATAGAGTTCTTCACCAAGTTCTCCCGACCTCCTCTTCCCATGGTCGCTCGATCCCTCTATATAAGCGAAGTCCTAGTGTTGCATGTCTTGCATGCTCCCACGTGTGTTTGTCCCCTTTAGCATGTGACTCCAACCAGCCTTGCCTCGTTCTTGGGCTGAGCTGACTTCTTCGGGACCTCTTTCCTATTGAGCCCATTTGAGTTGTCAAGGTCTCAACAAAAGACCAGTTGTATCCTTCTATGAGATTTCTCGTAGAATCTGTTGCTAAAAAATGTGGAGGCCTATTGACGTGACTCAGTCGTTGTATATTAAATCACGCAAATATAAAATTTATAAAACTAGAAAATACAAATTTTCAGATATTTAGAAGTATTTCTAAATAAATATATCAATTATAATTTAATAAAAATTCCAAAAATAGTGGTAATTTTCCAGGTCGATCACAGGGATGTAATATAATATCTAGTAATTATTCAGAATTTTTCTCAATGAATAAGATTTTCTTATGAATTTTATACTAGGAAATAAAAAAGAAATATATTTAAAATTCACAAAAAAAAGGAAATAAGGGTGCGGACGTCAGGATGACGTCAGCGCCCGGCGAACGCGAATCAGACAGAAACAGAGTTCTGCCCGGCGATTCTTACGTAAGCGATTACAGACGACTTAATTAATCAAATTAAGATCTGTAAAAGCCGGAAGAATCGTAATTGAACGAAGTATAGTTTGGTAAATTAAAATCACACAAAGTATCACTAAATGAAGCGTAAATTATATTGAAAGCAGGAAAATAGAGTTCCGGCGTCGCGACGGCGATGCGTCGGCGATGCGTCGGTGATGCACTGGAATCCTGAGCGTTCGGGAGGATCATCGTGCAGTGTCCACGGCCTCGAAGGCTCTCCTTGGACAAAGACGACGTGGGCAATCTCTAAATCTTCTCGTGAAGTCTAGAGATCAATGAAGTGGGTCGTCGAATCATCTCTGGCGGCTATCAGCCGGCGGAGCGGAAAAACGGCGACTTTGCGGCTCTCCGGCAACTGTCACCCGATGAAGAGGAGCTGGATGGAGGTGGGGCGCGTGTCAGGGAGCTTCATCCTCAAGTCCGTGCAGCAAGAGGAGACTCTTCATCGCGTCTGGTACGCTCTCAAGAGGTGGCGACTGGTCTCCCGGCGGATCGTCCTCTTCCCAACGACGGCTTGTTTGTCGATCAATCGGAGATGATTTACTCAATGGGTTTGCGATCCTTTTATCGCGAATCGTTCAGCAATTTTAGTAGCAATGCTCCGCGAATCGCGTTGATGAGATTTTCGCCGATGATCCAGCGATTCTCGTTGCTTAATCCTTCACTGGTGATCTGCAAGAAAGTCGTGATAATCAAATAAAAATATATGAATTTTGACTCTGGAAGGATTCAAACCCGCGCCGGTCGCCCGCCTCTTCTGAGGAAGGTTAGCTTTGTAAGCAAAGTCCCTTCTCTCGTGTGTATGACCACTCCTTGCCCCACAGCGGGCTGGCCACCGGTGACGTGGAAGGGGAGTGGCTACGCGTGCCCTGTCAATTCCCAAGCCAAGCTGCTCGAGCCCCTACTCGCAGCTTACTCCTCGACTGCGCTTCCGACCTGCTTGCGGGCCCGGCTGGCTGGCGGGTCACCCTATTTTTGCAATATTTTTATTTTTATTTCTTGTTCTTCATTTATCTCAAAAGTAAAACTATAAACATCATATAAAATCACATAATTACCCAAAAATTCACATTAATCAATTGAAAATCAAAAATCATTCTTTAACACAAATATAAGTCTATTTATCATGAGTTAAGGCTAAAACTATATTATTTACTAATTATTAACTCATGATAATGAAGACTTATCACCTACCGATCCATAGCTTAATATTTTCCAACAATATTAATTTTTTTTTTGCTCACAATATTTTTAAAAGTCAAAATTTAAAGCAAGCCTGACAGGCATAACTTTTCCAGGCCTTGTAGATTGTAGATTATGACAATATAGAATGTCTTTTTTTTATATGTTCACCTCTATTGGTTCTTTCTTTTAGAAAATTTTACTGATTTTTATCATGCTATCAGCCATCCATGCTTTTTTTTCTCTTTTCTGTGGAACGGTTTTCCTGTAGAATGTTCTATGTGACTTACTCCTTGATAAGATCATCAAAGTGCATTATTTTTATGATCGATCATGCTTAGTTCTATTTTGCATGTTTTATCAATAAAAATAGATGTACTTTCATACTTCACTGCTATTATTACTTTTTCAAATTTTGTTTGTGGGAGTTTAGATGTCTCACAAGATCTGCTGAATATCTAGTGGTTGCTTTTGAGGTGTTCTTCTTGAAGTAGATGGTTAAAAGTGATGGTATCTTCTTTCTCTCCATTTTCTTATGCTTGAATTGATTTTTTTTGATGAACCAGAATCATGCTTATTGGTGGGTTCGTTCTCATGAACATGAAATCAAGCATATGCGGATTGTTTTAACTAGAACTTATACGTATAGATTGTTTCACCGGTATCAGGAAATGGAATTCACATCTACTTCTGGTTGATTTTGTAAACCTTGGTATTTCTCAGACACCCGTACTAGGATGCCTATTTTTACACCGTTCCTAATAAATGTATGTTGTCCTCCTTCTTATTCTTACACCATGGTGGAGTTGTCAATGCATTTACTAGTATCACATAGAGAGCTTGCTTTATCATATCTTCCCGAGTTTACTTCAGTTTCTATCTCACTGTGTAATTCTTTGTCAAGTGGGATTTGAACATGAGCAATATATGATTATGAGGTTGTTGATTTTCTAAAAGTTTTTTTATTTACACCATCATCTTTTAGTTTTATTAAAATATTACTCATACAATGATCATTAATTTAACTGCATAGTACTTTTTAGTAAATTTTTCAAGAGAATAAATAGATGGGTAGTGATATAAACTCAATTAATAAACAAGAATGGTATAATCTTACCTTGAACATCTAAAATCCTTGCAACTCTTTCATGTATAGAGTTATGGTATGGGAATGAAATCATGACAAGTGTAGCCCTTTTTAATAGATAGTTGCATCTACAATTTTTCTTTAACTAGGGATTTGTCAAACACAAATCAATATGTTGCATGAAAGATCAGTGAATCTATCATCAATAAATACTAATCTTAGATTATTTCTTAGACATTTCCATCTAGAACTCACATGAGACTATATTTTGTAAACAACATCAAAAGGCAATTTATATGACTGAAATGTACGCAATTCATATTACATGTATCATTTCTGAGAGAGATGAACTATTGGCACCTTACTTGTTGTGCCCATTATGTTATGTAATTTCCTAGTGATAAAAAATCTTTGAACACAGACTAACATAGTGTTGACATCACCAGAAAATATTTCAACAAAAGTTCTGTTGCTACCTACCTAATAAGAAACTTCAAGATACCAGTCCTCTCTAATTTGACCAAGGCCATGTGAGTAAGACTTGGCATTGCATGATAAAATCATAATCAGGTTGGTTTCCTATTCTGTGCAGCAAAAAGGCAATGATTTAGCCAAAGCCTGATTTCAATCTTTCCATCATAGGTAGAAAGAAGAAAGCATAATCCATTGATACTATAAAAAGTAAAAAAGCATACACGTTGATAAGTTCTTCAATGGTGATCTCTTCCCGATTAGAACATGGAGAGTACACACTCTCCATGTTGACAATCAGTCATGCCTCTTGGCCATCCATTAAAGATAATGTTCAATTGTGTGGTGAACAAAAGGTTGCCTTCTAAACTTTCATCCCCTCCAATCTAGTGCTATAATCATAAGTAGTTTACAAGTGATACTAGAGACACAAGAAAACTTAAGTTGAAACAAACATTAAAGTTTAAATTTTCATCTACGTTAGTATGTTGTGTAAAAGAGTATGATATGAATGAAATTAGAACACAATTATAGCCCATTTTAACTAATGATCATGTCTACAAGCATAGAAAAATTTCAAAAATGTACAATATAATTGGATTTGATAATATTCAATGACCATATTAAAGTATTTTTATCATTAAATTCAATCACAATTTTTCTTTAACCTAGGATGTATCAAGCACAAGTAAACCCTTTGTCTGAAAAATTAGTGAATCAATCTATAATATCAATAAACTCAAATATTATAGATTTCCATAGACATTTGGAGATAGAATGCATGCAAATGAGAGTATGTCTAGTAAACTATAGAGAAAGAACAATTTATGTGACTCAAGTGTACAGGGCTATGGTATGGAAATGAAATTAGTATAAGTATAGTTGATAAGTTTTCATTATCATGAGCTAATAACTAGTAAATAGTATAGTTTTAGCCTTAACTCATAATAAATAAACTTATATTTATGTTTAAGTGTGAAAAGTTATTTTTAGTTGATTAATGTGAATTTTTGGGTAATTATGTGATTTTATATGAATTTATATAATTTTTATAGTTTTACTTTTCAGATAAATGAAGAAAAAGAAATAAAAATAAAAATAAAACAAAATGGTGGGGACTCACCAGCCAGCTAGGCCTGCAAGTGGGGTGGAAGCGTAGTTGAGGAGAGTAGCCACAAGCAAGGGCTCAAGTGACTTAGACCGATAGGGGCACGTGTGCGCCGCCCCCCTTTCACGTCATTGGTGGCCAGTCAGCTGTGAGGTAAAGAGTGGTCATACATGTGTGAGAAAAGGACTCGATCGAAAATGTAATATTATTATATTCACTAGAAATATCAGCACAAAACTAATGTGGGACTAAACCTGCGCGGGTTTGAATCCTCCTAGAGCCAAAATTCATATTTTTTTAGCTAATTATCACGACTTTCCTATAGATCGCCGATGAAGGATTAAGCAACCAAAATCGCTAGATCATTGGTGAAAATCTCGTCAACATGATTCGCAGAGCATTGTTACTAAAATTCTTGAACAATTCGTGATAAAAGGATCGTGAATCCATTGAGTAAAGCATCTCTGATTGATTAACGAACAAGTTGTTGTCGAGAAGAAGACGATATGTCAGGAGATGAGTCGTCACCTCCTAAGAGCATACTGGATGCGATGAAGAGCCTCCTCTTATTGCGTAGACTTAAGGATGAAGCTTCCTGACACGTGCCCCACCTCCATCTAGCTCCTCTTCTTCAAGTGATAGTCCTAAAGAGCTGCAAAGTTGTTGTTTTTCTGCTTCGCCGGGTGACAGCCGCCAGAGATGATTCAATGACCCATTTCATTGATCTCTAGACTTCGCAAAGAGATCTAGAGATTTCTCACATCATCTTTCTCCAAAGAAAGCCTTCGAGGCCATGGACATTACACGACGATCCTCCCAAACATATAGGATGCCAGTGCATTACCGACACATCACTACTACGATGCCAAAACTCTATTTTCCTACTTTCAACTTAATTTCTATTTCATTTAGTAATAATTTATTGATTTTAAACTTACCAAGATATACTTCATTCCATTACAATTTTTCTAGTTTTTACAGATCTTAATTTGATCAACTAAATTATTTATAATCGCTTACGTAAGAATCACCAGGTGGAACTCTTTTTTCGCTTGATTTGCATTGGTTAGGTGCTGACATCATCCTGATCTCTTTTTCGTAAATTTTAAATATATTTTCTTTTTATTTCTTAATATAAAATTCATAGAAAATAATATTCTTTGAGAAAAATTCTGAATAATTACCAGATATTATATTACATTCTTATGACTGACCTGAAAAATCACTACTATTTTTAAAATTTTTATTCAATTATATTTGATATATTTGTTCTGAAATACTTCTAAATATTCAAAAATTCATATTTTCTAGTTTTATAAATTTTAAATTTACGTGATTTACTATACAACGACTAAATCATGTCAATAGCCCCTTTAACTGATGATTCCATTTGCAAGCACCAAGTTTTTTCTAAAATGTAGAATATAATTAGATTTGATATAACCAACGACCATATGAGAGTATTTTTCATCATTAAAATTCAATCACAATGTTTCCTTGACTTAAGATCTATCAAGTACATTTCAGCTGGTTGTATGAAAAATCAGTTAATCAAGCTATCATCCATAAGTGCACTAATATTATACATTTCCTCAGCTTAGACATTTGAAGACAGAACGCACATGAGAGAATGTTTTGCAAGCTATAGTAGAAGACAATTTATGTGATTGAAGTAGATGCAATTCACATTCTTCACCAATCGAATTCCTTGGCTGTTTCATTTCAACCACAAAAATAAATTTGCCGTGCTTCTTTCAAAAATCGTAATATTACCAAAATAGACGACAAAAGGGGATAAACTTTGATCAGATGTCTTCATGCTCCCACTCTAATTGAAAGGCACTCCTTGGCGGATGTATCTTTCAATCTGTCGAAACTGAACTCAAGAAGAATTATAACCTCTTTCATGTCTCCGATCTCCACGGGTATGCCCTTCAGTGCCATGAGAGTCTCTTTCCACTCGCCATGGGTGGTGGCATCCGCCATGGCTCGGCCTACAGTGATGAGGGTGATCAGAAGGCCTCCACATTTTTGACAAACTGCTTTTGTGAGAGGCCTTATAGAGAGATCATTCCACTAGTCTTCTCCTTTTCCCATCTTTTGGTAGAGGAGCGTCCAACAGCTCTTAATTCAACAAGGGAACCTTAACTTTCCCTTGAGCATCCATATCGATGCACACATTCAGTGAGCGTGTGGTGAAGACAATCTTGCTTATGTTCCTGAGAGAGGAGAAGGGGATGCCTACAGCGCCGAGGTCTAGTTTCTCCCACAGGTCATTCAGCAGTAGAAGGAAATTCCTCTTGGAGAGGACCATGTCGGTTGGATGTGCTAGGAGGGTTTGACCCTGGTCTTGTCCTGGGCAAGAGTAGCCTAACCGGATGGCGATTTTTTTCAATATCAAAACTACTTAAACAAAGAAACCTGCCCTTCATTGATTCTCACCCCCAATTTTTTTCAGTCTAGGGACATAATATTTCACAATAAATAACTTACTCACTATTATAATACAACTTATTTTGAAGAAAATATACCAAAATTCAATTGAAACAATCAAAAATTGCTTCATTTTTCTTCATTCAACTACAAAGTGAATGACCTTGGTCGAGGATCAGAAATATACTCAAGAATTTATATTCTTCTTCATAAATACATAGCATGAGCGAGATAAAGAGGTTGTTGTCTCCTCTGGCAGAGAGGTGCTATAAAGCAAGCCAATACTAAATTTAGTAGTAAAAATTATTAAATTTAGTAGTAAGTAATATAAGGTACTCACTAGCTAAATTTCTTAAATTTCCCTTGCTAGGGAAGTGAGAAAATACTGAAATGATCAGGGAATAATGAACTCATCGAGGGTTTTTGCTAGAGATCATCAAGTTTTTTTGAGGCCTAACCCATGTGATCTGAAGCTTTAGCTCTTGATTTTACAACCTATGCATTCCTGTGGCCAAGATTTGCATTGCTACCAATAATTTAGAACTATTGCTCAACGCAAGAGTATATTATGTTAAATAGTGATGGGGATGGGACATGCCATGTCATTAGTGCATCCACGCCAGCCTAGTATCCCGCCACATCAGCATGGTCTACCACGTCATCGTCGAATGCCACGTCATTCCTATAAAATATCCCTTTAATGACACCTCCTTTCATATTCTATAAAATATCCCTGTACTGACGATTGAACAAAGAAAAGAAGAGGAGGAGAAGAAATAAATTTTAGGTATTTGGTTAAGATTACAGCAAAGTCACCCCATTTAGGGTTTGGTCGCGAGGACCACCGTCGAGTCCGGTCAGTGGGATGGTCGAGAGGACCACCGTAGCCCCCGGTCAAGGGGATGGTCGCGAGGACCACCGCCGACACCGGTCGGAGCTTGCGGCCCGACGCGCCTCCGTCGCGCGTCCTCAAGGCGCCGCCGCCCTTCTCGCCTCCGCCGTCCTGCCTTCCAGCAGCCTCATCGTCGCCGTCTCCCTCCGGTGCCGCCATCCCGCCTTCCCGCCGCCTCCTGCTTTCACCGATGACGCGTCCACCGCCACCGTTCTCTCCCCGGCGCCCCGCCGCTGAAACGCCCGAATTAGGATTTCGGCAGCGACTCCCTTAAGGGGGCACTTATTGGGCCTCGCTCACTTTACCTGCCGGCCCAGCCATCAGGCCCACCAAGCTAATCCACCGCGTTGTCCCGCATCAAATAGTCTCATGATTGAGGAAGATATATTCTTGAGATAACTTCGGGGAAAGTCGAATATTACATCTTTTGCGCACTACGCCTCCTCATCTCCCTTCTGTTTCTCCACCGCCGTCTGATCTCATCAAGAGTGAGGTCAGGAGTGGGTCAAGACTCCAGTCGATTCGATCTAGTGATTTGGGTCATCGTCTCCAAGGAGCTTGATGTCCTGAAGGTTCAAGAGGACATCGGCGTCCGATTGGGCTACTGTCGCCCCGGCGAGGGCCAGGGCCCGACCCTTCCACGGCATCTACACGACAGGGCCACCACCCTGCTGAGTGCCCTCTCCCAGAGGAGGTTCCTTCTTCTGCTGGACGATCTGTGGGAGAAACTAGACCTCGGTGCTGTAGGCGTCCCAGTCTCTCTCAGGAACGGAAGCAAGATAGTCTTCACCACACGGTCACTGAAAGTGTTCAACGAGATGGACGCTCAGCAGCGAGTCAAAGTGCCCCTTTTGAATCAGGCGAGTTCTTGGAAGCTGTTCTGCCAAAGGCTGGGAAGGGGAGAAGACCAGTGGGATCCCTCCATGAAATCTCTCGCATCGGCAGTTGCTGCAAAATGCGGTGGCCTGCCGCTCACACTCATCACCGTAGGCCGGGGTATGGCGGATGCCACCACCCGCGGCGAGTGGGAAGAGGCTCTCAAGTCGCTTAAGGGTATTCCTGCGAAGCTTGGTGACATGAAGGAGGTTCTAACTCTTCTCAAGTTCAGCTTCGACAGACTGAAAGATACATCCGCCAGGGAGTGCCTCCTCTACTGCGCCCTCTTCCCAGAGGATCACAACATCGATATAAGTCAGCTCATTGAGTACTGTGTAGAAGAAGGGCTCTTAGAAAGGGGACGCCATCCCGACTCTATTGATAGAGCTCGTAATCGCGGGCTCATCACCGTCACGAGTCTCAAAGCTGCCTGCCTGCTAGAAGACGGGAACAACAGAGGACGAGAGGTAAAGCTCCATGACACGGTCCGCGAGATGGCCTTGTGGATAACTAGCGGCGAAGAGGACGAAAAGAATGTCTTTTTGGTGAACTCCGGGGAGAGGTTGACCCGCGTGCGGATTCCGGAAAGATGGATGGAGTCAAGAAGGATATCGTTCATGCACAACGAGATAGGCGTGCTCCCTGAGGAGCCCAGCTGTGATAATCTGCAGACACTGTTGCTGAACAACAACCATCCTCCAAGGGAAATCCCCGGTGGGTTTTTCCAGTTCATGCCGAGACTTCTTGTTTTAGATCTGTCGAGAACAGGAATAAGCCTTCTCCCCCCGGGAATCGGGTCGCTGGTTGAACTGCAGCAGCTCAATCTATCAGAGACTTTCCTGGGATCATTGCCCGTGGAGGTAGGGAGGTTGACGAAGCTGAGACAACTGCGTTTGGAGGACGTCTATTGTCTGAAGAGTATCCCACGCGAGGCGGTCTCGTCGCTTTCAGGGCTGCAGTCGTTGAACATTTTTAAGAGTTACTATGAGTTGAGAGGAGGATGGAAGGACGGTGGTAGCGATTGTGTGAGTGATCATGAGGGGAGACAACTCTGTCTGAAAGACTTGGACGGCTTGGGGCAACTGACGGAGCTCGGTCTTTCTATAACAGGCATGACGCATGAAGACATGCAGGCTTTCCTGGACTCTCACGGGCTGTGCGCATCTATCAGATTTCTATGCATGAAAGAGGTGGGAAGCTCGTCTTTTGATTTGTCTGCTTGTCTTCAGGTTATGAAAGGCCTGAGAACGCTTTTCATTGAGCATTCTACCCACTTGGAAGAGCTGATATTCAACACGAACCAGCCCTCGGAGTTGGAGGGTCTGACATTGTTGCAGCTTCACCGAGCAACGATATCTTGGAAAGATAGAAACGTGTTCGTGAGGGATCTCAGCACAGGTGTCATCTTCAAAAGCCTTCTGCATCTAGAGATTTCCAAATGTGCAGCATTGGAGGACATCACATGGATCAGAGAACTGCCATGCATCGAGATCTTCAGACTAAGCCGATGCTTGAAAATAGTAGAGCTGATAGTAGTTCAAGAGGTGATGAATGGCGACGTGGACTATGAAAAGGATTCTTTTTTTCCCAAATTAAAGGAGATTTACTTGCATAATCTTGTCAATTTAAGGAACGTCTGTAGGCATCCCTTGTCGTTTCCTTCCTTGGAAAGAGTGGTAGTATCAGACTGTCTAGCGCTGAAGAAGCTACCCTTTGGGCTCTCTAGTGCCAAGAACATCAAAGAGATCCGTGGTGAGTGATGGTGGTGGAATCTATTAGAATGAGACCAGGACGTCCGATCCACATTTGCTCCTTATTTTTCCCCATTTTTTTAATATTACGATTTTCTAGGGACACCAGATTTTCTTGCATTTTATGTAACATCTAAGCAATTCCAAGGTGAAGCATGCAGTCATTGAATAGGAAACTATGTGGAGAACATGAGACTAAGATGATGATCGGCTTCAAAATGTCAAATTAATCGTGAATATGATTATCCAAATAACCTTTTCTTGGCACCAAAATGTATCTAGTTACCCAACTTAGCCACTGTGTTATATGTCATATCAAATTTGATTAAGTCATTGACCCAATCAGATGAAGCCTTGGAAAGTAGGCCAAATATATATCATAATCACAACAATTCTATTGATGTGATATATAGCTGATATTTCATAACAATGTGACGTGCATTGGGTATGGTTGTGAACAAAGTTTTTATGCACACTATTTATTTAAGAATTATTTTCCCACTCAATCTGATGTATGAATAAAAATATGCTTATATTTCCATTCTATTCTTATCATACCTAAGTAATCATCAGTCATTGAAGTTCTCTTGCACTTTAGATGAAGAAGGTAGAAAGTTATTCAAAAATAGTAACATTGATCTTTAATTATTCCCATATAGTAGTGACTAAATTTGGTATACTCTATATGATTTTGGATTTAATATGACTGCATCTTCTATGATTTCAAGCCTTCTCTCACATTAACTAACCCTTATACAAGTCTCTCAAGAATGTAGTATTGAGTATTTGTAGTTTTATTATCTTTCATGTTTCAGTGAAAAGGAGAAAATGATAAAAGTTACATTTTATGAAGAAATTAAAAATCGAAAACCTTATCCAATAAATAGAAAAAAGCAATAAAAGGTAAACTATGTAGTACAAACAATTAATCATTCAATTTTCATTAGTTATAACATCTATGAATGGTTGGTTTTGCAATTTTTGAACACCAAAAAATATGAAATGAATTTCATTAAAATAAATAAAATCAAGCATTTCTTTTCAATATTGGATATCCCTCCCCTTTGCCTCATAACACAAAAAAATTATGCTTGACATAAACTTTTTCATAACCGTGCACAGAAAGTTTTACTGTATTATGCTGTACATGCACATTTATAAATGTTCATCTCAGTTTCATAACCTATTGACAGATATGATAAATAGTTGATGCAGTCAATCTCTCTCTCTCTCTCTCTCTCTCTCTCTCTCTCTCTCTCACACACACACACACACACACACTCCTTCACCACAAACTCTCTAAAACCTTACACTAAATTTTAGTCTTATATTATTAACTTTTAAATTTCTACCACCAAAATATTTATTTAAATTTTAATACTATTTATGCAAAACATAAAAAGATCAAGAAAACTTCACAAGAAAAAATGTATACTACTTTAAGTAGATAATAGAGGCTGCATTGGTATTTCACTCTATGAAAATGTAGATCATTTTAAGAAATATTATTATCCTAGACTAGTTTCACTGCTAAAAAATGGTAACTGATATTTGTATTGGTTTCAAGGTAAGCTTGATTACATATCAACTGTAGAGATGAGCTAGTTTTCTATTTATTTTTAGCATTTTCTATATATTTTTACTTATTTCTATTAATTTCTAACATAATGGGTTGACCAAGTCAAACATGAATTGACATAGAAGGTATTGGATCAACACATACCGATTTGGGCCAAGATAGATAGTCTTAAGTCAACATAGTATGTTATTTAATTAGCTATCAACCATCTGAATGTTCTTACCTTTGATTTTCACTATTCTATTTTAGATATTTATCACATAAAATCATGGGATCAGAATGTCTCTCACTTGATAAATTCACTAGTCTATCATGTCATGATGGACACTAAGGTACTAGCATAGTATATCTCTCAAATGATTGAATTTTTTGTGTTTTCCGAATGTAATCAGATGGCTATCATTCTGATTTCAATGTTCTATTATTGCGTCTTTGATCTGTACCATTTACATACATGATAGCTATTTAATAATGGTAGAATTTTTCCCTGCTCAATCATATTAATAATGGTAGCTACCATATTTTGGAAGAGTGATTGCGAACGAAATTTTCATCCAACGTGTTTAGACTGATATGGTTTTTAATTAGCTGTGTTGATTTTCACATGTAGTTACTAAATTATAACTTTTTTTGTGCTGTCAGTCTGTCAAATAAGAAAATTTATACTTGTCCACAAAGTTGTACCGAATTCTTTCTCAACTCAATCTACCATCTGAGGCTAAAGAAAAATTCTGAATCGTCTTGATCACTGTTATCGCGACATTAAAAATATAACTTGTTATCCTCTCGCCCCCTCTCTGGCCATTCAACTTGCTTCTGTTGTTGACAGCGCAGTACAAGGAGATATTCTTGAAGGTGGAACGTTAACCTAAATATTTTCATTTGGAACCAAAAGTTCTGATCCGAAGGTTACCAGGATATTCTCTGGTTTGTTAAAATCTTATGGAAGGCACAGTATATTATTATATTTCCCTTATATTAATGGCTCAGGGCTTTAAGATAAACGATAACTTATTACTGTTAACACCGTTGTCGTTAGTTCCTTAATTCTCATTATTTTTTGGGTGACTAGTATGGATGCTGCTGAACCTGTTGGCCCAAATCTCTTCCAAATTACCACCACACTAGAAGGGGCTGCTGCATCACCGGATGGGAGGCCTCTGAGGCGACGGCAACGACGGGGGCAGCGGTAGCGGCACTGTCTCCGGCTTCTTCTCCACGTCGGGCTCCCGAGGGAAACCCCCGTCGTCGCCCCTGCGGAGCCTCTGGAGGAAGTTCCCCCCCTATATTGATGTCAGTCTTCTTCCTCCTCTCCAAGGTAGCCATCCTCGTCGTCCCAGACAACGGAGATGGCCTCGCTGCGGAGAAAATGATCCAGCACACTCCCGAAGCCCTCGTCGGCGTCGCCCTCCACCGGCTGCAACAGAGAGATGCAATGAAGAAATGCTTTCCAAGGGTGAAGTCAGCAGTGGGCTTCTACCCGACGGACTTTGAGGTGCCAGCTAGAAAATGGCTAACAAACACCTTGGCTATGCAACTCTTCCGGCTCTTAAGCCTTGGCAGGAAAGTTAACCATTGCTCTCTTTCTCTCTCTCCGATCCCGTCCTTCCTGCGTAGAGATTATCAGCATGAAATTGCTTCCTTGCTTGTTTAGGATTCTTCGGGATCATTGGGATCTACGGCATGAGATCCTCTAGAAGGCGATCAACGACGAGCTCCTCCAGAGGGGATCCGGCCGATTTGGTCCGGTGATCCGGGTCACCGTGAGAGTTTGATTGACGCACGCAGTGTGTGAGAGTTCAGTAAAGTCTGCATCTCTTCAAGCGTCACGCCTCTTACAGAAAGACCGAGCTCCGACAGCTGCCGCATGTCCAGATCTTTCAGACAGACTTGGATCCCATTAGGATCACTCACACAACCGCTAGCAGCGTCCTTCCATCCTCCTCTCAACTCATAGTAACTTCCAAACATGTTCAACGACTGCAGCGCTGAAAGTGAGGAGATCGCCTCGCGTGGGATACTCTTCAGTCTAGAGACAGGCTCCAAACTCAGTTGTCTCAGCTTCGTCAACCTCCCTATTTCCATGGGTAATGATTCCAGTGACGCAGTTCATCCAGTGACGCGATTCCCGGCGGAGAAGTCTGATTTCCGCCTCCGTCCATCTTTCCGGCGTCGGCACGTGCCTAAACTGCTCCCCTGAGTTCACCAAGAAGACATTCCCCTTCTCGTCGCCTTCGCCGCTGGTTATCCACAAGGCCATCTCACGGACCGTGTCATAGAACTTCGCCTGTCTTTGTTTGATGTTCCCGACTTCTAGCAGGCAGGTAGCTTTGAGACTGTTGATGACCAGGTGGCCGCGATTACGAGCTCTATGAATGGAGTCAGGATAGCGTCCTTTATCTAAAAGCCTCACGCCAGCCCAGTACTCAATGAGGTCGTTTATATCAATGTTGTGATCCTCTGGGAAGAGGACGCCGTAAAGAAGGCACTCCCTGGTGGATGTATCTTTCAATCTTTCAAAACTGAACTTGAGAAGAGTTTGAACCTCTTCCATGTCTCCGAGCTCTGCGGGTATGTTCTTTAGCGCCATGAGAGCCTCTTTCCACGCGCCAGGGGTGGTGGCATCCGCCATGGCCCGGCCTACGGTGATGAGAGTCATCGGCAGGCCTCCGCATTGTTTATAAACGGCTTCTGCGAGAGTTTTCAAAAATAGATCCCACTGGTCTTCTTCCCTTCCCAGCTTTTGGCAGAAGAGCGTCCATCCTGCTGCAAACTTTCAATGACCGTGTTGTGAAGACAATCTTGCTTCCGTGGCTGAGCGACGAGGAGGAGGAGGAGGAGGAGGAGGAGGAGAAGGGGACGCCCACCGTGCCGAGGTCTAGCGTCTCCCACAGGTCGTCCAGCAACAGAAGGAAGTTCCTCTGGGAGAGGACCCTGAGTAGGGTGCTGGCCCTGTTGGGTGGCTGCCTTGGAAGGGTCGGGCCCTGGCCCTCTCCGGGACCAGAGTAGCCCAACCGGGCAGCGATTTCCTCTTGAATCTTCAGGACATCAAGCTCCTTGGAGACGGTGACGCAAATAACCAGATTGAATCGGCCAGGTCCCCTATGCAAGAGCTCGTCGTTAATCGCCTTCAAGGGGGTGGTCTTCCCTATTCCCCCCATGCCGTATATCCCGATGATTCCCCCTGCGTCGTCCTCCAGGAGACGGAGGATCTCTGACAACGTGTCCTCCTTATATACCATCGAGATTGAAGAGCCCGGCAGCGGAACCACCGCGGGCGGCAGCGCCTGGATGAAGAGGGGGAGATTGTTCTTTTGGGTCTTCAGCCTCTGGACTTCTTTCAGACGGTCGGCAGCTTCACAACGGAGCCGTTAGGAGGATCGCAAAAAAGAGCCTTCAGATGATGCCTCCCTCAGCTCGAAGGAAACCTGGAAGTTAAAGTTCTTTGATGAGAGGGCAAGTAGCAACTGTAAGACCGAAGCATCATCTTCGTGTCAGGTTCTCCATATAGAGCTTATTATTCAATGGCTATTTGCTTTACCAATGGAATTGCCTAGATGTTACATAAGATGCATGAAAATCGTAATATTACTACTATGGGGAAAAATAGGAGCTAAACCATGGTCTCACTCTAATCCATTCCACCATTCTTGTTCAGCAAGGATCAGTCTGATGTTCTTGGCACTATGGTGCCCAAAGGGTAGCTTCTTCAGCTCTGGACATTCAGATACTCGGACCATCTCCAAGCAAGGAAACAACAAGGGATGCTTATATATGCTCCTCAAATTTGGCAGATGCAGTTGCCCGGAAATGTAGAGCAGCCGCAATTATACAAGCATAAACATTTATGTTGCATTTCTACATTGGTTGAAAATAAGGGGTAAACTTGGATCGGACGTCTTCATGCTCCCACTCTAATCCATTCCACCATTCTTGTTTACCGAAGATGCGTTGGATGTTCTTGGCAGTAGAGAGCCCAAAGGGCAGCTTCTTCAGCTCTCGACAGTAGATTACATGGACTTCCTCCAAGGAAGGGAGCAACAACGGATGCCTACATATGCTCCTCAAATTCGGAAGATCATGCAACGAAATCCGTTTTAATTTAGGGAAGAAAGAATCATTTTGATAATCCACGTTGTCCACCGTCACCTCTTCGACTACTATCACCTCTTCTATTCTCGAACATCCATATAGTTTTAAGGTCTCAATGCAGGGCAGTTGTCTGATCCACGTTATGTCCTCCAATGCTTCACATTTGGTAATCGACAATTTCCGAAGGTTTTTGAAGATGGCAGCTGTGGTGGGCCCCCTCACAAACACGTTGCCATCTTTCCAAGAGATCGTTGCTCGGGGAAGTGTACCCAATCCCAGTTCCTCCAGCTCCGAGAAATGGCTGGTGTTAAAGACGAGCTCTTCCAAGTCGGTAGAATCCGAAATCTCAAGCCTTCTCAGGGCTTTCATGAATCCCAAATCAACAGACGAGAGTCGAACCTGTTGAAGCTGTAGAAGTCTGATCGACGCAGACAGTCTCTGAGAGTTCAGTACAGCCTGCATGTCTTCATGCGTCATGCCTGTTATAGAAATACCGAGCTCCGTCAGGTTCCTCATGCCGTCCTCCAAGTCTTTCAGACAGAGTTGTCTCCCCTCATGGTCAATCACACCATCGCTACCACCGCCCTCCCCTCCTGCTCTAAGCTCATAGTTACTCCTAAAAATGTTCAACGACTGCAGCCTTTCAAGCGATGAGACCGCCTCGCGTGGGATACTCTTAAGAGTCCAGGTTCCCTCCAAACGCACATGTCTCAGCTTCGTCAAATTCCTGACCTCCATGGGTAATGATTCCAGGGGAGTCCATGATAGATTGAGATACCGCAGTTCTACCAGTGACCCGATTTCCGGGGGGAGAACCCTTATTTCCGTCGCCGACAGATCTAAAACACGAAGGCTCGGCATGAACTGGAAAAACCCACCGGGGATTTCCTCCAGATGAGGTCTGTTGTGGTTCAGCAACAGCGTCTGCAGATTGGGGCAACGAGGCTCCTCAGGGAGCAGGCGTATCTCATTATACATGAGAGATATCCTTCTCGCCTCCGTCCATCTTTCCGGCGTCGGCACGTGCCTCAACTGCTCCCCGGAGTTCACCAAGAAGACATTCCCTCTCTCGTCGCCTTCGCCGCTGGTTATCCACAACGCCATCTCCCGGACCGTGTCATGGAGCTTCACGTGTCTTCCTTTGTCCTCCCCGTCTTCTAGCAGGCAGGCAGCCTTGAGAGTGGTGATGACAACGAGGCCGCGGTACCGAGCTCTCTCAATGGGGTCGGGATGGCGTCCCCTATCTAAGAGCCCTTCGCCCACCCAGTAATCAATGAGCTCGCTTATAAGGATGTTGTGATCCTCTGAGAAGAGGGCGGAGTAGAGAAGGCACTCCTTGGCGGATGTATCTTTCAATCTGTCGAAACTGAACTCGAGAAGAATTAGAACCTCTTTCATGTCTCCGAGCTCCACGGGTATGCCCTTCAGCGCCATGAGAGCCTCTTTCCACTCGCCATGGGTGGTGGCATCCGCCATGGCACGGCCTACGGTGATGAGGGTGATCGGAAGGCCTCCGCATTTTTGACAAACGGCTTCTGCGAGAGACCTTATAGAGAGATCATTCCACTGGTCTTCTCCTTTTCCTATCTTTTGGCAGAAGAGCGTCCAAGAGCTCTTTCGATTTAAGAGGGGCACCTTAACTTTGCTCTGAGCATCCATATCGATGCACACTTTCAGTGAGCGTGTGGTGAAGACGATCTTGCTTCCGTTCCTGAGAGAGGAGAAGGGGACGCCTACAGCGCCGAGATCTAGTTTCTCCCACAGGTCGTCCAGTAGCAGAAGGAAATTCGTCTTGGAGAGGGCGCTCAGTAGGGTGTTGACCCTGTCGGTTGGATGCTCTGGGAGGGTCTGGCCCTGGCCTTTTCCGGGGCGAGAGTAGCCCAGCCGGACGGCGATGTCCTCTTGAACCTTCCGGACATCAAGCTCCTTGGAGACGGTGACCCAAATCACCAGATCGAAACCGCCGGATCCCCTCTGGAGGAACTCGTTGTTGATCGCCTTCAAGAGGGTCGTCTTCCCAATTCCTCCCAAGCCGTAGATCCCGATGACTGGAGCTTCATTGTCTTCCAGGAGGCTGCGGATCTCCGACAACGTCTTCTCCGCGTCCACGATGGAGGCCGAAGAGATCGGCTGCGGAACCACCGCGGGCGGCGGCGCCGCGATGAGTCGGGGGAGGAGATTGCCCCTCTGGGTCTTCAGCCTCTGGACTTCTTTCAGGCACTCGCCAGCTTCACAACCGAGCTTATAGGAGGATCGCCAAGAAGAGCCCTCAGGGGAGGCCCCCCTCTGCTGGAAGGAAACCCGGAAAACGGCCGCCCTGGACTCGATCTCCTGCACCTTCCTGAGCCAAGCCTGGACCTGGCGGGTCGGCCCCATGTCCTCAAGCTCCCCTTGCTTGATCTCCTCTTCTAGATCTGCTCTTACAAGGATCAGATCTGTTATCTCCCTGTCCAGCTCCTCCGCTCTGGAGTCCAGCAGAATGAGACTGACGATTCCACCGGCGGCCAGATTCCACACCCAGGAGACGGCTTCCCCCGTGCTGCTCTGCAGGAAATTTTGCATACCCTGCGATAACAGATCCCAGAAGAATCCCAGAAAAACAAGGAAGGGATTCATGCCGGCAATCCCTACCCAGTGAGGAAGGAAGGGATCGCGTAGAGCCGCACTGCTCACCGAACAGCTGGAAAGATAAGATAAGATGGATGAGGAGTCGTGGAGCTCAGAAGATGTAATTTTGTTTCTTGGGGTCACCGCATGGGATCCTCATCTGAATATCTTCCACCGTCTTCTGCCGATTCTCCCTCATTGACTTAAACTGTTCAGCCCCTGTGAGATCATTTTCTTCCGATCAAGTGTTGGCTTCTGGTATATTTGAACCATCAATCTCAGCCGTTCATTCAGGTGAAATCGGGCGATAGGGATCGATAGACCTTCGATGACGATGGGGATCGGGAGGAGAGAGGGGCTCCGGGCGGACCCCCTCACTCTCTCTCTCTCTATCTCTCTCGCTACAAGAGAAAGGCGTGGAGAGAGAGAAAGAGAGAGGAGGTGGTCTTCAACCTTCCTTCGTACTTCCAGAGGGTTAGGTTTCTGGGAAGTTCAAAAGAAATCGCCGGGGGGGGGGTGGTTTATTTCTTCCTCACATCTCTCTAGTCCGGCGCGAGATTTCTTTTGAACGAGGACTCCGACGATCTCTACCAACGACGTCAATGTGGGGGAGAATGATAGGTCTCCCTTTTCTCCGTGAGATGGATGGACATTCCTGTTTACCGGAGGGAGTCCCGTGGGTGCATCGGTCGGGGGCGTAGGGGGTAGCAGGAGGGAGGAGTAGACAGCGAACTAGTTGGGTGCGTACACAAGGCATCTGGGAAAGGGGTCGTACCCTGCCTGATACACGATAGGAGATACACGAGAGGGTAAAGAGGGAAAAGGACAATGGAACTGCGCAGAAGCCCGATAGTAGCCACTCCGAGGGGACAAACCTCCACACTCCACTAGGGGAATACTTGTTTGTCCCTCGCCATCCTCCAACCTTTGCGTGCCACGGATCCTTTGCGTCATGTGCGAGTCTTTCCTAGATACCTGTGGATGTGAAATGAGACGAAAGTGGCGGCGGCCTGCTTCCTTCAGGTCCTCCTGCGAGCATGTGATGGGCCCGCCAGTAGACCATCAGAGAACTTCCTCGAGACGCCCCGCAGGGGCGACGACGCGGGTTTCCCCGGGGAGGCGGAGGTGGAGAAGAAGCCGGAGACATTGCTGCCACCGCCGCCGCCGCCCCACCGTTGCCGTTACCGTTGCCGTTGCCTCAGAGGCCTCCTCTGCCGGTGATGCAGCAGCCTCCGCTCTTGCTGCCCCCTCCCCCGCTGCATCAGCAGCAGCCTTCGGTTTTCCCCGAGCGGCCGACGTTGATCCCTGGCATCGGTGGGGATCCTGCGGGCGAGAGAGACATCGATGGATCGAGGGGGTTTCCTGAGGTGGGATTCCAAGGGCCCAACGAGCCGGCAGCGGTGAGGTAGGCCAGCCTTCTGTAGGGCTCCCTCCAGTGCCCGGGCTGTATGGGTTACCAAACTTCCCTGGTGATGGTTTTCAGAGGCAACAAGCTGCAGCCGCGGTTGGTATTGATGCCAGTTTCCTGCTGATGCGGTTTATGGCGGTGTGGTGCTGGAGGAAAATTGGAATGCCAATCTCAATGGTGGAGGAAGCGGTTCAGTTGTCGCTGCCGGCGTTGGAGGAGCATCAGGTGGAACCATCTTGTTCGAAGTTGTCGCTACCTTCCCTCCCCACCTGCAGTGGCTTCTCATGTGAATCTGGCCTTCAATGGAAGGGGGATGCTGACAGGTGGTGTAGGAATGTGGTCAGCTCCTAATGCAGATGCATTGGGAGGTGAAGAACACACCAAAGACCGGGGCAGGGAGACGGACCGTGGGAGAAGCTGGAGATAGGCATCGGGGTGATGGGGGGGAAAGAGAAGTCCATAAATGTGTAAAAATACTTATAAAAAGCTGAAGATACTATGTAGCTATTGAACTAGTAATATATTTAACTACTAAGGTGATAATAGAGTAGATTTTTATTTTTTAAAAGCTCATGAGATTGCACTTGAACTAAATTTGGAAATAGAATCACTTGTACCTTTTTTGTCATCAACATAATCTGCCCAATCATTATCTAAATCACCATGCAAATTAAATTAAGAAATATGTTGATATAAATTTTCATAATTGATAGTCCTATAAATATATTGAAGTATTCTCTTTGTTGCTCCAAGATGATGAACTAATGGTGAATACATAAATCTTGAAATTATAATAACTAAAAGTCTAGTCGAGTATTCATAGTTAACTATCATTGCACCATATGTTTTGTATTCATGTTAGTGTTGAAAGAAAAGAAAAGAAAATTATATATTTGGTTTCCATGAAGATTAAGAATCTCTTTTGTTATTAGATATTTGTTGTAATAACAATGATTTAGTTATGCTAATGTTCTTCAACCATTTAAACCACATGTCATGGAATGTAAGATATGTTGTGTAGAGTTGCTAAAGACACTTCTGTGTATTTTGTGTTGATCTGCATAAGCCTTATGATGGATTACCATGGTGGAGTTGTCAATACATTTACTAGTATCACAAAGAGAGCCAACCTTGTCATATCTTCTCGAATTTTCTTCAAAGGATGTTGTCTCATTATCTATAATCTTTAGTCATGTGGAGTTTGAATGTGAGTAACTTACAATTCGAAAGTTCTTTATTAGTGGGTTGGTGAAAATTTATTATCCCCATTTCTTGTGTAACCCTTATTGAAATATTTTTTTATACACTATAATCTTTTAGTTTTATTAAAATGGAAAGAGAAGAGATTGTGGTGAGATACGTAGTCATTGGAAGGATAACTTTTTTTAAGGAATGTGACTAAAATTCAATAGCCTGCCAAAATTCTCTAAGACATGCCTCACTTTTATTTAACTCAACTTCATCATGTCACAGTTATTGGAGATACAAATGTTATACTTTTTATTATATTAGATGACAATTGTCGAAAATGATTCATTGACTCACTTCATTGATTTTTAAACTTCACAAAAATATCTAAATTAATTTTGATGATTACTATCGTAAAGTTCAAACTCTATTTTTTTTACTTTATACTTTTTTTTTTATTTATTGAATGGTAGTGATTTCAAGTTTTTCAAACCTTTTTTATTTAAATACAATTCTTTTGGTTTTTCTAAATTTTAATTTGATCAATTAAATCATATGTAATTACTTATGTAAGAATTATTAGATGGAACTATGTTATGTCAAAATCACATTTATCAAGGTGCTGATGTCATCTCAACATCCACACTTAAAATTTTCTATTTTTATTAAATTTTAAATATATTTTATATTCATCATTTAGTCTATAAATCATAAAAACTAGTATTCTTTGAAAAAAATGGAGGTATTATCAGATAGTATATTACATCTCTATGATCAACTTAAAAATTTATCAATATTTTAAAAACCTTTTATCTAATTATAATTTATTTATTTATTATAAAATATTTTAAACTGTATAATAATAATATTTTAAAATTGTATAAATATTAAATTTATGCTATTTATTATATAATAGTTAGGTCATATTAAAAAATATTCAGAAGTATAAACAATGGGATTTAATAATAGAAAAATTCATAAATCAATTATATGAGTCTTCGTAAAATATGCTTTAAGATAATATGGTACTTAGTTGATCAAATATGACCAAATATTATATTTCCAGAATAAATGGATGAAAACTGAGACATGCATTGGGCACTTCAAGCTAACAAGATGCTTAAAAATAAAAGATTTGAGAGTAGTTGAAGAGGTGATGGATGATGAGGATTTTGAAAATGAATATATTTTTTTTCCAAAGTAGGGTTTATTTATCTGCAAAGTGCACCGAATGTGAGGAGGAGCATGTGCATACATCTCTTGTTGTATCTTGTCGGTCGAGAGAGGTTGCGATGGATCCTGTTCGTAGGGTATCCACGGTGGTGGACTAGAGATGCGGATGTTGAATGGGCAGGTGTAGGAGTTAAAGTTCTTTGATGAGAGGGCAAGTAGCAACTGTAAGACCGAAGCATCATCTTCGTGTCATGTTCTCCACATAAAGCTTATTATTCATGCTTCCACTCTAATTGTTCCAACCATTCATTTTCACCAAAGATGCCTTTGATGTTCTTGGCAGTAGAGAGCCCAAAGGGCAGCTTCTTCAGCTCTGGGCAGCCTGATACTGTGATTCTCTCCAAGGAAGGAAACAATAACGGATGCCTACATATGCTCCTCAAATTCGGAAGATCATGCAACGCAATCCACTTTAATTTAGGGAAGAAGGAATCATTTTCATAATCCACGTTGTCCACCGTCACCTCTTCGACTACTATCACCTCTTCTATTCTCGAACATTCAGTTAGTGATAAGATCTCAATGCAGGGCAGTTGTCTGATCCAGGTTATGTCCTCCAATGCTTCACATTTGTTAATGAACAATCCCCGAAGGTTTTTGAAGATGGCAGCTGTGGTGGGCCCCCTCACAAACGCGTTGCCATCTTTCCAAGAGATCGTTGCTCGGGGAAGTGTACCCAATCCCAGTTCCTCCAGCTCCGAGAAATGGCTGGTGTTAAGGACCAGCTCTTCCAAGTCGGTAGAACTCCGAATGCTAAGCCATCTCAGGCCCTTCATAATCTCAAGAAAAGCAGACAACTCTAAAGACCGGATTCTCACCACATACAGATGTAGAAATCTGATCGACGCAGACAGTCTCTGAGAGTTCAGTACAGCCTGCATGTCTTCATGCGTCATCCATGTTATAGAAATACCGAGCTCCGTCAGCTGCCCCATGCCGTCCAAGTCTTTCAGACAGAGTTGTCTCCCCTCATGGTCAATCACACCATCGCTACCACCGCCCTCCCCTCCTGCTCTAAACTTACTCCTATAAATGTTCAACGACTGCAGCCTTTCAAGCGATGAGACCGCCTCGCGTGGGATACTCTTAAGATACCAGGTGTTCTCCAAATGCAGTTGTCTCAGCTTCGTCAAATTCCTGACCTCCATGGGTAATGATTCCAGGGGAGTCCTTGATAGATTGAGATACCGCAGTTCTAGCAGTGACCCGATTTCCGGGGGGAGAACCCTTATTCCTGTCCACGACAGATCTAAAACACGAAGGCTCGGCATGAACTGGAAAAACCCACCGGGGATTTCCTCCAGAAGATGCTCGTTGTTGTTCAGCAACAGCGTCTGCAGATTGGGGCAACGAGGCTCCTCAGGGAGCAGGCGTATCTCATTATACATGAGAGATATCCTTCTCGCCTCCGTCCATCTTTCCGGCGTCGGCACGTGCCTCAACTGCTCCCCGGAGTTCACCAAGAAGACATTCCCTCTCTCGTCGCCTTCGCCACTGGTTATCCACAACGCCATCTCGCGGACCGTGTCATGGAGCTTCACGAATGTTCCTTTGATGTCCCCGTCTTCTAGCAGGCAGGCAGCCTTGAGAGTGGTGATGACAACGAGGCCGCGGTTACCAGCTCTGTCAATGGAGTCGGGATAGCATCCCCTATCTAAGAGCCCTTCGCCCACCCAGTAATCAATGAGCTGAGATATCTTGATGTTGTGATCCTCTGGGAAGAGGGCGCAGTAGAGAAGGCACTCCTTGGCGGATGTATCTTTCAATCTGTCGAAACTGAACTGGAGAAGAATTAGAACCTCTTTCATGTCTCCGAGCTCCACGGGTATGCCCTTCAGCGCCATGAGAGCCTCTTTCCACTCGCCATGGGTGGTGGCATCCGCCATGGCCCGGCCTACGGTGATGAGGGTGATCGGAAGGCCTCCGCATTTTTGACAAACGGCTTCTGCGAGAGACCTTATAGAGCGATCATTCCACTGGTCTTCTTCCCTGCCCAGCTTTTGGCAGAAGAGCGTCCAAGAGCTCTTTCGATTTAAGAGGGGCACCTTAACTTTCCTCTTAGCGTCCATATCGTTGCACACTGTCACTGAGCGTGTGGTAAAGACTACCTTGCTTCCGTTCCTGAAAAAAGAGGAGGAGAAGGGGACGCCTATAGAACCGAGGTCTAGTTTCTCCCACACGTCGTCCAGCAGCAGAAGGAACTTCTTCTGGGAGAGGCCCATCAGCAGGGTCCTGGCCCGGTTCTCGCCGTGGAGAGGGCAGCCCAACTGGGTGGCAATTTGCTCTTGAACCTTCAGGATATCAGGTTCCTTGGAGACGGTTACCCAAATCACCAGATCGAAACGGCCGGATCCCCTCGGGAGGAACTCGTTGTTGATCGCCTTCAAGAGGGTCGTCTTCCCTATTCCTCCCAAGCCGTAGATCCCGATGACTGGAGCTTCATTGTCTTCCAGGAGGCTGCGGATCTCCGACAACGTCTTCTCCGCGCCCACGTTGTCGCAGAGTGAAGAGCTTGGCTGCGGAACCACCGCGGGCGGCGGCGCCGGGATGAGTTGGTCGAGGAGATTGTTCTTTTCGGTCTTCAGCCTCTGGACTTCTTTCAGGCACTCGGCAGCTTCACAACCGAGCCGATAAGAGGATCGTAAAGAGGAGCCCTCAGGGGAGGCCCCCCTCTGCTGGAAGGAAACGCGGAAATCGGCCTCCCTGGACTCGATCTCCTGCACCTTCCTGAGCCAATTCTTGGCCTGGGAGGTCGGCCCCATGTCCTCAAGCTCCCCTTGTTTGATATGCTCTTCTAGATCTTCTCTTAGACAGATCAGATCTGTCATCTCCCTGCCCAGCTCCTCCGCTCTGGAGTCCAGCAGAATGAGACTGACGATTCCACCGGCGGCCAGATTCCACACCCAGGAGACGGCTTCCCCCGTGCTGCTCTGCAGGAAATTTTGCATACCCTGCGATAACGGATCCCAGAAGAATCCCAGACAAACAAGGAAGGGATTCATGCCGGCAATCCCTACCCAGTGAGGAAGGAAGGGATCGCGTAGAGCCGCACTGCTCACCGAACAGCTGGAAAGATAAGATAAGATGGATGAGGAGTCGTGGAGCTCAGAAGATGTAATTTTGTTTCTTGGGGTCACCGAATGGGATCCTCATCTGAATATCTTCCACCGTCTTCTACCGTTTCTCCTTCATTGACCTAACTGTTCATATCATGTGCGATCATTTTCTTCCGACTAGTCTGCAATATCTTCTGCTTCATCTTTCGGGGTGCTGGTCCCGTCTATCTGACGCGCCTCCAAGTTACCTGATTCCTTCTTCAAGTATGAGACTCTTGAATATAATCTACCCTTTGCATTGACCAAGTTATCTAAAAGTATTAGTGACATTGCAAATTTTGGGTGCAACAATGTATGTGTGCTAAGATACATTGACTTTAAGTCATATGGTTTAGGCCTCAATAGAGCTCTTTCAAAAAAAAAATCCTTAACGAGGTCAACGTTATCTAATAATTGCTTTTTCTCTCCTTTCCCTAACAAGATAATTCTGATTAATTTTACTTGTAAGTACCCTATATTCCTTACAACTAAATTTAATAATTTTCACTTATTATGGATCATTTTTCTTACATGCCCAGTCACCCATGAGACAAATACGGTTCATCATTTGAGCATTAATATTGAGATCTGTGCTCTCTCAAGTTATTTCCTATGTGAAATCACTATGATAAATGTTCATATCTGATTTTTTCAATCTAATTTATTTTAAACATGATTTAATTAATTAAAAACACGTAAAATATTAAAACTCAATAGAAAATCAATTCACTTCCCCTATTGATATATAATTTACTTGTGCTCTCATCATCTATATGTATCAATACATTTTTATTAAATACTTGGGTTTATTAAATAATTTACTTCTGCTTCTTTTCTTTACTTAATAGTCTTCTATGCTTTGCATAAATATTATTAAAATTGAAATAATTATGAGGCTTGTATTAATTAAAGGTATTATATTAGAGTAAATTTCAGTAGTGGTTTTAGAGCATTACTGGTGGGAGAAAGGTAGAGATGTCTTTGGATAATGTTCGGTCAGATATAGCTACCCGACCCAGTTGCCAGTTCAATCACCGACGGTGAGGTGGTTCTTTGGGAGGCGATAAGTTGACGATCCACTGTTGACTTCTGGTATATTTGAACCATCCATCTCAGCCGTTCATTCTAGTGAAATCGGGAGATGGGGATCGATAGACCTTCGATGACGATGGGGATCGGGATGAGAGAGCGCCTCCGGCCGGTCCCCCTTACTCTCTCTCTCTCTCGCTACAAGAAAAAGGCGTGGAGAGAGAAAGAGAGAGGAGGTGGCCTTCAACCTTCCTTCCTACTTCCACAGGGTTAGGGTTTCAGGTGAGTTCAAAAGAAATTTCGAGATCGGGCGGGTCATTTCTTCCTCACATCTCTCTGGTCCGGCGCGAGATTCGCCATGGAGGACGACGCCGGCGAGGGCTTCGGTGGCGTGCCGGATCAGTTTCACCGCAGCGAGGCCATCTCCGCCGTCCAGGACGAGGACGCCTATCTTGGAGAGGAGGACGAGGACTACGACGACCTCTACAACGACGTCAATGTGGGGGAGAACTTCCTCCAGACGCTCCGCAGGGGCGATGACGCGGGTTTCCCCCGGGAGGCGGAGGTGGAGAAGAAGCCGGAGACATTGCTGCCACCGCCGCCGCCCCCACCGTTGCCGTTGCCTCAGAGGCCTCCTTCTCTGCCGGTGATGCAGCAGCCTCCGCTCTTGCCGCCCCCTCCCCCGCTGCAGCAGCAGCCGCCTTCGGTTTTCCCCGAGCGGCCGACGTTGATCCCTGGCATCGGCGGGGATCCTTCGGGTGAGAGAGGCATCGATGGATCGAGGGGGTTTCCTGAGGTGGGATTCCAAGGGCCCAACGAGCCGGCAGCGGTGAGGGCTCCGGCTTCCGGGTTTGTTGGTCCTCGTCCCGAGGTGGGCCAGCCTTCTGTACGCCCCCCTCCAGTGCCCGGGCAGTATGGGGTACCAAACTTCCCTGGTGATGGCTTTCAGAGGCAACAAGCTGCTGCAGCTGTTGGTATTGGTGCCAGTCCTGCTGGTGCCGTTTCTGGTGGTGGTGCTGGAGGAAATTATGGTGTCAATCTGAATGGTGGAACCGGTGTAGTTGTCGCTGGCGGCGTTGGTGGGGCATCAGGTGGAACCATCCTGTTCGTAGGGGATCTCCATTGGTGGACTACCGATGCGGATCTTGAATCGGAGCTCTGCAAGTATGGGCAGGTGAAGGAGTTAAAGTTCTTTGATGAGAGGGCAAGTGGTAAATCTAAGGGCTACTGTCAGGTTGAGTTCTTCGACCCAATGGCTGCAGCAGCTTGCAAGGAAGGGATGAATGGGCATATGTTTAATGGCAGGGCTTGTGTCGTGGCCTTTGCGTCACCAAACACTGTTCGTCGGATGGGAGAGGCGCAAGTGAGTAAGAGCCAGGCAATGACACAGGCACAGACACCTCCATCTCAGGGTAGGAGCAGAGGAGGCGGGGGAATCGCTGCTGGAGGGAACCATGGAAGGGGTGGTGGGGGTGGAACTGGTAGTGGTGGTTGGGGAAGGGGGGGAGGAGGAATGGGAGGAAGGGGTCAGGTTGGTGGCATGAGAAATAGGATGGGGGCGGCAGGAGGAAGGGGCATAATGGGAAACGGTGGACTTGTCACACCGCCTCCACCACCGGTACTGCATCCTGGCGCAATGCTGGGTCAGGGTTTCGATCCTACTGGAGCTTATGGAGCGGCAATGGGGAGAATGGCTGGTGCATATGCTGGTTTTCCAGGTGGGCCTGGGGGTCCTCCTTTTCCTGGCATGCTTCCTTCCTTCCCTCCTGTAGTTGCTCCTCATGTGAATCCGGCTTTCTTTGGAAGGGGGATGCCGACAGGTGGTGTAGGAATGTGGTCAGATCCCAATGCGGCTGCATGGGGAGGTGAAGAACAGTCAAGCTATGGAGAGGATGCAGTATCAGACCAGCAGTATGGAGAAGTTAGCCATGGAAAAGATAGAGTTTCAGAGAGGAGACATCGAGATGACAGGGAGAAAGATGAAGGTGCTGGGAATGAATGGCCTGAAAGAAGGCACCATGATGAGAGGGATGCTGGCCGAGAAAGAGATAGAGACAGGGACAGGGAAAGAGACCGTGAAAGAGAGAGAGAAAGGGAAAGGGACAGAGACAGAGATAGGCACCGAGAAGACAGAGACAGGCATGGAGATCATCATAGGCATCGAGATGATGAGTGGGAGAGAAGTAGGTCATCAAGGACTAGGAGCAGATCTAGGGAGCATGATCATTCAAAGAGGCGGCGTGTTTCTCCTCGGTGACACATAACACTTTCATGGGTATGGACCAGTGGGATGATTTAGTTGGTCGATCAACATGTTTCTGGTTTTGCTTGCTTCAGGATTCTGTATCAATTTTGACTTCATTGCTATCCAAGTATCTCTTAACAGACAGGCAGTTGTCTGTTCGTAGCTATTAATTTGATGAAGTAAGTCCAGAGCCATGTTTTAATTTTTCTTCTATTTGTATTCAGATGCTCAACGAATTTGATTATTTCTCTGTGTAATCGATCCTCTCTATGCATGATCGCTAGTACATATATTGTAGGTTTTTTTCCCTTACATTACTAGACAGATTAATCTCGTAACGAAAATTCTGTATGCGATCATAGCATTATCGTATCGATTTATTATCAATTGGTATACTTGATCCAAAGATAAGTTTTTATGGCTTGTGCTGTTAACGAAATTATTTGCAAGTCCAAGAAGAATAACCAGGGGAAAGGGGTAGAGGAAAAGAGGTTACTAAGTTTTCATTGTACAACAAATTGCCATGCAGTCTGCTAATCTTAGTGTGCCATGAATTCACTCTGTAGGGCATTCATCTTGCCTTTTATCATTATGTCAAGTTATGAACTCACAGTATCTTGATGACTTTAAATGACTCCACATGACTTGTGACAGAATTTTGATTTATTTGTCAAATATGGGGTTGGTAGATCACAATTACGTTTATATTTTCATGGATTTTTAGAAAGGACACTGAATGTGCTTTGTATGTGGAAAACAATAACTGTATTGTGATTAACATGACTTTGTACTTGAGGTTTTGCACAGACCAAAACTGTCATTTGTATGAATCATATAAATTATATGATTAATAAATATTTTCAAACATAAGGACATGTATAAGTCCATTTTCTACCACACCCTCATGCAGTTTTAGTACGGACATTTCGGGTTATCATTCATTTCTGTAGTAACTGTCCAGCAGCCTGGGCCATTCGTGCACATCTAGTCAAACGAGACAGAAACTCCCTGGTCCATGCCCACTCATGAGAAGGGTGTTTAAACATTGCTTGGCTTCATGGAGTTAAGCATGAAGTTAAACATTCCATGAAATCTATGAATGGTAAATAGAAATGACGAGAAGAGTCAACGGTGGCACAAGGAATTTAAAGGAATTGGAAGAGGACCGTTAAGAGTCTCATAAGAAATTGCGGGAAAGTAGATCATCTCTCAAATGGACGAAGGCCGTGTTCTCCATTATGCCAATCTACAATCTACATAAATACAAGATCCCAAAGACCAGGTCAAAGATATCAGAAGGGATACTAGGTAAGTTTTGTTGCACCAGCGTGAAGGGGTGTGGTCGGAAGTCATTAAAGGCACTAAAGGAGAACTAATTGAGGGGAATGCAATTTGATCATGCGGGGAGATCTCTTGCAGGCATTAAATGCCCGGAAGATCTTTACATATATGTGTTTAGCCTAGGGCAAAGCTATGCCTTAGCTTGAAAAGGTAAGGCTTTTGATTTGCGGTTTCACTATCTCTTTCCAGCAGCCTACAATGCTAGCATCAACTAGGTAGAGGTCTTTGATGATGGGGCAGTGTGACAAGGTTGGTATGCAACATTTAGAATTAGAGATTTGACTACTCAAGGATCTATTATGTCCCACTTACATTAAGATTATCATCCATGATGTGTTATACACTGGGCTTTCGAGATTAGAGGGGGAAGATTGTCAGTCAACCTTTCACGTTATTGCAGATACAGGCATTTAGACATTTGAGTTTCTAAATCAACATACCTTTTGAAGTGGAGGTATTGGGAGGAGGAAATTCTTGGTTAAGAGAGTTTATGAGATTATTGTAGATGAGTCATTAGCATTAAAAACTTTCTTATCATGACGTTGGAAAGCCCATCTATTGACGAGGTGCGTTTTATACAGGAGACTGCTCATGCGTGACCAGTTATTCTCACTGTCTGAAAAAAATGCCATTGAAGAGTTATTGTCAAGGTTGTACCGACATTGGATTCTCAAAGGGCATTGCAAGTGTTCTCCACGGAGCTCTTGGGCCTATATGGAAGGAGGCTAACCTGAATATGTTTCGAAGACAGTTTTAGGTGCATGGGTGTTTAATTTCATATATGACAGGTGAAGAATTGATGACACTTTTTGAATGGAGGAAAATTTTCACATTTGGGTGCTCTGGCTTTGAAGTAGATCTTGCTGTCTTGGTATCTCTACAATTCTTCTTTTTGTATATAAAAGTTCTTGCAGAACACAGGGTTATATATCTCATCCTGTTTCTATGTTTAACGAAGGATGTGGCAGCACCCCCACTTTCTGCGGAAAAATAAGGTGGGAAACTCCTTCAGGGATTTCATGTTGCTAGATCCATGGAAGGAGATAATCTGACGATACAGAATGATCTGTGTTTAACAGTTCTTGAGGGTCGGGTGGAATGAGTTTTATTAGTTGAACCGCTTTAGTAGTTAGATGGTTGTGGTGAAAACTAGTCTGGACAAAGTCAGAGGAGATGGTTCCATTTTCCAATGTCTACAGTTCTGGTATTTATCTTGTTTCTTAATGACTTTGATTGAAGAATAGCTCGTGTGGTCCTGATTGTTCCTCAATAAGCCCATTATTTTGGAAGCATAGGAAACAGCTGGAAATGGGTGAGAGTTGTTGAAGATTGCTCACTTTTTGGAGAGTTGATGAGTAACTTGTATTCACTACCATTTAGATCCTGCAAAGCAAGTTTGTTCTAGACTTTTTGGAAGGTTTACAGTATCCAAGGAGCATGCGTAGATGAAGGATTGGATGGTATGTTATGGTGTTAGCTTTTTCTGGGATTTTAGTTGGGGTTGTGGGATTTTGGAAACATATGGAACACCTGGAGCTTCGCTGATGAATGGTGAGGATACCAGAATTTAAGTAAATCAATACCTCTTTCTGCACTATGAGCAATCTTTAGGAGGTCCCATTTTATTAATGTTTGATGAACTTCTTGATCCTGGTGGCTTGTGGAAGATTCTGAGAGTTTTTATTGTCTTGTCTGTGCTCCTCAATTTTTCTTATTTGGTTAATTCCTTTACTGAAAAATTTACTCAACTGGATGTCATTCTTTACCTCTGTCCGTTTGAATGGCCTTTTCAATGCATCCTTTCTTTTCATTTTTATTTTTTTTTCCCTTTTGAAAAGTTTTTTATTTTGCATTGTAGGGATTCATATACAAATTCATGTGTTTATTTTAGAGACTATTGATAGTCCTGGGAATGATAGTTTGAATGGAAAAGTGTAGTTTTCTGATTGCGCAGCTTCATTAAACGCCTGCTCACAGATGTGCTCTAACGACTCTTTTTTTGCATTCATGCAGCTCAGAGAGGCAGTCGAAGTCAAACCTGTCATGCAGTTTCCTGGTCCACCCTTCCATGCCGGCATTAGCTTTGTTTCAAGTTTCGAACAAATTAAGGACGACTCTTATGCAAAGAGCGGTTTATAGAACTCTATGGACGGCTTTCCACAGCCATGAAGTGCCCTATCTGCTTTCTGTTTGTAAACTTCTGTGACTCTAGGTATTTATGCATGTGATCTTTGTATGTTCTAGGAGTTTATAGTTGGCTCTCCCTCTGTACGAAGAAGCTCATTTGGTTTTCTCTTTTTGTTTACTTTTTGTTAGCCTTCCCTGTGGCACGGGAGTTCAGCGTGTGATGTTATAGATTCCTTACCCAATGCCACCTTAGGAGCCTTCTAACCATCACTAAATGAGAGATGATGATGACGACCAACTCGGAAATGGGTCACACACCACCTGTACATTCTTCTTGTATTCTCGTATGCCCATCAACAGCCACTGGTTGTAGTCTGTTTAGTCCAAACGTCCTGTGGTCTCTATGTTGCTCTACTGATTTCATTTCCTCAGTGGCGTTAATGGAGATGTTGGGCACTTAGGGTTTTCATCTGTACATATCCTTTTTTTTTGTCTTACTGTTGTAATGGAACATCCCCCCTGTTGCCATTTTCTTCTCTGAAGGAAGCGAGTGTTGTGGCATTGATGGAAAACTGTGGGGCACTTGGGGTTTCCATCTGTACATATGTGTCTTGACTCTTGTACTGGGAATCCCCCCCCCCCTCCCCCCTCTCTCCTCTGTTGCCATTTTTCTCTGAATGAAGCAAGTGTTGCGGCATTGATGGAAACTGTGGGTGCTTGGGGTTCTCATCTGTACATATCCTTTTATGTGTCTTTACTCTTGTACTGGGGAAACCCTCCTATTGCCATTTTTCTCTGAATGAAGCAAGAGTTGTGACATTGATGGAAACTGTGGGTACTTGGGGTTCTCATCTGTACATACCCTTTTATGTGTCTTCACTCTTGTACTGGGGAAATCCTCCAATTGCCATTTTTTTTCTGAATAAAGCGAGAGTTGTGGCATCAATGGAAACTCTGGCGCTTAGGGTTTTCATCTGTACATATCCTTTTATGTGTCTTTACTCTTGCACTGGCGAAACCCTCTTAATGCCATTTTTTTTTTAATAACGCGAGTGCTGTGGCATTGATGGAAACTTTGGGCGCTTAGGGTTTTCATCTGCACATGTCCTTTTTTATGTCTTACTCTTGTATTGGGGAAACCCTCCTATTCCCATTTTTTTCTGAATAAAGCGAGTGTTATGGCATTAATGGAGAATTCACTAGGGCCACTTTGCGTTTTCATCTGCACATATCCTTTTCTGTGTCTTTACTCTTATACTGGGGAAACCCAACCTCCTATTTCCATTTTTTTTCTGAATGAAGCAAGTCTTGTGTCATTGATGGAAACTGTGGGCTCTTAGGGGATTCAACTGCACATATCCTTTTTAATATCATACTCTTGTGTTGGGAAAATCCTCCTATTGCCATTTTCCTCAAGGAACATGTTAAATAAAGCAAGCACTGTGGTTTATATTAGATTGCTGTTCTTGTCTCCTCCGAGACATCAATGGAACCTGTCCATTGATTGATGTCTCCTTCAATCGGCCTGATACCACACGCTCTTGTACAAGTAAATGAACCAAAGTTTCCTCGAGGAAATAGACCAATATAATCTTTTTCCCATAGAAGTCTCTGTATTACCAAGTATTTAGTTTCCCTTTCTGATGGGTTGTTAGCTTGCGTGAATGTCAATCGATTACATGGGTGTTGTGAGTGATGGACGATTATAGAGCCCACCTGGATTCCCCTCACTTGGAGCTTGTCTACTCAAGTTAAAGGAAAAATAGGACATCATTCTACATAAGGAAATATACCCATAAGCAATCCACTTAGGGTTCTTCATTTTTTTGCTGGGCATGAAAGGTTTCCCCAGGCCCAGAACCCTATCTCAGTCTCGCTTATTCTCTTCTGGGTTGGCTTTTAAACAAACCGTAGAAAGAAGGCAGCTCCGATCTTGACCAGTCCAAGCTCTACGACGTCTGCCTTCTAGTCCTGTTCTGAGGGTCAACTCCAACCCCCGTGTCCATCTCCTGAAGCTGTCCTCGTTGGGGGCGAGCCCTAACGACGGCTCCCATCTTCTGGGAACTATTTTTTAGGCCTGGCTGAGAGGCGGTGATGAAGAACCTCCCGTTTTCTTGGAGGAAGAAAAGAGGGTCCGGAGCAGTTTAGGGTTTGGTTGGTTGATGGTAATAATCAGAAGGGGGAGGGTGAGATGAAGAAACTGCTAGGGTTTCAGCGATGGCGGCGTGCATGAGGGAGATGGGCTGTGAGGGCATTAGGGTTTGGTGGTTAGACCTAGAGATTGCCCTCTTCTTGTTCTACTTTGTCTACCATCATTTAGCTAACTTCATTCCACTGATTCTGATGAAAAGTGACGTCATAAATCATGAAACATCTTGACAATAGGCGATTAAAAGCAATCCTCTTAGCTTTAGGGATGCAATCACTCACAAATGGCTTGCCAAACTCCAACCAAACCAACCACAGGCCATCCTCCCCTGGTGAAGCCGCTCACCATATGAGTCATTGATGCAGCCCCATCCAGTGAGATGGAAGAACACAAAAAAAATAAATAATAAATAAAAATAGAGATTTAATATATATAAAAATAAAACCACTCATGCACAAAAAGCTAATCTTTATTTTACGCTGTTATGACAGAAATTATCTGAATAAATATCTCCATTTTCTGGCGTATTTTTTTATTCCAAGTTTCGAAAACATCGATAAATAATTTCAGGTATTTTTTGACACAAAAAAGTAGTTCCTTTTCTTAGGAACATAATACCCCACTTTCTGTTCTCTAAGAGATATTTGATTGGTAGAAATCTTTATGGGGCCATACACCGTTGACAAAGATGATTATTAATTTTTTTACCCCTCGGAGGTTCCAAGGCCCTTCTTTCTAATTATCCATGCAGTCAATTCTTGTGAAGTCCAAGAATTATAGAACTCGTCTTGTAGATTTGATGTACAATTTCCTCCCCAGCAACCGCCAGCTCATTTCCATCCTTTGACGGTGGAATGTACTCTTTTGCATTCATAAAAAATATGCTATTAATAGAAATGACCTGAGTAATCTCGGAGTTTTTCTCCCTTGCTGGCTACCACCAATCCCGTTGACTAAGTATCCATGCGAGGAGGCATATGGGATGGCGGGGGAGGGAGGGGAGGAGAAGCCACGTGGACTTATCTAAAGCCTGGTGCAAGAGCAGAAAAACGAAGAACAATAAAAATAGATATTGACCTCATCACATTGAGTTCTTCAGACTGCAGAAAAGGTAGGGATTTCGAGGAAGAACTAGATAACAGCAAAGCAGCCAGAATTCTATTTATACCAACAAGGGGAGCTGTCGCCTTCATACCTATTCGACACATCAGCACCATCGGCCGTTGACTGCCAGCCGTTGACATCTTTCGACCCAAGCTGCTGGTCCCCCAAGCAGCAGCCATCAAGGACGGGTCCTCAAGCTGCATGTTCTTGTCACACCTTCAGAAACCCAAAGTCGTGGAAGAGTCCCTGCAGGGCGGGAGCAGATTGGGGGCATCAGGGAGGGGAATGAAGGCAAGAGATGGGGGAAGGCGATTCGTTGACTTTGCCCATTGTATGATTATCTGACCATAAAGTAGAGGGATTGAGACCATAACAACTACGTTGACCAAGGGCTGGAGAAAGTGCCCATCACTGTTTCCCCTTGGAGAAAGAGTCAAGAATCATGGGTTGTCAAAGAAGTTCTTGAAATATCCCATTATACCAGTCAAATGGGTCTGGAGTGGAGAATAACAGATAAAAATCTGATCCATAAGAGGAAACACCAAAACATTAGGAAAATGAGACAACAAGCATTTGATCGGATGATGTTAATGTGATAGTGACAGAACTCCCAGGAATAGGGAAACCAGAAATAGAAATCCAGCTAGAAATAGAACTCACAGAAAAGTCAACTAGGAATTCAGGAGATATGACAGGGAAAGAGAAATGGGAGGGGAAGGGTTCCACAGAAATCGAGAGCTCTCCCCAACTCTCCTAGTTTGACCTTGCAAAAAAAGTCCCCACAGTGAGGGCCCTCTAGGACCTTACATTGTCCTCCTTACTGGGCCTCTCGAGGCCTAAGTAACCCGGGCAGTGGGCCTGGTAATGGGGCTCACAATGTCGATCCTAGCAGGTAGCAAAGAATAGAAATTCAACGTAGTTCAACAGAAAAATGCCCCTTGAAACTATAAACATGACTTGCGAGCTATGGAGCTGAGCGCGGACCAGGAGCACAGCAAGGGAGCACGCAAGCATAAAACGCAAGCAGTTGAATTATGTGTCATTAATAGTATTCTCCTCTCTTCCTATCCCAACTTAAAACACACAAAAGCAGTTGCAGTTGTTCCTCGGAAGAATGTTCATCTAAGCAAAATATATCTATTCAGAGAGGATTGAAGAGCAGAAATAGTAAAACTTGAAATTATAAACTCATGAAAACGAAACATTTGGGTTTTTTTCTTAAAAAAATGGCTTCCTCTGGTCTAGACTCGGCCCCATGAAGATTTTTCAGGGACAATTTCCCACTTTCTTCTCACTCAAATCCCTTCGTCAAACCGTATAAACGAACCATGAATAACAAACCTTTATGTTTGCTATATGTTATTTCTACAGCATGGCTAGTAAATGAAGTTTACAAACCTTGGCATCACTGATCGCATAAGCCACGCAGTAGTGCTCCTGAAGGAAGGGACAAATATGCAAAAGTGTCATAGTCAACATAAATAATAGTGCACTAGCATTTAAATTTATTGAAAAAGCGAGAAAAATGATTCGCATGATTGAAGCAACATTTATATCATCAGATGAGAACGGAAGATCAAAGCCCAATATGTTACAGGGAGAGAAGAAGGCTCTAAGTGTTGGTTAAAAGAGACTAATGGAGACTTCAGGTTACTCGATGGAATTTAATATTATTTCTCTTAATCACAATTTATTTCTAATTCACAAGTCACAATTCAAAAAAAAAAAAAAACAACAACAACAGTGCTGGGTTTGAACAGAGTCCTTGTAGGTATGGAGGCAAAAGAATTCATGAGAAAACAAAAGTACTGGGTTTAAACCAGCAGGAATCCAATCCTCTTATTGACTTGCCTGCATCATGTGCCACTCTTCAAACTCGTCGAACAATTCAAGCCGTTCAATCCTGCAGGATCAAAATGCGTAAATCTCATCTTCTTCTAAAAAATAAATCAATCAAACACAATAGAAAGTGGCACCACCTTCGTCTATCCTGAGCTTCAATGAATTCACTATAAACCTTCAGCATATCCCAAGCAACAGCTCTCTGGGATAAGTAGAGTAGGAAAAGTAGTCATAAAAGACAGAAAACAAGCATGGCCCCTAGAGAAAAGAATCACAAAAAAAAGTTTAACTAGGGGACCCGTATTCCTTTTATCCCTCACTTCAGTCCACAATTACCGGAAATATTACGATTCAATACCTTTTAAGCATGTTTCCAACAAAACTACATCAAAAGAATAAGATAGGGAATTACATTACGTTCACATAACCGAATGTTGAGATAGAGAGAGAGAGAGAGATAGAGAGAGATGGAAAGAGAGAGAGAGAGATGGTTTTCCTGCAAAAGCACAGCAGATAAAACAAGCATACCTGCCAACCCTGATCAACAAATAATTGTTCTTTAGCTGCTAAGGTTGGTGTCTCATGTATACCAAGTAGAGCACATCCTCGACTCTGAAAAGCAGACCACATTAAAAACATGAGTTATGCAATCTCCATCATAAGTATTTTGCACAGGCTTTATGACTTCTCTTAGACTAACCGCTAGTTATTTAAATGACAACAATTGATGCAGCCAACAAGTAACCGGGTGCGCTTAGGAGTTGGGCTGCTTATCCTAGTGAATAGGACCATAATGACTGGTACAGTCCATATTTTCGATTATGGAGCTTGTATGTAGGCATGGCACATCCAGTTCTGCCTCCAACACCATTACTCTTTCGCCTTTTAGGGAAGGTGATGCCCAGGGTACATTGGGTGAGACGAATTAGAAAATAATCGGTTCAAGAAAATCCTAGCGGAGAGTCCCTCCGTTTACCTCACCACTGCCACATCAGCTTCCTCTCCACTTCTGCCTTCCCACCATTGTCTAGCAACATCACAATAGTCTGCACCAGGACATGCTCAGGAGCTGCTGGCCATTTCCAGCTAACCCCATTCCTCCATTCTGCTTCTCTCATTCTAATATATCCAGCCTGCTCAGCCATGCCTGGCAACTCTCTCAGGAAGCACCAGTGGCAGACACGTAATGCCCTGCTGCTCCATCACCTTAGCTTCCCTGAGTTTGCCCAATGTCTCTGTTTCCAACCCATCACTGACCTGGAATAATGTCCGCTAGCAGAGAACAATAATCCGGCTCTCCTATGGGTCCCATCCGTCACCCGGCTCTTCCCACATCCCATTTCCATATTTTCCAGTCCTTTTCTCCCTGCTTGGTTTTCAACGAACCTAGCCCCATCCAATCAGTTCCAAAACTTTGGGTCCACCGACCATGAGTTGCATCAATAGTGTCCAGGCCAAAGACGGAGTCAGCAGCAAGGATTTGCTCGAGGAATTACTGCAATTTATCGTATTTTGTTTTGGAGTGATTGATCCTGAGTCCACTTTCCACAACTTTTGAACGTATATTATAGTTACATCTAATTCATCATTTAAAAGAGCTTCACTATAAATATTTTTACAACAATGATTTTAAAACAACCAATCAATTATACTCTTCCAGACCTCTCTTAAAAATCGCTCAATACCTTACACAGCATTACGAAACTAATGTGCCGATTATACCCAGTACCTTAAGCCGTGCATAGGATACAGTGAAAGGCACTGCCAACACATATATCCCGTATATAAAGATTGCGGGTAAGGCCATTGTTCCATTTATATCGTATACATATTGATAAATACAAATAAAAAATCCATGAATAATGATGCCCGAGCCCAAGATATTTCATGATATCATTCGGAGTACTTTTTCACAGGAACGCAAAAAAATTATATAGAAAATAAATGAAAATACCTTTAAAGTATTTTGTTAGTATATACATACATGCATTTTGGATTAAATTTTGGCAGAATGATGGCCCCAAGAATTCACCGTGCCAGCAAACTGGAAAAACGCGTGGATATAGATTTCAGTCACGTCTATCATAGGAGCAGGTTGCACAGGTTATCCTAGCATTCTACTAGACAGCACCATGAAAAGCAAAAGGTGAGTCAAGACAAACAAATCGCGTAAAACAATTACAAGAGAAACTCTGCAAGCATAAAAAACAAGGTAAGTGCGTATGTTTTTTGAACATCACAGCATTCAGCAATGAATGGATTACCTCTAAGTTTTTCATCATTTGCTCTCCAAAGGCATCATCAGGGAGGATCTGGGAGGTAGACAATAAGTGAGATAAAGCTTTCATATTATCTGTAAATAAGTTCACCTATCAAGAAGAAATCGTAGGACAGGGAGGGGAGCCTAGTCTCTTAGGAAAGAACCTGCTCGTATAAGAAAAAGATTGCAGTCGAGAATGTTTTTGCAGTCCAGCCAACAATAGCCTTGATTGAATCTGGATCCAAGTATATGAGAACGCACTCTGCAATTATAAATGTTGGCAAGCTGACAACAACATCAGAAGCAGTTTTTATTATTACCCGGCCTAGAAATTGAGCATCCTAGTGAAGAAAGCATAAAAAAAAAATGCATCACCGGGCGCTAAAGATATGAAGTTCAAAGTAAATATCCTCACAAAAAACAAAGCAAAAGATTATTTGTAAAGACAATCACATCGACAAACAATTGCTTACATGATAAATATTTTATAATATCCATATTATGAAGAATACAGGTCAGTATCCACTTGTTGCTACAATGTATTTCCCTCTTCCTGCATCACCACATTTGAGAACAGCATTCAGCTTGGAAAACCAAGACCACAAAGAAATCGGGTTTCCCACCACATCCCCTCTTCGCAATTATGCTTTGGTACATTTCAACGGTATGCAGATCAGAGATTACATCAAAGCAAGATGTTGTTGATGAGGTCTATAGAAATATGAGGAAGACGAAAGTGGCGACAGGTACTCATCACTGGTTCCTTTGTCTGCAGAAACTGAGCTTCTCACAACTTCCCCTCAAAGAAGATTCTTTGTTATGACTCTACTACATGTGGGTAAGGGTTATGTCGAGACAATGATCTTCACGGGGTCCAAACAAGTACGAGGAAAGTGAAAGGAATGCAGTAGATAGATAGTCATCGACACTTGAAAGAGAAAGCAGCATATATCTTACATTGTTATCATTAGCATCTGATAAGGCTTCCCAGTCCTTAATCATTTTGAACTAAACACATCCATCGCAATTGAATCCCTAAACCCTAATTACCAAACCTCAATACCCTCAAATATAGGAACATGACAATCTAAAGGAAAATGATAGAAATGAAGTGACACTAAATCAACACAAAGAGAGAAAAAAATGCGATCAAGCTTCCATGCCATCCGCATGGTCAATATACCATGCAGCCAGCACCTCCAATGAGATATCTTAAGGAGAAATCAAAGGATGCACCATAAATTGATGACAATTGAATATCAGAAATGCATCAATGACACGGATTTCTTGGAATTCATAAATTTGCTGTATGTGCAACATGTAAGAATTCTATTTTGTAAATTCAACTTTAATACTATTAAGATGTACATGACGCATAGTGAAGATGAATTTGCAGTTACTCAGATAAAAGTTATTCATACACAACATGCCTCCACGGTGGAGAAGAGTTAGCGACACTAAAGTAAATATGTATCAACCCAGTGCACATATATCGATAAAACATATCACATCCTACGTCCCATTTAGAGAATAGTTCTAATATGCATTTTAACCGAAAAAATGGGATACATGTAGTGCATAGACCGGAGAAGACATAACAAGAAGAACATTCAATTTCTTCAATAATGATATTGGAATGTGATGATTACCTTTTTTTCAAATTGTTCACACAGAACGAATAAGCACATTATTTATCAGGTATGAATGTTGTTCTGTAAATATTTAAGCTCTAAAGAAACATTTTGATATGGTTAAAAATTATTTTTTTACCTGGGATCCAACTGGGCCAAACTAATAACATCATCCAGCTTTTGGATGTCACGCAGATCAATAGGAAGCAACTTGTAATGATCACTTAGCACTTCGCCTCTCTCTGTCAATCAAATACTTAAAAAGTATGTAAGCACCAGCTTAAAATCAATCAATCAACACATTAGCATTCAAAGCTTCCAGATATCCTAACAACCACCCAGTGATAAGGTCATCACATAAGGATTTCTTGCACTCAAGGATAGAGGGGAAAAAAATGTATGGTGCCCTACCACTTCTTTTAAAGAACAGGAGTGAATGTAGCAGAACATGCATGTGTTTTGTTAGATACAAGCCATTAAGAGAAAAAAGAATAAACATCAAATAGGTCATTAAAGACTAGGATACCACCCATTTGGGGCATGGTTTGTAAAAAATTTAGAAATTCTTAGTTGTACCTGTGGAGAATACTTATTCCTGATAAAGGGGAACCGCACAATGATTAAATCAGCAGACACAATCTATTACCGAATTGCAAACAAGATAAACCGCAAACGAATTGTTTAGATACTCAAATTCGAAAAAGTTCCTACAAAAAATCAAAATCCTCACCAAAACGATTAAACATAAGTGCATCCCTTGCTAGAAAGCTGCATGTGAAGTACCCACTCGTAAAATTTGTCCGACATGTGTTACAAGAATAGATGAAAAACCTCAATTTTCAGGGTACTAAGATTGTTCATCCAACTTTTCATTGTGATTGATCCACGACTATATAACAATACCCAAGTCAACCTATTGTCTCCATATCTTTCTGCTTCTCACTGAATGATTGGTGAATCCTTGGTTTCCAATTTTCCTATCAGGTAAGTATAAACGATAATGCTGCCAATCTTTCTCTTGACACTTATCACTCTGGCAACCCCAATATTTTCAACATCGATCAGAAGACAACATCAGTGCTCAACCTAATGCAGCATCAACATCAATGTTCATAGCCAATTGATACATCAATGGCTAAGAAGGAGGATTCGCAGTGTGGCAGACAGAAGTGCATTGAAATAAGTTATTACCAACTAAAATCAGAATATTCCAATGGAATGTTGCCTCAAATAAACTGCCAACTTGTGGATGCAGTCTTTCAAGAGTCATTCTACAAACGATTTTTTGTCTTTTTTCTTAAATGTAAGTCACTGAATCACCATAAAAAATAGTTTTCAGATCCATTGGCATGCAGTAGGTGGGTAGAATTGAGAGCAGACACGATCCTCCGCAATCAGATCAGAGTTGATGGAAATTCGTTAAAAGCCATTATGATGGGGAAGCAGTGATAGGAATTTCTGACAAACGAAAGATGCAATGTGCATACCAATCAGATCAATAGAGGAGTGCACTATTGTGCCAAGAGTGGAAGATTCGTTAGAATCTCCTGAAAATCATTGATTTCAGTGACTTATGGATGCAAACCTCAGACATAGAAACTCACTAGGTCTTAGGAATGTAGATATTTTATTTGAGTAACTTCAGCAGGGATCTAGGGATAATGAAGCAACTTCTACAATAGTCACTGCTGTTTCTTATTTATCATGCCAGTGGTTTTTTCACTCACAGAAAAGGAAATTAGTGCCCAATAAGCCTTCTCTTAGTAACCTCCAACAACCTGCTGCACATTGGGACATGTCACTCGTAGAACATCCTCCACAATAATTCCCCTCTTTCGAAACATATTACCTGCCTACATGCATCTAGCCTTCTATTACCACAAAGACAACATTAACCTGTAGCAGTCCACCAAACACCTTTGGAGCAGAAGTCTTATTCTGGGTTGAGTTTGATATCCTAGATAAAGATCAGATTGGAAACTTTCACATTTGCTCCGTCGGAAATTATTCTATCTCTAATACCTATCTTGAGCTGGATATAAAAAGGAGAATTTCCCTTTCTTCCAGTTTTTCCTCGGAAAATAGTAAAAATGGTCACAGAAAGTATTCCGTAATAAATTGGACGACCTTATGATCCGTGCTAGCTGCTACGGTATGAGAGAGGAGTAGATTAAATCTACCCGCACCAAATCATCCTTCCAAACCGTTCTCTTCCCCGTCTCCTGTGTCAACCTTCATACCATCATATTTATGAGTCAGATCAGATGTTTGCTTCATTCCTTTTCAACAATAAAATGCATCTGAACTTCCTGACCCATATATACGCAGCTGCATTTCAAAATTACAATGGTTCAAAATCTCGAATTCGTAGTCTTATCTCTGTGACCTACGCTGCCTCGTTTTATCCCGCCAGTTCAATTGATAGCCTCAAAACTCGTCCGTCTACCCTTATCCATATATAATAGGTGCCACAACAGTGAAACAACATATGGAGTCATCAGTTTTCATATGATGACAAAATGTCCAGTGATAATTGAAAGATGACAAGACTACATACACCATTCTATAAAAGGAATATCAAGACTTGCGGTGCATCAGAAACATTAATATCACCACACTTTTCAACATAGAAGTATGAGATGAAGAACGATTTATGAAAATAATTCAATGAGTATCTCCAGTTTTTTTGCTTCGAGAAGATTCCGGAATCAATAATCTGGAGATTTTCTTAGGTAGTGTCCAATTGATGAGTCATGTTAACCACATCAGACGCATTTCCATTACTCCTATAAACCTTGTTTTACTTCTCCCTCAGTGGAAAGCCCACAACAGCTGGAGGTATTATCAGGTAATGATGATATATTCCATTCCTCCTCAACTTAGACAGTGAGAGAGCCTGTGAGCTTTCGATGTGAGTCATGGAAACATTTCTTTTTCCATTGGAAAGAATAAGCGTTCATAAGGATATTGTTATAATAGCCGATGAATGATGCTTCCAAACGCTCAAAAATCTATAATTATTTGGCTTAAATACAAAGGTAATAGAAAATAACGTGATACATGTCTGATGTCCATTGATTGAGATTTGTAAAAAAAAATTGAGAGGAAATTCTGCGAGCTTATAGCAGTACGAAAACTAAATTATACCAAGATGTACCTACCTCTGGAAATGGACGCTTCGGATCCAACTTTGTCTCTCAACTGACTGCAGTGATCAATCAAAGCAGCCTTCTTAGATGTTACCTAAATTTCGGCCAAGTTGTTACCTTCTCTAATAATCCTAAAAACTAAAATAGATGAAAGACGGACAAAGTTTTGCGGGACTGTCCATTTGCTAACCTCCTTGAAGTCCAACTCCACATACATGTGTGGCGCGAATCCTTCCTCCTGCAGTTGGAAGTAGGTGGTGTCGAACCCAGCGCCAAGGGACAGTATCTGCTTTTTGCAACCAGAATCGATGCTAAGAAACTGGAGCAGAAGCTGCCGTAGAGCGGCCCACCTAGCGTAGTAACCTTTCCATTCCCCATTCACCAACATCGTGTACATCAGACCGAGACCAGCAATAAAAACAACACAGAAAAAAGAGACATTGCAAAAAATACCGCGATTGATGATGGGAGACCTCCTGATAGGCCTTCTAACGAACAGGTGGACGTAGTCGTCCTTCATGTAACCCTTCTTCACACACGACCTGTCAGGATTGCAGGACGAAATCAAGAAAACCACAAGGCACAAAACGAACTACAACGAAGGAAGGCGAGAGAACACAGAATGGCGGCGGAGATAGACAGCAGGAAATGACTAGAGATCGACAAAGAGAAACAGTTCCTCAATTGTCAATGGAATGGATTCGAGTGAGCATCTCGTCGTCCAAATCGAAAACTACTGCAACAACTGCGCATCACGTACAGTTTACTGGCGGTGGCGTCGTCGTTGGTGGCCTGAACGGCCGCCGTGGTGCTACTGCCGCCGCCGGCGACGGAATCAGTAGGCGCCTTCGCCATCGCTTCCGCTCCCCAATCAAGGGAAGAGACGATCGACGGAGGAGGGGGAAGAAGAAGCTCACGAACCGGTCTGATAACCCGTTGGAACCGGAATCGGCTTGAGTTGTCCGAGTTCCACGGTACCGAATCAATATGGGCCTATGCCTCTCTTACGTAATGGGCCTTGGGCCCAACACTAAAAGAGCCATCAGATCCCTGCATTCGGTTCTTCACTGGGATTTAACTCTTATTCGTCAAAACAGTTGGCAATTTTTTTCCGAAAATTGCGGCGTTTTATGATGATCAGCCTTCTTGGCCAGCTACATTCACCCCAACTAAATTATTATTCACCCCATTTTTTATTTTTTAAGGAGAAAAATAAATCCCCCCTCCACCATCCTTGCCCAATTTTTTCTCCACCTTAATTATAAGAACGAGATATAATTTAAAATATATATATATATATTCAGAAAGAGATACCTACACATGGAATCAACAAGTCTACTCAGATAAATTATTAGGGTTTATTTATATTATTTAAAATAAGGCTTATTAAGTTGGATCCATGACCAAAGGAGTAATGTACTCGTGGTGATTATGTGGATTTAATTTTGGCGATTACGTGACAAAGTAATGAGATTATTTTTCTTAACCAAACCAAAATACCGTATTAACTACCAAAAATAGAACACAAAAAATACGTAATTTATATGACGTGGGGATAAAACTCATTCACCTTTTTTTTTATTACTTTCCTTTTGATCAATTAATTTTATTAAGTAAATCGAAAATAATATAATTAATTCTTCCCCAAAGTCACTACATTAACTTTATGAGAAATGTCGATCCAAACCAGATGCCAAAACAAGAAATGGTCAGGATATGCATGATATTCTTGTTTTATTTGGATTTTATACCCATCCAAGTTCATCTTAGGGTTTTTATTTTAAATTAAAACTAATAGTAGAATTATCTTGAGAATCCATTATTCTTTTAGTGTTCTATTTGAGAATAACATACAAAATATGGGCATTTTTTTGGATGCTCAAAGTGGAGATTTTACCATTTGTATGCTTTTTCATTCAATCAAAAAGAGGAAAATTAGATGAATATTTGGCTATGCTTGAGTGAAAACTACATTTACCAGCAATTGCTTGCCATCATAGGTGTAGAAGTTGCATGAGTTGTGCCTTAACCTTAGCATAGAAATATAATTTTATTTTTTTATTTTTTTCCACTCAAGGTTAATTATATTACATAATTGATAAAACCCAGAAATTTAATTTTGTTAATTTTTTTTTAGCTAGGCATAAATCATGATATGAAATGGAATGAACTTTAATAAGAAAAATAGTGAGACTTATTTGCTTGATTAATTTGAACTCATCGAGGATTGGCGAGCATGTTGAGGCATGAGAACTAGAATAATGGATGTTGAAATGGATGCATCAAAATGATATAAAAAAATAAATTCATCAATAATATAATGTGATATTTATAGTACCTATTGGGATTCTAACTTGAAAGAAGTTAGATTGATTAGAATTTAAAAAATTCCTATGTCCCCAATTTATTTCAAGGTTGATTTCTACCTTAGTGTTGACCTTAGAAAAAATTATTTAATCAGAAAATTATACATATTTCCAATATTAGAAACCCACAATTTCCCCCCCAAAAATTAAACATTAACATTTAGGTCCTATGAGTCTAAGCTTGCCTTAGACCATTAAAAGTTGTTGAGGCCTATTATCAATAAACACAAGCCCACAAGCCCACAAGCGTTGAGCTTTATTGAGCCTTGAGAACACAGGTTGAAGTGTGGGTTGCTGGCTAGGGGAGGGGGGTTGCTGTTTGGATGAATGTAAAAGTCGTGGGGTTATAGGGCAAGTTTCCAATATTTTAAAGTATATTTTTTAAAAACTTAGATCTTATCTTGATGTGTGCTAAAAGTCAGAATAATTTGTTTTTTCTTTATGGTTTATGGGTTTAGATGGTTGACTTTTGAGGCATTTATTACTTGGAGAGACTAAGTGCCACAAAAGGCAATTGCCCAAAGTAAGTAGAAAGGGCCCATCTCTTTTTAATAATATAATTATTTAAATTATATTATGATAATTAATATAATATAAACCTGATATATTTAACCATAAAATAAATAATTTTTCATGGAAGAAGAGTAAAAGGGAAGCCTGAAAGTTGATTATTTTTTATTTTTATTTTCTTCATAATCGATAACAATCATTTGAATATTATGTGTAATTTTTTTATTTAATATATTAATTTGCCGCCCTGATATAGATAGTATGAATATAATAAAAACGCCGGTCTCAGCTCTCACGCTCGTCCTGTGAGAGCAAAAGATTGACAGCGAATTGGCTCCGCAAGACGACGATGGGTTCTGTGTTTTTTGTGCTTATCCGAGTTCTCATGGAGATCAAGAGGGCAGAGCCTTGACAGACGAGGGTCAGAGGACGCAGAAACTGACTCGGAGCCTTCGGCTTGTCGTGATCGCGCCGCCCGGTGGTGCCCCACCGCCGGAGAACGAAGGCAGCCGGGGCGCGGGGGAAGCGAGGACAGGTTACCAACCACCGCCTCTTAGACCCACTGGCCGTCTCGAGGCGGATCAGTGAGGAAGGAGGGTTGATTCTGTGGTTTTCGAAGAAGATTAGATCTCACCAGCTTTGGCGGGTTTTCGTGAGGTGGCAGGTTCGATCTGATAGCTAACGTCACAGGACTTGTCCTGCAGGGCGGCGGAGGGAGGAAAACCCCCAGTCTCGCCAGCTGTGAGAGTTTTTGTAGAAATTCGCGAGCTCTCTCTCTCTCTCTCTCTCTCTCACGCTTGTTTGGTCAATCGAGCTCTAGAGCGGCTTAGTACCGTTTTTGCTTCTCTTCGCGAACGCGTGGGAGAGTGGAAGACGTGATGTCCCTATGACGGAGGTAGGATATATGAACTGCCGAGTTTTTTTGTTATTTATGGCTTCGATCTCCCTCCCCCTATCGCTGTGATTTCGGAGGTACCGGATTTTTTCGGAGCTCGGAGTTCCCGGACGACTCCATTTTCCTTTCCTCGTCGTGGTAATTTGAACACACTGGTCCACTTTTGGAAAATACCGTGCAAGCATTGAACAGCCTTTGATGCGCGGGGATCCTCTCTCATCCTCCGGCTTCGGATTTCATCTCCTGTTCCCCGATGAGCCCTGAAGGAATCTTCTCGGTAACAATTCATTGCTCTTCTTCTTTGCTTAGTATGGTGAATCTGAACTTGCCAGTTCTGGAGTTTCCCAGGCTCACCTTCCCTCAGAAATTTGCGCAAGAGGGGAATGATTCCACTGGGGGAAAAGAGCTGCTGGTCCGTCTGAAAACGGCCGTGGGTGCTTCACTTTATTCACCTAGCCCTCATAATTAATGCACCAAAACCGCCGGATCCGCATCGAGTGGTGTGGGGGAGAGAAATACCGAAACCGTTCGGCCCTGCCAACAGGAATTCAATGCTTCTTCCCTGTAACCCACGGCGCCACCTATCGCCAACCCATCAACATCTACTTGCTGGCTCTCCCCACCACCACGGCTGCTGCCTCGTTCCACTTCCTCTCTCATCCTGCACTCGGTCCGTGCCTTTTTATTTTAAAAATTAAACTCCTTTCCGTCGTTGGACGAAAAAGGTGGGGTAGAATTTTTGAGTTTTCCGATATCTGCTTCCCTTGTCCTCCTTCCAGGTAGTTATGAGATCTTAATTCCTGGCTTCCCTTGCTCGTTCCCTGTTGATATGAAGGATAGAACCGGATGCATACTTTTCTTTGGTGTCGAGATATGATCAATTTATTTGTTGGTTTGATGTTGATTTCCTCCTCTGTATTGATATTGTTTTCAGAGAAAGTGTGTTCCAATTCGAACATTGAAGAACTATTTTGAGGTATGTGAAGAAAAGCTATTTGTTTTAGTCATGTCCCCTGCCCTTCCTCTGCCCATCCTCACAATCTTCTGCCTATTTTTCATTTCAGTCAGATGGGAAGCTCTCCATCATGCAGCTGGGGCTTGTAACTAGGTGAGGGAAGTTTTCGGGATCCATAGCAGCCATATTTCAGGTAGTTTAGTCGAATGCCTTTATGCCATCGGATTTTTCTGGTTTCATATTTTCACGTTTGTATGCAAAAGAAATTAGCAATTGTCATACAACTTTTTCGGTACTCGTTCATCTTTACAAAGCACTCAAGATCTGCAGTGAATGCTTGTTCTTTTGCTTTTTTTAGCATACTCTTTGTGCACTTGTGCTGTTTTTTACTTTATTTCTTAGTTTGATTTGCCAAATTGTGGGGGGTAGATTCAAATCGGAACTGTCACACTCAGCAAGTAATAGCTAAGGTATACTAACAGAAAACTGAACAATTAAAGATAATAGACTTGTAATTAGTTGAGATGTTACAGAAGACATTACAAGTAGCGCCAGTTACAAAAGTTAAAGCAATTAATAATGACATGAGGAACAAGAAGAAGGAAAGAGTCGGAAACAGCGACCAAGAGAAAAAGAAGGTGTAGAGATCAGGTCGTCGATCAGGGGAAGGGAAAGCATGGCCATCCCTTACCAAATGCGAGCCCTGTTACGATGAGCCTGATTCATGCAAAACTTACTGATTTTATGTTTTCATAAAAAATAGAAAATAGTACTGGAATTTTTAATGTTTTACATTTTTAGCAAAATTGATTGTGTCGGGTCCAGTTGATCCCGGATTCAATCCCAAGGAATCTTGGCGTTACTCAATAATTTGATGCATATTTATGTTTCGGTATTCGTCATGGTTTTACTCATTTTATCGGAATTTATGCATCATGGCATCCTTGTCATGGTTCTTTCTGCTATTTCTTTCTTTTGATTCGTTTTTTTCCTAGGTTTATATTTTTTTCCTAATTTATTCATGAATGATATTGGCACTATGACATGTTGCATTGTTCACATCTAATTTTTCCAAAATTCCTCTCTGCAGGTAGCAAACCTGAACAACGCTAATCCTTTCGAGATCATGAGTGTCTGTGCAAAGACACCAAGCATAATCACGGCGGCTTGAATTCTAATAATGAGGCCAATAGGGGAGAATTACCACGGTGTACATCACTCAAGAAGCTTGTGGAAGTTAGACCAGGAGGATACCTTGCGCCAATGTGGATTACTCTATTAGCGGCTATCAAAACAATGAGAGACCTAAACTAGGAAAACAATAGTTTCTTTTTTGCATCAATTTGAGCCTTGCATGGAGAGCGGATTGACTGAAGTTGGACTACCGAAGACGCTTACCTGTGACAGTGAGGGCTCTTGTCTTGGTATCAAGGACATTTGTGTCGATGAAGGGATTAATTTAGTTCACAAAGCATCAGTAGTTACTATGGTCGAAGACGTTAAGCTTCATAGCAGCCCTCATCTAGTTGATGAATATTTCACCAATGAGATTCACACATCTGGTTCTGTACAGCCAAAGCTTGCCAGGAAACGCAGTTCTGAGACCGCAGAATATTCTTCTGGGAGTTCAGCAGAGGAATTCAAAGATACGACTGATACATTTCATGGAAATCCGTCTGATGAGGCTAATGTGAAGAGAATAGATGGAAAACTATGTCCTCCACCTGAGTCTGAGATACATCAGCTTCTAGGACACATTGGTGCTGATAGTAAAAATGTGAAGCCAGTTTCACTGGCGCATTTGCTACAGGAAGATAGGGAAAATCGTGGTTTTGTCTTTGAGCAGGCATCTGAAACCGAAGGATTGATCCCACTGGAAGAATTTGATCGAAGGTACTGCTCTCTTCATTCGTCTAATTTTGATGCCCACAATGATCCATCACATTTGGTCAACAATGGTCCAAGTCAACATCGGTCAGAAAATAATGGGTGTGTACGACCACCTTCTATGGAAACTGAGTCTCATCAGTTGCCACGTGTTAGAGGTGCCCATGTGACACCTGTCTCCGATGAATTACCTTCTCTCCACACGAACATCAACTGGGAAAAGGCTGATGAGGTAATTAATTACTAATTATTTTCGTATTCTCTTCGATGACGTTGTCTTAGTTTTCCTTCACTTTCATCAGGTTTATTTATTACTTTATTACTGAGTCAGGCTGATGGGTTTTCTATTGATTTAATTTTGTGGACATGAGGTGGTCCTTTAGATCTAAAGCACATGGTTCGGAACCTTGGTGCTCGAGTTGCTAATAAATATGTTAAGAATGATCCGGAACTAGTTATTATACGAAATATGTGATTATTAATATGGTTTTAAGTTGGAAGATGATGAACATTAACAGAGTATCAGAAACCATATCTTGTCAATAAATATATATGTTAGCTTTATGGCAAGGCTCCAAAGGTCTCTAAGAACAGCCCTGAATTGATAACGTCGAGTGTATTACTCTCATTGCCAATGCAAATATATGCATGAATTATTCTCCTATGCACTCAATGCTCTTGTGTTGTTGAAATGTGATGGTTTTTCTAATATAAGATCACAGGGTGCATTAATAGAATCAAATTCATCAACATCAGCTGTGAATTATGAGGAGCTCAAAGGAGGGAATGAAGCTGAAGCATTTACCTCCAACAAGTCTGGAGGTGACATCATTTCATATGATATGGGTATCAAAGGAACTCCTGAACTCGAACAATTTAGCATGCATGCAACTGGGACTACTATTAGTGGAAGGTCTTCAGATGGGTCGGCATCTTTGGCCTGGACTGGATTTAATCATCAGAGCCATTCAGACCCAAATATCCTGGGCTCAGCTTCTTTCTCCCATCAAATTCTGTACTTGGGTCAGGCGCCATACTCTGGCAACATCTCTCTGCGCTCAGACAGCAGCACAACAAGCACCCGCTCCTTTGCCTTCCCCGTGTATGCATGCTTCCACCATATCTTCATCTTTCATATATATATATATATATATATATATATATTGTTTGCTTGAAATAGTCATTTAATTATGTAATTAAAAGGAACATCTAGAAATAGAATCCCCTCTGTGGGTTGGTTAATTGTATAATTATTTATTTTCGTCTTCATCCTCTCTTGAGCAGATTGCAATCCGAGTGGAACAACAGCCCAGTGAGGATGGCGAGAGTTGAGCGCCGTCGCCTGAGGCGCGGCCGGTGGTGGGGATCGGGCCTCCTCTGCTGTAAATTCTGAAACTCCAACCCCTCTCTTTCTCTCTCTAAAGCCGGCATCTCATATCGGCTATCTGTTTAGCTGTAGGTTCCCATTATAGCCATCATATTCGTGCGCTCCCAGCCTATTTCAGGTGTGTACGTCACAGAAGTTTGGTATTCTTGTTCATGATGAAAGTGAGAGAGAAGAAGAAAAGGAGGAGGAAGCCTTCCCTCTTTGCTCTCTGCTTGGTGTGTCTGTCTAAAGCAGGGCAGAGGATTCCGCTCCCCTCCCCCAGTTTCCTTCCCCCCTTTGAGTTGGTCTGAGAACATGTGGGGGGAGAAAGAATGATATCGAATGATGATATTTTGCCCGGAGAACAAAGTCTTTGGGGTTATGTTTACTCTAGTTGATGCTGGCTTTTGCGCAGTGATGGAGAGAGAGAGGGAGAGGAGAGAGAGAGAGAGAGAGAGAGTAGAATTGGACGATTTCAAGGGGCATTCATTAGGTTGAGTAAAATATGGGTTTGCAAGTGATACGTATATTATAGATAGATGGCTAAAGAGGGAGAGGGGGAGAGAGAGAGAGAGAGAGAGAGAGAGAGAGAAGAAGTAGACGATTTCAAGGGGCATTCATTAGGATGAGTAAAATATGGGTTATCAAGTGATACCTATATTATAGAGAGATTGCTAAAGTGGAAGAGGGAGAGGGAGGGAGAGAGAGAGAAGAAGAAGAATTGGACGATTTCAAAGGGCATTCATTAGGATGAGTAAAATGTAGGTTAGCAAGTGATACGTATATTATAGATATATTGCTAGAGAGAGAGAGAGAGAGAGAGAGGAATTTGACGATTTCAAAGGGCATTCATTAGGATGAGTAAAATGTGGGTTAGCAAGTGATACATATATTATAGATATTATAGATAGATTGCTAGAGAGGGAGAGGGAGAGATAGAGAGAAGAATTGGATGATTTCAAGGGGCATTTATTAGGATGAGTAACGTGTTAGCAACTGATACATATATTATAGATAGATTGCTAGAGAGGGAGAGAGAGAGAGAGAGAGAGAGAGAGAGAAGAACTGGACGATTTCAAGGGGGCATTCATTACAATGTGTAAAATCTGGGTTTGCAAGTGAATGCATATTATAGATTGATTGCTAGAGAGGGAGAGGGAGAGAGAGAGAGAGAGAGAGATAAGTCTCTTTCCATGCCCAATTATACTTACGATCAATCAAAGCCTCTCTCTCTCTATCGTCGATGTATTTATCTCAAGCCAAATGATACGTACTATTATGATTTGACTTGAATAAGTAAGCTCGGCTACCTTCTCGTCATTCCTACACACTACTTTACATTTCCCACCTTAAAAATCAATAAATTGTTTTATTAAAGTATAAATATTCAGAACCCCAGCAGATGCGTCGGCTGGACGCTCAAGACACGCACGTGCCTATTATTCGTTACAACTAACCTAGAAAATTAACCTTCAACACTGTAGCACGTGCGGCGGCTCGTTTAATTTAATCGTTACAAGAAAAGTCCAGTGGGAGCGGAGTTTCTTGTCACGTTGTGCTCCCCCACGATCTGCGTTGTGCTGTGGACTTTTGTGCGTGGTGGGTCCTGCGTTTTTTTTGACCTTTGAAAGAATATCACAGTGGTATCCAGTTGCCTGCCACGTGGCTCCGTAAGGTTGCCGTCCTGGGTTTTGTGCGCGTGGCGGGCCAGAACCGTTCGAATTGTCACGTCGCGCAGTCTGAGAGATCACTCTGCTATGCTGTGCTTGACATTTGATGTGCCTAGCGGGCCCGCTGTGCTTTTTGGACGGTTGAAGTGAGTCGATGGGACCCAGACTTCCCACGTGGCGCTCTTCTCGATTTGCGCAGTGCGATATATTTGATTCGCATGGCGAGCCCCGCACGCACTGACGGCAGACCTAGGCCTAGGCTACCTCCGGCCCCGCCCATCTCCCATCCGGCGTAGCCCATCCACATTTCCGGGCCGGAAAAAAACGGGCCGGCTCGCGAGCGCTGAGAGGGGGGGGGGTGGGGGGCGGGTGCACTGGTTCTACCTTCTTCCCGCTCGAGCTCAAAAATAAGGTGGGGTTGTTAGGGGGAGGAGAAGGGATCCTCTGCAAATGCTGAGGAGGTTTTTCAGGTTCTCGGAGGAGGGGGCTTCTCTTGCTTCCCTCGCCGGCGTGTCCTCTTCGTCCTCGTCTTTCTCCACCTGTTCCCGCAGGCGAGCCACCGTTTCTCGCCCTTTTGAGGAGCCTCCCTGCCCGAAGAGGATCCCCTTCACTGTCTCCGCCCACCGGCGGACATGGCAGGATCCCTACCACTGGATGTCCGATACCCGGGATCCGGACCTCGCAGAGCACTTACGCCGGGAGAACCTCTACGCCGACGCCTTCATGGGGGACGCGGAAGGCCTGAGAAGGAGGCTGGTCTCGGAGATGCATAGCCGCATGCCGCCCAGGATATCCACCCCTCCTGAGCGATGGGGCTCCTGGTCAGTGAAAACTTCTACCTGACCTCCGTGGCATGCTGGAAGTTGGCATAATCCTTCTGTGGCATCATCCTCGTACTGCTTTATTGCTTCCTTGTTTCACATATTCGATCTTTTGTCTTTGTGAAACTGTGCTGGCTTGAATTTGGTTATGCTTACACTTAGGAAGCTGTTTGGTGGGTAAATGATAGTTTCTCTGATCCTCTTTATCGGAGGCGATTGGGTTGTTTCGTGTGACCAGAGTCGATAGGATAACGGTGGCCATCCTCAGAGTAAGACACTTCAGTGAGTTATTATCCACATCTCTTTTTACCCTTCTGATTCAAAATGACTTCGAATCAGAGTAAGACACCTTATATCATTTTTATATCATTTTATGTTATCACCTATTTGAGGGCCACGTGATAAAATCCATCGTGATTGGTTCAATCATTAAAATCATTTAAACATGAATTTGACCACCGGCTACAAAGCTTACACAAGACTATAAATGTACGTTGCTGTTGGTTCGGATCATAAGACTATAAGACGCAAGGCGCACATAAGATTTACAGACTCATTAAAAAAATGAGTTCGTCAATTTGGTATAAGATCCATTGAAGATCAAATGCATTATTGGGATGAAAATATATTAATGCTCATAAAAACACATTGTTGATAGGCCAGATCATTGCACACAAGGCCCAAAAAAGGTCAAATTAGTGATGGGGCTCGAAGTCTATATGTAAGGTTTGAGAGCATGTTGTTATGGAGTCAAATCATTGGACACGAGGTCTGCATAAAATTGACACAAGGAAAGAATTTTCTTGGACCTTGTGTGCTAATAGTACATGATTAACAGAGTAGTCAAAGGGGCGGATACTCCCTATCTTATAAACAACTTACGTTTAGGTGAGAAAGGGTGAGTGAGTCGAAACATAGAGGATGTAAGATTATCTGCTGATGAAAGATACTCTCTGGCCATGTGATTTATGAGGCCTATGAAACAATGAGGGTCATCTTGAAAACCTTTAGTTAAAGCGAAAAAATTATGTACGATAACTGAAGTGAGCTACCTTAAAAATGGTTTATTCTAGCTTAAAATGTTTTAGTTCGCTTATCTCTGATGCTAAGTGGGGACATAAATCTCAAGTATCCTGTGATTCATTCTTAAATTAAAATTTCACCTAGCTGACATACCCTGCTCTGATCATTACATCTTCTGTCACAAAAAAGTGAGGAACTATTCTTGAAGTAGAATTTTTCTTGCTTTGCCCTTCTTCTAGATTTGAGAACATACATTTTAGGAAGATTGTTGAACTGTAGGGAAGACGTGCAGGAAATTCAAAAACCTTCCAGTGTATCGCGAGACAGGGGGAAACCAGTGCTGAAGTCTCACTTTCAGGAGCTTTATGGAAGATGAATTTTCTTAGTTTCCTGGACTTGTCGGCCTTTATTTTTGCAAATTCACCGTCTGCTTTAAAGACAGTAGATGGTGGAGAGGGACTGTGGTCTAGCCAAGTCTTTTAGGAATTTCTATGAGATAGAGTCAGTGCTTGGTCAAATACTAAAGCTTGGGATTTATTTTTATAATCAGGGTCACATTGTGGGGAAGAAGGCCCATAAGAGATAACTCACTGTTGAAAGAATCAGAATTTTCAATCCTACCGAAAAATGAGTCTTTCAATTGAAGCTGTTGATCATTAATCAGTAGATTATAGTGTAACTGTTTATTTGGAATACCATATATTCTCTTTTTTGGATCCTATGGGACAATGCTACATATATTTTTGATACCTTGATCAGAATGGTTGAGTAATTGGTTGTAGTTGTACATGGACCTAGAGTGACAAGATATGCATCATCTATGAATTGTCATCTCAGTTTCACAGTTTTGGTGCTTCTTATGCCTTCTTTATTGTGCTTCATGTGGATTGATTACCTACCCATTAGTGTGTTTTATTGATGAAAGTTCCTTCCTAGTGGCCGTTATCTTTCATTGATTCCTTTGACAGGCTCTACTATCAGTATGTACCTGAGGGTAGGGAATATCCAGTCTTGTGCCGAAGATGGGAGGGGAATAGTGGTTTCTCAAAGTTATTTTCTGGTTTCATAGAAAGGTTCAGAAATGAGCACATTTTGCTCGATTGGAATGATCTTGCAGAACAATTTGGTATGTGCTTTTGTCATCCTCATCCTGTAATTTCCTATTTCTTACTTTTTTCCATACCTTTTGTTTCATTGTTTGTGAGTGGCTCTGCCCATTTTCGTTGATTGTTTCTGCTTGAATTTGATTTTGGCATCAAGAAATGAAGCCTTATTGCTTCTTGGGTTGGCATGATTACTATCCTTCCAATTATATGATGCACTGAAGTAGAATTATATGATGCTTCAAAGAAAATGAGGCATTTTCTTTGATATTAATAAGGGACAGATTTCTTACATCTGACTTTGTTTATTGACTTGAGTCTGTAAAGGGATAGGCTTTCTTTGACGTGATGAATGAAGATTCCTAATCGTGATAATATATCTTACCGTTGGTGATGACTAGGGTTTTTAGTTTCTGAGAAAAGCAACTACCATTGTATCTCCTGCTTGCTTGATTATTTCGGCTATTTTTAGAGGTTTTTTCTGTTCTTTCTATCTCAGTTAGAGATTATGGGTTTAGTAAATCTTTGTTCCATAAATAAGAGAGTAAAGGACTAATGCATCACCGTCTGGTGAAATGTGTAGGTTATGTTCATGTGGGCACATGTAGAGTCTCTCCTGATCACAGGTTCCTTGCGTACACAGTGGACACTTCTGGTGGGGAGCTATTTCAGCTTCAGGTTAAAGACCTTCAAACTGGACAGATTGCCAAAAATTCAGAAGTTAATGGGGTTTTCAGTTTGGCGTGGGCTGTTAACAATGATCGTCTGTTTTATACTACCTGTGATGAAACTCAGCGTCCTTGCAGGAAACTTCCTTTTCTTTATTCTTCTTTTTCATTGTAAAATTTTCAGATGAGATATGATTTTTCTCTGTTTATTGTTTAACAGGGTTCTTTGCAAAAAAATGAGGTCAAGGGTGGAGGATGAGTTGTTATTTACTGAAAACGATACAACTTGCTGTGTAGATATTACGTGCACAAAAGATGGGAGATATATTACCATAAATTCTAACACAAGGTCATCATCCGAGGAAAGTCTCTTTTCTCAATCTTAATAGTTAGCAAATGCATTTGACGGAATGTATTCTGTTGTAAATGCATGTCTCCCTGATAGGTGGCTGTATACTTCCATGCAGATTCATGTAATTGATTCAAGAAATGTGCAAAATGAACTTGTCCTGGTGCAGAAACGTGTGACTGGTGTGCAGTACTTTTTGGAGCATCACCATGGTTTTTTTTATATCCTTACCAATTCTCCGTCAAAACATATAGTTCGTGATCCAGGAGGGTATCACTTAGTTAGATGCAGAGCGGAAAAGTTTCCTTTGACAAATTATCAGGTGAGCTTCAAATTTTCTCGTCTATGATGTGATTGTTCGAATCACAATAAATAAATATTTTTATGAGGATATAATAAGGAATTTTTTTATCTTGATTATTAATTGATAAATAAGTAATAACCCACACTATTCGTAAAAATAAATAGTACCTACTGTTATGACTTTTAATCTGTTGTGCGCCACATATATTTTTTCAAGCATTTATCAAATATTGTCTGTTTCTTGTTATATTTGATATTACCTTTAAAGTATTTATGATTGGTGTTGCCAGTCACCTTCACATAGGACAGTGGACTACTGCCTTCATTGTCTTAAAAACCTTGGTCTGAACATAAACCCTGCCAGTTGGCAGGCTTTTCTTCTTTTGTAGTTTCGTGTTTACTTTCGTCAATTAAATATCAATGTATTTTCATATTATATCCTTATTTGGTTTTTCACAGGTTTCTGTCGTTTCATTCCATTATGTTAGTGAGTCCTACCCTGATTGACGACAGTTGAGACGTCTGTTTGAGAATCACCACTTGATGCTTCGGTTTGAATTATATGCTGAGAGTCTGGAACTTATCCCATATTAATTTCTAAAAGACATTTTGAGTAGAAATTGGCATAGTTTTGGAAGGGAGAGCAGTACACTCCAAGATTTTCGAGCAGGATTGGGATAAGATTGATTTGGAGAGACGGGGTAAAATTGAAAAAAAGGGAACTTTGTTATTTTGCTGTCGTTGGAATCTTCTGTTTGCTTATACGCGCTGTTGGTGGAGACCATGGCAATATGCATGGAGTTATTTTAACAGTTAATGGTTTACTCGGTTGTGCATCATTATTCTTTTAGTTCAATGGTATTATGGCAATAGCCACTTTCATAAAAAGTGAGTGGAAGCCAATAGTGGAGCTAATCAAATGCTAAACTTTCGAACTGGCGTGTTTCCTTCCTGTATATTTATTAAACTCCCGTCTTTGTTGTTTCATTGCACAAGATGCCTCTTTTCTGCCCTTAGTATTCTATTTCTCTTTCTTAATGATGAATTTTGATAAAAAAAATTCAAGATAATATAGGTGGAACGTTTTCTTCTCATTTCCAATTCTTGCTTCTCACACTGTGCTAGTTGTCACTACTTCTTTTCCAAATTCGATGTCTAATTGTTGAAGCGGTACTTCTTCATGACATTCGAAGTTTTGTTTCAGGATTTTATCATGCCAGGTCAGGACGTCATCTTTCAGGATATGGATCTCTTTGATGGGCATTTAGTCCTATTTCTGCAGAAAGGGGAGCTTCCTATGTTTTGTTCCATAGATTTGCCTATTGATGTCGATCTCAAGGTATCCATTTCAATCATCTTCGTCTTCATTATTTTTCCTGAATTGAGTCAGAATTATTGTTCTTTAAAGTTGAAATAATTGTCTGATCTTCCAATACAATCGGATTTAGATAACCATAACTTATCTTATGATCCCCTTCCTCCTTAAGGACGTGGCATGTGGATGCCAGTGCCGATTGGAGGAGTTCATTTTGGTTTCCAATTAATATCCGAATCGTATTTTGTTTTTATGAAACTTATAAAGTGGGTTACTGATAATGGAATGAGACTATTTTGTGGGCTGCATCAATGTCACATGCCATTTTATTGACCGGCATGTCTATAAGTAACAGTAGTAGTTGTGTATTTTTGTTATATTTACTATTTCTTTGTTGACTCACTCGAAATGAATTTATTTTTGCAGGAACCATTTCAAGTTGAGGATCTCAAACCGTGGTTTTTCCCATTGCCATCTAGTTCATGCAGCATTGTTCCTGGTTCAAATCAAGATTTCATGACATCCAGTTATCGTGTCGTCATTTCATCACCAGTGGTACAGTTCACCAGCTTAACCTTAGTTCTACCTTCAAAACGTGAAACAAACAAATTAAGCAGCATGGCATATATTGAATACGTAAAAATAAACTGTATTGCCACTTTTTTGATGGAAAAACATCAAATTGAAAGGCTGGCATCTAATTGAGTAAACAGAAATATGAGAACAAGTTAAAAGGTGATACATCACTCGCTGACTGTAAGATTATTTTTACATGCTAGTGAAGTACACTGCTCCTTCAAAGTTCGAAGTATGCAATGATTTTTATTACAACTAAACTGTCCCTCAGTCATTATTTCGTACAAAGGGTAAAAACCAGTTGATACATTGAATTTAAACGAAGAAGGGTACACCTCACTAAGATCTAATCGTAGCCATATTGAAGAAACTCAAAGGGTGAGCCCACCAGCTCTCCAGCTTTGACATCTGGTTTCTACCGGCTATTGATCTGCACTGCCTGTCTAAGAAGCCGCAATGGTGACGATAGGCTGCTCTATCACCATCTGGTATCCTTGTCATCTGTCATTACTTCGTATCACCATCTGGTCTCCATGTGGTGCAGGGCTTATTTTCTAAGTCTCTGCAAGCAGCCATTTAATCATTTTAGCTCCCCTTGGTGTTGTTTCTCAATGAGAAAACCAGAGCCTAAGCCGTAGTCATTCACCCTATTTCACTAAAGAAAGATTTCTCCTTGCAATAAATCTCAGAACATTTATAAATATCAGGCCCAGGGGCCTGACACATACCTAATATATTCATCTGCTAATAGCCCAGTCAACTTTAGATGTTTGGAATTGTGGACGTTAAATTATCGTGCTGTCAAGAGTTAATGTAAACTGACATTAAAAATTGCTGCATAGTACCTTTTAATGTTCATGCAATGCATTTAACTTACATGTGAGATGAATCTTGGTGATAATTGTATGAGATGAAGTTCATTTAGCAAATTTATGAGATAATAGTGGGTTCTTAGCCTATATAGGTACCAACTAGATCCTGACTTCTAGGGACAAGATCCATATTAGGTCTTGTTGTATCATATACCACTAGGCATTAAGCCTACAAAAAGTCGTATTTGGCTTATTTGAGTTGGATCTAACCAATAGGTTTCAAGCTCAGATAAAGTCTTAGTTGATATGCACCATTGGGCGCAGATGTTCTAAATTGGACCCAATTATTACATTGGTTTGAATCATTAGATCGAAGGCCTACATAAAGCCTTTTCGAATCTAGATCATGGGGCACAGGGGTCACAATAATCTAATTTAGTTTTTTGACCACTAGACAATACTGGGCTTGAGACACACATAGAGTCTTATTAGATCTTGAGCTCAGGCTTCTTTGAACGGGTTGGGGATTGGGCTTAAGCTTCTTTAAATGACACAGGCTTATGAAAACAGGCCTGAGCTTCTTTTAGAAAATAGGCTTGGTTTTCTTAAAGTGGACGCAATTGTCAACTCTAATTTACCCTTCTTTCTTCTTTGATCTTTCTGCTGAGTGTCTGTGTGGCCTTGTCACTTGTTTCCTTTTTGGCAGACGATCAGATCCCTGTCTATGGAGGCTCTACTTTGCACTTTCTTTGAGTCCAGTAGTGTCCTTGGGTGTAGGTTCCCTTTGAGGGAGAAACAGGTCTTTTGATTGATACCTTCCGATATGGGAAAAGTTTTAATGGGCAAATGGCTCATCTTCTGGCCATTTCAGTTCAAATTTCTGCAGTGAGAAACTGTCTGGTTGGCCGTATCCTCTCCTCTGATTCCTCTTTGTGTCAGGGTAGTGGAGCCGAATCCAATCCTCACCACCAGCAATCTTGCCAAGGATCTATGCTGACTTGTAGATAGAGAAGAATAGGAATACAAGAAAATGGAGATTGGGTTCTGACTGGAACCCTAGCTCCTATCCGTGTTGACCATTCAAGAGGGCCAACCCTCTCCTGCAATGCCACCACCTGAAACCTAAAACAGTCTTACCTTTCCCTCGTCCTGATCCTGCCCTAATAACCACCTTTTCCCTGCATTTTATTTACCTAATTACCCCCCCTACTTATACCTCACGTGACCCACAAGCCCTCTTGCTCCTGGTGTGAAGGCCCCTCGAGGGCCTTGTTTAGTGGCCCTGTTACTTGTATATAACACATTTTCGATGTGAACAGAGAGTTGAGTTTTTCCTCAGCATATCCTCTTAGGAATTGCACCACTGTTCACGACAATATCCATGGGATACAACACTCCAAGAAGTTCAGACGAAAGATGATCTCGAATGCAATCAGTCAACCAAAAAAAAACGATTCATTTATAGAAATTAGGGAGAAAGAGAGCGGAATTGGTAAAAAATTCATGAACAAGAAAAGAAAGAGATCACAACTTCTTTTTCTCATACTGACTTTCTTTATTTATTCTCACACCTTGGAAAAACAATCTCCAACTCGGAACTGATATGCTGGCTCATTCAACTCAGTCAATTTAATTTGCTCAGTATGGGATCACATCAGATTCCCTGGCTGATGGACAGTGAACCCATAAGGACTCCTCTATCTTCTTTCCCTAACTCTAGCAATAGATGAAAGTCAATAGCAACCTTCTTCTGGTAGAAAGGTGTTTATGGGTGCAGGATGGAACATCACTTTTCTGTGTGTAGTTCCTTCTTTTGGTCAGAGGCGGCTTCTCGTTTCACTGGAGATGGAGTATAAAGTAGGTGACTTCTTTTTTCCCTCTTCTCTGCAAACAGTGAAATCTTTCTCTCGTGATTTCTCATCCTGTCAGAGCTCGAGGATGCAATTGGTAGACCACATGTCATTGCTGCCTGTGTCATTTTTTCTTTTTGCTATAGCGTTGTCCATATCTATTTTGTTCCTTAACTCGATTCATTTTTTCGTCCGAGAGTGTATTCCCTATTTACAAATGTCCACTAATTTCTCATTCCGTCAGAGCTCAGGGAGGATGAGATTGACAGACCACATGTCATTGCTGCCTGTTTCCTTTTTTTGGCTATAGCGTTGTCCATATCTACTTGATCCCTTAACTCGATTCATCTTTTCTTCTGGGATTGTATGTCCTATTTATGAAAGTTAACTGTTTTCCTCTTTCTCTTTCGATTCTGTCTACTTATCTATTCTCTCTTTTCTTCTCTAAATCTTAGATTCCTGATCTCATTGTTGACTACAACATGTCGAAGAAGACATTCAGTATCATGCATCAGGAGGAGGTACTGGGCGTAACAGAAGCATATAAAAATTCAATTCATTTACATTCAGATGATGGGAATATGAATTCGGATTATAGAAAGCATCTGCAAAACATGGAGGGCAATCAGAGTTGGGGTGACCTTTCAGATGAATTATACTGTGAGAGGACAGAAGTGACTTCCCATGATAACGTCAAGGTTCCTTTGACCATTTTGTATTCTAACAAAGCTTGGCGTTCTGAGAAATCTCCTGGCCTTCTATATGGATATGGATCTTATGGGGAAACATTGGATAAAAGCTGGTGTGCAAATCGCATAAGCTTACTTAACCGGGGATGGGTTTTAGCATTTGCAGATGTCAGGTAAATTTAACATCTATTCAGCTTTCTCCCTCTCTCTCACTCGCTCGTTCGTGTTTTATTGCAGATCTTCCTGATAGCAAGATTCTGTTCTCAAACTCCCTTGCATATGCAAGCATAACCAGTACTTGATTGTTCATATATTAATCAAGAGTATATGAATGCTCGGTTTCAGAAATAGAAATATAAGAAAAAGTAGAAATGTTTTTTGGCTGAAGAAAGATGGGGCAAATGGGAGAATGGCATAAAGAGTTCCTTTCTTATAAAGAATAGAAAATAAAAACGATCCACATGATATAGGTGGAGTGCGTGTATGATGGAGTTGTGCAGTGGACGGTGTAATCATGATTTTGCGGGATAAAAACCTCGACTGCAGATGGATTTTGGTAACAAGTGACTGCACTGCTTGAAGCCATCAGATGTGATTGTCAAGCCCTTACAAATTCCGCTGAGCATCCGAGTTAAAAGCAAAACCATACGATCATAAGAGGCGGAAATTCCTCTGCCCATTCATCTTCTTCCAACCTTATTCAGATCCATTCAGATTGCTTTTCCTCCCCTTCAATATTCCTCGTACATAATCCCTACATTATTTTGCTCCTAGCTTTTTGTTTCCTTCTAGGTAAGCACTCTGGTGGGCTCTGCTGGGTTGTATCCTGTAATCACAACCAGCTCCGTCCATGGTGCAGTGACAACCCCAACCCCATCATTCTCATTAAGACAGATTGCATTAAGACACAAATCATACACATCCTTTTACCTCAATGATTTTGCATAAACTTATCTTTCATGGTATTTTAAATTGATCTCTGTTAAAAAGTATCTTCTGATTCCCCTGACAGAGGTGGAGGAGGAGTTGATCCTTCATGGCATGAGGCTGGCAGTGGACCTTACAAGCTAAACTCAATACTTGATTTTGCTGCATGTGGCATGTACCTTGTCAAGGAGGGTTATGTCAATGAAGATCAACTTTGTGCAATTGGCCATAGTGCAGGTGGTCTCCTCGTTGCAGCTACAATCAATATGTATTCTGATCTATTTTGCGCTGCTATCTTGAAGGTAGGAAAACCCTTGATCCTTTCCCAGTGTGCTTTCTTGTCCTCCTTTAGAATCGTGTGTGCTTCTGCATTCTACTATTTCCAAATGAAGATTACTACATCTAGATTCGTGGTCATTTATTTTTCCCTTAGTCACTTCCTTTTTTAACCTTTTTATGCATGAAGCGCGAAACAAATTGAAAAGAAATGTAGCTGGTTCAAATATTTAATCATAGGATTCTCGTAGGCTGTGCCATGTGGATAATGGAACAGGTAATGAAACCTGTTGGAAATAAGATGGAGCAGGCCCATATATTTTAAGCACGGTTCATTTCGCCCTTTCTAATATGACACTGTTCTAGCCTAGTGTAACCCAAGTGTGCCTTGCATGTGATCATCTGATTGTTTGCTTCCATGGTTGTTTGATTAATCATATGCAAAAATCAACAGAGAAATCACGGCGACCCATGATATCTGTTGATTTGTGGAGCAGTTAGTTGTGCATGGCACTGGACTCTTCAATATACATCACATTGACGGTGGAAATGTATAGTGTTTTATTCAGTTCTGTATGTCTAACATAAAGCAGGTTCCTTTTCTCGATGTCTGCAACACAATGCTAAATCCTAGCTTGCCCCTTACAAGCTTGGATTATGAGGAATTTGGGGACCCTAGGATTGAGGCTGAATTTGAGCTCATCCACAGCTATTCTCCCTACGATAATATCCCCTTGGGGGTGTGTCATCCTCCCGTACTGGTTACAGCCTCATTTCACGATTCAAGGTAAGTATTTTCTCCTTCTGCTGGTACAATATTCACATGCTTTTCTATGTCAAGAGAGATTATTTGGAATGCGCCATCCAGTGTGGTGAATCAGAAAGCTAATGGGCAAATCATCCACATAGTCCTGTCATGTTTTCCATATAATATATTTTTCCCCTAGAAATGAACATGGTGCCCTCATCCTTATTCTCCGCATCTCTATTCATCAGATTGAAATTCGTGCTCACTATGCCTTTATATCTCATTTATATGGGTCCTTTATGTCGCAATGCCATAATGAATATTTCTTTTAGTTAATTATGAGAAAAATCTCAGAGAAAATCCACATTTTGGTATCCCGGCATGCTCTCTCTTCTTATCTGATTTATTGCTTTCCATATTCAGGGTGGGAGTCTGGGAAGCTGCCAAGTGGGTGGCAAGAGCAAGGGACAGTTCATGCTCAGCCTGCTCTCGGAGCATCATCCTGAGAACAAATATGAATGGCGGGCATTTTGGAGAGGGTGGCCGCTTTGCAGAGTGCGAGGACATCGCTCTTGAATATGCATTTCTAATCAAGGTGATTGGAGAGCTCGGTGATGAGGACCCTGCTCAGAAGTTGGGTAAAAGAACTCAAAGCCAAGAGCGATAATTGGAAATGTAGGGTAACATCATTGGAGAAGCAATTGATGACTGATCATCAAGGGTTATGAATGGTCTTTTAGCTAAATAAAAATGAGTGTTAGGGATCTGTTAGGGCCCTCAATCTCCAATGGTCAATAACCACAATACTCAGAATGGAAAGGGAGGAAATGATCTGGCAGCCAAGGAAACTAAGCAAATGGGCTTCAAAGAATCCTAACAGTTAACAGGGACATTTGAGAGCCCACCCACTCTTCTAGCTACACCCTTAAGATGTTTCTTGATTCCCCCCAGTCGTATACCTAACTCATGTAGAAAAGGAAATGATTCTTTCTTGCTTCATGGGGCTCTAGTCTAGCCCTCTTGCATAGGGGAAGAATGGGCCACGTTGGGCAGCTTATTGGACTTCTTAGAACTTTCCTGACTCTTGAGGATGCTAAGCTCACTAGGGGCCCAATATCATTTCTTGCCATTTTAGACACCTTGTCCTCAAGGTGAAATGCAGGAAATTGATGTCGTCGTGCGATTGTCAGCTCTCAAGTGATGTTCTCTTTGAAAATTTGATGCCACTTGACCAAAACTTTTGTTCCTTGGGTGGAGGGATGAATGATGAGAATGTTTTGTTCACAGTCTAATTAAGATTGGCATCTGGTAGTGGAAGAAGTGGTAGTCATCTCCTTGTGCTCCAATTGCACTATTAGACTGAAAGATGAAAGGTTAAGTGAATGTAGGCTGAGAGTGTTAGATGTAACTTTTAGGTAACTGGTTTAATTTGCTTTACAATCTCAAAGAGTTTGAAGTAGCACAAAGAGTTTCTTATCAGGTTGACGAGCAGGAGAGTTGAGGTGATAAGGATAGAGCTTGAGGTAGAAAGTCCCCCAAAGCATGTTTCATGCTCTGATGTTTTCCATCTACCTTGACCTTTATGTGAGATTGGGCTTGAAGATATAACTTGAGATATGTCAAAATTACACATGCTCTTGGAGTTGTCTGATGTCTGTGGTTGTCTCCCCTTATGTGTCAAAATAGATCAACATGGGCAGGTCTCTGCTTTATAGAATCTTGAAGGGAGTGAAACCAATAGAAGCAGAAAAGGACGTGTAATATTTGGCTCATGGAAGTCATTTGCTTTATTGGCATGACCAACCATTTGAGAGACAAAGGAGCTATGATTTAAGACATCGATTGGCCACATCTATGTGGTCATCATATTGGGGATGATAGGTTATGCTGCAATACAGTTTTGTGGCTGCAATTTAGAAATTTCAGACTAGAATTGACTTGTAAAAATCTAGTCTATGTTAGAGATGATGGTAAAGGGTAACTTATGCAGCCATATAATATCTAGAAGGAAAAGCTATGTCACCTCCTAAGTAGACGAAGGTGTTTGAGCTGGGAGAAGTGGGTGTACTCAATAAAGTAATCAACCACTATTATAATATAATTTCAGGATGTTGACCTTAGCAGTCCTTCAATGAAATTCATTGACATTTCTTCCCATACCTTATATGGAATTGGCAATGACCAGAGTAGACCTACAAGAGAATTGCCCATATATTATCAAATAATTTACTTGATCCCACTCCATAACACATCTTATGTGAGGCATTTACATGTTCAAAGAAAGTTTAAATGTTCACCAGGGGCAAATGTGAGAGAGTTGATTATCTTCCTGGACCTCTTTTAAAATAGCTTACACATCTAAAGACTAATGTCACTCTTTAGAGTGCTACTTGTGCAAGCCAGTAAGAAAGAGCATCACCACCCTATTGCTAGTCTTAGATTCATACTTTGTCTTGAAATCATAACCCATGATTTTGCCTAAAACAATTCTGAAACTCTAGATGAATTTTGTTGTTATTCGAATAGAAATTTCATGTTATGTTGATCTGTGTAAATAATAAAACATGGACCTAATAATTAGTATGATCACAATTAATTGACATTCATAAATGGGTTTGAGTTAGTTCTTGATCAATATCACTTGGCTGAAAAAGCCACTTGCCTTGATGTTGAAGACCTACAAGAAATTAGATAAGGTCAAAATAGGGATTGAGGTTAGGGTTACCTTGAGTTGGTCAAATGTTGCTGCCTCCCCTCATTTGGATGAACACTTTTTTAGCTTCTACATTAAGGCCCAAGTCATTGCTTTATAATTGACTATGAATCTTTTATAACAGCCAATGAGCCCAAAGAACCTTCACAACTCCTTGAGGGTGGAGGATGTTGGCCATGTAATGATGGCTATGATTTTATCTTGGTCTACCTCTACCCCTTTTGTTGACTCCAATGACCTAAGTACTTGATACACTCCTAGCCAAATAAGTATTTTTTGTATTTAGGTAGAACTAGTGGTACCCAAGTGTTGTTAGAACCTATTTCAAATGTGCCTCATGTGTCACGATGTCCTTCTAAACTAATATGTCACTAAAAAATATAAATATAAATTTGTGGATGGTTCTCATATGACAAAATTCATTTGAAAGACTGAAATGTAGTTGATGCATTTGAAAGATTGAAGAACATAACCTATAAATTGTGCATCATTCATGCTTTATGAAGGTTGCTTTCAAAATATATGACTCCCTTTTTTTGATTTAAAGGTAGCTAGATTTCAAATCAAGTTTTGAGAAGATTGATGATCCATAAAGCTCATCTAATAACTTAGATATGAGTAAAATTGATAACTTACTAGGGATGGTAACCTAGTCTATGAAGAATTATCAACTCTTGTCCCTTTTTTACTAGTAAAATTGGGCTTGAGGAAGGGTTATTAGAGGTTGGACGATCCCTACTGCCTGCACCTCTTTAATTAATTTCTCAATTCCACACTCCTAAAAATGGGGATAACCATTGGGCCTGACATTGGCTAGTGTGGCACCTAGTTGTAACATAAGGGTTGATGTATCTTGTTAGTGGGAGTGTCAAGATGGTGATGACGACAGTCTTCACGAGTTTGTTTAAAGTTGTTTTATTAGATTTGAGGAATTATGAGCCAATGCGGGAATAGAATGATTTGATGTAACATGGTCCATTGAAAAAGGTTGACACAATTTCACTAGACATATGTCCCCCCTACTCGACCTCTTTGGCTAAGAATTTTATAGAAATAATCAACGACAACAAACTTGTTGAAGTGTATGGTGAGGTTACTCCAATAGACTTCCATGGTGCTAAGTAATTTGAGCCACTGCATTCTTAGAATCAAGTTGATGTTACCTATGTTTAAGGGAAGTAAATTCTCTTATATTATTAAACTAGACACTTCCAGCAAATCATATTTCTAGATGTCCTTGCTCTTCATTGTGACATGTGCCCATAATTACTTCATAATTTGTTGTCAAAGTCACTAATAATATTAAATTTTCCTTAGTTTAATGAAAATAAAATTATGGCTAGCTTTGCAATCCTTTGGAATTGTTACCTCTTATCGCCTACCTTCTTTCAGAATTTCATGTCCTAGGGTATATCAATCCCAATGCCAAATTGAGCGATAACTCTATATTCTATATTAGCTATAGTTTTATCTTGTTATCTATCTCCTCACTATCTTTGATGTCCACACTTTTTGTTGGTATCTCCTACTCGTAATCTTTCTCATGAACTATGTGGATTTAAAGATCCAACCTGCACACATAACTAGAAGTAAACTTTGCATCATAAGGAAAACTAACGCCTTTTGAGTCATTGGACATATAGATCAATTTTTATGAGGTTGGGACTCCTTGTCGATAAAGGAGGGTCCCTACCCCCAAAAATGGATCATGTGATCCTCCATTATTGGATCTGCCCATATATGCTTCTTGTGGTCACCCTCTAGTTAATTTGGTTGTGGTGTAGTCTCCATTTCATGTGAAAATCTTATGCATACAATGAATTTGTTTTGTTGTAGAGGTTTGGCTTTGCGATCTTCGACCCTATGATCTCCTTCATTTAGTTAGCCCTTCCATTTATGATGACATTAGTTCAAAATCCCTCATGCATTCTACTACTAATCTAAACTGCGTAATGACTAAAAAATACTTGCAAAGAGTGTCTACTTGAGTGGACCCAAAATGTTTTATTAGTTTCTATTTAAGATCTCATTAGTTCATGAATGGGCTTCTAACATTGATCTAATAATATCATATTGGAGCCTCCTCAAAGTTCAATCATATTGTCATCATCTTCTCAACCTCTATCATTGGGTGTACTATAAAAAATAGCTCTACTTGGCATATTCAACCTTATGGGTTGTTAACATCGAATATCTGAAGCTCAAAGTGTTGCCCACTGCTCCAAGAGTCTACAGTATTTTTGGGTGTGTTGTGTTTGGCATAATCCATCATCAACCTATTACAAGGTCTAATAGCCTTCCTCCCTCCTTGAGTCTCGTACCATCTATCTAGACTCTCCCTCTTTGTGATAGTTTCCCTCTCAGCTCATTGTCCTCCTACATTTGATGTGAAATTGTAATAGTTCATAAATGATCTCATTAGATGCACCATATTGTTGTAATTTCTCAATATTTTACCTCTATTGCTATTTACCATTATAAAGTATTATCCATCTTTCTAACATGTTCGTCTTTCATCTCTTCTAGTTTCTAGCTACTTTGAATGTCATCACACCCTTTTTTATTATTTCTATGATATCAAAATGATAAGGTCATTGATCTGCAATGTTTAATAACAATAGTACTTGGAATGAAAGGGTGAAAATGCTCTCATAATCAAGAAAAATAAGGAAACAAGCTCCAAAGGACCGAAAGAGTTCAGTGGGGATGTTTGAGAGCCCCCCCCCCTCTCATCTACAGCCTTTTGAGGTTTCTTGATACCTCTCACCCCCTCTTCAATGAAACCTTGATACTCAGACACCCATATTAAAGAAAATGACCACCTTCACCCTTCATGGGGCTTTGGTCTAAATCTCCCCACAGGGGTAGAATGGGTCTTCTAGTGTATGTCACTAGCCTTCTTAGATGCTTTTGCATCTCAAGTATGTTAGGCCAGGCCCACTAGGGGCCCATCAGGATGACAATGTTTCTTTGACATTTAATTCAGGTCAACCAATGAGGCTCCATGTGTTCAATCACTTTTGAATGCACATCAATTGGGGTTAAGTAATTTATGGCTCACTAGCTATACAGGATCATGTTTTATGGACAGTTCATGGAGAGGCTGCTTATTGTTAGAAGGTTATGAAGGTTTTGATGTGTTTCCCTCTTCTCCTATTTTTTTTTTAAATGATAGATTTATTGTGAAAGCATGTTCATTATTAATCAAATGATAATACAACATGTTACATGATTTTATGAGAAGAACAGATGAAGGAGAAATAGTTGACCATCATTTGAAGGTTCTTCAACGAACAAAACCAGAGAAAACTCATTTTATTTTATTTTTGTGAATTTTAAATTCAAATTAGATAGCTGATGATGCACTTAATAGTGATGATGCATTGGAGTTATTTTTTTGTGATTCATTCGGTAATATAGTTTTTTATGAAATTTAAGAAAATTCTATTTTGGTTAACATTATTTTTATCAAAATATTTTATCATGGATGTTCAACAACCATGGGAAATTTCAATTTACTAAGTGATAGATACATTATTTTATTTTAATATGATTAAATCTATTATATGATCTTTCTAATATACCTCAATTTGTGCATAAAATATTTTAAATATTCTTTATTGAACTGGCCAATAAAAATCATTGAAAAATATTTTTATTGAAAACTATATAATTTTAATACTTGACTAGAAATAAAACTTATCTCAATGGTAACCTTCCAGACATATAATTCTACTGTGCAAAAATAATCATTCAAAAAATGGAAGCAGGGTATTACCTAATGAAAATAAACCATAGATTTCAAAACTATATCCACCAATTGTCCCATTTTAGTAAATAAATTGAGGGTTGGTCCTCGTGGAAGACATTTGGGCTCAATCTAACCGCTGATGGGCCCAGCCCATTAACACTCCCCTCCCTCCTAATCTATGTTATAAATTCCAAAGTACTGAAATAAATAAAAGATATAGACCTGGTTAGAAGTAATAAATAAACCTTAAGAAAAGTACTATCCCACATCAGGTAGTAAAGGTGGGAGTGTGAAAAAGGGGAGAGAGAAAGAGAGAGAGAGAAGACAGCAGGCGAGTTATGGAAACTATAATCCATGTGGACGACCATATGGATTGGGCCCATCTTGAGGACCCGACGCCTTTTGGGCTTTTATGTTGGACCAAATCGTCCAAGTTTCAGGCCCAGTTCCTTTTTCCTGGTCTAATTCTTACACATCTGAGCCCACCATTCTTCTCTCTCACCCATCTAGCACCGTCTCTTTCTCTTCTTCTCTCTCCTATCCATCTAGCACATCACCTCTCTCTCTCTCCATCTCTCTCACCCATCTAGTGCCTCTCTCTCTCTCTATTTCTCTCACCCATCTAGTAACCTCTCTCTCTCTCTCCCTCTATCTATCTCACCCATCCAGCACCCTCTCTTTCTTTTCTTCTCTCTCTTACCCATCTAGGACCCCACCTCTCTCTCTCTCCATCTCTCACCCATCTAGTGCCCTCTCTCTCTCTTACCCATCTAGTACCCTCTCTCTCTCTCTTACCCATCAAACCCCCCCCCCCTCTCTCTCTCTCTTCATCTCTCTCACCCATCTAGTACCCTCTCTCTCTCTTTATTACCGATCTAGCAGCCCCCCCTCTCTCTTTCTCTCTCTATTATTTACTATCTGCCTCTTTCTTTGGGCTTCTGAGTTGACCCAATGGTCACGATATGAGCCTAATTTTCCATTTCTGCTGTAATTATTACACGTGAGCAGGCTTACCGGTTCCATGGGCCCCACCCAAATGGGACACCATAATTTCAAGACATGTGTTGAAAAACCGTCGTCAGCCAGTCAGATCCGCTCACTTTTTAACTGTTTTGACACGTGTACTTGCACGTGCGATCGTCCTATTTGATTGCGTTCAGCCCATTAATGGGCTTCCCACGTTGGGCGGTTCAGATGCGGCGGTTGGTGGCGCATCCTTGTTCAATGGAGGAGCGAGCGCCACGCGGACTACGTGGAAGACCTCTTTCTGACGTAGCTGACGCCGTCACTTAACGGCGCGCACCGACAGCAGCAATTGGACGGCTCCATCTGGGCCCCACCCCAACAAAGCAAAATGCCCCACTTGCACAAATCGCCTCCTCAAATATTTATAAAATATATACATTATAATATATTGTAAATGGGCTTTTCTTGGGCCGTTTCTCTTAAAAAAGAGAAAATATATTAATATAATATATCGTATTTATTTCATTAAAAAATATTATCAGGAAATGTTGTTCAGACATAAGAATCATAGCGGAATATTTTTATTCAAATAATAAATGGGTTTTATTTTATAAAAGAAACCGTGGACCTCGGTTGAAAGCGGACCATGACTTTCCAGAGAAGACGAGACAACGGCCGGGGACCGTCGTCGTTCCCTAACATCCCCATCGTATTTTTATACTTGGCATCATGTCCTAACCTTTTCCTATTTGTGAAATAGCCCATCTCATTTAAAATTTTGACCCCTATTCAAAATTAAACACTTAAATTAACAAGAATAATCATAAAGCACATTTTTTAAAAAAATACTTTTTATTTCTGAAATACTTCCTTTAGGGCTACATATGTTATTAATCATAATGCATGGGTACATCAGATGTTAAGGACAGAAGAGTGAGGGTCACTTATAATTTTGAGGGTAGGAGGGTAGAGGTATACGAACGTGTGATGACGTCATCCTTACTAAAATACGCCTCTTCATGGCGGTGCAGTTTAAATGGCAGCCTCTGCCCACCTGCGGAAGGTGACAGGAGGGTTGGGGAGCCGAGCCCCCCGATCGATCGATCGTCGGTGGGTCGCCCGCCGGAGATTCATCGGAGTTGGTGCAGTTCTTGCCGGTGGAGGAGAAGCGCCGCCAGATTTGAGGGATCGTCACCGGAGTTCCGTGCCAATGGGACGGTGGAGGAAGTTGTAAATTGGTTTGTCGCGACCTGTCTGGATCGAAGAACGGATTGAGGAGAGAACTGGTTCAATGTGGATGTAGGAGGAGGTCGTTTTGAGGCATTCATTGCTGTTGGAGGGAGTTTGGGCGTAGATTCTTTGGATTTTTCGCACGGCATTTGTTGCTGTTGCTGGGAGTGTTTTCCGCCATCTTTACAGCGGCGCAGATCGGGATCGAATTTCGCTAGGTTTTCCTAAATCTCTTGTTTTACGCGTGGCCATTCTTTCCGTGACGCTGGGGACGAATTTGGAGGAAGATAGAGTTGATTGATGCATGGAGGAGAGTTGTCCCTCTGAGGGCAGCCATGTGCAGATTTGAGAACTTGATAGAATCCCAGTACAGAGCGGAGGAGAAGATGGGTTTGAGGCCTGCTGGAGAGGGCAAGGGGGAGAAGCCCAAGGGCTCGGTGGTGATGGCGGGAAGGTCGCGGAAGAATCTGTGGATCATCCGCGCGACGACGACTGTTCTTCTGTGGACCTGTGTTATGCAGCTCACGGCGCTGGGAGATATGTGGGGGCCCCGGGTGCTGAAGGGCTGGCCGTCCTGCTTCACTTCGCCTGGTTCGACTCCCATGGCGGTGATCTCCTCCCTTCCGCCATCAATCGAGGCAGAGAAGTTGGTGCTCCCCCCCAAAAGTGAGTTCATGTTCCTCTATAATCTGGTTCATGGCTTCCGACTGATTTCCCAATTTGTCGAAATATCCACACTAAAAGTATTCATCTTCACTTCCCCACTTGCCTAAAGCCTGAGCTTCCCCGAATTCTATGATCAAATGGGTGGGAGTTCCTGGTCCATGGGAATTCTCTCTCATGGTTAAACTCTCCATGGAACTGCTTCTTTTTATCTGCTGCTAGAAACATCTTTGCCACTTGTGGAAAAACTGGAAAGGTGGCCACTGTAGAGACATGGCCTCATTTTAGCATAGCCATTCTGGTCCCAAAAGCTGTGTTTCCCCTTCTTGACACTACCTCTTATGGAATCTGAAGAGTTTGCTTGCTTAAAATGTCATCCAGGAGTTTACAAGAACAACGGGTATCTAATGGTTTCATGCAATGGAGGACTGAATCAGATGCGGGCAGCGGTGGGTACTCTGATATCAATGTTTTCTCATTTTTCTGTGTATAGAAATTAATCATGTATCTCCATTCTAATCTGGTTACTCAACTGCTGGATCATCTGCTCAAACTTCTTTGCAGATTTGTGACATGGTTGCTATTGCGAGATATCTCAATGTGACTCTCATCGTACCAGAGCTGGATAAAACTTCCTTTTGGGCGGATCCAAGGTCTGCAGATTCTAAAATTATCATATACCTACTTTGTTTTACTATATTATGTTCTTCTGATTCCTCTCACTGCTAAAAAGATCTCTTAATGCTCCGCAGTGAGTTTCAGGACATATTCGACGTGGATTATTTCATTACATCCTTACGAGATGAGGTCCGAATACTGAAGGAATTGCCACCCAGACTGAAGAGAAGGGTAGAGCTGGGAATGGTCCATTCCATGCCTCCTGTTAGCTGGTCAAACATATCTTACTACCTCAATCAGGTCAACCCCCCTCTCTCTCTCTAGGGCAGCTCTGCATCAGCTAGATGAGTATGAAAAGAAAGCTCACGGCCAGACCTCTTCTTTTCGTGCAGATTCTTCCCCTGATAAAGAAGCACAAGATTGTGCATTTGAACAAGACTGATGCCCGCCTTGCCAATAATGGGCTGCCATTGGAGATCCAGAAGCTGCGATGCCGTGTAAACTACAGCGCACTGAGGTTCACTTCCCAAATTGAAGAGCTGGGGAGAAAGGTGGTCGCCCTGTTACGGAAAAAAGGCCCCTTTCTGGTCCTCCATCTGCGATACGAGATGGACATGCTAGCTTTCTCCGGCTGTACTCATGGCTGCACAGACGCAGAGGTAGAAGAATTGACGAGAATGAGGTACTGGGTCCTCATCCCCTTCCACCTTTCTCGCAGTGGTTTCACTACCATTCTTAGAATCTGACCAGTCGCTTCTATATCTGCAGATATGCCTACCCATGGTGGAAGGAGAAGGTTATAGATTCTGTTCAGAAGAGGAAAGACGGCCTCTGCCCTCTGACTCCTGAGGAAACCGCCCTGGCCTTGAGAGCATTAGGCATCGATGGCAACCTACAGATCTACATTGCTGCTGGAGAAATATACGGCGGGCGGAGGAGGATGGAAAGCCTTCTCTCATCATATCCCAATCTGGTTAGTAACTTGAGAGAGACTATTTTCTTTCCATATTCTCCTTCCTCTTTTTCTTTGCCTAATTGAGCTGTTTATTTCCTAAATAGGTGCGCAAAGAGGCGCTATTGGAACCATCGGATCTCATGTCCTTTCAGAATCATTCTTCTCAGATGGCAGCTTTAGATTACTTGGTATCTCTCGAGAGTGATATATTTTTTCCCACATACGATGGTAATATGGCCAAAGTTGTGGAAGGCCACCGCAGGTATTAAAATATCTTAATTCTTTACTGCATTTCTGACACCCACAGCCGTCAGATCTCATTTAAGGCTTTGAATTGTTCTATACTGCGCAGAGAAATTATTTTTACCAGCAAAAAAAAATAATCTTGGTCAACGGGGTTTATTTTATTCTGTCTGTTCCGATCTTTTTAACCGTGATCATTACCTATCATTCAATTGGAAAAAGGGTTGACTTTTCTCTACTGGCGGCAGAGCATTTACTTACCTTAACCCACCAAAAAAAGAAAAATCTGATTCACCATACTTTCTTTTTGATTTGACGTTCTGTGGTTGATCCAGGTATCTGGGCTTTAAGAAGACGATCTTGTTGGATCGCCAGCGTCTGATAAACTCCGTTGACCTCTTCCACAATGGGTCCTTGAGCTGGTCAGAATTCTCCGCCATGGTGAAGGCGGCGCTTGCGGATCGGATGGCGGCTCCGGCAAGGCGGGTGGTGATTCCTGATCGCCCCAAGGAGGAGGACTCCTTCTACGCCAACCCACAGGAATGCCTGCTACAATCAACCAGATAGCTAGCAACTTACGCCCTTCCAGTATATATATACACAATCTCTATAGAGCTCCTCTTGAGCCTGCTGGTGGGTGGTACATTGATTCTAGAGAGAGGATGGAAGCCCAATTCATGGGTTTTTATCCAAATAAACCCCTCCTTACCCCTTTTTAGAGAGAGAGAGAGAGAGAGAAGGGGGAGGGGAGATGAGGGAGGGGTTCATTGTTTCAGGCATGAAGAGCTCAGAAGTAGGTTCCCTCTGTGGTTCTTCTCGGAAGCCATGTCGTTCATTGTTGTTGTCATCATCATTCTTTTATTTCATTGGTATTATCATTGACGAGGGATAGTTTATGAAAGGCCCCTTTGCCGCATCTCTCTCTCTCTCTCTCGCTCTCTCTCACTCGCTCTGGCATTGAGTTGATGCTTTGGTCTAAGAAACTAGTCTTGGAAAACCCAAAGAAGAGAGGAGATTCTTCGACGACGACCTTTTCAAGAGAGAGAGAGAGGTTGATGGTTTAACTACTAGCGAGAGGGAGAGAGTTCGTGTGTGAGTGAGAGAGAGAGAGATGTTGATGGTTTAATTGCTAGCCGAGAGAGAGAGAGAGAAAGAGTGTGTGAGTGCGTGCGTGCGTGCGTGCGTGTGTGTGTGTGTGTGTGAGAGAGAGAGAGAGAGAGAGTGAGTCAGTGTGTTTTTGTGTGTGCGTGCGTGCGTGTGTGTGTGTGTGTGTGTGTGTGTGTGTGTGTGTGTGTGTGTGTGTGTGTGTGTGTGTGTGTGTGTGAGTGAGAGAGAGAGAGAGAGAGTGAGTCTGTGTTTTTGTGTGTGCGTGTGTGTGTGAGAGAGAGAGAGAGATAATGCTTGAACGGCGTGGGTAGAGAGAAGGTCGCCTATAGAGGGAAAGGAAAGCAGGTGGGGTGGGTGAGGTGGGGGAGGGGGAATAACAAAGAGATCGATGAGACTCCGCCGGGTACTGAAAGACGGAGGGGGATTGTCTCATCGTACGAAGCTGGTCCAGTCCGAGTTGTACAACTCGACGCCAGCTGCTTGCCAGCGCGACGAGGCCCCACACCCCCAGTTTTGTCGTCAACCCGCACGTACGAGTCTCTCTTTCTCTCTCTATAAATTAAACCATCAATCTCTCTCTCTCAAGACCAATTAAACACCAACCCCGGCATCTTCTCTCACTAGCATGTGAAACGGCCAACCTCGTTGACCTCTCCCCAACAGTTAAACACCAACTCTTTCTCTCTCTCTCGCTAGCCATTAAACCACCAACCTCTCTCTCCCTCAAGACCAATTAAACCACCAACACACCTTGCATCTTCTCTCACTACCATTTGAAACCACCAACCTCGTTGACCCCTCCCAAATATTTAAACACAAACCCAAACCTGTTCTGCATCTCTCTCTCTCTCTATCTCTTACTCACTCACTCCCACTCGCTCGCTCTCTCTCCAACCAAGGTTAACTGAATTCTCTCACATAACTCTAAACCACCAAGTGAGAGAGAGAGAGAGAGAGAGAGAGAGGGCAAGTGTGACAATTACTTAATGGGCCCTACAGGTCCAATGCAGAAGGGGCAATGCCCACCCACGAGGGAACAAGAAGGGAACCGATGCTTAATCCACAGTCTCATTGACTTCCATAGTCAAGGGGACTACCCCTAGAAGAAAGACTTTTTCCCTACAGTAAAAAGTCAACCCCAACTTCAACCTTTTCTGTCACTTCATCTAAAGACTTGCACAACAATGACCAAATCACACTAATGACGATCCGAATTCACCGCAAAACAATTTCACTACTATATCTTTCACCGGTCGGATCAGTCAGACTCTTCAGCTGACCGATGAAGGTCCAACATCAGATAGGTCAACTCCAGACCAAATCACACTAATGACGATCTAAAGTCACCGCAAAACAGTTTTGCTACTATATCTTCACGGTAAGATCAGTCAACTATTCAGCTGACCGATGAAGGTTCAATGTCAGATAGGTCAACTCCAGACCAAATAATGCTTATGAAGATCTAAATTCTTCACGAATCAGTCACGATTAGATTATTCGAGGTCGGAGCAGTCAACTCTTCAGCTGACCGATGAGGGTTTGACCTCGATTGGTCAACTCCAGACCAAATCAGCCCACGAATTCTATTCTGAACTTGCCATGTCGCCTAAATTTGGGCAAGAATCATCCAACTCAAGTTCAGATCTAATAAATTCGGATAGGAAAAAGATCCCACAATTAGAAGAATGAAGCTCAGATTGGTCAACTCTGGATCAGATCATATATTCTGATTCGAGACAAGGGGAGATCCCGATCAGCTGGGCAAGAACCATTAGAAAGCACAAGCTTGGATCATGAAAAATAAATTAAAAAACCTAGGTGGCCTCCCCTCGATGATATCCAAACTAGGGTTTGGCCGGGGTAAGGCATGTAGTCAGTCTGCAGACGAGATTAGCAGCAGATGATGAACAGCATAGAGAGAGAGAGAGAGAGAGAGAGAGAGAGAGAGAGAGAGAGAGAGAGAGACTATAAAGAGAAATTCATGAACAGGGTAGATTCTCAGGTGTGAAGAAACACAGAAGAGATTTCCAGATTGCATCAATGGACGAATGAGGATAGAAAAACCCTAGCGATGCCCTGGCCCGCCACAGATCACCATCATCAGAGGGTAACATAAGAGCGAGGAGAGAGAGAGAGAGCTAGACAGCATCTGATTTGGGTCTCTTGCACCCAAACCCAGGATCCTCAACGCAGTCCCTGGACCTCGATTGATGGCCCGCCGCTTGGTCTTCCAGGTCCTAACAAACGCCCGAAAGTCAACTGCACTAAAAATCTGTTTCCCATACCAAGGAACCGGAAAACTAAATAAAATAATAATAATAAAAGGTCCTGGGAATTCTAGTTCTAGTTTGTTCCATCCCAAGTTTTCCACTAGAAAAAATAAAAAATAAAAAGAAAATAAAACCGGTGTAAAGAAGACGAAGAAGAAGATGAGATTACCTTGTGAATGGGGCCTGGCCAGGCGATCGATCGACGGGCAAGATTGATCTGGACGGAGATGCTGGCTTCTGAGAGATCAATGCCCGAGTTCCGCAGGGCCTGTGCAAGAGCAGCGAGGAACCTGTGGGCTCCAAGATCACGAGGGGACCGTGGGAAGGGGTGAGTCACCCAATAACAGTACAAGAGAGAGAGAGAGAGAGAGAGAGAGAGAGATTGATCTTTCTAGGTGCTGCAAAGTTGACCAAATTGGTAGGGTTGGGCAGCCCTAGAAGACCAGCATTAGATTATCATGAAAAAATGTTTTTTTTAATAAAAAACTAATCTCCAAAGATACTAGATTATTTTTTATTCCTGATTGAGTAAAGACGAGAGGGAATTTTCTCTAGGCATTAACAAAAGCATTATACATACTAAAGGGAAATAACAAAGAACAGTAATCGATTTTTCTCAGGATATTAACATAAAATTATATAAACGAAAATAACAAAGAACAGGAATTGATTTTTCCCTGGATATGAACACAAAGAAAACAGCAAAGGGTACGGACTGAGCTTCCATTGGATACTAGGGCGAACATTATGCACAATAAAGAAAAAAAAAGGGCAAAAGATAGGAAATGACACAAACCTAGAACTATATATATTGAAAAATCTCAAAAAAGTGAGTAATAATAATATCCTCCCCATCAAAATACACTTTGGATAGTTCATCTGGCAAAAAATGTCCGAATTAGTGAACCCAAAAGCCCAGCCCACCACGTAAAATTACTTTTCATGAAAAAAATATTATCCCCAAATATTAGATAATTTTATGATTCCTTCGCCAAGTGAACCTTCCAGAAAAAAATTCTCCACAGATATTAATATTAAAAAATTATATAATCATCATCACCCTGGAACTATATATGAAAAATTATAGAAACAGATGACTGATGATAATGGCTTACCTGTCAGAATATTCGCAGGACAAATTAATTGTCCCCTCATCGATGACCAGCTCCTCTTGCCCCCCGCTTAATGCATCAGTGTCAATGCTGTTCCCCATGGTGCACGGTCTCAGCCCCAGAAGCGCCAGAGGACTTGCCGCTACAGTCTCGAGATCGGTATTCAAGCTGTGCTGTGGTTGGCACAGTCCCTCCCTGTTTGTAGCAGGAGGATACTGAATCGGGATGGGTGGGACAGCCAACTTGCCGGCCAGAGCCGAGCTTAGATTCACAGACTCAGCCACATCCTGGGAGCTTGAGATGGCCAATTGGGAATCTGACATGGCCCCGTCAGAGGGAAACATAAAGCCCGTGGATGCTGGGGTGTTTCTCCTGAGCGAAGGATCTCCAGGCCCCTGGCTGTTCTTCTGTTCCAACCAGGAGACGGACAGAGAAACAAAAAATTCATAAGCATTTGTATCGGACGAAAATTCCCTAAGATCCAGTGCCTACAGCAGTCCAAGAAACAAGAGGCAATCACGATGATATATTGGAGAAGATTATTAAAACTAATCCTGTGACAAGAACAGAATAAACCACCGACTTATTGACTTTTTGGGTCTGAGGGTATGTATAACAAAGGGGTGTGGTTTAGAACAGTTGGACTGCCAGATTCGACTTGGATGCATGGAGATATGGTCTTCTCATTGGACTGGAAACCGAAGTCAGTCAAAGCCAAAATCAAATTTTAATAAAAAATAAATATGGAATTTTCACTTTAAAAAAAAACATAAACACATTAATCTAAAAGAAAGGTATCTCTAGCAAGCCCCTTTCTCCCCATCCCTAATGCTTTATTAGCCACGAACTGTGGAAGAGTGGGAAGGGCTTCAGGCAAAGGGTTGTCTTGGAGCCAGCAGTGGGTTGAACGGTCTGGCGGTTGTTGGTCTATCCAATAAGGTATACCAAACTAGAAGTAGAAGTCTATGGAAAGCAGTATTACGGATGCCACTAAAGAGGTCTTCAGGTAACCTATGGCATGATGTAGGAGATATGAAATGGTGGGATAAAGGGCTCAACTAAAGAAGAAGATCCAGAAAAGCTCTATTAACACAGGCATCAATCAAAAAGTATAGATGGTCATGCTAACATACAATGGTCCGTGACTTAAATCAAAAATTTCATCTAAGATGCGCTGAAGAAGGTGCATTGCTAATTTGCAATGTCTTTATTTGGTTATAAATGCTTGTGAACGAGAAGGACCCATGTCCACCAAATTCAATGTACTACAAAAGAGAGGTGGAAAGGTGCTACTGTAAGACCAGCAAATCTTAGAGAAGTGTTAGATCTATACTTACAAGTTCTTGAAGGAGAAAATAATGACAGATCCAGACTGCAGCATGCAGTACAGTGGTGAAGAAAGGAGCGCTTTAATAGAAGTAGCTTACCCTCATTATAAATGGAGACTACTATGGGAGACATCAGACGAGAACATTGTGCAGACGAATGGAATATCTATTAAAATCTGTAGGACTATTGGCCAGTCAATTTGAAAAGAGATTTAACCAGCGGAACGAAAAGCTGATGATCCTCCCCTGCAAACAGATATGAGCAATACTGCAAGGAAACATTGATTTTTCAATGTGATACGATTTTGTCGATAATGAGGAAACCCAAAGAAAGATGTACTACAATCATGAATAATCGCTTTAAATCTGTCTGGCAATCACGTTTCATGGAATGACACTACAACGGCAATGAAAACATTTAGGGACAAAGAATCAGACTTTCATACAGTCTATGGTTATGACATCACAAACTAGATTCTAGAATAAGGGAGCACCTGATTGTCATGCGTCACAACATTACCACAAAAGGCAGATGTGAATACAAATGAAATGAGCGAAAACGAATTGTACAGAGGAAGTTCCACTAGAAATATGATGAGCACTTTGGATCCTTGTTTACCCAACCATATTGACTATAAGTTGTATGCTGAAGCAGACAGGAACTAAATGGCTAACAACAGGGGAAGTCAACAGATGGAAAAGAAACAAGGAGGTGACACTGTAGATGCATAGTGAAGATTATTTCCCTTGGTTTGTGGATATCACATCATATTCTCCCTATTTACTGTTTCCTGAGTCATTTTTTCACCCAGTCAAAGTCAATAAACTTCATGCACTGTTTGAAGTTAGCAGTTCTCCTCATAGTAGGCACAGCACAATTTACACTTTTTGATCTACCATGAAGAACTGATACCAACTCAACTATGGTGTGTAAGCACAGTTGAAAAAGTTGTTTACAAATGAAATAAGTGTGCGGATGTATACCACCTGGCTACATGTGGCACACTAGAGAAATCCTCACTGAAAAAAGCGTCTTGATTGCAACTAGGTATGCTCATCAAATAATTATGTACAAATCCTTCCACTCCCAGCTATTCATCCAAACACAGGTAAGAAAGAGGTACAGACTTGATCTAACAATGGAAACTATGACTTGATCAGTGTTACCAAAAAGAGCTGCAGATAAAAGCACCACGAAATGATTAAAGCTCTAAGCATAGATGTAGAGTCGCATGAAAATATTACACGTGCTCATGCATGCAAGCAGATGTAGAAGGTAGAGTACTCCTCTATTACCCATGGCACCAGCTTTGCATTGTTTGGGTTGTATATTGGGTAGTTCAATTCATACTTGAGCACTTTTTCTTGTAAAATCTGGATATATTCAATGACCTGGAATGGAAATTTGCGGTTTAGGAAGATAATCTGAAGGCAAATTATTTTAAAGTAAAAGAATTTTTCAAAGCTTCATCTCAAATGAAACTGGGAGCTACCTCCAAAAGAAAGGATGCTTTATCTCGTTTCTGATCACTGTCTGGTATGAGGTCTCTTAATATCCGAAATCTGTATAAAAGAAAGTTACATATTTGTCTTTCCTTCACTGAATCACTTTTATCGGAAACATCTATGAGTTTCTTCACAGATTCAGCTTTAAAAAAAATGTTAGCTGGCATAAATTTCCAAGAAAATGGAAGCAAAACTAAATGGCAAGGACCCTAACAAATTTTGGAGATCATTACACAAAATCTTTCCCATTTTCATGTAGATTAACAGGGGACCAATATGGTGCAAGCTTTCTCAAAATAAATCATCACTGCATGTGAAATGAGGTCTCTGACGAACTAGATATTTCCTAAAAGAATTTTCATGACATACAAAAAAAAAAATCGAAATAAGCTGGCCTTAATTTGATAGTCAAATCTACCAAACATAAAGGCAAACAGGATGTCATTTGTCATCAACAACAATTCCTTTTTCATGTACACATGCCAATTGGACAGATTAAATATGAGTCTCGTTTCTCACCCACTTAGAATTACACCAGTGGCCTAGTTTACCCAAAAAGTTTTGTCCATTTGCTGTAAAAGGTTGGTTTGCAAAAGTGAATGGATGATCATTCCAATGAGAAAATCGTAAGTTCCTTCAATGACCTGAAGAAGGGACAAAGATAACAACAATGTCCCGATCCACATCTGAAAAGTACAACACAGAAGACAGATTCGGCATGCAAAGATTAATCGTTCAACATGATACCCCATTTTACTGAGATTAATTGAGAAGCACCTCTTTTGTGTCCTTGATGAAAAAAATGATCGTTGAACAAGATAACCACACTAGGTTAAGTTTGATAAGAAATAATAGTTAACAACAAAAGTTCACCTCAGCAATTGAGCCCCTTAGCATACTTGCTCAGATCCCAACAACCATATAATCGTTGTCCGTAAACCGATGGCCACAGTTAAGCCCATTTCATGGAAAATAAAATAAATTCCTACTCACACACTGACGACCATATCACACATGGAAGACAATGGTGAACCACAAAGCTTCAACAGAGAATTGTATGAAAAAGGAATTGTGTAAAAGAAGGAAGAGATAAATCAACAGGGAAAGATAGAATCTAGCAGATGAACAAGAGGAGAACATATAAAAAACATTACGGACACACCATGCTGGACAAGAACTTGAAACCACGGAAAAGAGAGCTGAAGAAATCAACAATCAAATGAAAGTGCAGGATTCTCGCCTGTCATTGATCCTGCTCCTCCGGCGTTGCTCAGTGGCTGAATGTTTAGATCGCGGCGTGGAGGGCTTCTGGTCAGTGCAGCTGTTGTCATTGTTCCTGTGTCTGTCACTGTCTACTTTCGCCGCCACTTCTGCAACGGACCGTACGACAAAAACGAGTTAACGAATGAACGAACGAAGTTGGGAGAAAATCATAGCAACGAATTCGTATTCGCTCAAGGAGCATGGATAAGATTCATCGGTAAGCCGACAGAGACGTAACAATGAACAACCCTTCGGCTACCCTAGTCTACCGCACCCACGGACGTAATCTAGGGCAGCTACGGAAACCAAACCTTTCCGGGAGGACGTCTCCTTCCCAAAATCGTCATCGTCATCGTCATCGTCATCCATGAAGGACTTGTTGGATCTTGACGCCGTCTCCATTGATCGAGCTCTCCTGCTCGCCGCTCCAACGCAAAACACGCACAGAGAAGGAAATCTAGAACACCAGATTATCGACCAGCCGGGCAGCACGAAGGAGGCAGAGCAGGGATGGAGGACCCACAGCAGCCACCGGAGAAGATCAACAAGGTGAGGGGAACCTGCCGCTCTTGTTGCCGCTGGTCCGGGGTTTGGGGTGAGGGGCGAAGCAGAAAGAGAGAGAGAGAGAGAGAGAGAGTAGTTGGTGATACGGCGTTGGGGAGCAGCAGTTAATGCCCGTTTAAAATTCAACGAGCCCCAGACAGGGTTCTCAAAAGGGGGTAAGCCCATTAAGGCCCAGCTTGCTTCTTCCTAATTTCCAACTATATTTTCATTTTATTTTCTTCATTAAAATATTTTTTTACTAATACCTGTATAGAATATATGAATTAAGTGTATTCCTTTCATATTTTTTTAATATGAATCATAAATTTTTTATTTAATATAAAATTTCATTTTTCGTATTAATATGAAAAAACTAATGTGAATTTGTTTAAAATTTAAACCGAATAAATTAAAAGTAAGTATTATGACATAATAGCCTTGAAATATAATTAAAATTTAAATTTTTAATAATTATTAGACATTTACATGTTTTCTTAATCAATAGTGTTCTTAAACATAACCTATAAATTTCATAATATTCAATTCATAGTGTTAAATAAGTAGACTTAAAACTATACTTCTAGCCCAAAAACATGCAAAAAAATATCCCATAGAAAAATTTAAATGTGGCAAAGTTTCAAGCATGTTGCATATGGATAATTATTAATATATACTAAAATAGGGGATGAATTTCTCTAAGCAAAGAAAAGCTTGGTTAAATCTTTTAATGTTGATTATCTTACATATTTGTAATTTTTTAGTCACTTCCATTTTTAAATGCAATAATTGATGATACCTGATTTTGTTAAAAAATATAGAAATTTGTTTTAAAATATATTTAATTACCATAGGAAATATTTATTTTCCCTAAAATAGAAGTATATTCTGAGGTTACCTATACAAGTTCATAAATAGACTACCAAACTACCAATTCTATGTATTTTTAGGTTCTAATTAATATCAAATAAATGGTTTATTTTAGCCCATCGATCATAAATTAATTACAAAAAAGAAAATCAGCCCCAGTTACATTCATAAAGGCAACAAATATTACACGATTTTACATTGTCAAGCTTACATAGTTCCCCCTGACAGCCAATCGAGAGAGAGAGAGAGAGAGAGAGAGAGGGAGAGGGAGCGGTGCAGCCCCCCCTAACCGAAATTTATCTTGTGTGCTTTGGAGAAGTGCTTGCCAGCGGCGACCATGGTCGCCTCGGGGGCGGCGGGCGAGGCCGCCGGCGAGCGGCTACCTTCGCCGCCGCTTGGCCGTCTGGGCGCCGTAGTGCATGCTCGCCAGGGCTTCAGTAACCGCGAGTACCATTTCCTTTCATTCTCCTTCTCCTTCCCCATCTCGTCCTCCGGTCTCAGCCAAACTAAAAGAGGAATTACACAAGATCGCCGCAAGAGGACTTCAGAGCTCTGGTCGCCCGAGGTGGCCGGAAAACTTCGAGTTCCAACTTCAGAGAGAACGATCGGGCAGCGCGTTGGCGGAGGAAGAAGAAGAAGAAGAAGAATCGGTGGTGCCCTTGCTGGAGGATCAGTGTGACGAGTTCGTTTAGTTTCAGCGGGCTGTGAATTTATAGAGCTCCCGTTTTCTTAGAGCTCACGTTTTCTTAGAGCTCAATCAAGGTCCGTCTAGGTTCCGCGTGGAAGTGGAGAAGTCTTTTTTTAAAATAACCCCCTACTTAATAAAGTTTAGGAGTTTTCGACGAAGTGCCGTGGCAGTGGTCAGTCAAAGATGGCTTGGTCCTCAAGCCTTTGGTCGTCATCTTCACTTCGTGACTCCCACGGATTTTGGAGAAACTCCCCCAGCTGACCACTGCCCGTTGACTGCCTCTTAACGGCCCATATCATGCGTGTCCACGGGTCTGACTAAAGCAGTCACGATAACTGTTTGGTCCTGGTAACCCTCCATGAAGTGTCCGCCTGCCGCCTGGAAAATCAGGCGCACCATAATAATTATCATGATTTTTTATAAGTAGATTACATTTTAGAACAAAGGGCTCCCTTTTTATAATAATAATAATTATTATTATACTATTAATAGTGATAATAGTTGATTGTGGGGAATAAAGGATTTTATTTAGACAATAATGTTATTTGCCCTCTAGTTTCAGATTCTGTAGTATATTCTATTTTTAATGTGTCTAGACTTTCTTATTTTTTCGTAGTACATTTCAGGAAAAGTAAGTAAATAGACAATAATATTCCTGATTAATTAAAAAAATACAATAACAATCGGGGCAGGAGGTCTTTGATTGAAGATCCTTAGAAGTCAACGCTCAGTTCCATTTTAAAATATCAATCCATCTCTGAATGGCGGACAGCTCGTGGAGATCGAAACACCCAAAGGAGGGGAGAACTACTAATACATGGCGAAAGAGAGGGAGGGAGAGATAGATGGGTAAATTGATAGAAAGAGAGAGAGAGAGAGAGAGAGAGATAGATCAATAGATAGAGAGAGACTGCTAGATATAAGATAGAGAGAGAGAGAGAGAGGGAGAGACAGAGAGAGAGAGATAGATAGATAGATAGATAGATAGATAGATAGATAGATAGATCTGAAACTCTGTCCGCGATTCCTCCCCGGACTCGAGCACCTCTGGCGACCACCTAAGAGAAGCTCACCTGGTGTGACCTGGAGAAGTGCCTGGCGACGGCCGCCATGGCCGCCAGGGGCCCGCCGAACGAACCCGATCGGCGGCGAGTTGCACCGACGAGGTGGGCGGCGCCCTCCCCCGCCGCGAACGATGCCGAGCGGCGGTTTGCACCTGCGAAACCCACAGCGCCGCCCACCATGGCGGCGCCCTCCGCCGCAGCGAACGAGGCCGCACGGCGGGGAGTTGCACCGGCAAGGTGGGCGGCGCCTCCCACCACAGTGGCCGCACGGTGGCCCCCTCCGCCGTGGTGGGCCGCGCACGCCAGCTACGGCTTCAAGAACCGCCTAAACCAGCTCCCCCCGTCCTTACCAATCTTCCCCTCTCTGAGCTCCTCTCCTTTCTAAAAAATGAAAACAGCGACCACCCGAGAGGGAGGGAGGAGGAGGATCGGCCGGCGAGACAACGGTGGGAGGAAGAAAAAAATCGATGGGGGCGAGTCCACTCGGTGGGAGAAGGATTGATAGGTGAGTCAGAAGGACGAGTCGGCAGCGTGGCTTATATAAGCTCTCTGTTGGGCCGAGTCGGCGGTGCACTTACCCAATTCTGTTGACACTCTGTGACATCTTCTGTAAGAGTCAACAGCTTGACTTTTTATTTTTTTAATATTTATTGGAATATAAGTAATCCCAATATAAACCCACAGTGGTCCTCTAATGGGTGTATAATAAATCAATAAATTTTAATTTATAGTATTTTGAAATTAAAAAACCCTCCAGAACCTTCCAAATTATTACGTCAAAATGATCATCTTTATGTATTTCTCATACAGTAATATATCAAAAGACATATTTCTGATGGAGAAAATATAAAAATATGTATAGAAATATATTCATTTTTATAGGAAATATTTATTTTCCCTTTAATAAATATATATTCTGACTGGCCACTTATTCAAGAACATCTACTCGTGATCTTATCTGTATATAAATTCATATATAAACTACCAAATTGCCAAGTTTCTGCATTTTTTAGGTTCTAATAAATATAAATAGACTCAAATAAATGTTATAACGGGTCATAGGGCCTGGTGGAGCTGGAATAGGAAAGATCGACGGCCCTGAATGATGAAGTTCTCAAGAAAAGCATGATCGGACGGTTGCCAGAGCGTCCGTGGATCATTACTGAACTGCAAAAGAAATCAGCCCCAGTCATACACGATTTTACATTGTCAAGCTTACATAGTTCCCCCTGAGAGCCAATGGAAGAAGAGAGAGAGGAGAGAGAGAGAGAGAGAGAGAGAGTGTGCCGCCCCACTATCCGAACGTTATCTTGTGCACTTTGGAGAAGTGCTTGCCAGCGGCGACTATGGCCGCCTCGGGGGCGGCGGGTGAGGGGCTACCTTCGCCGCCGCTCGGCCGTCTGGCTGCCGCGGCCCACGCTCTCCAGTGCTTCAGTAGCCACCAATACCATCTCCCTTCATTTTCCTTCTCCTTCCCCATCTCGTCCTCCGATCTTAGCCAAACTAAAAGAGGAATTACCAGATCACCGCAAGAGGACATAAGAGCTCCGGTCGCCGGAGATGGCCGGAGGGCTTCGAGTTCGAACGTCATGGAGAAGGATCGGGCGGCGGCGATGCGACGGATCGGGTTGTCGGAGGAAGAAGAAGATGAAGAGGAAGAGGATGAAGAAGAAGAATCGGTGGAGTCTTTGCTGGAGGATCAGTGCGACGAGTTCGTAGCCTCGGTGGGCTGTGAATTTATATAGGTCCCGTTTCTTGGCGCTTAGTCATGGTCGGTCGAGGTTCCGCTTGGAAGTGGAGAAGCTTTTTTTAAAATAACCCCCTACTTAATTAAAGTTTCAGTAAGAATTTCCGACGAAGTGACGTGGCAGTGGTCAGTCAAAGATGGCTTGGCACTCAAGCCTTTGGTCGCTATCTTCACTTCCTAGCTCCCACGGGTTTCGAAGAAACTTCCAGCTGACTACTAACCGTTGGCCGCCTCTTACGGCCCATATCATACGTGTCCGCGCGTTGACTACATCAGTCACTAACTGTTTGGTCCGAGTCAATCATCCATGAAGTGTCCGCTCTTACGGCCTCTTACGGCCCATATCACATATGTTGGAGTAGACTCATGTTGATTCTATTGAAGTAAACGTATGATCATTCTTCAGGCACTGGACTCACCCTATTTATACCACAAAAGTAATGAAATCTCAAAAGTCAACTCACACAGCACAAAAGATATCTTTTTTATAATACGAATAATCATACTAATACTAATAATAGTGATAACAGTAGATTATGGGAAATAAATATTTTATTTAGACTAATATTAATTTTACTTGAAATTTGAGTGTTTAGAATGTGTTTAGGACCTTTCTTTATTATTTGGATAAAATGTGTTTAGAATTTCTTATTTTCGTGGTAAATTTCAGGAAACGTAAATGGACAATAATATTCCAGATTAATTAAAAAAATAAAACAGTTCTTGAGGTTCATCAATCGTGGCAGGAGATCTTTGATCGTAGATCGATAGAAGTCAACACTCAGATCCTTTCTGAAATATCTATTTTTGAATGGTGGACAACCCACGGAGATGGAAACCCCTCAATGCGGGGAGAACAACTGATGCATGGAGAAAGAGGGGGACAGAGGGGGAGAGAGAGAGAGAGAGAGAGAGATGTATAGAGAGAGATAGAGATAGATGGAGAGAGAGAGGGAGGTGGGCGAGCACCTTTGACGACCACCTAAGCGAAGCTCACCTGGTGTGCCCTGGAGAAGTGCCCGGCGGCGGCCGCCATGGCCGCCACCACGGGTTCGGCCAGCGAACCCAATCGGCGGCGAGTTGCACCGGCGAGGTGGGCGGCGCCCTACTCCGCTGCGAACGAGGCCAAGCGCCGATTTGCACTGGCGAAACCCTCATCACCGCCCACCACGGCGGAGAACGAGGGCGAGCGGGGGGGAGTTGCACCGGTGAAGTGGTCATCACCACCCACCATGGCGCCTAACGATGCCATGCGGCGGGGAGCTGCACCGGCGAGATGGGCGGCGGTGCCCGCCACGGTGGCCGGCCGGCGGCTCCCTCCATCGTGGTGAGCGGCGTCGCCAGCTACGGCTTCAAGAGCCGCCTGAACCAGCCCCCCCCCGTCCTTCTCCATCTTCCCCTCTCTGAGCTCTTCTCCTTTCTAAAAGAGGAAAAACTCTGACCACCGGACATCGCCCCACGGCGACTTCGCCGGAGATAGAGAGAGGAGGATCAGCCGGCGAGTTAACTCGGCTGGGAGACGGATCGATTGGCGAGTCAGAAGGACGATTCGGCAGTATGTTTATATAAGCCCTCTGTTGGGCCCAGTCGGCGGTGCACTTAATTCTGTTGACACTCTGTGACATTTTCTGTAAGAGTCAACAAGTTGACTTTTATTTTTTAATATTTACTGGAATACAAATAATCCTGAAATGCTCAATTAAAATTAATTTATAATATTTTGAAAAAGAACCTCCATCTGTGGGTCCCACTCAAATGACCTCTCCGCATCCCAAGTTTCATGGCCACGCGAAGGCCTCTCAAATCCCATCCTTCCGGAACCTTCCAAAATTATTGCGCCACATTTTATGCAACACAGTAATATATAAAAATTACTGCTTTAATTTTATTTATATTTAAATCCTTATTCTGCGAAATTATGTGCACAAAGATGAGACTAGTTTCAAAGGGTTGTATATCACATTTACCACAAGCATCATGACAGTGGACCTGGATTATTAATATAAACCCAGATATTAGGATTTCTTTAACTTATGTACCTTTGAACGCATCCTGGTACGCGTATATTTTGTCTTTTTGCCCTTAAGAAGGGTATGAATAAGTTTTAATATTCCTATGGACATTACCGTGTCCAGAAAGCTGTGGCATGAGGGGTGAAAACGAAGGTAAATATTTTTTAGGGACCGTCCTGTTGTTTAACTAACCAGGGTTAATTCTGGGCGGCGAGAGTTAAAGAAGGGCTGCGGAGACTTGAGGGGGCCTCTGAAGGAGACTGAGTGAAGGTTTTGGGGAAGCTGTGGGCTCCGAAGGATTCTCGATCGGGCGTAGGGGGGGAGGAGAGGGAGGATCCTCCTCCTACGAGCTCCGTTGGAATCGCTCCCCTAACAGATTTCCTCGGTGAGTAGATCGTGACGGATCTGCCATTCTTATCCGTACATCCTTGGATGAGGATGCAGTACTCGTCTGAATCCGAGTCTGAGATTGAATGTGACTTCTGAACTAGAGTTTCGATCCTGTTTTTTTTTCCTTTTGGTCGAGATCTGCTTCGTGGTATTTAGCTAGTATTACAGATCTTGGCCTATTCTGGTCAGCAGTTTCAGATCTGTGATATCTATGCAGCTTGGGGGCTCCTCGTAGATAGCATTCCTCGCGTGGGTTTTTGCCGTAGAAGTTGATGCTCAGTTTCTGTTCTCATTCATTGATTATTCAAGAAATGTCATTGCTTGTAGGATTGCACGTGCATAGGAGTATGTTTATTGAGGGATATTTATCTTCTAGTTGCATCCATGCATTTACCCTCTCCATTGCTAACACCTCATCTTTAGAGGAAATCTCTCCTGGAAGGCAAGATCCCTGTCACTTGCTGCTATTAAGCTAGCATAATTTAGACATCTTTTTTCTATGGTCAAATAAAGTAAATTCTTGTTTATCTAAAAGCTACTCATTTCTAGCGGCCACTTTCCACTGCAGCGTGTTATTGTTCGATGTTTACCTATTTTAACGTGGACCAGTCTACACCATTGCTCGCTTGATCCTTATAATTCTTTAACACGATCTAGAGTGTTACACTTAGAAGCGGATGGTGGATCTACAATCCGTGATTTATTTTTAACTTTTATACATATCGAACAAAAAACTGCTGCTGTTCTTAAACTGGATGATTAGTCAGTCTGATTCCTAACGGGAGCACCTGTTCTCTTTATGATAAATGGTGGGCCCATTTATTTCCGGATTACGGCTGTCTTTCACGACTGAACCCATGAAAAGAGAAAAAAAAACTGGAACCAGAAGGCTTCTCAGTTAAACATCCCGTCCTTTTTTAAGCCACTGCTGCTTGGTGTTCATCTGCATCAGCTGCATGTCTATGCAGCTAAACATTTGCGTTGTTTTTCTTCAAAGTTATCTTCTTTAGCATCCAAACTGTTTGCTCTTTTATGTTTTCTTTATAGAAGTCTGATCTTTAATGCATACATTTAGGGAAATGCTTAGAATCTGCAAAGATAGCCATACTTCTCTTTGTTGGCTTGGCAAGTGGAACCAGAGTTGATCCTAATCAGGTTTTCTACCCTTTTGCAGGCAATCAGCTTATTTCGCCATCCGGTATGATGATTTCTCCATTGTAGAGAACTTTCTTGGATGCCCTTGAATCTCTCTCTCCCATGCTGCTCCAGGAGTTACCAAAGCTATAGACTCACTTCATGATTGTGCGGGCAACAAATCTGCCTCCCCCCATCATCCGATCAACCTCTGTGTTCAGCTCGGACAGGAGGGAGAAGACAAAGAGGAAGAAATAGTCCTCCCCTGTTTCTCCAGCACTCTATCCTTTGCACAGCATGTCTCCTAACTTGGAAAGTCCTATTCAGACGCAAATGGCTGTGGCAGTTCATGATTATACTCTCAGCAGTGAGTACCATAGCAACAGAAGTGAAGGCAAGCCCGTAGGGAGGAGGAGGCATGTGTTTGCCCAAGCTGACACTGCATGTGTTCTGGGCATAGGATTGGACCAAGAAGACAATGTCCACACTGTTAAAAGGAGACTGCAGCTGGCCCTTAATCTGCCGACTGGGGAGAACTCGTTTGCCATGGGTGACCTCAGTGCCATCTTCAGTGATCCTTTCCCCCTCCTCGGACCGAAATTCATCCACAGGAGCTTTTCCACACCATGCCTCTTCCCAACTGGAAGGGATCTTCAGCAGAGGGATCAGAGCGGCACCATTGAGATCATTTGCTGCTCGAGCGACTACACTTGTATCAAACAGCTGGTGGGTGATGTTGCTAAGGCTATTAAGAGTGGAGTGGAACCCACCAAGGTGCACCATGGGCTTGGCGGTGCTTACTATTTCAGGAACAGCAGTGGCGACAATGTTGCCATAGTCAAGCCAGCAGATGAGGAGCCATTTGCGCCCAACAATCCCAAGGGTTTTGTGGGGAAGTCCATGGGCCAGCCAGGGCTGAAGCGGTCAGTGCGTGTGGGGGAGACAGGATTCAGGGAAGTGGCTGCATATCTTCTGGACTATGATCACTTTGCTAGCGTCCCCCCAACAGCTCTTGTCAGGATCACCCACTCTGTCTTCAACATCAACGATCATGACAGCAGTATGATCCAGGAGAGGAAGCAGCAGGGTATCTGTAAAATTGCCTCATTCCAGCAGTTCATCCCTCATGACTTCGATGCCAGTGACTATGGTGCCTCCAGCTTCCCAGTGGCAGCTGTTCACCGGGTCGGGATTCTTGACATCAGGATCTTCAACACAGATCGGCATGGTGGGAATCTCCTTGTTAGGAAGCTTCACGGTGGTGGTGTTGGCAGGTTTGGCAGCACAGTGGAGCTGATCCCCATTGATCACGGCCTCTGCCTGCCTGAAAACTTAGAAGACCCCTACTTTGAGTGGATCCACTGGCCTCAGGCTTCAATCCCCTTCTCTGACGAGGAGCTCGAGTACATTGCCAAGCTGGACCCTGCAAAGGATGCCGAGCTGCTTCGGGCAGAGCTGCCGATGATCCATGAGGCATGCCTCCGGGTGCTGGCCCTCTGCACAATCTTCCTCAAGGAGGCGGCAGCATTCGGTCTCTGCCTGTCTGAGATCGGGGAGATGATGAGCAGGGAGTTCAGGGGGATGGAGGAGGGCCCGAGCGAGCTTGAGGTTGTCTGCATGGAGGCAAGGAGATTGGTGGGGGAAGCCCAGGATTTCTCTCCTCGTCCTCTGATTGGAGTTCCTGATGAGGACCAGTTTCAGTTTGACGTTGACTGCGAGGATGGTGACTCCGTACTGGCAGTGACTGCACTGCCAGCCCCCCAACTCGGGTTCTGTGGGGGTAGTAGCTTCGGAAACCCACTCTGGAAGTTGGAGGAAACCGTGGAGGAGGAAGATGATGATGATGGTGACGGTGATGGTGATGGTGATGGTGATGGTGATGGTGATGGTGATGGTGATGGTGGTGATGAAGAAGATGGAGATGGTGGGGATGTCAGAGAAGACGCCACCGGCGGCTCCAAGATCCACTGTGTTGACCGGCTTCCATCAATCCACGGGCTGTCCATGTCATTGAAGGGTGTCGGCCTTGCCAACAGGAGCCAAATTTACAAGGCTGGGAGCAGCAGTGGCAGTGGACTTCGGGTGACCCACCGGAGTGCCGATGAGCAGCTGGCGGCAAGTGCCAGCTTTGTGAAGCTGGCAGACATGGGTGGCGAGGATTGGGCGGCCTTCCTCACAAAGTTCCAGGAGCTGCTGCCGGGGGCCTTCCTTGGCCGCCGGTCAACGGCATCAAGGCACCGGCTTGGAACGTCTTGCCAATTTTAGCAGGCAGTGGCGGCATCGGCTTGGTACCAAGCAAGATCACACTCAACCCCTCTGGCGCCTTGGGGTCGGCGGCCGGAGAACCCTAATTATTGCTGGAGGAGGTGGTGGTCTCAACATGTAAATAGGTTAGTATGATCCTTCCTTGTTGCTTTCTTTGTTGGCCTTGGGTTTGGTAGACTGTTCTGGTGTTTTTCCAGGGAGAATAAGGCCGGAAAAAAAAATATAAAAAATAGGAGAGCGTTGTATATTTCTGTAGGGGATCTCTCTCATAGAGTTGATGTGTAAGTTAGATGATGCTATGCTGTGCTGTGGTGGATTTCTCTGCCCCCTTGTTTTTTTAGTCCCTTCATAAGCTGACTGACATGTATCTCTGTCTGGTTACAACACCTAATGTGGATGTAGAGAGAGAGAGAGAGAGAGAGAGAGAGAGAGAGAGAGAGAGAGAGAGAGAGAGAGAGATCGGTGTGAACAGGAATAAACTTTCAACGTTTACCACCATTATCGTCATCAACATTGAGATAGAGAGAGGAGAATTTAAGAACCCAAGGAATGGGCACTGAAGTTCAGTGTTATTAAGTCTAACCTAAGACGAGAGGGAGAGATTGATGTGGGCAATAAGATTTTCAAGCTTTTCCATCATCATTGCCATCAGTATAGAGTGAGTGAGTGAGAGAGAGAGAGAGAGAGAGAGGAGGGGGGGAGGATTCAGGAACCCAATGAATGAGCACTTAAGTTCAATATTATTATGTCTAATCTAAGAGGAGAGAGAGAGAGAGAGAGAGAGAGAGAGAGAGAGAGAGAGAGAATGAACTTCCAATCTTTACCATCAACATTGTGACGTAGCACATTCAAAGTTCAGCAGTAGTAAACCATAAGAGCCTTGGAAGGAAGCATGAATACTCCCCAAGCACGAGACAACAAATATCTTATATGGCATCTACTAAAATGTCATATTTGTGTTAGATATTTATCGAGTTGGTTTTCCGTCTTTAATTATATTTTGAATTTGTTCTAAAATGATATTTTAAAGTGTTATATTCAAAAATAACATTTTAAAGAATAATTTCAAATCATTTAAATTTGCTCTAAATGTCATTAAAGTTGATCCATCTTTACAAAAACCACACAAGTAAATAGAAACTCCGCTCATTCCATCTCTTTGCATGTGGATTCGAACACTCTCTTGTGAATTCAAAGAAATATTAATCTTTGTGGAATCAAAAGTCAAAGTTTCTAATTTTATATGTTCAACATCTGATTTCTTACTTATTTCATCTCACTCTACTTGTGAATTCAAATGTTCTCTTGTGAATTCAAAGACATATCAATCTTTGTGGAATGAAAATTCGTAGTTTCTAATTTTATATATTCAAGATCTAATTTCTCACATATTTGATACCTCTCTGCTTGTGGATTCAAATAAATATTAATGAATTCTATAGATTCAAGATCTAATTTCGTGTTTATTCCATCTCTCTTTGCTTGTGGATTCAAAGAAATATTAATTAATTCTATATATTCAACATCTAAATCCTTGCTTTTTCCCTCTCTCTTTGCTTGTGAGCTTTAGTGATCTCTTGTGGATTCAAAGAAATATTAATTAATATTATATATTCGAGAGCTAATTTCTTGCTTATTCCATCCCGCTCTAATATTGAATTCAAATGGTCTCTCGTGGGTTCAAAGAAATATTAATCTGTGGATTCAAAAGTGAAAGTTTCTAATCATATAGATTAAATATCTACGTTTTTCATTAAAATTTTATTTCTTGTGAATTTAAATATGGAATTTATTCTTCATGCAACTGCGATTATATCACATTGTCATCAACAATCAACATTGAGAGGAAGAGAGAGACCCAGTGGAAAGAAATGATAGCGGAGGTCGGGGGTAGCCTCAGATACATGTTATTTCCTCAGGAGCAATAACACATCTCCAATTCTCTTCATCTCTATCGAGCCAGGCAGGGCTAAAGAGAGAAGCAGTAGATTATTTGCAAAGAAATCACAGAGAGAGAGAGAGAGAGAGATGCGGTGGTTATTCGCGGGAGTAGAAGCGGTCGAGGGTCTTGGCGGGGATGCGGTGGAGGAGCTCGCGGGGGAAGATGCGGAGGAGGGACCACGCGAGGTCCAGCGACTGGAAGATGTTCCGGGTGTCGTACGCCCCCTGGCTCACGAACTTCCGCTCGAACTTGTCCAGGAACTCCAGGTACAGCTGCCCCAACCAGCCACAAAATCAGCGAAAGAATGAGATTGAGGGATGAAGAGAAAGATAAAGAGAGATAGAGAGAGCGAGAGAGGGAGGGATGGAGGGAAAGAGATAAAAAGATAGATAGATAGAGAGAGAGAGAGAGAGAGAGAGAGAGAGAGAGAGAGAGAGAGAGAGAGAGAGACCAGGTCCTCAGAGGAGAGCGCTTCCTCTCCAACAACAGCCTTCATCGCCTGGACGTCCTTCCCAATGGCATAATTCGCGTACAGCTGAGAAAATTCAACTCTTCAGAACCACAAAAATATCCAGCGAGAGAGAGAGAGAGAGAGAGAGAGAGAGAGAGAGAGAGAGAGATGATCAAGAGCAAAGGAAGGTCATCAAAGAGACCAACCAGAGAGAATTCCCCACCTGGTTCGAAACATCCGCATGATCACGCCGAGTCATCCCCTCCCCAATCGCACTCTGCGACCAAATGCCGATTCAAATCCCACAGCTTCATTAATAAAATAATAATAATCACAGAGCAAGGAGATTAACCTTCATCAGACGTGACAGAGACGGAAGAACGTTGATCGGCGGGTAGATCTGCGGAAAAAAAGGAAACCTTCAGTTCTCGCCATGAATCAATCTGACGCAGCTGATTCGAGATAAGATTCTATTTCACTGAGCGAATACCCAGGAACACTAGATAATTCTCGATGAATTTCTCTGTCAAATCACGGTTTTCCGAATAGAGGTAACAGGCTCTTGAATCATCTTGGCGGCGGGGGCAAGGCATGTTCTTCCCAGAAAAAAAATACTAGGAATAGTAGTATGCAGAAAAAAAAAAAGTGAATGCCCAGGAACCCTAGATAATTCTCGATGAATTTCTGCCAAATCACGGTTTTCCAATTCAAGGCATGTTTTTTTTTCGCAGAAAAATGACTAGGAATAGTAATATGCAGAAAAAAAATAAAGGTTTATTATTATTATTAAATCTATGTTGGAACTTAGTTCTTTCCCAAAAAACTATCGAACCATAGTATGAAAACAAAAATGGATAATGATTAACGGCAAGCTCATCACCTGCCGATTGTGGAGCTGCCTGTCGATGTAGATCTGGCCCTCGGTGATGTACCCCGTGAGATCTGGAGTAGGGTGCGTGATATCTGTCCAGTTAAGATTAAAAAACAAAAAAAATCAAATTCCTAGGATCTGGGAGAAAGAAAATACAGCATTGGATCATGGAGGTGAATGAAGGCCAACGATGAGTACGTGTGAAGAAAGGGGTCGAGAGGTAGGAAGTGAATCGCTTGAAGAACCCAGCAATCATCACCATACTTTACTTAATACTAGTAGAAATTCCCAATATATGCATACATACATGCGCGCATGCATACATACATACATCTAATTTTTTAATTGATAACGTTAAGAAAGTCAGAAAATATTGGAAGAGAAATATTCACGTAATTATTGAAATTGTTTGCTCTTTTTTTTTCTTTTCTCTTTTTGGCTTCGAAATACTACTATTTAAAAAAATTATCACCATATTTTACATACATACATACATACCTGAAGAACCCATCAATCATCACCATATTTTAGATACATGCATGCATGCCTATACGTATATAAAATGCATGCGTACATACATCTAATGTTTTAATTGATAGTGATAAGAAATTCAGAAAATATCGGAAGAGATATTCATGTAGTACTTGAAAGAACTTGCTCTTTTTTTTTTCTTTTTTGGCTACTAAATACTACTATTTAAAATTTTCGTGTTATCTCTTACATATCTGCATAAATAGTAAAAGGAGCAATGCAATGATTATTACAGAAATTGAAGAACATTACCATCATTAGGCATGGTAAGGATGGGGATCTGAGTGATGGAACCCTTTCTTCCTTCGATACGCCCAGCGCGCTCATAAATTGTCGCCAAATCAGTGTACATGTACCCAGGGTAACCACGTCTTCCGGGCACCTCCTCTCGAGCTGCAGACACCTGATTTAAAAAAGAAAAAAAGGGAATTATTTCTGTCGAATAAAGAAGTCACGAGATTAACTTCACCATTGACCGATCCAGGAAGAGTCAACTGACGGCGTCTCTGAATGATTGCTCATCACAGAAAAACAATGCTGACCGTTGAATAATAAATAAATCGATTGGGCTCCCACTACCTTCTCCTGGTCAAGATAATTTTTTATATTTACAGGGAAAAACATAATTTTCCAAATATGGCAATCCCTGTTGAGGAGATCTCATTATTATCCCCAAAAAAGAACGGGGCTCTTCTTTCTTTGACATACTCTAAGAGACTAGCAGAACTACTGACAGTAATTCTCATGCTAATCTATTGGTTTTATGAATGATACTCATATGGCCTGAAATTGATTGGAAATTATTCATAAAAAATCTACCAGCACAATTCAAACCAAAAAATGTTGACAAAGGCAGGCACATGAGATCACCATTCTGTTTAATTCATGGGTGCGATTATTCAATTATAAAAAATATTTCTGAAGAACATAGTTGAATGGTAAGCATAATAAAGCATAAGTGATTGTCAATTTAATTTATTAACATAGCCCGGTTGACTAAATGCGACACCCAGATGGAATTATTTATTAGAAGATTACTGGGCAAATGAATGAACAGAATGTCACCTCACGAAGAGCATCGGCATATGAGCTCATATCGGTTAGAATGACAAGAACATGCTTTCCACATTCGTATGCTAAATATTCTGCTGTCGTAAGTGCAATTCGAGGGGTGATGATACGTTCAATTGTAGGGTCGTTTGCCTGCAAAAGGAAATCAGTTTCAGTTAGTGCCCTCGAATTGGGAAATCTACGTGCAGCAGGCCGCAGGCAAAGTTGGTGAAATCTATGAAACCCGAGCTAGTATGAAGGTACCAGATTTAGAAATAGTCGCTAGATCAGTCAACGTACCAGATTTAGAAATAGAGTCACCCTTTCCATTGAACCATTCTCTTCGAAATCACGTTTAAAAAACTGGGCCGTTTCCATGTTGACTCCCATAGCAGCAAAAACAATGGCGAAGTTGTCTTCTTCTCCGTCCTGCACAACCATTGGATTAACTATAAATACAACAGATTCATGACCTTCCGGTCAAAGACTTTGGAAATCCAGAAAAAACCGTTTTCTATGTCAATAACAGAATAGGAAAAAAAATTTGATGTAAGAAGCCAAAAGGTATCCGGGCATAGATCAAGCTAATGGTCAAAAAATTGCTGTTCTAAGAACAGCAGACATGAGAACATGTCTCCAAGAACACAAGAAAAGTCAAAGATCTACTGAATAAGCAAGACAGAGTTTACCAATAACTGATCAAATAAAACATCCATGCACCTGGAGTACACAAACATAATAGCCGACTTCGGGGAACAGAAATGGATTAATTACCAAGCCTTTAGTTCATTGATTTATTAGCCAGTTGTAGTCAGGAAAATTTTTAGACATGCCATGAAAAATTATCGTATTTTTAGCTAGGGTCATTTTCTCACTTTAATATTGGAGGGAGTAAAACCCAAACCACATGAATATAGCTGAGGCATGTCTATTTTCACTGTTTTTTTGCTTTCCAAGCTGGGACTGTTCCATGTAATGACACTTCGCATTTCAATCAAGGTAATCACAGCCAGATTGGGCGGCCAAAGTAAGTGTGACATGGTAGGCTTATGAATTGGATAAGGCAAATCAGCCACAATCCAAACGAAGAGCCTGATTTGTGTGTAAGAAAAGGGAAAATGCACGTGAAACTGTTTTCATTATTGAAGGATTCAGGATTTCCCTATAAGAGGCCATGTTAATTTTTTTTCAAAATTGGATATAACGCTACAAAACAAGGAGACCAGGAAGAGATCACACAATAAACATATGTTAGCTCATTAATTTATTTCTGCGATGAAGTTGTGGCCATGTAATTTACAGCTTTCGTTCCTCAATTGACACAAATAAAACCTGAAATAGGCATTATTCATACCTATTACAAAATTTCTCAGGCTTTAAATGAAGGAACGCAGGCAAGTTCTTCATGCTTGCATATCGGTATATCAGCACACAAAAAAAAAATCTATTGACCAAATAGTTTTCAAGAATTCCGTAGGCTGAACTCTCGTAAAACACCTCCTTGGAGATCCAACATACCTCCAGAAGATTGTCCGTCTTCTCCAAACGTTTAACAAGACCAGCCTGACGACAAATCTGAGCAGCTATCTCGTTATGAGGAAGCCCAGCAGCAGAGAATAGAGGGATCTTCTGTCCTCGAGCAATAGAATTCATCACATCTATCGTGGATATTCCTGTCTGAATCATCTCTTCAGGATAGGTTCTTTCACTGGGGTTAATTGAACTTCCTGTAACAGAGTGAGTGTTAAAGCTTGAAGAGCATGCCAGAAGTAAACCCATAGATTCATGAAATACATCAAAGCATTTGTATACATGTGTGTGTGTATCTAGAGAGAGAGAGAGAGAGAGAGAGAGAGAGAGAGAGAGAGAGAGAGAGAGAGAGAGAGAGAGAGAGAGAGAGAGAGAGAGAGTTTGTGTTTATCCATTTCTTTTCAAATGATCAACACAAGATGACCTCATTTCCTGTGTGACAACTCACCGGATATGTCCAAATATGCCTCAGGCAGAATAGGAGGACCATTATCAATAGGTTTACCAGATCCATTAAATATTCTTCCAAGCATATCAACAGACACTGGAGTTTTCAACACCTGCAGGAAAAAGATTAAGAACAATATAAAACCAATATCTAAGCAATGAAAGAGGATAAAAATAAAAATATTGTAGGGTCTCTGTTTCTAATGAAGAATGAGAGAAATATTATTCTTCATGAAGAAGCATCAAATATGGATTGGAGAATAAATAAAATAGAATGGAAGCGACATGAAAATTTTCTTGTTAGTATTTCAAAATATTTCCCCTTTTGAGATGGGAAGATGCCTTTGGGAAGATTATTAGATGCAAAAAATAATACTCCTCAAAGATCTGAATGTACTGCCGGTAAATTCATTATAGGCCCGTTTTAGAGATGATTGACTTAAACTTCCTACGTTAATAGCTAAGGCTATTCGCTGTAATTTTCTGGTAAAGCAAGAGGCCAAAGTAAACATGTACAATTCCCTTTATCATATAATGTGGAAGTATAAGCGAACTGGAATAAAAGCCAAACCTCTCCAGTGAATTGCACAGTTGTATATTTGTTATCAATTCCCGACGTTCCTTCAAAGACCTAAGAAAAAAAAGGATAGATCAACAAAAAACGTTAAGGAAAAGCTTATATTTAAGATATAAAAACTATTTCTCAACTTATCAAATCCTTAAAGTTAATCTATATACGTCCTTAACAACAGATCACCTGACTAGTCAGATTCTTTGAATTCGAAAAAAAGTAATAGGACATCCTTCGTATTATCAATGATCCATCATACAGGTATACTCATGTGCAAACCAAGTAATATTAACCACAATATGTTAGCATAGCGAAGGATAAGAATCATTCAAGATATGCATACCATGCATGTGATCAAATATCTGACCATGAAAAAGACCATGAATACTGATCCCAAAATATTTCTGTAAATTTGAATCATTGTGATCAACCCGTTGCCTAGAAGTCTTTAATAAGAACTTTATTCGCAAAAGGATTTTGGGCTGTCTAAGCAAGCATGCAGCAATTCGTGTTTGTTTATCTCCAAATAAATGACGTTAGCCGACAGATACGTTATATATTTTATTCATGATTTTTAATAGAAAACAACTGGTTATCACATGCTCATCGTATTACGATGAGAAATACATATTTCAGCTTAACTGTGATTAATTCAGAAACTAATTCATGATTTTATGAATGCCGTAAATATTATAAAAATTAGTCCCAGCATAGGCATTAAGGTACAGGACAGCCTTCGTCAACTTAAGAAAACAGATTTCAGTTTACATAGTTATAATACTGTGGATTAAACAGGTCAAAACGGAAAAATTAATCCAATATAAGCTATGGGTTAAGAACGAAGCGGAACACATCACGCAACATTAATGTCCAAATGAGATAATGAGGCATCTTTCAAATTGGTATGCCATATGTTAGGATTCACATTGTTCACGTCAGAACGCATTTTTCAGGTAGATATTTCTCACATCCGAATGCGAACAAGTGTTAATTTCCAACAGATTAGCCCATTGGCGTCAGTTAGAGAATTAGTTTTAACAGGAGAGCTGAGAAGCCAAAAAGGAGGAAGTGACCAACCTGTACGACAGCCTTTTCTCCATCAACCTCCAAAACCTGACCACGGCGAGTAGTGCCATCTCCCAAACGTATGTTGACAATTTCCTGGTACTTAGGACCCTGAAATCGACCAGTGATAACAACCATTAGTACCATAATCATGTGGAAAGAGAATGAAAAATATATAATGAGATTGGAGGGAAATAGTCATACCTTAACTTTTTCCAAGATGACAAGGGGTCCAGCAACACCGGAGATTGTCCTGTATTCTTTATAGATAAAAGTGGTAAAAGTTTTCATGATCAGCACTCACAACGAAATCACAAAGTCTGCTATGTGCAAGCAGTACTGACCATTGACGGTAAGTACCTAAGCGTAGCAAACTAAAATACGATACTATTTCAGAGAACTTTATAAAGCTATAAAAAAATGCTAAAACAAGGTTCGCATCTTCTATGCTGGCAACTGAAAATCAGTCGTGTTAGCCAAATTGCCGAACATAGTGTATCCATCTCACTGTCATATTGCACAAGCAGCATGAATTGTTCTTGGCATTTGTTTCTTCTGAAGTTACTTTTAGACACTGCACACCGTTAAAATATTACCCAAGAGATACGATAAAGCTTCAAATCGAGATGGGTCAACAGATAGATGCACAAGAAACAATCTAATTTAAGAGTTTCAGCATACAGCTGACGCTCAAATAGGAACAATAAGCAAACTTCATGACGGAGCGAGGAAATTTCATCAATCGCGGACCAAAATACAGTCAGTTACCATTTCAGCCTTGGCGAAACAACCTGAGTCAGAACCTCCAGACACCAAGCTACCTAAAACACATTATATCTTCATCGTTTTTTAATGTTCATCTCTGATATAAGTTATATCACAGTTTCCTGTTCTACTGTGATTTACTAATCACTATGACCAGAATACACGTCATATCATTCGATATAGAACCTGTTGTCTTAAACAAGGGAATGGAATCCATAAAAGACAGGAGTTTATGTCAATCTCGTGGCAGAGTTAATGAAGAGCAGAATGGCTTTGGTAGCAGAGCAGCTGCTAGATGATACGAACTCAGTAAATAAAAAATACTGATATGAATTACTAAATGGAGAACATTAATTGTCTTTCGGTGCCATCGACCGCATTGTGAGCAATCACTCTCCTTAGCGTAAGTCAAATCTATCCGAAGCAGCGAATCAGGCTACTCTAGAGCCGAAATCAATCAACCAACGAATCGATTTTCCTCAAACGAAAAGAAAGACCACCAGATCCAATCGAACACTGGTGTACGACAATCACTTTCCCGGGCAATCCCGGGACGATGACCTTCCAAACCCTCTGATGAGCCGACGAAACACGAAGAATCCATCGGAAAATTAAACAGCGAAATTCATATCCAAAATTACAGCACCACTCCATTCGCAAAGCGTAACAAACATCAGGCCGAAGCAAGCAGCAATCGCCACAACAAATGTCGACAGCGAGAGGGAGAGAGAGGGATTCACACCTGTAAGAAGATCTTTGTACTCCAACATCTTCGAGATTTCGCTTCCCTCTCTTCTCTTCCCTTCTTCTTCCTCGCAGTGGGGGAAGAAGAGGAGCCACCCAGAAGCCGGCGAGGTGATCGAAATGAGATGTCCGATCGACGTACAGAAGAGCCCCTCACATTAAAAATAAGGCCCTCGCGTAAATTATTTCATTTTAAGTTATGTACTTGTAAAATTATTAACTATGTTTATTTCCTTTATCATTTATATATTTACGTATATACTCCCACGGCCCTAAATGTGCAGGACTTGAGCTGCATTAATGGGCCGATTAGTCTGGGCCGCTTTTACGGGACTTGGACCAAGCTCCAACGTGGAACATATGGGCCGGCCCAGCCTTTCATATGCTCCTGTATGATAGATAGAGAAAGATGGAAAGAGAGAGAGATAGAGATAGAAAGAGAAATAGAAAGAGAGAGAAAGAGAGATAGATAGAAAGAGAGAGAAAGAGAGATGGATAGAAAGAGAGAGAGAGAGATAGAGATAGAAAGAGAGAGAGACAGAGAAAGATAGAAAGAGAGATGGATAGAAAGAGAGAGAGAGACAGAAAGATAGAAAGAGAGATGGCTAGAAAGAGAGAGAGAGAGAGACAGAAAGAGAGAGAGAAAGAGAAAGAAAAAGAGAGAGAGAGAGAGAGAAAGTGAGAGAGGCACACGCACGGACACAGAAGAATTGGATGATTACAAAGGATTGATCTGGCTGTGTAAAATGTGGGGTATATGTATACACTGTAGATAGATTGGTAGAGAGAGAGGAATTGGAAAATTTCAAGGGATTCATTTGGCTGTGTAAAATGTGGGGATATCGAGTGCATATGCCATAGACAGATGAGAGAGATTTGTATAGAAAAGAGACGGACTTGGCCCAAGGAGAGAGGAAACCCAGACAAATCTCCTTCTCCCTTCCTCTCTCTCTCGTTGTGAGGTGCATACCGATTGCGGAGAAAAGCTCCACAGGATCCGAGCTCCACAGCAAATCTCTTGAGCTTTGCATTTCCTCGAGCTCAGGCAATAAAAAAACTTCACTAATGGATCCATCTCTGAATTCTTCCATTTTTTTTCCTAACAATTCCAGACAATCAGATACAGCCCGGTTAATATTTAACATCTTAAATTATTATTTTCCCGCAAATTTTCCCATTAAATTCTTCAGAATAATACACTGGTTATCATTTCTCCAAAGAAATTAATCCATAATCAGAAAAATCATATAAAATTAGGGAAAAAATAATTAAATCACTGATTACTCCGTCACTCAGTGTTCCATAATAAAATCCCTTTTTGTCAGATTTAATGTGGAAAAAAATAAAGAATAATTGAGTAATACGTCATTTAATCTTCCAAAAAATCCAAGTAACTTAAACAAAATTAGATGCAAGCATTTTATAATTTGGGTCCTGAAGTAGAAAAAGAAATCATATGAAATCAGCTAATTACCTCACAAAATCTCAACATAAAATTCATGGTGATATTATTTTTTTTCATTAAATGTTAGCATAGAGTTAATCAGCTGCACCCATATTCAAAGTTAAATACCAGAAGAAGAAAATAGAAAGGGCATGTTATTGTCTAATTTCTTTCCTCAATTATCCTAGAAAAATCATACAGAATAGCATATAATGAATGATATTTCACTCTGGGTTTCCTCAAACAAGGAATAAAGATAAGATCTTTACATTTGTACAAACAAGGGTGTGTAGAGAGAGAACAAGGAGGTGATACCCTGCCGCCATATTAGGAGGGCCACACAACTAAAAGCTGCCACTGGTACACTGATTATATATTCCCTAAATAACTTCCATACGACCTTCAGATCAGCCAGAAGACGAAGAAGAAGGAGAAGAAGAAGAAGAGATGCCCATCTAACGTGGAAGGACCCATCTTCCCTAAGAGCTTAACACCAGCTAGAAAGAAGAAAAAAAGGGGAAGAAGAAGAGGAAGAAGGGAGACCCATCTTCCCTAAGAGCTGGAGACCAGCTGAAAAAGGAAAAAAAAAAAAAAAAGGAGGGGAAGAACGAAGACCCATCTTCCCTACGAGCTACTGACCAGCAAAGAATTACCTCATTGAACAGATAATTTGCCAAGAATTACCATATCGAGGATCTTGACATCGAGGCTGTCGTCCAGCCTCACTATGCCGTCAGATCCATCAACACCGATCAGCTTTCCACTGCTCCCGCGCAGCGCACCGCTCATGATCCGGATCTTGTCAGACTTCTTGGGTTGCACCATCTCCATCTCTCCCGGGTGTGCAGTCAACGTAGTTGACCCCACTGAGACCTTACAAGAGCCGTCCTGAAAGGAGAGTCCAGCCACTTGAGCAAAACTAAGAATGAAGCGAGAAGAAAATAGCACAGAGTGCTTCTTTTGGGAAGAATTTAGTCTGCCAGCTTTAAAGCAGTTGGGTAGATTCAATGCGGCTATTCCTCATTTAGCTGCTGAGATTGGTGAATTAATGGGTGTTGACTCACTGGGAGAACTTCTCTGACGACTCCGACGTGGGGGTCCTCCCCTGGTCTTAGAACGTTGACCATGATGTCCGGAAGGTACCAGCCTCCTTCCCCTTCACCTGAGATGTAATTCTCTGGCTGTTAATGAGATCTGAACTACCATACAGTGCATAAATGTAGGTTGGGATGCCAATCATAACATAGAGACTTTGGTGAGCACACATGGAGGAATTGGCGTAATAGAATGCTTCAGACATTTTTCAATAGAGGTTCATTGAGAAGCTCACAGAATAAAATCAGGCAACCAGATCAGTGATGTTCCATCCAATCAGAAACAGGATTATCATATAAGCAGGAGAAATCAATCAAAGGAAGCGTCTGGTTCACCTTAAAAGTAAGCTTTGAAAAGGATGATCAATTCAGAAAAGGTATCAAGAGAAACTATGCACTTTGGTGCATAACATCACAACAAGCAAACTGAAGTGAACCAGAAGTTTGAATAAAGTATTAAATTTAAAGGACTTCTGCAGTCAATTGCTAGTTGATTCATCTTGGGAAGGAAAGACGGAACCGTTCAAAAACACCATAGCACCCTCTGAAGCATCCTCTGATCTTCAAAAACTGTCACCCGTTTGGTGTGATGTTTCTCTTTGAAAATCTGGTGACACTTTCTGAAGGTTTCTAGCAAAAGTTCACCTAGACATTATTTTTTTCCCCTAATCTAAGTATGTTTCCTTCTCCAGCTCGATTCCTTTGATATTGGAAACAAGATCAAGCGCTTTCTCCAAGTAGGAATGAAGCTCAAAGTGTTGAAGTTCCATTTTTGGTCATCAAAGAATCTTTCAAATCACTTTCTCAAATGAGGGCTTTGCCAAAGTTTTCAATCCCTAATATACTATTTACGCAGAAGCTTCTACGATTGAAAACAGGCTAATTTGTTGATAAGGAATGGCTATGACTGAGGCAGCGTATTTCACACTATGCGTAAATAACCATTTGACTACAAGCTTCGTTTCTCCTGACTTCTGTTTTATGCAAGTTAAAGGGGTTAATGTGTTTGGGGTACTTTTTTATGTTTTTGAAGGGAGATTTTCTAATTCCTTTGAACTGAAAATTTGTTTCAGTCGTAAACAACTATCAAGTAAGATTTTCTGACTCTGCAGTTCAAATTTATTTTCTGATCTTCTGACAGTAGGCATACGTCATCGAAGCATAGTTCACAGGTAAAAGGGAAAACAAATGAGTGTTTGTCACAAGTCAAGTCAGAATGAATAGATGTTACAAATGAAATGGAAGTAGATGGACTCTGTTAGTAAGATTTCCACATGCCAAATAGGCCTAGATATAGAATTATGAAACAAAAATTGATGAGAGGCCGCCATCGAACGTGACAGTGCTGAACCTCGTGACTTTAATCAATGGCTCAGAGGAAATAAGAAAACTTTTAAATCAGATATAATAAAATAAATTCAAAAAGTAATCTTCAAACTCCATTTAGAAGATAAATGAAATATAGATATAACTCCGGTAGAATATTTGGAAATAAGCAAATGGATAGCTTCTGACCTATTGTCGGAGACATAATATCCAATCCAACATTCCCAGGGGTCATTGGCTGCCCACCAGGAGTTCCGGGAAGATATGATGCAGAACTAGGGGTCATTGGTTGACCACCAGGGGTTGACGGCAAATATGGGCTTGGCGCATTTCCTGATGAAGAGCAGGAAATAATCATCAGGTTAAAACTGGTACACTTCAAAAGTTAGCGAAAACATTTTGGATTATGCTCACCATATCCAGAGCTACTTTCCCTAGGAGTTCCAGCTTCATTGTAGCTGCCACCTGGGGTGTTAGCCCAACCTGAGCCTGGAGTAGGCGCCTCGTATGAACGAATTGGTGGAGTTCCCGGCTGAGATAAAGGATTTGATAGCGAGATAATGTTAACTTTAAGCGTCAATTCTTGCAAAGGAAAATGAAAAAAATGAAAAAATAAAAAGAAGAAACAAATGACAGATTAGACAAGGTGAACCTGATACTGAGGACTTGTCCCCCAAGTGGCTGGATTTCCATCTTCCCAATTATCCCTGAAAAATTTCCAAAGATCAGTTCCACCCGTATGAAAAATTATCGACGAGTTATTATAAGCACACCATTTCATTTGATACTATAGATCGAGATGTTATCCAAATAGAAAATAATGATAAGAAAAGCAACCGCCTTCTAGATGCACAATCATTCTACACGTGACTGTAGGAACTGACTGTAAGAAAGACAGAATAAGAATATAGGGATCATACATGTTACGGGTCAACTTATAATGTCAAGATGGAGGACACTGATGGCACCAAATGCCTCAGGAGCTTACCAAGATAACATGAATCATTCCTACATACTAATAACGGGTATTGCACTGGGAACCACATTGAAAGTTTCCTTTTAGACATTTTTGTCATCTAATGGGATATAGAGAAACCATTCTGTGCAGTCATTTTTTTATTTTTGAAATTGGATGGGTTTATTTTTCAAGAATATATTCAGCTGTTGGAATGCACACTCTTTTGTTAGTCCACTTTAATAGAAAGGAAAGTAACATTTTTTTTGGAAAGTGGATAATACCACATAAATTAAATTCAAAGAGATAAAGAAAGCATGCGGCCTCCATGTATAAAGAGAAGATCTAGGGTTTTTTTCCTTCTGAAAATGGAGACAGTGGCCACGTAAACGACTTGAGTCAACAAAAATTGAGCATACCATGTAAAAATGAATCCAACAAAAAATGTCGGTACACAAGGGTTACGATTGCCAAAAAATTAGTAGGAATGGAAAAACCTTGCTGGGCTCATTGGTACATATGGATTCCATGCACGATCACGCATAGGTGTTCTCATGCCATCATGAATGGGTGTTGCTGCAGTAAAATTGGCATTGAAAAAATATCAAATAAGAAACAGGATAAAATCAAAGCCATTTATCCGATGTCTTGAAGACATGAAATTACAAATTCTAAATGCACTTTTGACAAAAAAATCTAATATCAAGGATCACAGACCTCCAGGATCTCTCATCGGAGTCATGTATGGGTGAAGAGGAGTTCGGGATGGATGCAAGGGTGTCTCACTGCCCATTCCATATCGAGGTGTTTCACTGCCAAACAGAGAATCAGATCAAAAAAGAAAAATCCCTACTCCACAGTTTTATAAGAATAGGATACAATAAACGGATACCGGTACGGCGTCGCCATGCTTGAGGTGTCAGCAATCTGATCTCGCTTCACTACAGATTGAGAAGAACACTGCTGTCAATCCTACAAAGATTAATGAAAAGCTCACGTTAAAAAAAGGTCTACCTGTTACTATCTTCATCTGTGAATCCAGTTCAACCCTAACAAGTTCCCCGGTGACTTCAGTGACACGACCTCGATAGCCTTTAAAGGGACCTAAACGAATTTTGATACACTTGCCAACCATAGAGTCATGTCCCCTTCCTCCTCTACCCCGTCCACCAGCTGCATCATTTATTTATATCAGTTAACACTGGATTATTTTCAAAAAAAGCATCCATGCCACAGTTGAACATGAAAAAAAAAAATGAGACTTTCAAACAAAGAAAGAAATGTAAAACATACAGTCTATTGGAGGCCTTCCTCTAGGTAGTCTCATTGGCGATTGGAGGAAGTCGGATGATCTTAAACCACCAAATCTCGAATCCATGGAATCCTATTAAAATATAACAGATTGGTCATACTCACAAAAAAGAAAAATTTTAAGGAACAAAGTGCAAGCCCCACATCAAGAAACGTACGCTTCTATCACGACTCCCAAGGGATCCGCCAACTACTATACATGATTGGGCTTTGGCACAAATAAAGCCTGCATGTTCAAGGTGATGACGATCATGGATGAACAGGATCCCTCGGTGGATGTGTTCAACCGGACCTTGCTTTCCCTAAATAGAATTAAACAAATAATAATTGCAAAAGTGAACATAAAATAGAAAAGAGAAGAACGAAGCAGCAATAATGAGGAATATCACCTTCGAGGGTCCTTCAAGAACTCTAACAATATCTTTCATTGAGACTGTATTTCGATACCTGTCTTGGGCATTTGTTCTTCTGTCAATCTTGTTCTTTATTTCCCTCAATTTAACAAGTACAACCTCAGGTTTATCAGGAATTCCTTTCAACACCTGAAAATAAGCGCCTGAAGTTAGACAGTGCAACACCACAAGCAATAATATGTCACACTAATTATTTCCAGCGTACCTGGAATGCTTCCTTTTCCACACGTATGATCACACCAAAAGACATGTTGCTGGAAAATATTTAATTAATTAGAAAAAATTAAACAACAAGGAAAGTTTGATGTTTTTTATTGAAAAAAATGTTGAAGTGGTGCACAAAATGGATGTAAATTATTTGCCGGCCATTAATCATAAAAAGATAAAAGAGATAATAAAAATCATAAATTATCAAGTTGACAGAAACCATGAACATAAAAGGTGTAATTAATAAATGAAGATGGATTGTCTCAGCGCAACCAAGTTAGAAAAACATAAGTCTATGGTCTTACTCAAGCAACACAAGATCATGCAACTCATAGTCACCAATCTTTGTAACCCCAGAAGTAACCTCAGAACTCTCCACCACATTGTCAGCAAAGACACGTATCTGAGCATCAAAAAACATCCACAAAACATGTCATGATAATCCAACCACAGCATCAAGTCAAGTCATTATGTTGTTCATGTCTAAATAAGCTTACGTGCTCTTTTGTGGTATCAGATAACATTATCAAAACATGGCTTTCAACCTTCACCACCATGCCTGTAGTGCCTTCCTGGATCCCAGATATGACCTTCACATGATCACCTGGTTTGAAGTACTTGCAGAGTTCTTTTTCATTAAAAGCCAGTGTTTTCTGATAAATGCAAAGAAAATGGTCAAATTCTTGCAGCAAACGTTATGAGTATTAGTGATATGCAGCTTAAAAGCCAAACAAAATAATAAGTGACTACCGGAAGACCGGCCATCTTTGGCCTTATATGGACATTCTCTTCCTCGACTTTCTCAACCCATCCCATCAAATTCTTCAGATCACCTCGAACAACAATGACCGCATCACCTTTCATGAAATGGCCTTTCTTTCTATTTGAGAACAATGTCGACAGACTAGCTAGATCTCCATCTGCATCATCGCCAGGCTTCCGAAATTTCTCAAGCTCATCAAAAGTTGGTTGAATGTTTTGAGAGCTAATTGATTTCATGGAAACTGACTTATATAAAAATCCATCTTTGAAAGCCATGTTGTCAACCATTTCGAAGTACTCCCCTGTGTTGCTATCTCGTCTTCGCTCAACACGTATATGCATCTCCCTGAAAAAATAACAATCAGGTTAAATAAACCCATTTGCTAAATAACCAGGTAAAATGATTGCAAAATCGTCGTAAGAGAAGGTTAAAAGGTAACCTGGCCTCATCAGTGTTGAAAAACCTTGGTGGAGGAAGAAAGGTTCTCTTTTTCCCGACATCCCTACCTTCCTGCCATTCACAGTGTCAAAGGAGCATTCAGCAGAGATCACCAGAAAAAAAGGAAGATAAACTGTGAAAACTTGGTGAAGCGAAATTCAGAAAAAGATTTAAATTCAGAAACGAAGTCGCATATAAATAGCACCCAATATACTGGTGCTTCCATGTTAAACTAAAATAAATAATATGATAGACACAAAGAGACATTTACCAATTTGTTAGCAATCGTCTGTAGATCGATCCTTGGAATCAGCTTAACCGTAACCCTCTGCCTAACATTATCAACATCCACAACCTGCAACAAGGTGGAAAGGGACTAGAGGGTCAACAGAAAGTAAAAATTATACACTACAAGCCACATAAAATGACAGGTAACCATTTAAACTAACACCTGATTGTTGAAAACAGAGGCAACCATATCAAGTTAATAATAATGATAATAACGAAAGAATTATCCATACTTTTGCAAGGTCTCCCTTATATATTCCTAGCTTCATTCGGACCCATGTATCCCTTGTAAGATCAATACTTTTGCTTTCAACAGAAAGAACATCAGTCATCTCTTTAATAGGAACCAGTTGTACTTTCATGGAGAAAATATTGCGCAGTCCTTTGCATGCCTGTTCATGCAGAATGATTAGGTGACAAAAGCCGAAAATGTTAGGAACATAAGACCAGTGACAACAACCATCAATAAAAAATTACCTCTTTCACATGAGCTTCTTTGTCTGCTTCAACATATATGTAATTCTTAAGATGGTCTAGAGCAATAGCTGACCTAATATGCAATTCAGCTCCTTTATCAAAATACTTCTGCATAAGGCAGATGGCAGCCTCACGCTCATGGCCCATCTAAACAAGTTAGATAGTCAATTAACAGAAGCACTTAACAAGAAAATAAATATACGACAAGAAAAGACTATGCAAAGTCATACCATGCACTTAACCATCCACAATTTTGGATCTTTAACTGATGGCAAAAGAGCCTGCTGTTCAACTTCAGTTGCCTCCTCACCATATTCTATGTGACTGGACCTTGCATATCTTTCATGTAATTGCTGTCTCAGCTCATCAACATCTAGTTGATCTTCTGGTTGCATTAAAATTGATGGTCGGCGATGTATTGCCCTTTCTTCATCATCGCGCAGCTCAGCTCCACCATCAACAAAAAAATCTGCACATTACAGGATAAGAGACTTAAAATGTGAGAAATAATCTTACATAGCATTGCAAGAAAACTGTCTTTAGAAGTATAAATATATGCAAGCATCTGGATTTGCCCAAAACCCAGACAGGCACTTTATCTCTCGATTTGACCACAATCCAAGAAAACTGGAAAGGATTAAGAGAATGCGTACAAGGATTTAAACAAATTCGTGTCATTTGGTCAGCAAATTAGTAAATTATTTCCGGGAAATCGAATGAGCTAGAGACCTTGCGAATTTTCTACAAGGAAAAACCGAAAATCTGGACCACAGCTTTTTTTGAGGAACCTTTACATCAACAATGGAACATGAAAGGTCTAGGGCCAATTCTTTTGACAGCCTCATGATATCTAGTTATTAGAATCATCATCTTCTTAGGAGAAGCATCCCCACTCGATTACTATGCCATTAACCACAGTGAATATGGAAATAAGCATTTCCATGAAGCATTACGATTAATAAATCCTTGACAATAGGGGTAAACAGAGATGCATAATTTTAGCCATATAGTCAGTGGGAAAGCAAAGGGACTGTTTGATGACCTAAATACTGTTATCGTCTTTAAGATTTACAAAAAAGCAAGAAGTAAGGTGACTGACTTTTGAATAAACAGAATCACAACATCACAGCTCACTACTACATCGAATCTACGTGATTAACCAAAGAACTATCAAATGCGCGAAATGAATTATTAGAAACCGTGTGAACTATATCTATTTAATAAACATGTGATAATCATATGACTTTTAATTAATGAGAGTAATTTCCTATGTGATAGAACTGTTACATATGCTACATGGTGAGAAATGCACGCCTGACACCTTTTTTAAAGGCAGATAACTCCATATTTCTGAACCGTACACAACGTCTATGAAGAGAGAAATTCAACAGTGACTGCTACTTGAACAAACCAAATGATAATACTTATTGGCGAACACTGTCCATAAATATATATCCCAAAGCTTTATCGCACATCAAAAAATTGATTAGACATTCATTCAAAATTCTGCATTTAATTCACTGATGGTAGAAGCATGGGCTCTATTAGGGAAGGAAATCATAGGGTTACAGTCGGCTCCACATTATCAAATATATATCGCAGTTCTCTTCTGACACTCCATGCAACATATGTATGCCCCGTAGCACGGACTAATGTCTAGTCCCCGAGTACTCTAACAGACCGTCAGTTCTTTAAGCTTATCACAAGATACAGATAACATGCGAAATCTTGTGACATCTTGGGTTACTATGCAAGGTTGCTTGCGTGAGATGAACTCATAAATCTTTTGCACGAATTGATATTATCGGTTCCACTGTTTCAAGGGGCTCCTGAAAACCTAATAATTATTTTCCGGGAAAACGACCCGAAATCAAAGCTTTAGGCTTTTCCTAGCCAGAGGCAACGCCTCTTTGATTAGCAATAAGCATGGCGAAACCCCCAGCGCACCCTAGTTACAGCTGAATTAACCATTTATTAAGTCTCAACTGTTTTCCACAGAACACGAAGGAACCAGAAAATGAAAAGACACAAAAAACAGGAAAAAGATGAAGTGAATCGGGGTTAAAATCTAATGCAGCGCAACATACCGTCCTCTCCTTCCTCCTCTTCCTCCTCCTCCTCGTCCGACATCACCGTGGCCTCAATGTCAAAAAACTGAGACCCCGACCGCTTCCGGTTCCTTCTGCGGCGGTCCCCGACATCCTCCTCTTCCTCCTCTTCCTCTTCCTCATCCTCGTCCTCCACGGCGACGTCGTCGATGAAATCCGATCGCCTCCGCTTCTTCCCTCCTCTACGCCCAGCCGGCTCCTCTTCCTCCTCTTCGTCCTCCTCTTCCAAATCCTCTTCTTCTTCCTCATCCTCCTCCTCCTCCTCGTACTCGTCGCGGCGCCCTCGAGCCATCACCTCCGGCACGGCGGAGCAACGAGCGGCGCGAGGCGGCGACTGAAAGAACCACAAACAGACAGAAATGGGGACAAGGGACCTCCCTCTTTCACAGTAGCTCCATCAAGGATTATAAAGGTGACATACCCAATACCTGTTAAGAACCCGATATCCACCTATATACCCCATTTAGATCCGATAACAGTATCGAACCATTCGCCCCATTATATATCCGGATATCAATCAGACACTTGTTCGATACTCGTTCAGCACACTGAATCCATTTACATACCCATTAAGATCCTATAATTATTATCGGATATTACCGTTACCCGTCGTGTCGAATGGGTCCTCCCATTTTTTGGGAATCATTACGGGCCGTTTATGTATCCGGAAAGCTATCCGTATACCCGTTAAGAACCCGATATCCATCATCTCCCATTTAAAATCCGTAACATTTAGGGACCGATTTCGGATATTAGCTTTACCAGTTACGTTAATGGGTCCTCCCATTTATCCAAAACCCGTTTCATTCGGATATCGGATACTTGCCTCAACCCCGTTGACTGTGACTGGTGGTGACCCCATTAGATGTCTGGGCCATCACCTGGAGAGAGAAAGCTGTGGTGTTGTGTAAACCCATCTTGAATCTAGGTAGAGAGAGAAGAGAGATGATAGAGAGATAGAAACGAGATTAGTAATGGCACAAGATGCCCCTTCTCTCATAGATAACGGCCGAGAACTCTAGAGAGGCATGACTCTTAGGAGGACTATCTCTCATCCCCCTCCTTCGCTCTTTCTCTCTCTAAGTCCTCACAAACTGTTCACATGTTGGGTGAAGTCACTGCTTCTTTGTGGGTGATCTTGAGACACAGAAACAGCAATGTAGAACAGAAACCGGGCGTTGAGATCACAACATGTGTCTCTCTCTCTCTCTTCTCTCTCTTCTCTCTCTATCTAGTTTCAAGATGAGTTTACACTTAACCCCACATCTTTCTCTCTCTAACCCCACATCTTTCACTTTGTAAGTGATGGCCCAGATATATAATGGGGTGGGGTCACCTCTAGAATCTCTGTTCTGTCTATCTATTATCTCTCTCCTCTCTCTCTCTCTCTAGATTCAAGATGGTTTTACACTCAACACCACATCTTTCTCTCTCTACGTGATGTCCCAAGTATCTAATAGGGACACCACCAATTAGTAATGGCAAAAGATATCCATTCTCTCATAGATAATGGCCAAGAATTCTAGACCAGCATAACTCTAAGGAGGGCTTGCCCCCATCCCTATCTATAGGGAATAATTTCTTATGATTCTTACAAACATAATGAAAATATCCAAAAGTTGTAACATAATATTTACCAAAATTAGCAGAAAAGGAAATTAATATTAAAACAGTTTCTAACTCTATAAATATAACAAGTGATCCATATAATTTTGGGCTTAACTTTTTGACTTTTGAGCTTGAACTTGTCTAGGACCTTCTAACCTTTTGTAGTATATGCTTTTGCATTATCAAGTCATCTGGGTCAACGGATTTGGGTGCTTCCCTCTTTCTTGGAAAAGTGTTCTAAATTATATTACACTACAATCAATCACGAGAATTTAAAAGGAGAAAATAGAAAACAATTATATAATAATGTCTTACATGTCTATGATGATGTCTTTGATTGATGGGTAGACGTTGTATCTTTTCAAAGAATTATCTCACTCATTTTTTATTATTCATAGAAACGCCTTGATCATATGTGTGTCCACATTCTATTCATATTTAATTCTATTTTCAGGAACCAGATTCATTGGACCAATCTTTAAGAAAATATTTTACATAAATCATGCTATTCGTCTTGTATTAATACATGATCTGATTACTTTGTAAACATATATTTACTATATATTTATTAAAAAATTATAATCATTATGTTATAAAAATCTGATTATCCCTATATCTTTGTGATCATTATCACTTACTAAATTTGAACGAATCGGATTAAAAAAAATGCATCTTATTCCAGGATACCATGTGCTTTATGAAAAGAAAGATACCATGATACTAGTTGTGATCAGGATTGGAGTCAACCACTGCAGGGCTCATGTAGTGGTGGAGATAATGTGGGATGATGATGAACACCACTTTCAATGGTCCACTCTTCTCCATTTAATTTTCTGCTGATTATAAAGCTAAAGTTACTGCTGAGAGAAGTATTCATAAACCCCCATGAACATGCCCATTTTCTGATCTCATGAAAATACTATTTTCATACATGAGTGTAAGGTTTTTTTTTAAAAAGGAGAGAAAAAACCAGCTTTCTGTGAGATTCTTTGCCTCGATCTATCTGATCAGTGAAACATGACTTCCCACATTTCTGGACTCAATTGAAGGAGCTCTTGATGGGTTTATCTAATTTCCAGACACTCAATCCAGCTGCACGTTGACTAAAGATGGGTTCTTGGATTCAACAAAAGTCCACCCCATCAGCTGCCTCATTACTAAAGATGCTGCACCCCGGATTTGATGATCAAATCTCTTCCCCAGTCTAAATAACTTGTATCAGTAACCAAGACGATCATTCAAGGATGTTCGTCCATCACCCGATTGCCCTACAAAAAATTGAGAAGAAGTTTATTTCTTTTTAAAATCTTTATCAAAGGATCAAATATGGATTAGGCTCAGAAAATAATCTGTAGAATAGTCTAAACCCTGTTGGACCACACAAGGGCTTCTTTCCATTTATAGTAAAAAAAAAAAAACTCACCTTCAGGAGGCACCCATTCCTCATAATCGGGGCTTCTCTCGAGGAAGGATGGCCTCTCTGGACCAAGCACTCTCTTGGTTTTCTTCTTCTTCTTCTTCTTCTCTGATTCATCTCCACCAGGGAGCAGCTGATCACTCTCCGTCATCTCATCCTCTGGCACAATGTACCCTCGTTTATGCTTTAGCAGCAGTGCCACAGCGTCTGCGACCGCAGTTTCTGCCTCAACTGAGGTGGAAGTAGACGCCATTGAAGCTTCTCCTTCGGGCAATTTAGGGTTCTCGGCTTGCTTCCGCTTTCGGATGATTAAACCTGGCGCTGCATCTTCTATACCCTCCCCATCAACCAAGATCTTCCTATCTTTATAGTCCACAAACTCATCAGTTGTCTCATCAGCTTCCAAGACACCCTCTTTCTGGCCCTCGGCAGATTCACCTTCCTTCACAGCCCCCAGCCACTGAGGCTTGGAGACACTGTACACTGGGGTTTCGCCCTCTATCTGGCCATGAGACTCTGCTTTGTCCCCAGCTGGAGGTTCTTCGGCCTGCAGAGGGCCTGGAGGAGACGGCCCAGTTGAAGGCTTCTCTACCACAGAGATCTTCTTACTCTCAGAAGTAGTCTTCTTGGTGATGCTGGGGGTAGAAGAAGCATCAACATGGGTTGGTCTGGGTTCCAGCTTCTTAGATTCCCTTTTCTTGGCTGCTTCCCCGCTTGGATCGGCGATCTTCAGCAAGTACAATATCCTGTCTAATTCAGATTTTAGGGCAGATAACTCGCCCTGAATTCGGGTAGTTTTATCCAGCACTGGTACAAACAGAGATAAAATAACCAGGAAGTGCATTAGTTTTCATATTTCCATAAATGTAATAAAATGGGTGTTCAGTGAAACCAGTACTGATCGATCACATGAGAAGAAGCATCAGAGCAAATGTATCTCACATGACTTATGTGGAAGTTAGCATGACGAGGAGGGCCACTGGCTTCAGTCCCTCAAAGCAGACACTCAAAATGATGGAATTACCAAAGATATCAATGGATCATGAGGGCTGAGTGGACTTTCGTCCTCCACAGGGTTGAGAAAAATTCTTTTTTCAGCGCTGAATGTTCTTGTCAGATGGCCACATTTATGTACAATTATAGAACGTAATAAACCAAATACATCAGGCCAACATCCTTATACATATGCACATATTAGGAACAGCATGAGAACTAGAAAAACTCCACGGGCAAGGATCTGTACAAGGATCAAGAAAACGTATGGCTTTTCAGAGCCTTGAGATGAATGATATGCTGAATATTACCTCATTTATAGGCTGTGTCAGGTTATGAAAAAAAGCATCACAAGTGGGTGGCTATATGAATATGTCAATTGTTTGTGACTTAAATGATAATTTACTAATTGTGTACAAACGTGAACCGGATCTCTATGTTCGTGAAGGAAAATGATACTCTGTAGAAATTTAAAGAGTTCTCTATGTTCTCGATGACAGGGGTGTCTTTAGAAAGAAAAAAAACATATGAAGAACATCCTTACCTAGTTGGGATGAAAGCCCTGTCATGTATGCGTCAAGTTCATCACCCTCTTCCAGACCCTGAGTCGCAGAGACCATCTTAGAGTTCTCTTCCTGCAAGAGGTTTGTCTTCTCTTCCATTTGCTTGACAAGGATTTCCTTTTTGTCAAGAAGTGTTTCGGCAGTTTCAACAATCTGCTGCTCACCAGACTTTTTAAGTTGAGGCTTCTTTGTTCGATCATAAAACTCATCGTCATCACTGACTCATGCAAAGGAATCAAAAACAAAATTTTAGTGTTCAAAAAATGTTGCTTAGAAAGAAAGTTTCTGAATAACTTTATTGCCCAAAGTGGAATCCACCAGAAAAGCTAGAAATCAAGTGAAAGAACATAAAAATATTCAATCTTGGATGCTAATTTTCTCTGCCAGCACATTTTTACAGCATTTCAAAGGTGATATAAAACGTTAAACAATAATTTACATGGATTATTTGTATTTAGAGGCAAATCGTCGCGACAAGTTTCACAGATTAACGAAGTTCAGATGGGCACTCAAGTTCGCTTGTTTTTCCCAAGATACAACGTAACTCTTGTTTGAGAGGTCACCATGAACAAATTCAATGTCATGTAGAACTGCATGGACATCATTGGAAGATTCTCATTTCGGTAGGGAATAAATTCATCTTTTTTGGATACTATTTATAGAATTGGTCCGATATAATACGATATGCATGGCGTCAAGCAGTAAAACAAAAAAAAAGGAAGAAAAGAGCTCTATCAATTCAATCGCGGATGTCAATACGAAATTTATTGAGCCTTCCAATCTAGGATAATGTTTTATAGCAATGTTGTTGATCAAAACAATGACTCATCGTGACCTATTCATTCTAGACAACTTTTTTTTGGGACCAGTACACGTCCAATCAGCACATATCATCTAACATCATGAACGTTACAAGATGAACTGTCATGATCAGTCACCAAGGTATTTCTTACGTAGAGTTTAAATTTGAAGAACCAAATAGTCAAACAATTGCATAATTGCGCATTGCCCTTTTCTCCGTATTTTTTCAGTATGTGCACAATAGCGTTCAAGAAAGTGGTAAAAATCACAAAATGTTTAACAGTTATCCTTTATTACCTTAGGATCACGTCTTCATCTTCATCCTGGGTAGTACCCTTTTTCTTACCATAAGTCTTTACACGTGCACCTATACTCTCTTGGATACTTTCATTCAAAGTTTCTTCCAAGCTATCCAGCTCTTCCATAATCTGATGAGCACACGAACATTAGTTAAAAATCGAAATTAGTATTCATTAACAAAAATAACTGGATGCCCACTGATGAGTATTCCAAGGAAAATCGAAGATCTCTGACCTGGGCCATCCGTTGTTCATTTCTAGCAATCTGAGTCTGCTGGCCCTGAGTTAGACCACCTTGAGAAATGTCTTTTGCTCGGATGGAATCAATTTCTTTCCGCATATTAGCAACCTTTAGAAAAAAAAATATTTATAATATTTTTTTTATAAGGTCAATAAGGTGTAAGGTTTCAAGAGGAAAGATGCACAAGCTTGCGAAAAAAAAGTTTATTCGGGATTATTTGGTCCTTTCTTAAATGAAAATCCATGCCAACTAAAAATGAAGAAATAGCCAATATAAAGAAATGAGTTGGGGACTCGCTCCTCATGTTAACAAAAAAATTTGAAAAAGAAAAGCAGAAGGAAATCAACTAGCGTGATGCAGTTTATGACCAAATGACCATTTTAGAAAATTAAAAATGAATTACACAGACATTTACCAAATGCTAGAAACAACCTACACATCCAGCAAGCCTCTTCAAAGCTATGAATCAATGTCCATAAAAAAATACCACTCAACAAAGTAAACTTCTTGGAGGAACTTCATCCAGGAGATAGACTAAGGTTAGGAGAGAAGTTTTCCCTCAACCATCTAATACATTCCTCAATAGAGAAGTTTTTTGGTTGACTGTTTTTGCATTTGTTTGGCTAGATTCCAAATACCTCAAATTCTCAGTTGGGAATCTTCGTTAGTTTCCTGTCACTTTTATGGGAAGTAAATCAGGTGAATCAACGAAGGGATCATTCTCCCAAGGCTTTTATCAGCAGTGAAAAAGATGCCAAGATCATAAGGGTATCAAATTCTTTACGAAATAAAGTAGAGGGATCTATCAACAACATCAAAATGCTTGGGATGACAAAGGCAGTGAGCCATCAGGCGACAAAGCAACACATTAGAAGACGCTTAGGTCAGGTTCGATTTCAGATATCTTTCAAAACAACTAAGAATAAATCGTCTGCTGAATAAGCAATAATATAAAGTCTATAAACACTTATTTTCTGCTTGAGATTGTAATATGAATGAACTAAAATAAATTTAAATTAGCAGTGAGGGTAGATTCTCATACAATTCCAAAGTTCCAAGCTCAGAATGAAAGCCATGCACAGAACCAAGGAAAGCCCAAAATTGGTGGGCCAGGAAACCTGGAAACACGATAAAGTTGAGAAGGCCCAAAAAGGCGCAAAATCAGATTATGCTCAAATAAACCACGTGACGTGGCAACGTTTTAGTGTAACTGATATTTTTGAAAGTCCTTTTGACTTTGTTTCCTAAATTGATCCGATGTTTAGGGGAGCCACAGCTGATTCTCGGCCTATTTAATGGCCAGCTCGCTGTAACCCAAAAAGATCTTGGTTAGTATGATTTTTTTCCCCATTGAGGTGTCCCTTTGCTTGTGGGTTTAAGCATTCCCTTTTGTAGATTCAAGGGTGTTAGACTATGTAATTCTGTGAGTCTGGGCCAAACCGGCCCATCTAAGTCCATCTGGAGTCTAGTATGAATACCAGACTCTAAAGATTCGGGTTTGTGAGAGAGTCTTCTTTTCAGATGATGATTGTGATGGTTTTTCACCATCAGCTCCATTCTAACAGCCTTTTGATCCTTTTGGATTCAAGGGTCGCCGCAGTCAATCCTCAATCCGTGGATTCAGGGCCAAGTTTCTTAGCCTCCATCAAGGTCTAGTCCAGTTTATTGGGCCAAGTTTCCTTAGCTCTTCAGAAGATTTATTGGGCCAAGTTTCCTTAGCTCTAAGTCGGGTTCTTCCCCAAATGATGCATCATTAGCTAATACAACACGGACAGCCAATCAAATACTGATCTGCACCACATGATCTGATCCAGGGAGGGGATTCTGATCTGACTTCAATGCAGAAAAACGGCACAAAAACAGGCCACGCTGGCCACTAATCAATAATAGATCTTCCCCCATCTTGCCAAGAGAAAGTAAAAAGGGGCATTTGACAATATCTTGTCCCTGGTTGAAACAATGTCGAGAAAGCCAATCCAGACAAAAATGAGATACATAACAAGAAGCATACAGAAAAAGACGAAAACGTAAAGGGATGATCAGCACTTCAAGGTAAGCACACGCATAAAAACAGAAGCAATTCACAAAAAAAAAATTAATACGACAAGATTTAGATAACCTACAGCAGCATCATAATGATTGCTCAAGGAGAACCACAGGCTGCCGAAATGTTAAAAATAAAATCTGTGATACTATTTCTAACCTTTTCCATTCGTTTGATGATTTTGCTTCGTGTTTTTTCCTGTCTTTCAGTAAGTTGCCCTCTGTAAGTTTGCCAGGTTACCTCTTCTGCGTCATTCTAAGAGCCAGGGATTAATTAGATAATTAAAGAAAATAAATAAACCTATTTAGAATGTGTGTAGTGCCCAAAGATTTTGCAAGTGGGGGAAATAAATCTCACCGAAAAGATACAAATCAAACAAAAGATCCATCAATTCTATATAAACGTGGATATGCTATTTTAGACATAAGAATGGAAACTTTCTCCAGGTTTGTGCCAACAAAGAAGACATTTTTTCATATTTAAGAAATTTTCATTCGACAAAATTTTTAAAAATGTGACAGGTTTGAAAGAAACTGGATTCAATCTGGTTTGCAGATAATCCTACTTTTGAAAATAAATAAAGCTTAGATGACTAAGTCACCTCACTGATATCCTCGATTGCATCCTCAGCCATCCCCCAAGAGATGCCATCCTTCATGGAGGCTTCAACTCTTGCACGCGAAAGAGAAGCCTCACGATCATGCATTTCCTCTAGAAGCTTAGCATTTCTTAACTTCTTCAGGTCACCTTCCTATACAAAGCTCAAGAAGTTACTTCAGATTATGCCCGTGTGCATCCTACTGTGTCATGGAAAAAATATCAACCGTACTAAAGTGAACATTGAGAACAACATATATACATATATGTGTGAAACAAAAATAGAATAGAACGATTCAATATATGGCATGTCTATAAATATAATATCTATGATACTTTAAACTAAAAATAGTTAAATTAAGTAATTAGTATAATATCAAAATTGACGGAAAATTTTCTAGCCTCTTCATCATCATTCTATCAGTGTCATCTCATTAATATGGAACCATCAAGGTGTTACTGATGCAGTGGGTTAGAGCATCTCATAGATGAGCAGCCATGTGGCAATGGGTAACCCTCATCAGGTGGAAGGAGGATCCCCTCTCACTTCTTTCTATTATGAAACTATGCATAATAAAACTTGGAAAACATTAATAAAGCCCTTAAGCATAATTTCATCTATACGAAACCTGTATATAGTCGGGCTCTATGCTTTCTAAGCTCATGATAGCTTAGTTGACAAACGGCTTTTCATGATTGTATCAAAGCTGCCTCGGTTCTTATGTAAACATGCTTTTATTAGTGGAAAAGACACTACTTGCAGAACTTGGAAAGTGTCTCGAAAACACCACGGCCCTTGACAGAAACCAAAAATCCTAAAGTAGACCTGCAAGTGCTCCGTTTGATGGCAGCAGTACCAGCAATACTCCCTTTTTGGGCCATTGATTGAACAGGGATTTCTCAATTTTGATATTACTGACATGATATTACGACCTATAGAAAGAGAAATAAATGAACTTCTTCAGTCAACTACTATCTAAAAGGCACGTTATTCTTTTTTCTTATTGAATCATTTACCTTGACTTATATTACTTGGCATGGCACACAGCTCATGTGTCGGCGTGTTTATAATTGTTGGATCCCAATCTAGTAATCCCAAAAGGGTAGAGATCTCAATCAAGGAAAAGCCAATGGATACCACCAACATCAAGCAGTATGAAAATGAGACACTCCTGTATAATTTCTATGTCAAAAAGTTTTTCACTTTCTTGCAAGGGTTTTAGTTCAGATAGATTGGGTTTTGGGTTCCTATAAAGCTAAACAGACATCCACATGCGACTGATTATATAAAAACTTTAAGATAAAAATAACATCTGATGCATTTGATTTCTTCTCAATCAATAACATGACCATTAAATAAATTAACAATGTATGCAGATTCCGAAACATCAAAATCTGTGCACAAGTGAATCTCAAAAAGTCTCAATTTCGAAGTCCTGATCTCAAAGGAAAACTTTCAAGCTACCAACCACTAGTAATATGAATAAATGGTGATTTCCTCTACATTTGCAACTTCATCCTCTCACATGATGTATTGAATAAAACCTACTAGTCTGCATCCACACTTAACTCAGACAAAGAATACTAATAAAGAAGTGACACAACAAATTAAGAAAAGAAATTAATGGAAAAAAACTAGACAAACTTCGTAGCTTTGAAGGTTTGACAAGCCAAAATAACCATAAAACTTACTAGTGGCATCAACTCTGAAGGTCCTTGGAATATGTACAAACGGGAGGATCTGTTGAAAATATTTAACTGAGAATCACAAATACTTATGGAGGAAAAAATATTTACATGGTTGATAAAGTATATTCTCTAATCTCCAATCAAACTCTCTAGGAATCAAATGAAATACAATGTTGGAGTTGGAATGGGCCTTTGACCGATTGTGCAATTCCAATAACATGAAATAGTATAAGTTTCTCTTTCTTCATACTATGATATCTTCATTTAAAACTCAATTTGGTGCTAAGACAGAAATAATGATAAAAAACATATCCATAGTCTAGCCAGTGATTTCCGAGATCCGGTCCTTGGTAAAGGGATTCAACATCCCACTGCCAGGAAGAATGGTAACTTGTCCTGAGGTAACACTGCCTATAAATAATGGGCTTTATCCAAAATTGAACCCATTAAATTTTCATGTACAAATAATGAAAATAATTATATACCATGAAAAAGCACACGTAAGTATATGAACTGATCAGAGGCATATAACAAGAATTCAGATAATGTATCAGAGTCACCCTTTTGAAAAGGAACAAAGTTCCAACCTGCCTTTTCTACTAGATCAAAATGGGTTAATCCAGATTTCAACTATGCTCCTAAGACCAACTCGGTGATATTGTCCACAGCCTCTTCCAACCATAACCAATAAAGAAACATGAAACTTAAAAACTAGCTAAAGCATACAATAGGCACAAACAAGGTCGATTCAATTAACTATCACGAATAGCTGATGTATCTTGATTCATCAGTACCTGGACCTAAGGACAGTGCCGTCCAGATAAAAGTCAAAGAAAAGTTATGTAGATGGTGGAGAGAGTAGGAAATGGGACCAGAACTCAGGAAAAACAGTCTTGACGCACAATAGATTGCGATAGTCTGATCGAGTTGACCTAAGGACAATCTAATAGAGATAGATTGCGCTATTCTTAGTATACAAAGTCTTGACATACAAAGGATAATTGCTTCAACCTTGATGGGAAAGCTCAAGTATTGGATAAATGGTGGACTAAGATAATCTTGCTAATGAGGATACTTCTAAGGTTAACTAATTGTCAATAGAGGAACTCAGGAAAAAATACATTGAAAAGCTGAAAGATTTACTTAGCTCTCTCACTAAGATTTTTAGTATAAGTTAATTGGCTCAAAGTGGTAAGTATCTTATTTCTAATTTCGATAAAGCTTCCGAGTCTGTCCACCCCAAATCATAAGCCTTGACTATGGTTCCACCGACCATATAATCCGATATTGAAATTAATTTGATCAGTAGATGCGTGACTTTGGAATTAAATTTTTTTTGTAGATTATGGATCAGCTGTCTAGATTTTTGGTCATGGCAACATTAAAGATGTCTGTCCACCCCAAGTTACTCTTGCTCTCTCATTACATGATGCCCAATGTGTTCTTAAATAATCAATTCTGTACTTCAAAAAGAACAAAGGGACGATGATAAGGAAAGGGATGGTTTGTACTATCTTGAACAAAACTAAAGGTGAATAGATGAGCAAAATCAATTGTTGATATACTTGTCCAATTGCACATCCTTCTCTTCAGAAAAATTCAAAATGACTTCATCATTGAAGACCTGGTCATCTTTTCAGACTCGTTGAACTATGTTGCCATCAGTCTTTTAGAACATTTCAAGTGATGTTGCACTGTGATGTACGTTAGCTAGCAAAACAACATTGTGCCCATTTCCCTTTGAGTTTAATAAAATCATCAAAGCTTTTCTTCCTGATTTCGTTTGATGTTTGGTGACGATTCGAAATTCCCAAAATTACTGGTGCTAAGAGGCTTGGCTCGTTGGTTAAAAATGATTATACTCATTTACTTGATTGTATCTTATGAAAGAAAAATCTGATGTGAACGAAATTATTCAGTGTTCCATACTATGGTCCAAAAACTTAGTTCGGAAACGAACTAAGAAGGCTTGATCTAATAATGGGAATGAGTATTTGAACTAGTTTCCAACTTCTTTTTTTCAATAACAAGGAAAAGTTCATGAACCCTTATCTGTGTTGACACTCCCCAAAAGAATGGGGTTGGCAAATGGAAAAATAGACATCTTAGAATTAATATAAATAAATTTTTCTTTCCGTAATATATATTCTTCTCATTAATTAGATCTGTTAGAGATTTCCTTGGAAGTCTGTTTTTCTGTTTCTCTTCTTTGCTTTGTATTTTTTTGGTAAGCCCTTTCTAGGCGTGCTTCATGTACGACCTCTAAAAATGGTGGGAGAATTTTCCTGGCCCTACATATATTGCCAAATTTACATTTCGTTAAACGGAAGAATAATAATTTCTTTCTTCAAGGCAATATTAACATTAGTATGAATGAACTGGAGGCTATAATAAAATTATCATGTCAGACAGGACAGACTAGTACCACTACTGCAATTAGAATAAATGGCCGAGGTACTGTAAATCAAAGGAACAACAAGAGCAACAAGACATTCATTCGCTGACTTCATGTCATGGAAACAATACATAATATGACATCAGCAGACACCAGGATGTCCTCGCCATTTGAAAATAACTTTGATAAATAAAAAAGTTAATACAAATTTCTAACAGTAAGGGCTTGTTGGTCAGAGCCCTTAGAAATGAAGACCGCAAAGTCCTGGAAACTTTTTACTGGCTTAAAAACGGTAAAAGTCAGATAACGGCTGAATTATCAACCTGCAATCCGATCCTCCAATCTATCTATCACATGAAGGCAAACTCACCCATCATTTAGAAGCATCTCACCCCAGACCTAGTTCTAATCACTAGAAATAAGGTAATTAGGGAACCAAACCCAGCTCAGTTGGAAGCCTAACAACGTGAAAATAAACTAATCAAACTCAATTTTACAATGAAACAGGGAATGATGCATGGAAGTAAACTCATCTGATTTGCACTATGGAAGAAGCTTTAAGATAAATGGAAATATACTTGAACTTGAGAAGTAAGACAGAAAATCTACTTGTGGAGGGAAAGTGTACGTACTGCCCAAATCGAATTATGTCACCGACATGCACTTCAGTATATGATTTTTTCCTGATCTGACAAGTCATAAAATACATAACTGATCAACCTTCAAAAACAGCTACAAATAACTTAGCATAACAAAGCAAAGGCATATTGAGAACGATTCAACTACTAATTTTTCATCCAATCTACTTTTAAATCATTGAAATAAGAAATCACTAAAAAGCTAAAGACAAATCACAACAACATGCTCTCACCAACTGACAAAACGATAAAGTGTAACCTCTACAATGACAAAAAAAGTAGTCAAAAGACAAATATCTCGCTTACTTTTGCTATGTTCGCACAATTTTCAAGCTATATAGTCGAGGTTACAAAGCAAATTGAGACATCTTATGTATTTCACATTGGATCCATCAGGAAAAGAGTTTTGCTTGTAGTGAATAGAGAAACACTTTACTAAAGCCACAGTTCAAAGTCAAGTACATATGTTCTCATGCTATTTGCTTTTTCTATGGCAAAGCAAATAAAATTATACACAACCATTTGAATTTCAAGTTGAATAATTGAATGAGACAAAGATGGTCAATGCCACACTTGATATTGCCTCGTTTTGAGAATCGAAAAATCCAGCCACAATCTTCACCAAGTACACATGTTTTGGAGATCTAATCCATAGTGTTGAGTTATTGATCAAATCCATGACAAATATATTCACCTACTGCTTATGGGCTAAAAGATTCTAGGTCAATCATGGTAGGAAGGCTTGTGCCTAATGGAACTTATTAAATGTGTTGCTACTCCAACACAAGTTTTAGGGTATCTCCAAGGCGGCAAAGTGACCCAGATATGAATGCACTGCGGAAACTATTTTTAAAAATAGAATTGCAATTAGTTCCATGAAGTCCATTTAAAATGGCTGTTTTATGCTAGTTGTTTTCTTTACACTATAGCACAATTTTTTTTGTAATTGACGAAATCTTGATATGAATATATATTAGCTTTAGTATTTGTACATGTATGAACCTGTTTTATTAAGTATATCTAACCCTTGGTATTACCTTGTATAGGCAAATGTCTAAGTGAACCATATTGTTGTTTGCATCACTCATCATAGAAATCTTACACAGCCTCAATACCAAACTGCATATCATTTTACTTATAGTATTTACTTCAGTTCACCATCAAATTCCCTAAACGAAATAAACACAACACCAACTTAAGCAATGTATCAGTTCCAACTGACATTCATCCCAAGAGCCAAGAAAAGTAAAATTTCATGGAATATGACATGAACCATGCACGTCCATACCTGATTCTTGTTGACAAAGGTACCATGTGTACTCCCAAGGTCATAAATGAAAGCTTCACTATCTTTTCTAAATTGAAGCACTGGTGAAAGGGAAAGACAATTAGAGTCACGATGTAAAAACCAAAATAACTGGTCTTCTAACATGAAAACAAGACTAATGATGGCGCAATCCATGATTATATAAAGATTGACTTCAAAAGTTGTTGAAGTTACCAGATTTTTATTTTATTTTTATGGTTATTGTTGAACAACAGTGAAGGAAACGAGAGGATGGGCAGAGTGGCTGCAGTAGATATGTTTTCATCCTAAAGAGCCCCTTTCTCAATACTTATATATCAGGCTAAAACACAGGCACAATTAAATCGAGAACCCTGACAAGAGTGAAGTAGCATTTATACCTTAATAGTAGCAACTGTAGCCTAACAGACCTTTTACAGTTATACACAATATTTACTTTGTTAGCTGGCAATACAAATTTACCACAACATAAAGCAATATGCTAACCCATAATGCTACATTGATGCTTCTTCAAATTTAAGCTGGGACAAAATACCTTCAAAGATATTGAAACTAATGAGAATTCCTATGGAAGACTAATACTAAGGAGGGTAAAAGAAACTTCCAAAGGGCAAAAATACCTATTGAAGGGAAAAGTAAGAATTTCAATAGAGTTACTAAGCTAAAGAAGAGGATGGTAAGTACTTCAGGCTAGAAAAGAAATCCTTACAAAATGAAAGACTTCCTACTGAAAACCATTCGATGAATATGGAAAATGAGATAAACTGTAAGATAAAATTTGTAAAACAAAACTTGAGGATTGTTGAGTTATCATCAAGAGGATTGAAGATGTCAGAAGGAATACGAAGGAACAACAGTAAAATAGGACACTACTATAGGATTTAAGTGTGGAAAGTAAAATAACTAGAGCTAGTTTAGCCGATCAAACTTTCTGATGCTATTGAAAAAGTAAAGTTTTTAAACTAAGATATAAAGATCAATTGATCTGATTATAGGAGAGTGTATTACTAGAGCCAATGTTATACTACAATGAACAATAACAGGCTAAGAGAACAAAAAGGACTACATGGAATACATAGACAACACAAGTACACACCTGCATGAAATCGAGAAATAGTTGGATGTTCAAGCACAAAATCGCATAGATCTACCCGTCCAAACATGTATGCTCCTTTTTCTGACCTGAAAATAATATACAACAAACTTGACCATTATTAACATACCTATAGAGGAAACTGAGTATGCCATTCCAAACCTACAAGAATCTGCTTACGCTCAAACACTAAATTGGAGATCTATATAACATCTTCGTAATAGTAACCGTATAACCTTTAGACCTTTACAAAGTCCATCCAAGGCAAATATTTAGACCATAGAACAAAGTCGAATAAAATGTTTTCTTATAAAGTCTCAAATTATTCTTGGATTTTTCTCTTCCATTCATTAAATTTCTCAGGAGCGCATGGCGAATAGATCCAAGGTCTTTAATCGAAAATTCGGAATCAGTCCCAATTAAATAGTTCTGAGGCAAAGATTCTATTTTAGTATTCTATAATTTCACATCCCTCTTAATGGCTCTGTGATGTTTGCTTCCTGTGTTCCTCAACCAGCCTCACAAACCCTATAAAAACGATGAGTATAGCCCTTAATTGTCAACGAAGATCACCATGGCAAGATCCCCTGAGTAAGCAACCTCTCCCAAACCTTTACTAATGCCAGTCTACTTCTGTTGTATCTCTATGTAGATCTGACTGGGAACTCAAATATTATATCGTTTAAGAGGAAGATCTAACTAGGTCCTGACCGCTACTTTTGAGATGCATTTTTGGCACAGTTTACCCGCCTCAGTCTGCTAATGGCAGTGCCACAATTTTTTCTCATTCCCAGTTCAATCTAAGAATCAAACTGTGATGTTACTCGTATGCCAAAAACTGTTCTGATCATGACAAAGACTGGATACCTTCCTCCAACTTTGGTCAGGTCACTAATCTTGCTCCTCGACTCTAAGAAAAGCAAAGCAATTCAATCTAACATTACTTAGGCCTAACATGCTCTTTCCTATTTGAAAAAGAGAATAGATACAAATTCAAAATATAGAAGAATTCTATATTGGGTGTGCTTTATAGGCGTCAGCTTAATAAAAATGAAAATAGGAATTTCCGACTAAAACAGGGTGACACAATTTTCTCAATCTTTACAGAGACTACTTACAGTTTCCGAGAGATTATGGAATATTAAATTTAAGGGCTCAAGTTATTAAAAATATCACATCAACTCAATGTCAATGGCGTCCACAGATACACCAAAGGAGCGAATTTTTTTCAGTAACTCTGTTCAGTGTAGAGATGTCAGTGAAAAAATCCAGTATGAGAAAATTTTTGTGGATTTATATGTTTAACTGTAATGGCTAATGCTTGGAACATTTTCTGATCACGTTTAGATAATTTAGAAGCTGGGCATTATCACTTGTCAATGCACATAAAAAGGGACTTCCAAAACTCTCGATGATGTTCTCCCAGAGATTGGTTGAGTCAAAATGGGTGAAAGAAAGCTTCCTGTTGCAACAGATCATGATGATGATCGACTCTGGTGGATGACTCACACGTCTAGTTGTCCGATGATCGAGCCGTCCTTGAGGATTTCAAAGTGGAAAGGGTTCCCCGGAGGCTCACTCCATGGTGGAATCACGTAGGGGACTGTCAGCTGGTTCGGAGGTGCCGACCGAGCTGAATTCTTACTTGTCGTCGGCTTTTCCAGGACTTCCTTCCCTTCGGACACCTCTGCGGCTGGGGCACAGGCCTGCTCTGACTCTTCCTGCTGCCGGCCGCTAACCTGTGCTTCCTCAGGGGAGATCACTCCCGTGGCCGCGGGTACACCATTAAGGTTGGAGCTCAAATTAGGAGGAGGATTTGGAATCCTTGGAGGGGGAGGTCCCATGGGGACCTTGATTCCGTCTTGCGGGACGCCGGGCTGCTTCGGCTCCGCTATTCCTCCGTCTCCAAACTGCGGTTCCTCCGGTTGATCACCATCAGCTTTGGAGCTTGAAACCAGTGGAGGAATTAATGACCTCGGAGGGGTTGGTCCCATGGGAAACTTCACTCCTTCCAGTGGAGCACCGGCCTGCTCTACCTCTTTTTGCTGCCGGCTTCCGGCATATGCTTCATCAGAGGATGACTCTCTGGCGGCAGCGGGTTCACCATTACCGTTGGAGCTTGAGCCAGGATGAGGATTCTGCTTCCTCGGAGGAGGAGGTCCCATGGGGACTTTCATTTCTTCCTGCAGGGCTTTCCACAGAGAGAGAGGGATGGAGGGAGAAAGAAAGAGAGGGAGGAGAGAGTGGCGGTGAAGGGGGAATTCTCGCCCATTTCGTCGGTTTGCAATCGGGTTCGGATCTTCATACCCGAACCGTTAAAGATGGCTTTTGATCCGAGCTATGATCCGATAAAGCTGATAAATTTATTGACCCAGAAATTATTTTCAATAATTTACAAGAAAATAGATTCAATGAAAAAATATTTTTAAAAATAAAATCCCGATTTATTTTATTTTTTAATTAAAGTCTCGGATAAGTCGTCTTTATTGATCCGTTTTCGTCGTAAAATTGTTCATAAGTCACCTCTTATTTTCCTTTCTGTCATAAAGACCTCTAAACATTTTTGTACCCCTGTTAGATGAAAATAACAGGGCATAACTGATAGTTAAAACGATAAAAAATCAAGATTTATGGTCCGATAACCCCGATGAATTTATTTACCCACAAATTATTTTCATAATCAAATTATGAGGGAAAATAATTGATATTTATTTATTTTTAAAATATAAAATAAAATCTACTAGTTAATTTTGAATTAAAGTCCCGGATAAGTTGCTGGCTTCTCAAACCTAACCTATAGATCTATTTTCTGTTCGCCACAAATTAGTTAAAATTGTTCATAAGTCTTCTCTGATTTGCCTTCCTATCATAACCTCAAAATACGGAGCGAAGTGACGGAGTTAACACGGCTACAAATCACCCACCCACCACTAATTAGTTAAAATTGTTCACGAATCCTCTGTTATATGCTTTTCTGTCATAAATACCTCAAAACATTTCTGAACTCTTATAGGTGGAAAAGTACAGGGGCATAATCACTGAGTTAGCATGACCAAAAATCAAGAGTAAAATAATAGGGGGACTTTCAAGTAATTCAACGTAAATGTTCGGTACCTTAAGTAGAAAGGAATCACCCACAGACGAAGATGCTCTACGGATTTCTCGCCGCCGGTGATCACCGGCGGAAAGATCTTGTGGTGCCCCTCCGGTGGGCTCCGGAGGCTGATGAACAGGTGATTCGTTCTTCCCAATGTGGCCGGCGATCGGCGGGGGAGAGGGAATTTGGGTTAGATTCCCGCAATAGGAGCAGAGATTCTGCAGCTGGCGGTTGTCGATGATATGGATGTCCCCCTTCCAACGACGAAGCTCACCTTTCCCCCATCGCCACTGCCGGTGTGTGGATCGTCGGAGGGACTGGACGGCCCGTCGGTTGATGCCCCTGTCCGGTGAGTTGCCGTTAGTAGGAAATACGTCCTTCTTAAAGTCGTCGCTTTACATTGAATTGGCCATTGTTCGTCAGATTGGATGCGAGTAAGCCAGTCTTCCTCTCTTTGAAAGAAGAGGTGCCTCCAGTTCTGCTTGTGCTTCTATCAGTTTTTTTCTTCTCCGTATTATCCTCTCTGTTGGGTTAATAATTTTTTTGTGAGGAACTTCTGAACTCAATCACTTGCTTCCGTTATTTAGCAGTTTTCTAATGATGTCCATCTTGTAGAATGTACCCATTTTGTCTGATTTTTTTCATCTTACTGATGATGCTGCTTTCCTGACTTCAATGCGGAACTCAGGAATCCAGTGTGTGTTGTCTTGGTGTCAACAGGAAGCTTCAATCCTCCAACCTATATGCACTTGAGAATGTTTGGTACGTTCAAATGTATTATTTATATTTTTTATGTCCATTAAAAAATTGCCTGATTATGAGGACAACATTGACGGGGTGAGACAGTTATGCTGTACCGCATAAGTTGGGCAACATAAGATACATTCTCAAAAAAAATCACGTGCGGTGCATTGTTGCGTGTCATGCTGTATCATGTCTTTTTCAGTCGTTGGGTAGTTGGGGCCGAAAAGGGGTTTACGATTCTCTAGCTAGTTGAGATTCCTGGGGGAGATGGAGGTGGGTCCATTGCATTCTTGAAAGAGCGAACAAGATTTAGAAGTCTTGTTGTATCATTCGAGAAGAATGCTTGAAATTAAAGCTTCTCCAGAGATGTCTGAAGGAAAGTTTCCTGCATCGTGTCCATTTGAATAATCCACACATGTCTCTGCAGTTGTGAAAATGATCTGCATATTCCTATCAGTACAGGTTTCTATAAAGTGTAGCTATGTCTAGGTGCTTGGTAAGTTTCTTCTGATCATTAATAAGTCGCTGTTGTAAAAGTCTTTTACAACTGAGTTTTATACTTTTTGGAGTTTCTTTCATACCAAAGTAACCAACATTGATTCGAATGAGTAGCGTGGAAGCTCTACAGTTTTTTTCGCCATGTTACTTGTATCTTTATACAGTGCATGGTTAAGATAACTTTTGACAAAAGAGGGCCTCTCAAAAGTTTAATCAAATAAATTAGCTTCCATAAAAGGTACTTTTTCTGTAGTAAAAAGGGTACCAAGCCTACAAGAATAGACCAAATGCTCCTACTGTTTGATTTATGTTTTGAAGCTAAAAGGTAGTCACCTTTTCCGAGAAACAGTTATAATTATAACATATGAAAGGGAATGAATGTTCATTATTGCTTGGCCATCTGCAGGCGCTACTGATAAAGACTTGTGCTAATTTTAGTCTTTTTTTTCTTGTATTTACTAGAATTGGCAAGGGATGCTCTAAATTCAGATGGGTTTTTTGTTGTTGGAGGCTACATGTCACCTGTGAATGATTCATACAAAAAGAAGGTACTTATTTATGTAATGTTTAATGAATATGCATACATGAAACATTTAACGAAACTCATACATGGATTTGGGTGATGAATACATTCTCTATCGATGTTTTCCATCCTAAAGATATGTGCAACATCCATTGTCCCATAGCCGGTAAGATATGTTCAACATCCATGTGCCCATGGCATCATATAACGATTGCCTTGTTGTAGTTAATGCCTAAAAGCTTTCCTGTAACTAGATAGATCGTCAACTTCTGGTCTCCTTTTACCCCTTAAAGTTATACTGTTAAAGAACCAGGCTGGCCAATCAAAATGGACTACTATGAGCACAGGGATTGAAGCCCCCCAAAATTCTGCCAGGCCCATATCAACTAACGTGCAAAATGGAGTCGAATCACTAAAAATATTCTTAAATTCGTAATTTTTCATGTCTAGCACCTGAATGGCCCATATATTTAACCACATGATTTCATTTGTCCCAGTCGAAAGGAAAAAGGAAAGTATCACATCATGTAGATTTTTAATTTAAATGGGAAAGAGAGAAATGTAATTTTTATTTTTGTTAGTTAAAAGAGTTTTTGGGTCGTAATGTTTATATTTCGATTTTTTTAGGTAACCTTTGTTCCGTCTCATTAGAGTCTTGCAAATTCATTTCATTTCTTAGATCTAGAGACGATTTGTTACAATATCACCTCTTGGACTTTTTCTTTCTTGTGAATTTCCACAGTATTTGTACATATGGCCAAAAAACCTTTTTTTTCAAACCTGACTCTCTTTTAATCAAATTATCAATATTGGAAATCTTAGATTATCTTCGTGTTAATAATATGGGGTGAGACTGTGTTTTGAAAAATGTTGAAGTTCAGCTCTCAAAATGTCTCATTATTCATTGAAGACGAAAATACCTATAGGAGGACCTGCTGAGACCTAGAAGAGAGACACCATCTTCTTGGGGCCATTGAGTTTTCCGTACTTCATTTGAGTCTATGTTGCATTTTTACGGAGAACTCCTGAAAGATAATATATGATAGAACGCCCCTACAGTTATTTTTTTTTACACTTCCTACAGTTAGGAACTTGGAGCTGAGACACATATCAAAAGCAGGAGTAGGAACGGTGACGGGTTTGAGTGGAGAATCTTTTAAACTTGTAGTTCAATTTCGATAGGAAGTTCAAGCATCATATGATGGCTAAGCTTCGACATTGTAACAAATTGGCTCTAGATCTAAGGTCAAGAGATTGAGCTTCTGTCTGAGCGTCCAGTGAGGTTATTGGAGTCGTTTGCAAAGTTTCTCCAGATACGTAGAGGTCTTTGATGAGATTTTACCTACCAATTGTGGATATATGGTAGTTTTCCTCCACAGTGTTTCCTTTTTTGGGCTAGGTTCACCATCCGAACATACTGGGCCTACTTGTAAGGTTGAGACGTTCAGCTTATTTAGGCAGTTGAAGTCGTGTTGTTGTTTATCTTTTTTAAAAAGTTCACAGATTCTTGTAGAAGTGGGATAAAATTCACGAAATAATTTTTCAGCTTTTTTTCTGTTAGAGATATGGTAGTTTGTTGAATATATATTTTTTTATCAGTCAATAGATTATGCCTGGTCGATGTCTTCACTGGTACGGTGTTAGAGTATGGATTATCATTTTGCTTAAACTTGATCCTCATAATTATTTTGGCAAATGCAACAATTTTTTGCACAAGACTTTTTTGTCTTACCTGTGAAAATAATGGTTTGAATTGAACTTTCTTGTGCTACGTTACAGGGTTTATTATCAGCTGAACATCGTGTTCATATGTGTGAGCTTGCTTGCAAAAGTTCTTCCTTTGTGATGGTAGATTTATGGGAGGTAATGATTTCATGGACGACATTGTAATCTAGTGCAAAAGTTCTTCCTTTGTACAAGGCATTGAGAATTGGGCTGATGTTTGCATTTGTTTATATTTTCTAAGTTTTTTATAGTTGTACAAAGGCATGTTATTCTCACACATGTAAAGCAATAGATGGGAGCTGGGGCTGGCAAACAGGTTGAACTTGTCCAAGAACCAGCAGAATCAGAATTGGATAGATAGACGAACTGGAAAACAGGTTGAGCTCGTCCGGAACCGGTCGAACCACACAGAGAGAGAGAGAGAGAGAGAGAGGAAGGATTTTTTTGGAGACTAGGGACAACAAGTTGGGGTTTTTTATGTGGCCCTCTCGTCACATATTTTTATTTAGTGTAGAGGGTGGTGATCACACGATAAACATTATATGAGCCAAATAAAATAGGTCCAAAATCTAAATTACGCACTAACACTTTAGATAGTGAACCCAAGTAGACTTTAAATTACAAGTAGACTTTTTATAATGGTTGAGTAAAGGATGGAAGAGATTGTTTTTCATGTACTCAGAGTAAGATCAGTGTCTCTGGACCATTATCCAGTTTCTGAGCTTTAAATCTATTGGCAATGTAGGGCTTCTAAAACCTGGATTAGAGAGGGAAAAGAAAATCTGCAATCCCTTGTGTACTTCGCGAATTTGGCATAAGAGGGTCATTGACCAGATTGATAGGGCAAAGTTTTCGTTAACATCAAATGGTGGAAACCAATCCGGATCTAAAGTCTGAATTATTATTTTTGGAAACAATAAAAAAAGGCCCTTGGAAAATATCATTTTTTTCTTCTGTGCCATACTGAAAGGAGGCAAATCTCTGAACTACCTCACAACATATCCTGATCTTAATTGGGTTATGAATATGAGAACAGAGACTTAGCTCACTATTCCAAAATCATCCTATACAATTCAATTTCCAATTCTGGTTATTCTCCTTCAGTTTTGAGTTATTTTACTTTTAAATTTTTTTTTGATCTTATATACGTACTTGAAGAACTCTAGTCCAATGCTGCCTATTCACACACCTTCCTAACAAATAAGCCTCCATTTTTAGCATGATTCCAGTTGAATCCTAAAATTGAAGCCAGTGTGGTAAGCAATATTTTTCATGCATCCAGGTTTCCTCAACATGTCTTCTAATTTGTTGACCTTTGTCATCTTGATTCTTCTAATGTTTAAGATCTCCATTTTCTATTGGATACCAATTCCAAGTCTGTAGGATTCTTATTTATTATGATGGGAAAAACCACTTTCTGTGGAGGATTAGTTGAATACGCTTCTTGATGGTTCAAGAACTTTGGGCTTTTGTTGATGGAAGCGAAGAACAGCCTAAAGAAGAAAAAGGAAACGAAAAAGGACTAGAAACATGGAAAAGAAACAATGCAAGGTTGATGATTTGGATTGTGAGTAGTCTCGATCCTCATACTGTATGAATTTTACGGCACACACCTCCCTCTTAGCAATTGCAGAGTGTGTAATTGCCCTCGCACTCTTTTCTTAGCTTGGAAAAACAGTCTGTACATAACTTTGCAGTTGCAGTTACGTACCCAACATTGCAACTGATCTCATTTGAATTCACAGATGTTTGAAGACGTGCCTTTTATCACAGTGCATAGAACGTAATAAGTGGATGCAGGAGAAGATGGATGTGATAGAGAGACTGGAGTTGATAATCAGTTTAGTGTGACCGTTAGTTTTATAGGGGAAAACTAAAGACGGAAGGTGAAGATATTTTAGTTTTCGAGGATTCATTTGAGGGGCCCGACCTTATAGTTTATTTAATCTCATGGCCGTATCGTCTAATCTCCTGCGCAACACTGTGAGCATATTCCTGAAAACTGATTAATATTTACCGACATTATTTGTCAGATAGTTTACTTTTGGCAAGCTTCAGTCTCTTGGTTACGTCTTTGTACAATCATATTACATCTTTATTTTTGGCTTAACTTATGTTCTTCTTTTCATATATTTATCTCAGGCAAAACAAAGCAGCTATCAACGCACCTTGACTGTTATTTCTAGAATCCAAAGCTCTCTTTGTGACATTCTTTGCATACCAAAAGGTGAATATTGACACATCACAGATAGAAGCTCTGTAAATCACAGATAATTTGGATCTCAAGGTGCATAATACTGATGTTTTTATTCCGATTCTAATTAGAAGCTTTTAATTGGTTTTACTTCCTGCATTTAATCTTCATCTTCTCTGTTCAGACATCTCTGGGACTGCCATTTTCTATTTATTTATTAATATATCCTTTTTTTTGGCAACCTTTTCTTTATTGACGTCCGTATCCCTTTTCATGTTTGTATCAAGTTGTTTTATTTCAAAGGAAACCTCGCTGGGTTGGCATATAGTAAGTTTTCTTTGTTTATTAGGGCCTGTGGCCCAAATCCTTTAATAGGGCGTTTGGCACCATGCTGTAATGCTTTGCCATTAGTAGACGATCTTAAAAAGATTCAAACATGTATTCTTAATCAAGCTCCTTCATTTGACTAGACTGAGTAGGCAAGCTTTATGATATCATCAGGGTCTCTTGGTAATTTAGTTTGACTAATTGAGTACCTTTTTTGGTGATTTGGTTGGATTATTTGAGTAGCATTTCTCCATGCATTGAAGAACAGTAACGGGTCATCTTTTTCACAGTGGTCATACCATTGCAGCTGCCTCTGCCATCTGTAGTTTAATCACATTGTTTTATGAAATTGTTAAAATACTGCATCTCCTTATTATGAGATGCTGCGAAATCAGTGAACACATTTACTAATTTGAGAATCGATCATAAAATATATGCATCAGCCACTCTGTTATTAGAAAGTAGATTAGAATAGGCCCATTATCATGATAGTATGACCATGAGTAGTTTTGAAATATGGGTTCATTAGCTTTGATGTGTTCTGCCCCATTTTCTCTATTCATAAATATGTGAGGAGGATGGCCTAAGATTGTGAACTAAGATAAGCAGAAACTGAACTCAAGTTGTGAACGAGGATTTTTTGAACTTATATCCAGATACCTTCAAGGTGATGTACTGCTGTTTCTTTCTTCCGCATACATCTATTCTATTGATCCACTAAGAGTTGATACTGGAACCCCCACTCCGTCAAGCCCCTAAGTGCTCTTAAATGACCACAGTAATGTTGTTTGCATTGGATCCCTTGGTCTTCCTAGTGTCCTTCGTTTCATGCTTATGCATGCTGCTTATATTTCTATTTTATTAACTATTGTGCTCGGAACTTTGATAATAATTGATCGATATTTATTTTTTACTCCTTTACTAGCTTCTGTTCGTTATCAAATGTGAATGGACTTTAATTTTTCATGGTAGAGTCACTTAAGGTCATGCTATTATGTGGCTCTGATCTACTGGAATCTTTTGCCACGCCTGGAGTTTGGATTAGGGATCAGGTAGTTCCTGCCTCTACTATACGACTTTAATTTAGGGCATCAAAATGAACTAGTTGTACTTGTTTCCTACCATTTATCTATTCTTTTGTCAGGATTTAATTCTGAAAGCGCATAATTGGATCATAAGCTCAAGTGTATTGTTTAGTCATTTTGATGTGCATGCTTACATCTTTCAATACATACTATATCTTGCATTATTTGTCTCAGACTCAAAGTCACCTGGTTTAAATAATGCTTTATGCAAATTATCGATTTATCTATTTAATCTTTTGTATCTTTTTTCTTTACTCTCTTACATTTTGTAGGTGATTCTTATCTGGATTTCCCTTTTCATGTTTTTTCTTCATTTTTTTTCTTGTTTCTTTTTGACGTCACGATTCCTGAGCTTGTGTACTTTTCCATCGACTTTCTTTTTCATGGCAGTCTCGTCCCACTTTCCTATGCTCCTGCTCTTGATTATAGCTCTCTCTCTCTCTCTCTCTCTCTCTCTCTCTCTCTCTCTCTTTCTCTCTCTCTCTCTCGCTCTCTCTCTCTCACTCTCTCTCTGTGCACATACAATATCCGTAAAAAAAATTCTTTCCTTAATCCCTTGTAAGACTAGCCACTTTTATTCATTTTCTAACAACTATAAGCCATTTTCTTCTAACGAAGCTTAGAGTTGAGCTTAGCTTAGACTGGATTGTCTTGAATTTCTTTCTAAATTTGACTTCATTGAAACATATGTATGCCATGTTTACCTGAATATAAGTTTCCGTTTTTTGGGAATAATAATTTGGTTAGAAGAAACTTATATACAAGGATCATAATGTTATCGGATTGGCTCAACATAATTTTCCTTGAAAATGTTTCTTCTGCATGTTCCTTGAATTCAGGTGATAATTTTTTTAAATTTTCCATTATTTTTATGGGTTGGATCATACAACTCTGATGATGAATCCAAGGGAAATCAAATCTTCATCAGATTACTTTATCTTGATCTCTGCAGGTAGAGACCATATGTAGAGATTTTGGTGTCGTCTGTATCCACAGGGAAGGCAAGGATGTTGATCAACTCATAAACAACGATGAAATTTTATACCGAAATAAGGTATGAGTTCCAAATTGATATGAAATTTAACCTCAGGTTGAACACAGCCAAGATCATGAACCTAGCCTCCTATGATCGAATTATATACCCTTTTTGGTTTCTCCGATCGTAATCTCTCACCTTGATGTGAACTTCAGCTTCAGCTGAAGATGAGCATTACCAAGACAAAAATATTTCTAGCTTCCCGTGATAGAATTATATACTTATTGTAATCCAAGAATCATAAACAGTTAGCATAACTCCGATATTCTATCCCCAGTTCCTCTGATTTTTTTAGTAATTCATTCACTTTGATATGAGCTTCATCTTCAGCTTCAGGATGAGCACCACCAAGATCAAGAATCTACCACCCTATGTTCTGATTTATATAATTATTTTGGTGCTATAATCATGAACAGCGATCATAACTCTAGTATTCTCTCTCAGCTCTACTGATTTGCTTACATAACTCATTCACATTGGTATGAACCTCATCTTCACTTTCTGGATCAACATCACCAAGATCAAGAATTTACCTCATAAACAATATTATAACCTTCATATTCTCTCCCCACTTCCTCTGATTTGCTCATAATCCATCTTCAGCTTTCAGATCAGCATCATCAAGATCAAGAATGTAGCTCCCCAGAGACGAATTATTTATTTGTTTCTATTTCCATCTTGGCATTTTTCTTTAGGGCAACATCTTTCCGGTGGATGAGTTAGTGCCAAACAAGATCAGTTCTAGCAAATTAAGGCAAGGACTCTGTGCTTTTAGGGTTTTTATTTTTCTTCTCAATTCATTCAGTTTCTTAACCTGATTTGACTCTATGTGGTTTCCATATCAGGGAATGCATAAGAAGAGGCCTGTCGACCAAGTACCTGACTGCAGATGAGGTCATCGATTACATCAAGGAGAAGGGTCTCTATTTGAGCTGATTTGATGATTGAATTGAGCTGTCGATTTGAATGACTGATTTCTAAGATCCCACTTGGGGAGCGTTTTTATAGGGAAAAATTCTCTATGGAAGAGAAACCTCTCTCTCTCACTCACTCACTTAGCACCCCACTAGCATTGGTACATCACTAACATCTGTTTTTCTCACTCCAAAATGCTGAGAGTATTGCGTAGATGCCTCCTTTGCAAGTGTTGCCAGCCAAGGTTGATTCATCAGACCAAGCCTAAACGGTTTCACATTGATTGGGTATTAAGAACCACAAGCAATTTCTGATTGAAATATGACGAGGGAACATTGAGAAATACAGTTAGAGAAGAATGGGGCCCGTGAAGCCCATGTGAGAGGAACCCTAAGGACAATAGGGGGAGGCTAGTTCGAGAGGGTCCCTTACTCTCCACTATGATAATTGATTTCTCACATAACCCTAATCCCACTCTATCCTTCCAAGACTTATTCCCCTCCTAAGTAACTTGGGTTGGAGGCCTAGTAGTGAGTTGGGCTGGGAAAACTTAGTAGTGAGATGGGTTGGGGGCTCATCATTACCCCCTCAATGAGTTGTACTTTGTCCTCAAAGTGGAAGTAGGGAAATCATTGAATGCAAGAAGCAGGTTCTGAGGTGGTTGATAAGAGGTTCCATTTGATGACTTTGAGTCCTCAAGTTACTTGGTAGGTGTTTAGAATTTCTTGTGGATGTGGGTCCATGTTTAGTCATTCAGTCCTAAGGATACAAAATTTTCCACAATTGGGAAATGTGGAATATTGAATGGATGGCTGTATTCTCAAGGAGTATTAACTTGTAAGCATATGAATTGTTACTCAATAATATAGTATGGGTCATAATTTTTGGGTGCTAGTTTCTCATTCATTTGGGCTCCAAGTGACTGCACGTGGTATGGTCTCAATTTTATAAAAACCAAGAAACCTACTTTGAGCTATAGATCTCGATGTTTGTTGTTAGTTGTCGCTCTCATCTTAGACTATGTGTGACTATGTTGTTTGAACTCACCAAAGAGATGATCTTTAACTTGCAATTATTCTTCCAACATCACAATAGAGGTTTTTTGGATTCCACAATGTATTAAGGGGAGGATTATTCCCATAGTGGTTTTGAACGGTGTGGAATTGACATATATATAGTATGTGATATTGTACTACTACTATGTTCATGGAAGCTAGTGTTTCTAAGACTTTGACATGTTATAAGAAAAACAAAGTAAGCTTGTCTCCAAATAATGATTGATTACCTTTGTTTGTTCATAGACATTGACATGTCTAAATAATGATAATGTACCTCTCTTCAAGTGACTGACAATTTGAATATTTTGTTTCCAAAATGGCTATAAAGATTTTATCATTGTCACTAATAATTGATCTTGAAGAATCTATGGAGTCGAACAATTTGTTGTTGGAATGCTTCAGCCATTGCTTTGGTAGAGAAGAGGTTTATGGAGTCTACTCATGAGCATGAGGACCATATCAAAATCCTCTAGACCTTGGCAGACATATGAAATCCATCATCACATCTTCTCAAATTTGGTTTGGGATGCATTAATAGCAATTCATATTTATTTCTTTCAAATGCCTCATAGTTTCAAACATAGTTATTGATTTGTTATTTTGTGACATCATCATAAAGTTCTAGTGTGATCATTGTGTAAGAAATCAAAGTGACTTCCCAAGACACTATCATGGTATTCTTGAGGAGTTAGGGAAGAAACACAAGTTGGATGGAATTACCACATCCCTGTTATATAGTAACTAGCCTTAGTGAAGATGGTGTTTAGGCCACTTGATGAAATATTAGTCAATATCATTGTGGGTTAGGTTAGTTAAGCCTCTTTAGATGATCATTGTAATATGACAATGGCAGAAATGGTAATTGTTCTAGTATTGACATCAATGTGAGGTGTTAAACATGAGTTGAGATGGTAGGTGTGCTAGACCTTATATTGAATGGTGAAGTTATTTTTGAATCAAAATCTTGATCTCCTTCTAGATTTTCTTGATCTAGTCTTCACCCTCCCATCTCACTAGCACTGCCTAGAGATCTTTTAGGGTAGATTCTCCTGAAAGTTGTCTTCAATTAACCTCATAACTAGTTTAAATATCGGTTACATCTATAGTGGGCCAAGTCCACTTATTTTATAAGAAAGAAAGGAAGAGCCCATTAAGTCAACCATAGTTGAGTTACTTAAGGGCCCAAATAAAAGAGAGAAACTACATAAAAAAAAACTAATAATGGAGGATCTTAGCTTGTTTGACACCCTCTCATAAGTTGGATATGGATGTTAGACATGCCCAACTTAAATACAAGCTTCTATAGAGTTGATCTTAACAGTCCCTTGGTGAATACATCTACCACTTGATTGGTAAAATTGATAAACAAGAAGTTACTATCCTTTCTTCAATCTTCAATGTGCTTTGTCTTATTGTGTTGAATTAGATTATGGGCAATGGCTATAGTTGACTAATTGTCACAATACAATTTAATGCAACCTTGACCCATAGCTCTTAACTTAGCTTCTGCATTCTTCATTCCTTTATGTAGGGCAATAGGCCATTCTAGTTGATCATCTTCAACTAGGGCTACATCAGGTTGCTCCTCCTCATTTGGCCCTAGATCATTTTCCTTAGGCTAAATTGTTTTAGTTACATTCTCCGCCCTCTCTTTCTCAATCATGACTGTTGTGCTAGGTGGCTTTGTCTAAACTTGTCTCCTAAGTATTTGTGTCACTTGAGAGCAAGAGCCTTTAGAGCTTATAACTAAGGGACTCTTTAGTCCTTGAATATCATGCTCTTTGGTCTTCTTATAAAACATATTATATTCATTTAATCTAACATCTGAAAAATTATAACACTTTTTAGAGGATGGCTAATAACATTTATAACCCCTTTGAGCAGGTGAATATCCCACAAACATGTGCTTCGCGGTCCAACTTACTTAAGTATTACCAATATGAACATATGTCACACAACCAAATAGCTTGGGAGCTAGGTTTGTTCTCAACTTCACATTTGGATAAGTTTTAGATAGTAAGTCAATTGGACTCTCATGTCCCATTGATCTTTTTAGTATATGATTTATAAGGTGTGTAGCTATTAATATGACCTCCCCAATATTATTTGGGTACATTTTTATGAATCAATAATGTTTTGGCTATCTCCACAATGTAGTTAATCTTCTTTTCAACTAGGCCAATATATTGTGGAATATTAATGTATGATGATTTATGAATTATGTCTCTCTGAGCAAAATAGGAAAAGACAATAGTATTAAAATGCTTTGACATTATCTATTTTGAATCATTTTATCTTTGTCCCAAATTGATCAGCTATAATGTTGAAAAAGTATGAAATAATTTGGGTAGCTTTGGCTTTGAACTTAAGAAAATAAATTCATACAAAATAGGTACAATCATCAATAAAAAACATAATGCATTTGCCACCAAATATACTTGATATACTTGAATCCAATATAACGGTACTAAAACTTCTCTCATTCCTAAAATAAAATATAGATAATTTTTTTGGCCAATTGACAAGCCTCACACCTCAGAGTTTTGACATCAACCCCATTACAAATGATGGGAAATCAATGTTTTATCAATTCAAAATAAGGATGTACAACACAACTATGCTGAAGTATGATTCGACTCATGGCGTCTCTTAGAAGATTAAGAGAGGAGAGACACACTTCACCTTAATCTTCTAGATAGAGGAGGTCATATCGTCACCTAACATGTCTAATCCTCCTCCCTAACACTTTATCAAATAGAAAACAAAAATCATCGTCAATAATAAATTGACACTTACAATCTTGCACAAGATTTTGTAAGGATATATGATGTTCCTCAAGTCCAAACACATGGATGACACCTTTAAATATACCCAGCTCATTAATTTTGATACTTTCAGTACCAACCATTGATAAGATCCCTCCTCCAGTTGTAAGAACCTTCTGTGACCTATTTATTTTTAGACAAGTGACAAATTTAGACATATTTAGTATCATCTAATATGTGGCACTAGTATTAATAATCTAGTGTATTCTACTAGAATTTGAGATAATAATATTACTAAAAAATATTTTTTTTCACTTGATATGCCAATGAGGTAGAACTCAACATGTTTTTGTGTTGCTTTAGTTCTTCTATTATTTTCATAAGATCTTCCCCATATTCATGAGCAACCTCTCTTATTTGCTCCTTCAATTGTCCTTGTTCTACACCTTCATGACTCTGAAAAGAAGTAACATATATTTTTTTATTTTGTTAGGGTATCTCTAATGTGCCTTTTGCTAAAGATTATTTTTAAGAATTATTTGAGATCTTGTCTTTGATCAATTGAATTCTTCTGATATGACTGAACTTCTTGGCTTGACTTTTGGTCAGATTTATTGGTGGAGAATGCAATTGGACTAGGCCTTGATGGATCTAAGAGTAGGTGTAGTCGACTCTCCTCATCCATAACAATGCCAATAGCTTCATCCAAATCTAATGCCCTCTCCTTGTGTAGAATTTGTCTTCAAAGACTCTCATATTCTAGAGTTAAAATTGTTAAAAATGTAAACATCATCTACTTCAATATGTACATTCTTCCTTTAAAGTAGGGATTCTTCACATCCCAAAAATGGTCAATCTCATATCATATAGCCTTCAATTCATATGATAACTCCTTAACTATCTTCTCTCCTTGTACTATCTTCACTACTTACTTTGACGTTCAACTCATAAATCTTATAATCATTTTGTTGCTTGGAGCAATTTTTGTGGACTTTATTTCACAGTTCTTTCACAATAATCGTATAAAGAAAGTTGTCATACATTTCAGTTGTCATGGTTCTAAGGAACCATAAGTGAATAAAAACTTCCTCGAATTTCTATATTTTTATAATTTAAATCATTCATCTCAATAGAATCATTTGTCAAATGCTCTGACAAACCTCTCCCAAGAAGTGTTAATTCCACAAATTTCCCCCCTTGGTACAAATTAGTACCATTCAATCTCAAGCACTTAGGTATACCCAGTAATTCATACATGGTCTTTTCTCGATCACAAACAATTATTGTCATGATTGAGTTCAATATAAAAGCTTCTTACCCCATCAACATCTCCTATTTCTTGATTCTTGAAATCAAGAATGGTTCCTAATTGACTTCTTGAATACTTGCTTCTGGTAGAATGGAAGGCATGTCCTTGATCTTGATCACAAGTTCAACTCGATCCTTGTCCTTGCAATACTTCAAGGCTTGATCTACTCTAATATTTATTTCATGATTTTTTATATCTTGTAGAATTTATTCAACACGTCCTAACCACTCATTATCATTCAAGATGAGATTTTAAGCATAGAAAAGACCATAGTTCTTACAATAGGACTTGGAATCGTTCTTGGTCTTCTTGATCTTCTTAATCTGGTCTTCACCATCTCCTCTCATTGGTGCTGCCTAAATATCCTTTATGATAAATTTCTCCAAAAGTTGTATCCTCAATTCACCTCATAAATGGTCTAAATACCAGTCACAACTATAGTGGGCCAAGCTCACTTATTTTAGAAGAAAGAAAGGAAGAGCCCATTAAGTAGTCCATAATTGACTTACTTAAGAGCCTAAATAAAAGAGAGAAACTAGATAAGAGAGAACTAATAACAGATGAACTTAGCTTATCTGATAGTTATATACCTTAATAATTTTGGGAGCCACCGCTACTAATTTAGCAGTACACGCTATTGAGTGAAAAAAAACTTCAAGCTAAGGTGATTTAAAAAATAGTGAAATAGTAGCCTAATAAGTATTGCTTACACTTTTGGTGGCCTAATGTGAGAACACATACATCTTGCTCATATATCAATTTAAGGGAATTTCTACTCTATAAAGTTTGATTGAAGTATGTGATCAATTTGTGATTTTGCATGAATGCCCCTACCCATAAGTTGGATGTATTGGTCTCCAATTCAAAAGATTAAAAGAAACAAAGGAGCATCAATACTAGCAAGCCATAACAATTTTGAGTTTTTAAAAGACATCTTTCATATCTTTATTTCACTTAAAAGAATCATGCTTCAACTATTAGAGGAGCAATGACATGATGTTTCTACAATTTACCACAAATCATCAATTGTAACTTATGAGATCAAAGAAATCATGAAGCTAATGTAAGTTTAAAGAGATTGATCAGGTCAACATTACCTCCACCTTGTCCTGATCAATCTCTACTCTTATAGTTGGCACCCAACGCCTTAAGAACTTGATAGGCTATTAAGCAAAGATTCATTTCTTACTATTGACATCAAGTTTGTGCATGGGTAAGTGGTGAGGTTTTGACTATACAACTAGTATATCATCAAAAAATATAAGACGAAATTTGAACAAGTGATTATGAAAGTTATCTTTCATCAATAATTGAAAAGTAGTAAGAAAATTCTTCAATCTAAATAATATAATTATAAATTTATAATGATCTTTGTGCACATGAAAGGTCATTTTAGAGATTTTTTTTCTATTTTATATGCATTTATTGATACTCTAACTTTAAGTCAAGATTGAGAAATTGTGATTCCATATAATTCATCCAACGGTTCATCTACTCTTTGAATTAGAAAAATTAATTCGGTATGGTAGTTGTGTTAAGTGAATTATAACAAAAGTAAAAAATATCATCCCCTCATTTTTTTTTCTTAGTCAATAATATAAAACTAAAGTAAAGGCTAGTGGAAGGTTGTATGATGCCTGCACCACACATCTTTCATTAACTTTTTTATTTTATTTTTTGTGACTATATCTACCTATATGGTTGAACATTCATCAACACTATTTTTGGTTGTAAGTAAATGATAGAACTGACTATCCTAATTAGGGAAGGTTCATTTGCATAGAGAATATTTCAAGGTACTTCTGTTGGAGTCCCTTCAATAGTTTGTTAGGTGGCTTAGCTTCCTTAATTTTGTCTAATATGAGTACTTCATGTAGTTTCATGGGCACTCCACTCCATGTTGTAGTTCATGGGAGAGGGACATTAAGAATATACTTGACATGCTTAGACTTGGATCTCCTTTCAATTGACCATTCAATCTATCTATACTAAATTGCGTAGTAGTCATTTTAACTAGCTTCTATTGGGCTTAATGTCTTGAACAATTATATGTTCAGGATCAAGTCATTCTTTCTCAATTATTATGACATATAATCTTTAATCATTTTTAGTCCATATATCTCTATGTTAACCTTTTTTTTTTAAAATTCTTACCTCTAATCGTCATGTGGTCCACAACGAATTTGTAATTGATTGTGGTAGTTAACAACAGTAAAAATTCCTCCATCAAGTCTTCTATAATAAATATATGGGTAACCTCACAATCAATCAATCAATCAATCAATTAATTTCTTAGTATCAAACTTTCTTTTTAATTTCATGGCTCTCGATTTTGTTCATCACATAATTGAATTAATTGATTACTATACTTTTTGTTCAATGGTGACCTCTTGTGCTTCCATTGCCTCCTCTTTGAGCCTAGTGCATATTTTTTACCACTAGAAAAATAGAACCTTCTTACATGTTATTCTTGGAGCTATGATCTTGTCAACATTAATCACCACTTAATGTCTTTAAAATAATACATAATGTTAGTCACTCCTTTTGACTATGGGTTAAACAACATACTAGAGGTTTAGTTCAAAAGTAAATTTGAACCTCTAGAATCTGCTCAAGGTATAAAGATATGGTTACCCCATAAGTTCATAATCTTATTGACCTCAACTCAATTGTCTCATAACTAACTTGAGAAGTGCATTTCTTTTCATGATTGTTTGGGTTGTATTCATTATGTCATTCAACCCTTTGGTTTTTAGTAACTTGATTTTAGTTATAATTTTGGGTTTCAATTCTACTCTTGATGAAAGTAACTCAAAATCATGTTGGTAGTCACTAATAGGTCCATTGTACTTGATGTTTAGGAATTATTCCTATCAGTTGCTTGATTGGTTTGACCCAGACCTTTTTTGCAGTCATCATTTGATGTCTTGCTATTCTTTGAATAGATTCTTGATTTTATTCTATTTAAACCATATCAAGTCCTCATCCACAAAATTCATTAATTGCAGCCTTGGCTTGTGCCTTTCTATGATACTAGCTAACTCAATATATAATTCAGCTTGAAAAAAAGCCAATATTTAGAAGATTTTTTTCACCAAATGTTGACATCTAACTAAGGCTTCCCATGATTACAAGGTTCTAAATCTCCTTCTCTCTACTCCCTCTTTTGAGGACTGTCCTTACTCTCAGCACATTATCTTGCTAGTGTTTCTTACTTTAACTAAGGTTCTTCATTTCCCTTCTATTTTTGCACCTGCAAACTATGATCTCTAGTATTGCTCAGTAAGTTGCAGCATCTGAGCCATGTTTCAATCAATCACGTCAGTAGTTTTCTCCATGTTTGATCCTCTTTTGGAGATTTTTCAGACTTCTTCCTCCAAGTTGAGATACATCCAACACCTTGATTTTATCCCCCCCTCTCTCCAAGCCCTCATATTTGTTGTTGCTGCCCTTGGGTACCATTTTGTTATAATCTCTAGCTCTAATATCAAGTTGATGGGGTATTAAGAATCACTAGTGATTTCTAATTGAAATATCACAATGGAACAATAAGAAATAGAATTTGAGAAAAAAATGCCCATAAATGAACCCAAAAGATAACAAGAGGAGGCCATTTCGAGAAGCCCCTCAACTCTCTACTCTGACATTCAACTTCTTCAGTAACCCTAACCTCACTTTCACCTTACAAAACTATTCCCTTTCAACCTTCACTAGGTGACAAATTTATCTTTCTTCTTGTGGTAGTAACTTGGGTTGGGGGCTCAATAGTGAGGTGGGCCGAGGACCCATCGCACATTTTTATAATAATGGACATTCAAATGTATCTAATATGTATGCCATTTAAGTTGATCACACATTATTGACTTATCTAATGGTGGAATTTGCTTGTATGTCTTCCTTCCAAAGCCGCTTCTCTTTGGAATGCCCACCATCAAGGTCCACACAATAGTTTAGTAGATGTTCCAACCAATTATTAGCAGTGGCTATTGACAAGGTTGTGTGTGGCTGGCCAACAATGGTGTATAGGGGTGCATTACCAATGCTCTATCATCCTGGTCACCAAGGATCATGGTGACACCACTAGGGGGAGAAGTGAGGGGGAGTTAGTGAGGGTTGAAGTTAAAAAGGCTGGCCTTTTTGATAATTTTTTGGTTTTATTGTAATTCTATTTTTTCTTATTAAGAGGGTAAGACATTAAGGAATTGTTCCTAGTTTTGAGGTACTTTCAAGACCTAAGAAGTAGGCCTTCTCACAAATTTTCTTCTGGTTTTAGTGGAATTAGAGTTTTTATTATTAGAAGCATAAAAAATTGAGGAACTCCTAATTTTGAGGTACTTTTTATTGAACTAAAAAATTCACATTTTAAAATAAAATTTTAATTATTTAATATAATTTAATTATTTATGATTAAGAAGGTAAGAAACTAAGGAACTCCTAATTTTGTGTAGTTTTTATGGGCCTAGAAAAGGACAGTCTTTTTCATAAATTTTCATTTGGTTTTAATGTAACTAGATTATTTATTATAAAGAGGGTGGGAAATTGAGGGACACCTAATTATGGGATAATTTTTGACAACCTACGATGGTCCAAATACTGCAGCCTTATCCTAAAACTGAATTATCCATTACCTTATTTATCTCTTATTTTCCGTTCCATCCTCTTCCTCCGGTCGCCCCCAGGAAGAGAGACAGAGAGTGGATTTAACACGTTAGAAAGATGCTGGATGACCTCTCTTTAAAGTGGGTCCCCATGGATGATGGAGAGAGAGAGAGAGAGAGAGAGAGAGAGAGTCGATTTAGCACGTTAGACAGATACTGAATGATCTCTCCCTATCCCGCGGACGACGGCTTACGTGAGCGAAATCATATACTTATAGATACAGAAAGAGAGAGAGCGAGAGAGAGAGACGATATAACACGTTAAAAAGATGCTGCATGATCTCCTTAAAGTGGGTCCCGATGGATGAGGCCTTACCACGAACAAAGTCATAAATATGGAGAGAGAGAGTAGGGATCTCGTGGGGGGGTGAAGCCACGTGTGTCGGGGCGTACCGATTTCGATTTGGCCGAGGACCCCACACGTGGGGATGCAAAAGACCCAACGCCCATGGCCGCCACACGATGGGACCAATCAATCTTCAGATCACGGCTGGGTGGACCCCGAAAGGGACGCTCCCCTCGCCCACGAGATGCTCGAGCGTGGATCCACCAATAAATGATAATTAAAGTTAGATAAAAAAACTAGGTATATATCCACGCGTAAAAAGATTAAATCCGAATATGTTTCTTGGGGAGAGGCAACGACCAGTTTAATTGCCCGAAATGAGTCTCTCTCTCTGGTTTGCCGGGCCAACTCCAAGGTGAAGGCTGCTCTGTTTCTCAGGATGAGAGATAGAGAGTCAGAGAAGGAGAGAGGGAGAGAAGGAGAGAGAGAGAAGAAGAGAGAGGGGGAGAGAGGGAGAGAAAGAGAAGAAGAGAGAGGGAGAGGGAGAGAGAGAAAGAGAGAAAGGGGGGAGGGGGAGGAAGAGCTGCCCATCATGAGGATAGGCCCAAGAATCATTTATTAATTTGACTTGTACCTTACATATGGTTCACACTATACACCATTCAATACAACCAAGTAATAAAAATTTTGGCCCCCCGGGGCTTCTCCAAAAAAGGATCCAGGGGGGCATCAAGGCTCATCCCACAAGCACCTGTCTATCATACACAGGACTCAACCCGCAGATTGAATCTGGCGAAAATTCCTTATTTGATGGGCCCGATCTGTTTCCTATGAGAAAGCCCACCGGCCCGGCCCGGCTTATGAACAAGAACAAGCAGGGAGAGAGTGGGAGAGAGGAGGATCAAGCCCGGGGGGAGCCCCCGCCCTTGTGGAAGATCGAATCGGCATCACTGTAGATGGCGATGGCGTTCGAGAGCACGGCAAGCACAATCATGAACACGGACAGGATCTTGTCCCACCTCGTCGCGATCCCTTGGGAATCCCTGTTAATCAGAATGGATGCAAAGATTATACCATGGAAGATCTACAATTCTTCTTTTTCTTCACCAATTATGGTAAAAGAAAATATTGAGTAGGGCATGGCCATTTGTTCGATCTCGATCCATATGGGATCCATCCGAGGATTGGGTCTGGGGAATTGGACTGCCTATGGTTCAAGAACATGCTCCTACATGGTTAGGAGTTAATCTGATGCGCAATTCTCAAATATAATTGGAATAATTTCACAAAAAACTATGCATTTTTCAAGAAAAAATTGGAATAATTTCTTAGAGGATGATACCAGTGAAAAAAATGATCAAAATAATTTCACAAAAAAGAAACGGACTAATTCCTCACAATAATGAAGAACCGATTGACTCTACCTAAATCCACAAGAGAAACCCACATGTTTCACAAAAATTTAAATAAATTTCTCATAGCAGCAAAGAACACGGGATTGATTGATTACCTGAGGGTGATGGCAGCAGGGAAGATGAACCCGATGGCAACCGCAGCAGTAGCCCCAGTGAACTGGAAGGCATCCCAGATGCTGGGGATGAAGTTGGCGCCAGAGAAGATGAGGATGATGAGCGCTGCAGTGACCAGAGCGAATCTCCGATTGTCCATACAGATCGGCCGGGAGGTGGGGAAGAGGAGGCCGTCCACATTGAGCCGAAGGGCGAAAAACACAATCGGGAACACGAGCATGAGGTGCGCCACGTAGCTGACCCGGACCACATCGTTGAGGAAGGAGCCATAGGCAATACCCAGGTCAGAGTCAAAGTTGGCCAGCACATCGTCGAGGGTCCCATCCCCAAAGAGCAGGAACCCGAAGAAGCTCGTGGCAACATACACTGCCGAGCACAGCCCCAGTGATGTGCGGACGATCGGCTTGATCTGGCTCGAGTCCTCCAGCTCGTTGTCGACTGTGTGCACTGCACCAGGGTCAACGCAACAATCACACCAAGATCAGATAGAAAGAAAAATGAAGAGATAATAATAATTATAAAAGATGCATTTTTATGCACATGATGCTTCTGGTTTCCATTTCTCGTCTGAATGAGAAGAGCTACTTATGGAACTGCTAGCAACGATCGAGAGAGACAAAGAAACGCTCAGAAAATAAGAGGGAGTGCAAAGTTTCCTGGATTCTTTTGGGTCACTTCAACACCGAGCACTTCTTTGTGGGCTAAACGAGAAACAAGTTATACGAATCAAGTTGTCCATGATTTGATCGTCGGATTCCAATTTCAGGCCAAAAAAAAAGGCCGAGCTTGAGAATTTGATCTCCAACTCTGTGGCAAGAACACATTCCAAAAACTGTACACCTCAAGGCCAGCCTCAACGTGAGATGAGTTCCATACAGGGAAAGAAGCTTAATGAGCAGGGAAAAGTAGGGGAATTAAACTGGTTTGAGCATCAAATACCATTGTAATGGCAGATGTAGGCAGTGACGACCACAGGCACGACTGTGAAGAGCTTCCAGAAGGAGCTCAAGTCCGTCACGTCAGGGAAAAGCCTGGGCATCGGTATGCTGCCTCCAACCATCTTTACGATGGCGATCCCCGCCGTGATGACCACGAACAGCACCGCCAGTGCCACAGACAGAGCCGACGTGTAGCTCAGTGAATCTGCCGACGCAATGGAGACGGAAATCTTCTGGTTAGAATGAACTGGAATGATCGAGCAGGAGCTTGGATCCGTCTGTGGAATGGAGTCTGTAAATCGACTCACCCACACGCTTGAAGCACGCCAATGGGGAGAACACCGCCAGAGTTGTGACCAGGAGGACGAAAAAGCGGGCGTTCCACCACTGGGAGCCGAACCATCCCTCCAAGATGCCCGAGTGGTGATCACCACTGGAGGATGTGCCCGAGAGCACGTCACCTGAGATCCAAAGGTTTTGATTCGTCAGCAGCGTCGGGAGATTGGATGGAAAGGAAGATCTTCTCTGCATCAACACTCGAAAAAACTGAAGAAAATTCTGACTGTTTCTCAGGTAATCGAATGAAGGGAGGCGTAGGGAAAAATCGTTGAACAGATGATTGAATCTCATGCATATTCCAGAGAGAGAGAGAGAGCAGAGGGAAGTCGATCAGAATGCTTCATTTGAGGATCAAACAGAGTTTTGAGTTTTTGGAGTTGTGCCTATTACCGATGATGATCATGTAGACAATGAGGACGCCGACGTTGTTGATGACGACGCAGGACTGGAGGAGCACCCTTCCGAAGTTGCCGAAGGCGTCGCCGACGACCCCGCCGTAGGTCACTATCTTTCCCGCCCTGCTGAATCTGATCAGCATGTCGATGGAGGCCTCCGTAAGCACCGCCACGAAGAGAATCATCAGCACCCCGGGGACCAGCCCCAGCACCTTCATGGTGGCCGGCAGCGCCATGATCCCTGCTCCGACGATGGTGGTGGACAGGTTGAAGACGGCCCCGGCGAAGGAAGCCCCATCGAACTCGTCGAATCCGCCGCCGTCCTTCTCCTCCTGCCTGGTCGGCAGCAGCGGCTCCCTGTCGTCGGCGACCACCTGCTTACCCTTCCTCGAGCTCTTCTCTCTCGTCGCCATCCCCATCGTCATCTCCCCCAAAAACAAAAATCAACAAATCACACCTCGCCGGGCAAAATCCGTCCAACTCGGCAATCAATTATCGATCTCCGATGGGACGATGCCGAGGAAGCAGAATCTGAGTCTCTCCACAGATCGACCGGACCAAAACGGCTGAGTCTAGGGAAAATCTCCAGCAAAGGAGATAGAGAGAGGGGTGGGTGGGTGGTTGGAGATTAGGGAGAGAGGAAGAAGAGAGGGCTGGGGAGAGGATATCTGCTGTGTGCTCCCTTTCTTCGCCCTCCTCTTCTCTCTCCTCCTTGTATCTCCCTTTCTCCCTTCCCGGCGGCGGCGAGGGAGGTACTCGTCTTCTTCTTCACTCCCGTGTGGCTCACGTCTCCCCGGATCTCCACGTCTCTTATCCTCCCTCCGCCGCCCCTTACAGCGCAGTCAAGATCGTCTCCCCCTCCCCCCCAACAATCTCTCTCTCTCTCTCTCTCTCCTCCTTCCTCTTCTCTCTCTCCCGCTCTCTCTCCTCTCTCTTTCCTTGTCACTCTCTCTCCCCCTATCTTCTCTCTCTATCTCCGCTCTCTTCTCTTTCCTTGTCTCTCTCTATCTCCGCTCTCTCTGTCTTTCCTTGTCTCTCTCCCCCTCCTTTCTCTCTCTATCTCCGCTCTCTTTCTCTCTCCTCTCCTTTATCAGCAGAGGGGACAAATTGACGCCTCTCCTGACTCCGCCGTAACGGAAGAGATAGAGAGAGAGAGAGATAGAGAGAGATAAAAAAGAGGAGAGAGAATCTGACGACGCTTCCTCGGCCACGCATTGGGCATTCCGCGGGATTGCGCCTGTCCCACGTGGGCGGCAGATACGGCGACGGGCCACCGACGTGAAGACACGTCAGCAAGTTGGCGTCCGCGTGGCCACCGCTATACGCGTGCTATTTATAAATAGACGGACGGAGCAGATCGGTTAGAACGTTTCATCGCGTCCACGCGGTCGTGTACGCGTGAGCAGTTTGTCCCAGTCGCTTCTTAATTTTGGACCCGACCAGGCATTATTTTAATATATTAAAAATTATTTCCCGCCCAAGTTACAATTAATATTTTAAATACTATTTTTGGTAAATAATTAAATCATAAATAATATTATTAACTTGACCTATTTCTAATTTGAGGTTAATACCAACCTCGAAAGCTAGATATTATCTCTCTCTCTCTCTCTCTTTCTCTCTTTCTCTCTTTCTCTCGCTTAATTGAGGCTTAATTATTGAGCTTCATAGTAGTTTAAGACAAAAAATAATTAGCGTAAATGAAATTTGAGCCCGATATGGGTCATAGAAGCCAAATCTAGAGAGAGAGAGAAGATGATGATGATGATGACACATGAATTATCGTGAGATTTAAGTGTTCTATAATTTAGATGGGCTGCCATGTGGTGAGCTAATGGGCTTTGGAACCATTGCTCTTCAAAGCCCATGTCCAACCTCAATATGGATGGGCTCCGGGTCCATTTTATTAAATATTTTGTATATAATTGTGGGCAGTGAAATGCGATTCTATTTTAGAATATTAAAAATTCTAATATGAGAATTATGGCTAATTTAAAATGAGAATATTATATAACATTTGCATTTTTCTTGATGGGATGAAATGGTTCTGACTTTACATAAAATTATAATTGTGGAAAATAATAGAAATAAAATAATTATGATGATTTTTTCATTTTCTCTTAGTTTAGGGATCAACTTTTTATCAATAAATTCAGCCCTTTCAACTTATACTTAATTCATGATGTATACTTATTTTTTAATCAATTTAAGACTATTTGATTCCTCTTTTTCACATAGATTGAAAAATACAATTAAATAATAAAATATTTAATGTGCATATATTTAAGCAAAACTCCAAGAACATAATTTTCTCTAAACCCAATGAAATAATACAACCAACCTACTTCAGCGACTTGATTTATAATATTATGAAATCAATTTGAGAGTATCCCAACATTTATCACTAGGTTCAAAAAAAAAAACTTAATCAATCATGTGTTAAGAATGTTTGCCAATTTAGTGGGTCATCTTAGCTAATCTAGGGGATAGACTCATATATGGGTTAACCTTGTAATTACTTCCTTTATGGTTTAAGCCTATTTAAATTTAACAGGGGAGCTGCCATCATGAATGATAATTCTTCTCTCTCTCACTCTCCTACTCTTTCTCTCTCCCTACCTCACTCTATCTCTCTCCCCCCTCTTTTTCTGCCTCCCTCCTCTCTCTCTCTCTCCCCTCTTTCTCTCTCTCCCTCCCTCCCTCCCTCCCACTCACTCTCTCTCTCTCTCTCTCTCTCTCTCATCTCTCCACCAACAACCTACATGGATAACGGTGACTTGGACTCCTTGGGCAATCATCCTGTTACTAAGCAAATTTCATGAAAACCATGAAGATTGTGATAAAACAATAAGGCAAAATATTCAGCATCAAGCTTTCTTTATTAAATCTACAAATTGGGCGATTCCATCAAATATTTCTATAGTTATTTATTTTGTAAATCAACCTTTTAGGAGAATACAAATAATGGGTACATTTTATGAAGAACTTCTTTGTTAAATGTATGGAGGAATGGTGAGAAGATATGGAGCTTTGGTTGAATGAGGCTAGAGAAACTAGGGATTCCTCCCATCTCCAAGCACCAGCAGTAGCATCCTCATTGAGGCCACAACCAGGCCTTCCCTCCTGTTCATGGATAGATTCAGGGCTTCCGTGGGTCATTCATCAGAAACAATTATGGAATAAATAATAATCACAGATTCATGTCATATTAAGGGTTTCTTTACATACTACATAAGACTTATCTCACTTATCTGGCTGATTTATTTATTTTCAAACATACTAATTTATAAAAAAATATTGAATTCATTGTGACTGAGGGAATAGCCGACTTAAAGATGGGAAGATCAAGCCATTTTGAACGCCAAATGGAGGCATATTCCCAGAAAAAGAAGAAGACTCCAATTTTTTAGGATGGACCAAAGTTGATGACCATGCATGAAAGACGGTTGCTATATGATCAATCATTATGTTGAATATGTTTCTAATCTACCTCAGTGAGGTTCCATGAGCATGGAATAATAACATTTGATGAAGAGCAAGGTACCTAGTCATCGTTGAAAATGGAATAGACATCACTTGATACAGCCACTGCATTTGCAAAAACGGCAAGAAAGATCATCACAATTGATATGAGCTTATCCCTCCTCGTTGCAATGCCATGGGGATCCCTAAAATGGGCATGGCAGTTATTAGATGGAAATAAATGACATTACGGTATATGGAAAAAGGGTAAAAAAAAAATCCAGAGGGAAAAAGAAAATAAAAATAATGGTGGACAATAAAATCCCATGTAATTGCAGTGAACTAAGACTCACTTGAGGGAAATGGCAGCAGGAAAGATGAATCCAATGCAAGCTGCAGCAGTTGCTCCGGTCAACTGGAAGGCAGTCCATATGTTGGGTATGAAATTGGCTCCCAAGAATACCAAGCTAATGAGAGTCACAGTGATTAAAACGAATCTCCTGTTGTTGGACGACAAGGGCCTGGCTGAAGGGAAGATGAGGCCATCTACGTTGAGTCGGAGAGCGAAGAAGACAATCGGGAACACGAGCACGAGGTGGATGGCGTAGCTCACACGCACAATGTCATTGACCAGAGAGCTGTAGGGGATTCCGAGGTCAAAGTCAAAGTTGGCAAGCACATCGTCAAGGGTGTCATCTCCGAATAGAAGGAAACCGAAGAAGCTCGTGATTATGTAGATAGTGGAGCAAAGTGCAAGTGAAGTCTGCACAACATGTTTCATCTGCGAGGAGTCCTCAAGCTCATTGTTTATTGTGTGAACTGCAGAGCAAGCACAATGACACAGACTGGTCAGAGATTCCATTGAACCCACATTTCTTGGCAAAACGGCAGCTTAATTCTGAATGAGTAGAGACATTTTCCCAAACAGTTAGATGACCATGCATGAAATGATGCAAGTGGAAAGAAATTGCAGTGAATGTTAAGTTGCCAGCATTTTCCTTGGGCAACAGGTTTCTATTTTTGTGTCAAAGAAAACATTTTCCATTGAACATGATTGGAGCAGGTCCGTATATTTTAATTACAAGGTTTAGTGGGAGACTGCTCTACCATGGTGCGTCACGGGTAGGTTGACTTTTCAAGTTCTGTCACAGAGACATGCTCTAAGACGAAGTGAAAGAATCGGTATTTCTAACACAAACTCAATTGGTAATGAGTTATAATGACATAGATAGGATGCACTCCCGAATACACAGCCACATGCTCTATGTCCACGAGAAATAATCGGTTTTTCTAACACAAACTCAATTGGTGATGAGTTGAATAAGATCCATATATTCATTTAATCACCATATATGGTAATTATCAATTTCAATGTGAGACTGAAACTATTCTGACGATGGTAAAGGTGAATTCTGATAAGATTAAGTCCCCATCACAGAAGAATTGCGTTGCCTCAATCACACAAAACCCAAATTTATAGTGTAGAACTCCCAACGATAAAATGCTCTATTATCATGGTTGATGAGAAAAATAAACAGACACCTGCGAGGTTGCATACCGTTGTAATGGCAGATGTACGCAGTGACAATGACGGGTACAACAGTGAAGAGGTTCCAAAATGATGCCAGATCCTTAATCTCGGGGAACATCCTGGCAACCGAAATGCTTCCGTTCAGCAATTTCACGACGGCAATTCCAACCGTGATCACAACAAACACTACTGCAAGGGTAACCGATATTGCAGATGTGTACTTCAGCGAGTCTGAAGAAGAGGAAAAAAAATCTCAAGAACGTCAGGGCTGATGATCAAGGAGGAAGCACATATGTTTGGGTAAAACAGAGATTTGAATGCCGAGAAAACAGATAGAATACTTACATTCAGAGCTTGCTTACCTATACGTTTAAAGGATGTCAATGGCAGGAACACAACTAGTGTGGTGATGAGGAGAACAAAGAAGCGCCCAGTCCACCAATGAACACCAAACCATTCTTCTAAGATACCGTGGTGATGAACGCCATTTGAAGATTTTCCAGAGAGCACATCACCTAAAATCGAAACATGGTAGATATAGCAGTAAGAACCATTCATAGGAAACTTGAGCTACCAGCTGAACAGGCCCTAATACTAAAAGTGACTGGAAAAAAAATTGAAATCTGAAATAGTGCTCGGAAATTTACAATCCAGAAGGATTCATATTAGCACAGCTTGTTCTTGAGATGAGGGCTACAATTGATATTGGAAGTCAAACATCTGTATGATCTCAGCATCAACGTACGTCAGATATAGAGGATATAAAGGAACCCCTCGAGAACAACAAATATGCAAGAATGGAACCATATAGGGGAAAGATTTCAATCATGGAAGTCCTGAATCGATTTACTTCAGGGAGAAATGAAACATAGAATCGAAATCTGAAACAGGCAAATCCTAATTCACACTAGATCGGTCTCGACACAGGAGCCCATCAGAACTAGTCCAAGATTAACATCCAGAGACTAGCAACGCTGTGATCGACTGGGAAACATACCGACGATGATCATGTAGATGATCATCACACCGACGATCTTCATGGCGACGGCGACCTGCAGGAGGACTCTACCGGCCCTTCCGAAGGCATCCTCCATGACGCCGGCGTAGGTCGCAGTCTTCCCGGCCCTGCTGAACCTGAGCAGCAGCTCGATCGCGGCATCAGTGAGGAATGCCACGAGCAGGATCATAGCGAATACGGGGACTACTCCCAGCACCTTGGCGCAGGCCGGGAGGGCCATGATGCCGGCGCCGACGATGTTCGTCGACAGGTTGAAGACGGCCCCGGTGAAGGACGCGCCGGCTTCCCGCCGCTTCGGCAGCAGAGGAATTCCGTCATCGCCGACGGTATGCCTACTACCCCGGATCCTCCTCTCCCCCGGAGCTCCGTTCCCTGTCATCTCAGAGACAGTACGCTTCTCTCTCTCTCTCCTCCCACAAGAGCGAACTTTGGGTCGTTGGATAGCTCCAACGACAGGCTGTTAACAAGGGGCACGTGGAGATAACTGGGACGATTATTAAATATTCCTCAATAATAATATTTAACATTTTTCTACTCCAAAATGAGTTATTATTAAACTTATAACCTTTTCCTCCTCAAGTAACAACCTCCCCAAGCTGTTGAATAAACTATAAAGCTCCGGTAAAAATCATATGTACTGCTTCAAGTTCCTTAATTATGAATTATTACGCATAAAACCCTAGTTTGTATTTCTTTAATACCCTCGGTACACGTCGTTCCTGGTTTCTCTCCTTCACCTGCCTTCTCTTCCCTTCTTTAATGGTCATCATTGTTCGCATTTCCTCCATGCTTTAGTCTTTGTCTACGTGGATTTATTAAATATCGTTTAATCCATAAACTGCTCATTTAATGCAAGACAGAAAAAAAAGATTTCTAATATTTCTAACGTGAAATGCTATTAAAATTCCGATTAACTCATTTTTATTAACATAATTAGGAATAATAAATAATAAATAAAAGTTGAAGGGCTCCACTTATTTGTTATTTCATTTATGATAATTTTTCACTAAAATATCCTTGTTTTTTATGAAAAAAAGCATTTTAGGGTAATTTATTTGCCTTTTCTACGCAAATAAATTAAACTCGGAGCCCATTTTCTGGTCTTTCCTCTCTTCAATATCAGATAAATATTGAATAACTTAATATTAAATTCATACGAATTTTTACAACAGCGGCCTGACCAAGCTCTTCTACATACTTCCCCTCCGTCCAAGAGAGAAGAAGAGATGAAGAGCCGGTTCTTCATCCTCTCTCTCTCTCTCTCTCTCTCGATTGGAGTATCCTCCTCTCCGTCAGTAAATCACGCTGATGGAGACGTCGGGGATCTTGTTCAGTCGCCGGAGGATGATCTCCGCCGCCTGCTTCATGCTGGAGTCGCCGCCGTGGACGGCGCTCATGAGAATGGAAGCCAGGGCCCGGTCGCCGGCGATGTCCTGCCGCGCCGCCTCCCCGCCCTTCATCAGGAACCTTTCCAGGACCCAGAAGCACCGCCGCCGCAGGCCCTCCTCCTCCTGCCGGGACCTCAGTGCGCCCAGAACCTGTTGCACTGCGCCTAGCTCCGCCAGCACGGCGGCGCCGCCAGCAACATCCACTGTATCGTCCAGGAGGGTGCAAAGCGCCGCCAGTGCGGCCTCCGCCACTGCCGCGCCGCTATGGTCCATGCAGCTGAGGAGAGGCTCCACTGCACCGGCCTCCACCAGGCAGAATGTGGAGGACGGGGAGCAGACCCCCCGGTGGACTGGGCAGAGCCGCCGCTGCTGCTGTGTCTTCTCCGACGGGCTGAGAATTCTCGGCAGGAGCCTCCCCATCCTGGGCTTCCTGGGCTGAGCCTGAGGCGGCGGCGCTGCCGAGAGCTCGGCAGACTTGGTGGAGAGCTTCTCCAGGCCAACTGCAGACAGCCTCTGGACCTCCTCGCCGCCAGCGGCCCCTGCCACCAGCTCCGTGAACAGCCCCGTCAGGTTGAGCTTCCTGGCCATGAGAAGCACGTCATCTTCATGCAAGGTGGCGGTGAACCTGACCAGTGTGCCCACCAGCCCCTCGAAGAAGCCCCTCCTGTGCCTGGTCGCCCTGGTTTCCCCTCTCTGGATCCTCTGTATCCCCTGCAGAGCCACGGCGGCGCCGCCGTGCCGGAGGAGGGAGAGATTGAGCTCCAGGTTCCGGTGTGGGAGCTTCACCAGCAGGGTCGCCGCAAGCTCCTGCGTCCTGGTGATCTGCTCGGCTCGGAGCTCATCAACTAGGCCCTCCGGCTGCCCTCTCGACTTGCAGAGCCCCTCGGCTATGGTGTGCCCCATGAAGGGGGAGAGCTTGATGAGCAGCTCCATGGCGGCGGCGCAGAGCTTATCTTGAAGGCAGCTTAAGAACTCGATCAGGGTATAAGTGGTGTCGGCCGCCTTGACCGCCTTCACAGTCCTCTGCTCCGCCCTCTTCCACTCCATCAGGGAGATGAGGATCCTGACCAGGCTCTCGTTCAATCCAAACGGCATACTCAACTTGATCATCCTGCAAGTGTTCCGTATGAAGTAATCTGAAGCCATGGTGCGACCTTGGCGATCTATCTCCATTTTCTCTGGATCGATCCCGGATTCCAGCAAGTTTGCCAAGATGTCGGCGGAGTCGGCCCGAGAATCCATGGGCTCATCATCGATCTTCCTGATGAAGAGCTCCTCGGCCATGGTGGGGAGCAGGTCTGCATTGATCAGGATCTGGCAGCTGGGGCGGTGTGAGGATAGCTGGAGGAGGGTTTTCATGGCTGCCTTCCTCGCCAGGGTGTTCCCACTGCGGAGCATCCTGATTAGATCTCCAGAGGCTCTCTCTGCAATGCGGGTCTTGGCGTCGTCCCCTAGAACGAGCTCCATGAGAATGCTCCCCATCTCCATTCGCAGATCTTCTGGACCTGCAGGCAGTTTCCAAGGATTGATTCTACCTGATCAACCAGTAATTTTCATGAATCTGAGCAGAAATTATGGTTTAATGTTTTATCTTTTGTGGTTGGGAAATGTAGAATATTTTTTACCAATTTCTCCAGAAAACGAGAATAAAAAGGAATATTTCCGTCCTAATTTAGTAGATCAGAAGCTGTTCATGATCTGAGAGTAAGCATTCAGTCCGATTGATTTTCAAAATACTTTGAAAAGTTATACAATTTATCACAATTAAGAGGGAATAAAATTCTATCAAATAAATTTTTTATTTTATTTTATTTTATTTGGTAGAACCGTCTTCATGGCTAGTGATGGGATTTCTAGATATTCTGAGAAATTCTATAAATCAATCACCATTAAGAGATAGCTAATCATATCTATCCAAAACGGGTAGCTTTAGCTCCTTATGAGACAGTAACTCATCTGATTTTCATCTTATCTTCCTAGAAAATTATCACGAAAATAATATAAAAAATGTTCCACTCAGGAGAACCACATTTTTATGTTTTCTTGTAAATTATTCTCTAAATATTTCTTATTCAGATGAAATATTCACACCCATTGAGAACCAAAACATATGATTTGGAGCATACCGTCGATGAGATTGTCCAGAAGGGGATCCAGCAAGCCATTCTCTGCCATGATTCCTACGTTCTTGGGACATTTCTCCAGGTTCTTGAGGGCTTCCCCCGCCTTCTCAACGATGGAAGCGTCTGAAGATGGATTGTGCTTCAGTGTGATCAACATTGGGATCCCTCCGGTGACTGCTCCGATCCTCTCGCAGAGTTTCTCAGACTTGGACAGCTCCAGCAGAAAGGAAACAGAGGCTAGCTTTTCTGAGAGATGCCTGCTTGACAAGTTCTTGACGGCTGTTCCCATGGCATTCGTTCTTAAAGACATCTCCTGCTCAGAAGGGGCATAATGTATTCAACGAGAATGGCCTAGGGAGATAAAAAAAAAACAATTTATTGGCCTGGAATGATTAAAAATGCCCTATTGATCGTGGATCTTATACTTGGTCCATGTTAGTTTAGAGAGAGAGAGAGAGAGAGAGAGAGAGAGAGAGAGGTGTTCCAATGGCATTCGCTCTTGCAGCCATCTCCAGCACAGAACGGGCATAGTGTATTCAAGGAGATGGCCTAGGAACCAGGGATATTGCTCCAGAGATGAAAAAGGAAAGTAATTTATTGGCCTGGAATGATTAGAAGTGCTATACTAATCTTGGATCTTATACTTGGTCTATGTTAGTTTAGAGAGAGAGAGAGAGAGAGAGAGAGTGGTGTCCACATGAAGAGAATTGACGCCATTGAAATATATTGTAGGACTGTAAAATTTCAGAATAATCCGTAAATGATTTTGGTACTGCAAGAAATTGGAAGAAAATACAAAATTCATGATTGCTTACCTTCCCTTCTTCGTATTCCTGGATCAGCAGTCGCAGGGTCTCCATCGCCTCACACCGGAGCTTCCTGCTCTTTTGCTCCAGAAGCCTGGCCAGCAAGGGCACCAACCCCACGTTGCACATCTTCACCTTGTTCCTCCTGCTCCGGCAGAGGAGTTGCAGGTCGGCCAGAACTTCTAGGACCACGTTCTCCGAAGTGGCCTTTGACAGGGTGGAGCGCGCGACCTTCACCCTGATCTCTTCGTTCCTCTTCTTCCACTCCTCAATCGTCGTCTTCAGGGCAAGGTTGGAGCTCACTGCCCTGCTAGCCAGCGTCCGCCCTGTGACAGGACAGACGGTGGCGTCGCTCTGAAACCACTCCAGTATGGCCTCCCTCTCGCAGGTCACGCCGGTTTCAATGGTGACTGGGTCCTCCATCATCTTCTTCGTCAGCGGGCAGAAGAAGGATTCGTACAGGGGCTCAATGTACTCCGCCGCCGGCGACGGCAAAGACTCGCTGGAGGAGGCGCTGCGTTCCCTCGAGCTGTAGTGCATCGCGGCGATGAAGTCCACCAGTCTCGGCCGGGGGGTATCCCCGTCGGAGGCGCTCGAAACGTCTGAGCACGGCGCCGGTGGCGGCTCCTCCTCCTCATCCTCCGAAGCCCTCGCCGGCGTGAACCCCACGCCCTCGCCGGTGAGGAAGCGGGCGCTGGTCATATCTCTGGAGATTGCCAGGGCGGCGATTTCTGCGTACTTGTGGTTCTTGAAGGCAGAGGACGGGATGGAGCCGAGGCAACGGCCCATGTTGTGGACGACGCCCTCGAGCTGTTTGACGATGATCCTAAGTTCGCCGCCTCTCATGGCGTCGCCGCCGGTGAAGCACTTTCCGACGAGGTCACTGGTGAGGTTGACGTGCGACGATAGACACAGCAGAAGATCCGCCAAGCCCGGCGGGGCAGTAGTGGTCATCTGCAACTCCATTATTACAGGAGAGGCTCGATATAGATAGCTTCCGAGCACGGCGAAGTTCGATTTCTCCAGAGTTGTCCTGTCGGCCCATGAGATCACCTGCGAGAGGGAAGCTACCACGGTTTTCGCCACATCGGCGATCTGTCCCGCATCCTTTAGGAAGAGGAAGAGGAGGAAGAAGAAGAAGAATTAGAGATGATCGCGATCAAAGCATGATTCCATCAATTGAAAAATTTCCTGGCGGCGTCAGATCAGGGGAAATGGTTCACTGCTTTCGCATCAAACATATGAAAAATTGGGACCGCAGAGATGAAGATCACTCCCACCTTGTCGAGACTCGTAGCGGAGAAGTTCGAGTCCAAGGAAGGATGGGAGGAACCTATCGACATCAGAAGCCGCAAAACCCTACCAGCCCTCCGGAGCGAGCAGGAAGAGCCGGCGGCGCGACGACACCAGGACTACTCTCTTTCTCCACAAGATTGCAGGTATTCTCCCGCTGAAGTAGTCAGCCCTAGCTTCCGTACGATCGCTCCGCCGACATCGAACTCGAGACGAGACATCGTTGAACCGGTCAGAGAGACGAGAATTCCCATTTTGCATCCCCACCTTCCGTCTCATTTATTGTAGAAAATGGAGCAGGCTGACGATCCATCCGCGTATAGCTTGACTTCTTCGGCAGTCTCCGAGATTGCAGAAGGAACTTCTTCCGTATAGTTTGCGGAAGATCGACCTCCCTTAGCTCTCCGAAGCAGAGCGTCAGGCTCTGCTCGGGGATGTTGTCACCTCGAGAGCAGATTTGACCGCCGAGGTGCCACGTCTGTCTCTGTTGAAACGTGGACATCGGACAAAAGTGAGAGAAAGAACAGCGAGTGCCCTGATCTCCCCGGAGATTGGGACGGAAAGTCGGCTGGTCGTTGGGAACCCGTTGGAAACCTTTCAGCCCCGACAAATATCTATTGTTTTATATACTCTCATCTGTCATTATCTTTAGGGATATAATCATTTTCTAATTTAATTATTAAGAAATTAATGTACGATTTTAATATATCATTTTATTTATAAATTATATTTCATGATATTAATTCAGCTTAAAAATTAAAAAGTGAAAGGGTATGAGCTGTAAAATTAAAAATATGGAAAATGACAAGGATTCCAACCCTGAGAAGAGATATTGTTAAAGAAATGGTTAAAAATATATAATAAAATAAAAATTACTAGCTGCCCTTAGTTAAGTGGCCATCCATTTAATGGGTTACCAATGAAAATAGTTCTCAATAAATAGTTTAATCTTACCCTTAAGCCTAGTGGGCCCTACTCCAAGTCTCTACTACTATGTTTCTTCAATGAGATCATGGAGTTGTTGGGCTACTACCCCAAGTAATTTTGATGTTGCCAAAGGTCAGTGATGAAATGCATATTTAAGGACATTGATTGAAATTATAATGAGATGAGTTCTAAAGGTGAAACTCCCTTAGGGTCAAAGATGTACATGAAATTGAAGGCCAAGGAGAAAATAACGTTTAGTGATAAGACACTATAGTCAATAAATAAAGGTGATTACTTGTTGGAAAGTATGATTCTGAGATTATTTAATGCCACAAGGTGAATAGTTCAATAATCAAAATATTTAAATTATTATATATTCTATAAGTTTGCTATGTATTTTCTTGAATATTTAGATGCATGAAATAAGGAGGTAGAGGTATATGTTAGTAGGCTAAAACTAGCCACATGAATGATGAGTAATAAGCCCAACTATGGGTATAAAAGTTTTTCTTTCACCCATATTAGGGTTTGAATGAAAGTTTGAGGGCTCCATTCCACTAAAGCATTTCCAATACTTCTTGGAAAAACTTTATCAATTTTCTATGTCATAGGCATCTGTAACCACTAGAATTCAACATGTATTTGCATCCTCAACAACTCTACACCACAATTAAGCTTCCAAACCTTTCCTTACTTTTTTTCAAGCAAAGGGAAAGTGCAAGCTTCAAAGGTAATCCCTCTAAAGGTCATTCTCATTCTAAGTTAGCAGAATAATTTAAAACTTTTCAAAGGGCAGCTGAGGTCTATGATTCTTGATCTCAACTTGGTAGTAATGGCTGAAGTTCTGTAAAGGTTGTTAAAATCTTTGATTTCTCACGAATTCAACTCATTCTATAATTAGTAGAGTTAGAGTGAAGTGGAGGCCTCTAATATTTTGCATCTTAGCTCATTAAGCCTTGGTAGCTGACCCAAAGGATTATGGGAACCTTACATTTAATGATAGTCAACTTAGTCCATAATTGGTACGGAGAATGTCTCATTGAAGTCATAAATATTTAACTTTATTTTTTACTTTTATGATATATTATAGTGGAACTTTAGGTCAAGTCTTTAAGAGTTGATGTACATTTCAGACCAAATCGCTATAAACTTCTTCTATCAATTGTGAAGTTTGCAGATTAGTAGATCAAGATAAAAATATTGTGATTAAGTTAAGTGGAATAAGGATTGAATTCAAATCATAGTAATTGATTTTCAGAAGTCTAACCTAAGGCATTACAAGCCTTCTTATAAATTCACTCTCATGGTTTTCAGTGTTGCCATATGAACATTAACATAAGTAACCCAGAGGTGGGGTGTGAACTAGATTTATTTATTTTTCCTTAATAAGATAAAAATAGTTTCATGGATAATACAACTCCTTATTACTAGGCATGTGTTTACATCCACTAAATTTGCTACTCTACTATATAAAATTGTCTCTACCACCCACTTTTAGCTTCTTAGGTCTACGCAAAGCATTTTGGTGCCAACTTAATATTCTAAATTCATTGCTCTAAAAATTATTATGTATAACCCCACTTCTTGATAGTGTAAAGCGTCTACTATATATTTAGATGGTATTAAGGGAATTAATTTCAATCTTGCATTTGTGGATACAAGAACTTCTTTCTAGTAATGTATTGATCACGGCTTGAAAGTTTGCTCATAGACCCAATGCTTTGGGATGTATAGGTATTTTTCCTGAAAGTGTATTCTTGTTGTTTCCAATGTGATGAATTCATGTATGACTAGAACCTTTTGCTATAAGGGCCTAGTCAACCTATTAACTACAACTAGGTAGCTGAGCATGTGATATGTTTGTGTGGGTTTGGGTTTCATATGGTTATGTGTGTTATAGAGCTTATTTTATGAATCGTGGGCCTTAAAGAAAGCATTGGAGTCAGCTTTGGCATTTCAAGTCTAATGGAAAAATACAAACTTATTGTTTTTGGCTCCTCAATCTAATCAACTATGATTAAGGAATTTAAAATTTGACATAAAAAACTAAATTACCCCCAAGTCTTTGGACAGAGAGAGAAAGAGAGAACAAAGTTTTCAAGGTAATGTCTTTTTCTCATCAAATTAGATTGAAGTTGCAAAACCATACAATAATAAAAATTATTAGAATAAAATTTAATATTTTTCAAGGATCCTAAAGTTCAACCTTGGAGTTCACATCTAAACACCCAAAAATAAATGTATAGGCTGAGTTTCTTAAAGTACTAATTAGACGATAGAAATAGGATGCCTTTGTCAAAGCACTAATCTTACCTTTTGAGCTTTATTAAAAAATACCTTTATGAAACACACACTAGGAGAAAGAGAAAACCTTCAAATCATCTAATAAATGAGGACAATAGACACTATGGAGGTTCAAGGAGATAATTTGAGCCTCAAATACACTTGAAATTGTATGAGCTGAAGAATCCCCTAAAATATGTATTATGAAGTTAGGGAAGGTGGTAAAGATTCACTCTATTACTCTTCTTCATCCTTCTATAAACCTTGAAACCCAAGTGAGCATTATAAATTGTGGCTCTTCAAATGAGTAGAAAATGACTTGATTTGTAGTTTTTTTACTTTCTTTTATGTGCACATTAATGGATATAAATTTTCATGAATTCACTCTTTAAAGGCATGCATTGAAACATTCTTCGACTAAGCATCTATGGCTAGGTGTTATCAACCTTTGTAGTAAATTTTTTAAATTATGTAGGAATTGACCCATGCCTTCCATGTGTCAACTCTTCATCTTTCATAGGCCAACACCTATAGTTACATATTTCCAACTATGCAAGTGTTGTTACTTTTTCTTTTGTCTAATGTTGACTTTCATCATTTGGCATAGCGATATTTCTAGTGTTTACATATTGTCACTAGTGTCTCAGGTTAATACATAATCATAAAAGATAAAGAATTATCATAAATATAATATCCTTGTGCTAAATTTTGAGTGAAGATCAAATTTATTAGATCTAGATCATTCGTTATTTTATTAATTTTTTAAAGCCAAATACCTAGAAAATAATAAATTTAGATTAAGAACCAAAAAATAGATGCAAAGGATGAAAGTTGGATTCAGATCTAAAGAAAAATATTCTAGAACAGAAAACTAAATCTAGTGCTTAGTGGGTTGATTCAAGTTGGTTGACTTGATGAGTCTATACAACACCAATTGAGTTAAAAACAAAGGGTAGAGAAATTTTTTCTACCCATTTATAATAAAATAGAAAATATAGGTGTGATAAAGTATGCCAAACTAGCAAAAGGCAAATATAATATTTGGAAAAAGAAACAAAGGTTCGCTCTACACATCATACATCTTAGAATGACATGACAAATGGTAGAAGAAAATTTTAGCTAGCTATAGTCTATCATAATACATAAAAATAAATCAAAATATCTCATGTTGGCATGTTCATAAAGTCTCACTAATGTAACAATTGGGCAAGAACAAAAAACCCAGCCTTGAATCCACAAGAAATTCTCAATTCTCGAGTCTAAAATAATATTAACACTCATCATCAAGCTCTTCACAATGTACATATCAACAATAAATGAGAAAATCATTTTCATTAATTTGACCTAGCAAATGATCAAGTCAACCATTGTGACAATTGTTCTTCATAATCTCCTAAGATAGCTGAGTGGTGAAGGGAGGGTATATTGGGTGAAAACACAAGGTGTTTCTAATTGCATTTGGT